GAGCAACCATGTCGAGGCGCTCAGCGAAGCTCAAGCCGCCGCTGGAGACCTTCGGAGTGCCTTGACAGTCGATCTGAGCTACGGTGCCAAGAAGTTTCTGTCCCACAATGTTTTGGTCTGCGCTCACCAAGACTGCGTCAAGCACACCAGCGATGAGAATGGGAAGAGCATGACCGACTACATCACCAAGTGTGCCGAGCCCTTCTATTTGCCAAACTCTCGCATCGGAGTCATCGGCGACCCACTGTTTCAAGGCTCCAGTATGTTCAAAAATGAATTGTGCTCAAGTTGCGGTCGCAGCTTCAAGCTCCACATGCAAATCAACTGGGAGGTCGTCTATAAAACCAAAAAAATCATGAACAGACACGCCACAAGCCAAGTTAACAGCCAGAATGAGGCGGGAAGGAAACTCGAGAGCTCCATCAGCTCCCTCAGGAGCGCCATTTCTCGCCTCACAGGTGAAGAAGCACGCCTCATAGGAAATGCCTCCAGCTACTCTGCCTTTGTCAAAGAAAACGGAATCATACTGTACAACGATGCGATCATTGAGTATATCAACCATCTCATCGAGGAAGAAAAGGGGGCAAGCATCGAGGTGACCGCTGCGACCGGCACCTCCGCTGGCTCCAAAAGCCCTCTCCAAAGCCTGAGTGAGCTCAAGCAGATATACGAAAGCGAGAAGCGGGTGATGGTCGGCGCTCTGGCAAAGCACACCGGTGCGATTCCGACCCACGAGGAGATGAAGAAGTCGCTTGGTCTCATTCCTCCCCCACCACCGCCACCGCCGGCACCCAGCGTTACCCCAGCACAACCCCCTCGGAAAGGCTTCAAAAAGTTCATGTTCAAGCTCAAGCTATTCTTCAAGGCTTTCAAGCCATGAACCGAATAGCGCGTGTTCATTTTGTACGGCTTGTCTATATTGGATTATAAAGCTTGTTGTTCACTTCCCCCTCAGTCCCCGTCAGTATTGATGAATTGTTGCATCCTGGACCCAGAGTCATCAAATCCACATGGCCCCAACACTGCGCACTGATCTTCACTTTGAATGGCATCTGAGCAAATTTAATAAACTGCATCGGAAATGAATTCGACGAATGGCCAAACAGGGTCGAGGCTCGAGATACTTTGGCGACGGGGCGGAGGCTCTTTCAGTGGCTTCATCGGTGACTCAACTGGCGGTCCCATCGGGCGGTTTTGTCTCATCAGCTGTTGTCGCAAGTTCCAGCACAACTCTCCACGAAAATCCCCAAACAGAAGGCCACCATCGCCAGGATCGAGAGGCAGGGGCATAGCGCTCCGTGTATTGGGCCAATGTCAGTTACATATTCACTTTGAGTATGCCAGTATAGACTGATGCGCCAGGGCTTTGAATGCGCTTCCTGTGCGCTCAAGTGCAAAGAGCCGATTCATGCGATCCAAAATGTCATTCACTGTTAGGCTTGCTCGTGAGCGGTTCGATATGCCCTCAGAGAGTATCGACTTTTCATGCTCATAGAACTCTCTCAAGCCCAGGAGCATAGTGAGCATGCTGCCGTCATGATACAAGCCAGGAGCTTGACTAGACAAGGTTTCTTGTGCATCTCGTATATGGCGGTCGATGGACTCTTTGAAAACGTCGTTCTGCAGTCGATCGTGGCCTTTTTGCACGAACGTCGCAAGCCAGGCCAACGTCTTCATGATCTCTCGCTGCTCGGATTCAAGGTCGTCGACTGCCTCTTGCAGTGCGCCTATTTTTCGCCGCATATCGGCATTGCTGGACTCTGCTGCCTCGATTTGGCTTTGGACCTTGGGATCCTCGGTCTCAAACTGCCGGTGCTCGACCTCCGAGTCAAATGGCTTGTGGAAGGTATATCGATGGTGACATTTACGGCAGGATCCTCGACGCATCGATGGGCACTTTCGTATCTGGTCTTCAACACGGGAATCCGAGGTGTTTGCAAGATAGCAGGGCTCTTGGCATCGGGCCACGTAGGTTGGGATGCATTCCCCGCTCCCACTTCGTATGCTCCTAACGCAGTCTGGATGGGTGCACACCATCACTGGAAACAGGAGCCGGCTTCGAACAGGTCGCGAAACCACCATCTTGAGCGACTTCTGCAGCTCTGCGACATCAACTTGCTTTGAGTCCAGGGCAGATATTTGGCTGTTCAGCGACCCCACGTCGGACACGGTCGATAGGGCCGTATCAACGAGCGACTTGTGGAGATTGAGGACAGCCTGGCGGGCCTTTTTGCGGGCAGGGAGTCTCAGCTGCGGATCCCAGGGGATGCCAGCGAGCCGAGTCAGCAGCCGGTACCAGCTTTCGGAGGAGCGGTCCCATGATGCCTCAAAGTTCTCCTCATCGTTTGCAGAGAAGAGGGTCTGCTCCCGAGCAAGCAGATAGAGGTATGCTTCGTTGTCGACCATGAGGAGGTTCTCGCTGCTGATGGATATGTCCATTGGGCCGTTGCGCCTGCTATGATCCAGCAGCGCCTTGAGCATCTTCATGGTATCTCCCGGACGGAAAAGCGTGGTGCGGGCATGGGTGAACACGAATGCGATGTCTGCGGCCTTGGTGTCGGGAAACCGCTTGAGGAGATCTTTGAGGCACGGGAGGAACCAGGTCCCAGGGCGGCTGTTGCTGGACTTTACCAGAAACATAAAGCAGTCGATCTTTGGATAGTTGGAGAGATAGCTGATGATTTGGCACATTGTCGCTCGATCTTGCTGTGGGCCACGGGCGTCGCCCATCCCCGGGGTGTCGATCAGCTTGACTTGGATGGCCTGACCAGACGGCAGCCGGGCCTGTTGCACGTATGTTCGCGGGCTCTGGGTGGTTTTATGGCCGCTCACTTGGATCTCATTCTTGTAGGCAGCGCCTGATGAGAAGAGGGCAGAAGGAGAAGGGGGGGGGAGTTGCAAGACGCTCGTCAGCCAGGATTCGGCCGTTGGAAAGCAATCGGAGAGCTCCTGGCTACATGATACCTACCATCGCCTCTGTTGTACAGCGCAAGCTGTCTCGATCGAACCGGGAGGACTTCTCCGACGTCAGGGTCATAGTAGCCGAATGCCGCTGGAACGAGCGTCAGAGGCTCGTCGAGCTCTGCCTGCTCGAGTTCCTCGTACGCCAGATAGTTGGCGGCGGCGTTGACAAAAGTCGACTTGCCGGCGTCGATTTCGCCAAGGAGCACGATGGTGAGCTGCTTCATCTCGTCGCTGTCGACTTCTATCGCCCGTCTGTGGGTGACATAATTTTCCACGACGCCGCTGGGGACAGACGGGATGTGTCGAGATTGGCTCATGGCTTTGGGAGAGCGGAAGGTGCGGCGGGAAGGGCGGGTGTTTCGATGGAGATGGCAACCATCCGTTTGGAGCAACGGGTGGGCAGAGGAGGCCTGGACGAAGCTCCACTCGAGATGCGAGTCTTCCGGGCTGGCCGTAACCTCTGGTCACTCGGCAGATTCAGCAACGACAAGGAGCGGCTGGACCGATTTGATACCCAGGGACTTTGATACCACGCCGAGCACAAGGAACTGCGGCCGGCGCTGATACCGTGGCTCGCAGTTCCTTGTGCTGAGCATGGGTATCAAGGTCCCTGGGCAACCAAGGCCGGCCCTCGCTCGAAGCATCTCAGACACTCTCCCCTCCTTCCATCCGGGTTTGCGCTGTCCCCGACATCCAGCCCTTCCTATTCCGGATCGCCGCTTGCAAATGTCGTAGCATCAGATCCCGCTTTATTCCTTGAGAACCAGGGTTTGCAGCCCTGCAAATGGATTGCTATCGTCGGGCGTGAGCTGCAGCACCAAGTCTGCGCTGTGCCTGCTCGGGCTTGCCTCCAAGTCGGACTCATACAGCCTGGCACTGGCACAGCCGAGCTCCCTCCAGGTGATAGCTTCGCGCTTGACTGCCTGGTCGAACGAGAAGCAGCCTTCCGGAGGAGGCTCGTACGTCTCGCGGAAGAACCGAAAGCCATTTTCCTCCACCTGCCGCTTCCATTCATAGCCATCAGGCATGTCGCGCTGGAGTCCGGTGATGGCAGGACGATTCCAGTCCAGAGTGATGGTGGTCGGGTCGCCAGGCGCAGCAACTATGGCAAGCTCCGGATACTTTTCCAGCTGCTTGATGCCCTCGGACTCTAGCCACTCCAGGTCTGGCAAGGTGAAGAAGAGTGGTGGTCAGGGTAGATTCAAGGGCAGTCAGGATCGGCTCAGTGGTGGCTAGAGACCTCGACTGGCAGATTGGATCCAGTAGTTGGCAGAGCATGCGCTGTCGTCAACACGAACGATTGCTCACCTTGGATCAGACTGAGGGGTGTTGGTCGGGCATCGGCTCGTTTGTGAAACTGCTCAAACAGGCTATGGAGTGGCTGAGGAAGCAGTTTCTTGTCCTTGTGCGGAAGTAGCTGAGATGTGAATGAGATGACGATAAGATGACGATGAGATGACGATGAAATGTCAATGAGATGTTGACGGTTGAATTATTGCGGAACAACAGATAACACAAGTGGTATGCGACAGGGACGGTCGAAAGTGTAGCAGTCCAAGGTGTAGATCGGTTCTCACGGTTAGAGCGGTCTCAAGAGTTGATTCAGTCCGTCGCAGCGGTGCGGTAAAGGGCACTTACGGCTACGGCACAAAGGGCTGTCGGCATCGGCTCTGACTGCGGCTGCAGGGAAAAGAATCCCTCCATGGACTCGTCGCCACTCTCCAGGGCCTTCAAGAATTCCTCAAGACCCCATTCGATGAGGCGGTGGTCGGGACTGATCTGCTGCGGATAGACAAATCGACTGGCACGATCGTCACCCAGGACATAGATCCGCAGGTTCCAGATCAGGGCGTTGAGATAGACTCGCAGTATATCTTTGGTTTGAATAGGGCTGCCCATCTCCGATGCTGCAGAGCCATCTTCGGCGACCGGGGCGCTTGTGTGGACTTTTTTCAGGCGTGGGCCCGGCGATCTTCGGGAAGCATGCTTGAAGGATTTGCCGCTCGCCAACCGATAGAGCAGGCTCAAATTGATCGACGTCAAGTCCTCAGACACAAGGTAGTCTTGGCACGGCTGATCCTGATTCTCTTCTCGGTATTCGCAGTAGCGCTCCCACACCTTGGGTGGTGGGAGATACCGCAGCTTGGGCAAGTAGTCGTTGCCGGAGAGCAGTGCGATCAGACAAAAGTCGCGTGTGATCCGGTCCGGGTTGCAGGCCGGAAATCGGGTTGGGATTGTGTTGACAAAGGTAGAGGGGTCGCAGAGCTCCTTGGACACTGTGCTGTAAACCAGGGTGTTGGCCAGCTTGGCGGCTATGACTGCAGGTGGCAAGCAATCGATTGGTGAACTGGCCGGTCTGAGCATCGCGAATCCAGAGGAAGGCGGCACCACCACGAGTCGTAATTGCAGCGTCGGTGGATTCGGGGGTGGGGTGAGATTTGGATGCGGTTGGACTGTCCAGTAGTGGTTGCAGTCCCTGTGATCTCCTGGGTTGTGTTGTTCATCAGAACTCACCTTGCAGAACAACATCCGAGTCGCCCGACATGATAAGAAACGAGTCGCTCGACTTGGAACGGCGCTGTCTCCGCGCGATGCTCGCCACAATCTTGCCCTGACGCATTCCGCATTCGTCGCGCATGGGAGGAGGAGGAGGAACGGTCAGCGCTTATGCCGTTCTTTGCGATAATCGAAGAGGTGGCGGATTGCTCCGGTGCTTGCCATCGACGCTCACGGTGGCTCAATGAGCCGGAGCGATCTCTCCTACCTCGCCCTCGCCAGGGACGCAGGACGAGCTCACAGTCACTTCGGGGAGCGAATGGCTCAAGAGAAATCGGCAGCTATGGTAGATCAAGTGGTCTTCCAGCCGGATCATAAAGTTGGTCCCGGGTGTGAAGTGGTTGCTTGGGATATTGGTGAGTTCCTGCAAGGTGTCGACGGACATGGTTAACCCGACGTCGCTGCAGACTCCCCTCCCTCCCCGATCCCTTCTTCTCAACGGCGGATCTCCCCTGGAGCAGACGAATGGATCGGGTGGGCACACAGCTTGCTCGCTCAGGATACATGCTCCGTTCAAACCCACCGCCAATGCGCCGCGGTGCTGCCTGCGGGCCCGCTGGGTGAGGATCTTGGCCCAGCCTGCCGATCCATCCAGGGCAACAAACAGCGACCGTCGGGGACGAAAGAGCCCCATGCTCCGGTTGATGTATTGGAAGGCCAGGCCGGAGACTGCATTGGATTTGGCTCTGTTCCAGTCGCCTGTGACCCCCAGCGATGCATGGAGCGAAGACCGGTACAGATAAAAGTTGCCGTCGACATAGATGTGGTCAAAGGCCCTGTTCACATGGAGTAGAGTGGGGGGTGGAAGCGCGATGGAGCGATGATGATGCCGAGGAGGAGTGGAGGGGGGAGGAGGAGGAGGAGGAGGAGGAGGAGGAGTGGAGGAGGAGGAGTGAGGGAGGAAACGGATATCAGAATATCGGCTGTTGCAGCTGGCGGATGGGCCAGACTGAACTGGGCCGACAGCTCCTCCGCTCGGTTCTGTCAAAGCGCACCTGGGCCGGGTTGGCCTCGAGAACGACCCTTCCGAGAGGGTCTTGAGCCATTTGTAGAATCCAGCTACGCCCATGTCAGCCCTGTTATCACCCAAGGCCGCTTTGGTTGCCGGAAGGGAGGGGGGCTTTGGGTCGATCGGATGGCCGGATCGGACGACAAGCGCGATGGAAGTCGAAACCCGAGTCTCGAGACGATCAACCAGGCCAACAGACACATCTGCAGATCGCGATGCAATCTCTGTTGCCAGGCACATCGACGACACTGCTACTCAAGCCAATCGGCCGAGCTGCCACATCGGTTCAGAGGCATATCCGTCTCGGATCAGAGGCATATCCCTTTACGCTCATTTTGTATTGCAGTGAATGCACTCTGCAGTGCACCATCCCATCGCAACCACCACGGACAAGGCTGGCAGCACACTCACATACCCAGCACTTTGCGCACCGGATACCGAATCAGCTCGATGCCGGCACCTAGTCGCAGCACCTTGACCCAAACTTCGCCGATGGCAATGACGACAGCGACGCAGATCAACACAATAACGATCCACGAGATGTACGAGCGCTCGTTGGTGTTCATCTGCTCCGAGAGCATGTCCAGCAGATCCGAGAGCACCCCGACGCGGGTGTTGAGCAAGTTGGCTCGCTGCGAAATCTCCATGTACTCTGGAAGGGCAAGAGACGAGAGCGGATCAACGAGTGTCATCGAGTGTCAGCGAGTGTCAGTAGACCGACTGCGTCGAGCCACACGACGAAAAGTCGGGGCACTTCCGTCAAGTCATTTTGACCGAATAGATGGGGACAGGACGACAGCCGCCCACGGATTGTTGGGACTCACTCCGAATGGCATTGTACAGCCCAACAAGCTCGGGCTCGGACCAAAACAGCTCCGGCGTATCTGCGTGTGTGGAATCATTCAGACAAGAGTCAGTCCTTGCTCGCACCGCTGTTCTGTACATCTGGCACCAGCCAAAGACTCTGCAATAACGTCACAGATCAGCCCATGCGTCTATCGTACCCAGGACGTTGCTGACGAGATTGACGTTCATGCGCAGGTTGAAGAGACCGCCGATGATCTTCATGATCTCGGGCCGCGGCATCTTGACTTCGCCGTACTTTGCCATTTTCCGGGGCAGCGGGATAGAGCCCGTGATGGTGTCTTCCATCATATTCTCAAAGTGGGCCAGCTTGGCGGACTGGGCGAGTGCGTGCGAGATGGTCAGCTTGGTCATGTTGCTGTTGGTCTTGAGGCTGCCGATAGCAGAGGGAATCGTTGACCATTCAGTCAGTTCCCCATTCGGTCAGTTCCCCATTCGGTCGGCTAAGATTGCTTCAGCGAGACTCCATGGCACGCTGGAATCGCCTGGCAGTGAAGGCACACATTGCCGCGGCTTCCGTCTCCAATCACAAATGCTGTGCTCGCGGCTGTTGCGTCGGCCACGCCAGAGATGACGATGCAGCATACGTGATCATATCGTTGAAGATTCTGGGCTGGGACGGACCGCCAAGATCGTACTGAAAGTGCAAGCCCTCGGACTCTTGGTTATCTGGGCACAGCAAAAGAAACGATGGGTGAGACGACATGCGCCGATAGAAGGGATCTCGGCGAGGCTTCTGAGGAGTATTGAGTGAAAGGGGCAAGCGAAACCGTGTGACAGAGCAGTGTTGGCTGTACCTTCCTTCAGAAAGTTGGTCGAGAACGGTGCCAGGACCTTGAGAAACTCCTGCTCTTCCTTTTCGGTAAAGTTCCACAGCACTAAAGGCAATCCCACAAGTCGAGGCGAGCGTTAATGCGGCGATGTGCTTGACGCCCGTTGGAGGTGGCTGTGCGACTGGACGGGGCTGGAAGGGATCGCTCGCTGTTGTTGGGTGTTGGATCTTGGGCATCGCGGAAAGCGCACACACTCACCGGCGACACCGTAGTCAAAGAGAAACAGCTCTCTGCGTTGCATCCACGAGGGAATGTGCGAAGACTGGAAGCTGTAGAGGGATCCGGGATCCTCTGACGACGCTGTTGAGTGAGGCTGGCTTGGATGTAGACTGTCGATGATGTCGTGCTGAATCATATCTGTGTTGTCGGACATTCCATGAATGCCGGACAGAACAGGAGAGACAGATGCCCGTGTTGTGAGCGTTGAGTTTGTCCTGCCGGAAAGAACATGGTGTCGGTGTGGATTAGCTCCGTGGACGGCACACATCCAACACGCAGACCGAGAGCACTGGGTGCTGGTGCAGATTTGGCGAGAGGATCGCCGCTTCGTCGTTGCGGGGTCTGGGCCGGCCCACTTACGCGTTATAGAGCAGCGGAGCAATGTCGAATGCTCGAGACGAAGAAAAGAGCAGGATCTCCTTGTTGATGTCCATGTGGGCATACAGAGACTCATCGTAGGTCTTGTGCTTGATTCCAAACTTGTCGAGATGAGCGGCAACCTTGGTGTTGTCGAAGCTCGACGCCACGCAATAGCTCGTCACTGGCAAGCACAGTGGATGACGATCTTGGGTTAGTTGCGATACATGGCCCGCTGCTGTTCCTATCGACATAGCGATCAGAGGCCGCTGAGAGCGAGGGTCATTCGCAGAGACAGCAAAGCCCAGGATGAGTGCGTCACCATCGGCCACAACCGCACACCCGACCGACGTTGCCGATCTGCGTGGAGCTGTCCGCGGTCGCAGTGAGAGGAAACCAGGGGCCCCACCTCTGGGCAGCAGCTCGCGCTTGTCCTTGGAGACCCGCTCGGCATCGGACCAGACCGAGTTGAGAATCTCCAGTTCCTCGGGCAGCAGCTGCGAGGTATCTTCGAGATGCACATCGTGAAGATGCTGGTAGGAAACGAGCTCATCGTCCGAGGTGGCGCCGCTCTGGTTCACCGGGAAGAGCACCATCTTTTGAGTTTTTTTGGTCGTTCGCTGCTGGGACTTTGGTTTGGATCGGCCTCCATCGAGATGGTCGAGCATATGGCGCGACCGACGGGAGTTAGCTCGGCGTCGGGGCGGCATGTTCTCGGCCAGAAACGATCCAGGCGTGGGAGGGAATGAGGACCCGTAGGCGCTGTTGATGATATCGAGGCGCCGAGGCAGATGGTCTTCATCGGGCTCTTGGATTTCGGGATCGAAGGTAACGCGGCGAGCAGAGGAGCTGCGCGGAGAAGGGCCCTCGATGTCGCTCTGCGAGTCCTGGTAGACATTCCGCCTCATGGTGAATGGCGGGGCTGATCAAAGAAGCGTTGGGTCTAAAGGCGAGGCTCAGCGAGGCTCAGCGAGGCTTGGTGCTCGATCGGATGTGGGTCTGGATGGATTGATGGGTGTTGCGGTTGTGGCGACGGATTGCCAGGACGGGTCGGCAAGAAGTCGGTGCTGGTTGTTAGGGGATCCGGCGATGCGGCGATGCGGCGATTGGGTTGCAGCAGGTTCTGCAGCGATGGCGACGCTGCTGTGGAGGGCCAGGAAACCGTTCGAGCAGACCAGATTCGGTCGATGCGATGCGCGGAGATCAGGCAAGAGATGGGCAAGCCGAGCCAGGCGCGAACGAAAAAGGCGGCACGCAAGAAAGCCAGTCGACGAGCCCACAACGGGCGACGGGGTTGGAGACGATGTTGGGTCGCTTGGCAGCATTTGCATGCCCGGCTGTGATGGGCTCGGCCGAAGATATGCCGTGGGAGGGACGCCGACGGATGGTTCGGCCAGCTTGGTGTTTCTTGGCGAGTGGAGGAGCGATGCGTGATGTTGTTATTTAATGCGATGCTATTTGATACGATGTTGTTATTTGATGTGATGATATTTGATACAGTGATATTTGATACAGTGATATTTGATTCAATGGTACTGTTTGATATGATGTTGCTTGGACATGGTGTGCTTCTGCCCGAACGAAGAGCACCGTTGATGCTCACCACGTCCACCCCACCAGATCGTATCAACCTCGGTCTCAGCCGGCGTCCGCACAACCCTGCACCGCCGGTCTTTGCTGGGCGACTTCTGCCCCCACCCGCCTTTGTCGATTGCCTTGCGTTTTGGCTTTTGTGCAGCACATGTTGCAGCACATGTTGCCGCACATGTCTCTGGACATGGCTGTGGACATGTCGCAGGTCGGACCACCTCTGCTTGTGCCGATGCTTATGATACTTGTGTCGATACTTATGATACTTGTGATACTTGTGCCGATGCTTCGACACAGCATCGACTGCATCGACTGCACCGACTGCACCGCCGACTGCACCACACCGCCGTCGCTGTTCGCCCTGCCGGCACAAGCGACACCGTCGCGCTCGCCACGGCCGCGCACTCGCACAGGCCCACAAGGCCGCACAGGTTTTTCGTCCTGCCTGCCGCCCCTCGCTCGGTCGTTGCTGGTTTGCAATCGACACCATCGGCGGCACATCCGGTCTGTTCTCCTCGACCACCTTTGCTTGCCCGTCGAGCCTGCGCCGTCGTCCCAGGAGACCACCCCGGAGCCGCTCTGCTCGCTGTCGGCCAACCGCATCTGCCGCCCCCATCGTCTCGATCGACCTGCTCGGCCCGGCCGTTTCGCTGCTTCGACTGCAACTGCAACTGCTTCTGTCGGCCCGGCCTCTTCCTGCTCAGCCTGCCCAGCTCCTGATTCCTTTGGTTTCCGAGCCCAGGCCCGGTTCATGCAACTCTCCTGTCCACCCAGCTCTCCGCACTCTGCCTCCTGCTCCACCTGCTCCAACTGCTCCAACTGCTCCAGCTGCTCCAACTGCCCCATTCTCCCCATTTGCCCGGCACTCGTCCCCAGCCACATTCGTCTCTTGCACAGCCCATGTTGTCCCTGACCAGCTTTCGCACCGAGCTCCTTTTGCTGGCGCTTGTTGGTCTCCTCGGCCAACATGTCGCTGCCCAGGATACCTCGGCGCCAGCGCCCATCACCACCGTGGCCGGTGCTCCGTCTTCCAGCATCGCCGGTCCCTCAAGCACACCGGGCGCCCCCGCCGCGGCTGCTCCCCCAACCGAATCGTCCTCGGCCAGCAGCAGCGGCTTCATCACCTTGCCCATCAGCGAATTCTACGCCATCGTCGGGGCAGCCGCCTTGCTGCTCCTCATCGCCATCATCGTCCCCGTTGTCGTCTGCTCGCGCCGCAAGCCGCCTCGGCCAGAGTACCCTCCCAACAACCCATACTACCCCACCAAGGATGCCAACTACGCGGATGATTTTGCAATGGACTATGGGCAGTCGAGCTCGCCCACTCAGCCCTTCATCCCCCTGCACCAAACCCAAAACAGCAACGCAGCCTTCACTCCCCGGCTTCCGCCCAAGGCTTCGTCGCAGCCAGTCGCCCCGCCTTCGGCCTACCCCAAGCCCCAGGCGGCAGCCGGCATTCAGCCTGTCCAGCGACCCAGCCCACCAACCGCAGCCGATTCTGGCCCCGAGGGCTTTCTGGAGGTCAAGCCCAGTCCCTCTGGAGGCAAGCATGGTCGTCCCAACAACATCGGCCCGCGAGTGCAGTCCATCTGGCAGGCGCCCCAGTTCGCTTCGACTCAGGGCGGTGCCGAAAAGTCCCTGCACAAGTCGCAATCGGGCGACCATTTGACGGTCGGGCCCCAGCCCGGCAAGTCGCCTCACTCGAGCGTCGCTGCCTCGAACGACCCAAGCTCGACCAAGAGCTCGGCCCACAACAGTGTCAGCCAGATGAGCACCGGCAGCGGTACATCGATCCCGCAGCGGCTCTCGTATTTTGGAGGCCCGACAAAGTTCATTGGCGACCCGCGGGCTGCTCCTCACACCCCGACGTCCCCATCGATCAAGGGCAAGGGCTCGGCATTCCCGCTGCCGCCTGCCTCGGGTGGGCCCGAGTCGTCTTGGCCAGGATCCCACCAGGTAACCCCGCAGAGCAGCTCTGGCAACCTCGGATCGAATCGTGCCGATCGGGATGAGCTTCGCCAGCAACAGCAGGCTTCCAAGAGCTCCATGCCGCAGCAGTACTTGCAGCACCCTCTCGACGAATACGAGTTTTCGACAGCCGGCACCCCCACCGTCGATCGCGAGGATCCTTCGGCCCGGCTCGAGCACAACCATGTCTTCCGCGGCCCCCGCGATGTTCCCCGCGATGTTCCCCGCGATGCTGCCAGCAACAAGCGACTGAGTTTCACCAGCAACCCTGTCCAGCGCGAGCCCGCGGGCGGGTACCGAGAGAACGAGTCCTCGGGTCCGCCCAAGTGGGCCCAGGGCCCAGGTGGCCGGTTCCTGGACAGCGTCACCATTCCCACCCCCAGCATCGCGCCGTCCATCAACCCCATGGCCGAGCTGATTGCCAACGACGGTGGCCCTCCGGGACACTCCATGCGCCGAGGCGACAACGACAACCCGATGCGTCGAGCCGCCGCCGACGACCAGGGGCGTGGACCTCGTGCCGGCGACATGGGCCAGGCTGACATGGACCGATCCGACGACCAGCGCGGACGCAACGCCCGGGGCCGGGCCAAAGACAAGCCGCCCGCCAACGTAGCAGCAGCCAACCGACCCGCGCAGGGCTCCCGCACCCGGTCCGCCAGCAGTGGCCGTCATGCCGCTGCCGAGCGCCGGGGCGAGCTCGAGTTCATTCCCAAGACCCAGGACGACGACGACAATGACGGACGGTCACTGCATCGGTCCAACTCGGCGGGCTCCGCGCGGTCCCGGAGTCAGCGCGGCCGCCACACAGCCGGCGATCAAAACGCTTCCCGGCATCCGCCATCATCGTCGCTACCTTCCCTGCCCTCGGACGAGATTGATTCGCTCTTGGAGGAAATCGACGCCGTTGTGACGGATGTCATTGCTCACAACAAGGGGTCAGCCACAGCTTCGGCCTCGGCTTCGGCAGTCTCTAGTGCTGGTGCTGGTGCTGGCGCTGGTGCCGGTGCCGGTGCCGAGGCCAAGTCCAAGCCCAAGTCCATCAAACCACCGTCCGGCCGCTCCAACCCGCCCAATGCGAGAGAGCCGATCGACAGCGACCTCTTTTCGCCCTTGATGTCGCCGCCGCTATCAAAGGAGCCAGCACCGGCAGTCGCCCCCACCATCATTGGCCTGTCATCGGCATCAAAGGCGCTCAAGCCTGCACTGAAAAAGCCGCCCAATGTCCAATCTCCTCCGGCACCGACCCAGCTTCCAGCGCCCCCGGTCGCTCCGCCAATTGCTTCCGCCCCTGCCCCTGCCCCTCCATCCGAGCCCGCTGCTGCTGCTGCCAGATCGCAGGTTCGGATCGCACTCGCTCTGTTTGAGCACGAGCCCACGGCTCATGACGAGCTGTACATGGATATCGGTGTAAGTATTCGCTGTCATGCACATGCTTCTTGGTGCGAGAGGACAGCCAGCAACAGCCAGCAACAACCGGCGTGCATCCGAAAGGACAGATGATGTCCACAGCGCACTCATCCAATGCCATCTGCCTTGCAGGACCGCATCAAGATCACCAAATCGTTTGAAGATGGCTGGGGCTTTGGGCGGAATCTGCGGACCAACCAGAGGTAAGACGCCGTTCATGACACTGCAGATCCGCTCTCGGCTTGATCGGCAGTGCGTCCTTGCCAGCTGCGATCGATCTGGGCCACGCGCAACTCACATTCCCTTGCTGTTCCCCTTCCCTTCCTTTCCTGCTCTCGCACAGCGGTGTATTCCCCTTAAACCTGATCGAGGAAGCCGAGTGAGACCGGTCGCGTCATGAGAGAGGCTGAAGCATATGCGACTCGCCATGGCCCGTGGAGTCCCCAGGGCCACGATTCCAGCGGCTGTTTGTGGGTTTAGGTTGATTCGAAATCAACGAGGCTTATCGAAAGTGACCTGCACCAAGAGCGATCCGGTTGTCGGGCTCGACCAAATGTCGGCGTTTCTTTGCGCATCCGGAACTCAGTGATTGTTGCTTTCGCGGAAGATCATGCGATTGAATCCTGGATTCTGCCAGCCGCGTCTGTTAGCGACGGGCAGTTTGCAACACTCAGAGTCTGTGTCGACTGTCGGCTGTTTTCTTTCGAAAGTCGTATCGCTATCTCGGACTTGTGCTGTATTGCTGCATGACCCTCCCTTCTTTTTTTTGCCATTGTGATTGGCGTCCTGCCTCCTACTCTCTTTCTCTCTTTCTCTCTCTCTCTCTCTCTCTGTCTTCTTTGCGTGTTTGTCATTCTGCCTGTTTCGGTCATAGACAAGTCTAGATCTGTGACTCCTTTCCTGTTTTTGCTTTTCGCTTCCCCACCCCCCTCTTTTTTTTTTTTACTGGGTTGGTCCTGGCGGTCGTAGAGCGCTACCGTACAACAGATATCCAGCTTGTATCCCTTCGTTTATCACTATACGACTTTGCTCCCTTCTATTGCCGGTGCCCTCATGTCCACTTGAATGTTTCCACCGACGCACCCCTTTCATAGTGCAAACAGCTGCTTGCACATGCAGTTCCCCCCCCCCGCTGTTTCTGTTGAGGGATGAGTTGATGCCACCCCTCTGGCATCGTCACTTCCAAATCTGCCACTCTCAACCTGTCCGTTTGAGTAGATTTGCTCTCGTGCTCGCCTTTTCAAGGGGGGGGGAGACAGTCGCCATCTGTCCTTTATCTTTACTGCTGGTTCATGATCCACCTTGCTTGCTCGTGTTTGCCGGACGTTGGAAATGCTGTCGGTTTGGAGTGGAGATTGCGAGGAGAGTCATGTCTGAGCACCTTGGTGACATCCGCGGCTTCACGCAGAAATACATTCACGATCCTTTCCCAATCCCACGGTTCTGCCCTTGATTCGATTGGATATTTAGTGCGTATGAAATATGAAATGTATTCGGGGCTCAACAGGGGGGGATTGACATGTCGCTCGCCAAGAATCAATCCATGCTGTTACAGCGACCGCGGTCGTCATCCTGACCGCGATCGACCCGTAAGGAAGCACATGACAACGCTGTAGAAAGAACGAGAGCGATGGAATACAACCAAGGAAACTCAACCGACGACGACAGTAACAACGCAAATAGCCATATAGATGATAATGGGGCTGCGGGAAGCCCAGAGCCGAGAGAGAGGAGAAGCACAGGAAGGATTGAGGATACGGATGCTGGCTGCTGCCGTCATTCGAACTTTGGTCGCTGTTCTGGGAGAAGGTAATCCGTTGGTGGAGATTAGGGATGCAATGAGTCGGCAAGCAGGATGTGTGTGTGAGGAGGTTGCAGAGGGCGACTGCCGAAAGTTACTCTGCTCGCGAGGGGAGGGGAGGGGAGAATTGAAGAAAGGGAATGAATTGAGACAGTTTGATGGGAAGTGGGGTGCAGAAGATGAATGACCCTCGAAAGCCGATCGAGGGAATGGGGAGGGAATCAAAGGAAGAAATTGGCAAGGTAATTCACAAAGATAGTTCACAAAGGTAATTCACAAATGTAGGTCACAAAGGTAGTTCACAAAGGTAGTTCTCAGACAGACCCCGTTTGCATGTCGAGTGGCGCGGATCAAAGGTGTTGACAAGCGGATATGACACAATATGACGTATGATAGCACGGGACCGGACAGCCCATCCACAGCATCACAAGAGCGGAATCCGGATGTCATCGGCAAAGGACTTGCCGACTACAACGATGTTGTCGGAGCCGGAATGCAGGCGAGTGAGCGGCGCCGGTGCTGGTGTCAAGACCGAGGGTCGGTTCGGGATGCTGGGGAGGATGCAGTATCGGGGAGACTCGAAGCAGGCCGAGTTGGAGGACAGGGAGTGGGTGGTGACCTTGTGCCGCAGGATCTGGTTGGACTGCGAGAGCGTCGTGATGACCGGGACAGAGAGGTCTGCGTCGCTCAGAACGACCGGAGGGGCCATGGCAGAGAGGGCCAAGGGTTGTGGCGGGGCTGTGGGTTTCTCGACCGAGGCAGACACAGGTTTGTTTGCGAGGGGTGCCGGCTCATCATATTCGCTATCGTCGTCGGAAAGGTCGCTTGCTGGCGGAGACGATGTGCATTCGGACTCTTGCTGCGTCGGCTGGCTCAGCTTGACGTTGAGCTGTGTGATTTCATCGACCTCGGCACGGACCTTGAGCAGCTCGAGCAGATCGTCGATCTTGAGGCGAGAGGGCTCCAATGGTGTGCGGTCGTAGTCGCTGTGGGCGCCGTGGACATTGACCAGCTCGCTGAAGGACACCTGGCGACGGGGCAGAATAGCGCTGCGGGACTTTGGCGAGGCCGAGTGGGAAAGCAGACAGGACTTGCGGCGCAGGGGCAGCGACTTTGGCGTGGTTGAGTCCGTGGGTGGATTCGGCGAGAGGCTGGATGGTTTGGGCAGATCCAGGGCCGGAACCGATGGCGGTTCGCCGATGTTCATTGCAGGGAGAAGCGGTGCAGAGTGCATGCAGATCCCCGAGGGCAGGGCAGAGAGCGAGGCAGCGACCATTGAGACGGGAGGGGGCGGGTCTTGGATATGAATGCAGACGGCGGATACAGCAGCTCGGCTCGGGTACACCGATGGCGATTGTTGCGAGCAGCGGATGCTGTCTTGCTTGGCAGTCAACACAGAGGCAGATCAACGGATCGATCGGCAGATGGACGGACGGGCAGATGGGCGGACGAGCAGATGAACGGACGGGCAAATCGATGGACGGGGATATCAATTTCAAATTCGCGCACTGAAGAAAATACCGACGCATATCACGTGAGGGACCCGCTGCGCAGTCCCCCCCCCGGATCGGTGGCGCTTGTTCTCCCCCGGCGCCCCGTGAAACCGGCCTCGGCAACCTTCCAGCCTTGGCGGCTCAGTCCCTGGCCGGCTTGCCAGCCGGCGAAGGAGACCGGCGGCGCTGGCTGGGGCGGGCGCGAGGGCGGTCGCCAAGGAGCCGCTCGTTTGTCTGATACGACCAGCCAAGAGCCCCAGCGGACGCCAGCACCAGCACCAGCCGGAGCCACGAGCCCCAGGTCAGCCACGAAATAGAGGTGATGACGACGCTGACGACCGAGGCGCTTCCGAGCAGCCGCATCTGGATGCTTGCGAACGGATAGTCGGCGATGTGCCCTGCGATCAGCACCCACGGCACCAGCGCCAGGCGCGCAAAGATGATCGTCCAGCGCTGGTCGCTCATCTCGCGGTCAAAGATGGCCTCGGGAGTCACATCGAATCCTTCGTGCACCATGCCCAGGGGATAGCCCCGGCTCGTGCGGTAGATGTCGATCCGGCCATTCGAGTTTGCCAGCCGGCCAATAACCGACACGCCTTGGTTGACGGGCATCACTTCGTATCGGATGCGGATATCGCCGGCGTTGCACCGGGAGAAGAGATCACCGATCTGAGAGAGACATCGAGATTAGTCCAAAGTCGGTGCGGGAAAGGAGGGAAGCGACTCGGGCCGCATGCAGGTCGCGGACCGGGCCATGAAGCCGGGGAACCTGGACTCGACAGGGTTACCTGGAAATCCAGCAGCGAGCCCTCCAGAAACGTGCCCATCGCTCGAAAGAGCCGCTCGCTGGTCGATCGCTCGTAGCTGTGATAAAAGTAGCCGTCGTTGGCGTACGAGAATCCGTTCTGCTGGACAGCGGGGCTGGTGCGGAATCTTGCTATCTCCTCGCGCTCGTATTCGATGATGGGCCGAAGGGGCCGGGCCATCTGGGCGAGCTCGCCGGAAAGCGTGTATGGCCCCAACGCTGCCGATGCAACCGTCTGTGGATCGAGAAAGCAGCCCGGGTCTGTAAGCACATGGGCCTGATCTCCGAAGCACTGTCCCCACGTCGCTCCCCGTCCTTTCGAGCACGGCCACGAGGCACTCACGTCTTCAAAGGATGGATACGGGTCAAAGTTGGGGTTTTGGTGGGCAAACGGCTGGTTGAAGAACATCGAGTTGATGCGATGGTCGACCCAGCCGAGGGTGTAGTAGTATTCTCGTGTGGTGTAGGTCTCGCCCTCCGAGTTGCGTTCCTCGCGGTCGACCCAGGATTCTTGCCACTGGCAGTATTCGGTCTGACGCCTGGAAGCAGCGGATGCAACATGGAAGCAACGGATGCAACAACGCAGGGTCAGCGAGAAGCATGGCAACCACCCGCCAGACGATGCACCCCCCAGCGAGCGAGATGGCGGATGAGTTCTGCCGACACCAGCTAGCTTCCTACCTCAGTCGCAGCGACGCTGGAAACTGAATATCAAAATCAGCATCCTGCAGGATCGGCTGCGTATCGACTACCTGCGAGGTGAGATACACCAGCGATCCTGCGGGCACGGCTGGGTGGCCGCCGACATCCGTGCTGGATGCAGGGGTGATGGGCGGCAGACGGACAAGATGCCGGGAGCCCTCGGAGATGGCCTCGGAGAGCGACGCCCCTTGATATTCGATGTATCCGTAGTAGATCGGCACGCCGAGAAGGAGAGCACCGACAACGATGGTGGACAGGACCTGGTTGCAGCTGCGTTCGGGTGCCGAGACAAAGCGGCGCCGGCCGATGCGGAAGGACATGGTTCAGGGATGCAGGCTGGATGCGAGCTGGATGCAGGCTGGATGCAGGCTGAGTGCAGGCTGAGTGTGGATCGCATGTGCTGCATCCGTGACCAGGGCGGCCCAGCCACGCCATCACAGCGCTGCGCACGCTATCTGCTGCGCACGGACCCGCATTCGAGCCTGGCTCGAGCCGCGCACCGCCCCTGCGCCATTGGCCGCCGCTTTTTCTTCACGGTATATATACGCCAAAGGCCGGCAGCCGCCTTTGCCCGTCTCCACCTCCCATGGTGGCTCGCCAGTATCTGCCTCTCACTCTTCCTCGGACGCTTCTCCTGGCTCTCGATCAGCTCCGGCCCATCCCACCGTTCAGTCTCCGAGCCTGTATTGCCATTTCCCCCCTGTCTGTCTGAGCCCGAGTTCCCCCCTTTCCCTCCCCCTTTCCCTCCCCCTTTCCCTCCCCCTTTCCCTCCCCCGTTTCGTTCGTCTCTGGCCAGCACCGCCCTCGTCCTCTCCTCGGCGCAAACTCTTCAGTCTCGAGCTCCCGCACACCCCCGCCGCATGTACATGCCCGCTCTCTCATAAGCACCGCCTTCTGCTCAGCATCCGAGTTCAGCCTGCTCTCGCCTGCTGACATCTTTTTGACACTTGCCCGATACCCCAAACCTTCGTCCGCACCCGCACCTGCACTCGTACTCGCACCGCCTCCGGCCCATCCGCATTCACACATTCACATATTCCCGCACCGCCACCCTTCAGGTCTTATTTATACACATATTTTTTTGACCGCCCACACTTGTCTCTGCATCCCACTTGATTTTTGATCCTTTCCCTTTCACCGCCTGCCAACCCCCCTCCCTTCGTCATGTACATCCCAGTTACCGCTCCGGCCCGCTCCTCGGGCATGGTCTACAGCCGCGAATCGCCTCGGTTCTCAAAGTTCTACCACCCGTCGGCCTCGGCCGCGCCTGTCCCGCTCCGGTTTCCGGTCTCGGCCTTGTACTCGCAGGACGAGCTGATTGTGGCCAAGCCGCCAGACCTCGAGAGCATCCGCACGCTGTCGCAGATCTGCTCCATCATGATCTATCACATCTGGGACGATGACACCTCGGGCGCTCCTCCCTCTGCCGCCCAGCTCAAGCGGCAACAGGGCTTCCAGACCTTCTGCGAGCGTACGCTCAAGGACACCGAGTCGCTCCCGGTCCTGGCCCTGGCTGCCCTCAAGTATATTGAGCGGCTCCGGGCCCTGAATCCCTACGTCCGTGGCGAGCCCGGCTTTGAGAATCGCATCTTTATTGTCGCCCTGATGCTGGCGCACAAGGTCTTTGAAGACTGGTGCCCGGCTGCCAGCCACTGGGCACGTCTGGCCTCGCTCGATCTCGCGGGTCTCCGAGCCATGGAGCTGGAGGTAAGGGCATGTGATGCAGAGCGGCGGGATCGAGGCTGTGCTGTGCTGGCGGAGATGCAACGCTGCGGTGTTGGTTGGCGACCCAGGTGCGTGGAGCAGGAGCGGGTCCAGCTCTGTGGATGCAGCGATCTCTGTACGCCCGAGTCTGTGGCCAATATACCAAGAACGGCTACCCTGCCCTCTGAAGACCGACGACGCTAACGCTTCTCTCGGTACCACCCACTATTTGGCGCGACTCATTTACCGACCGAAACCTCTGACGACTCCATGACCTCTACTCTACTCGACTCGACTCGACTCGACTCGCCCGATACTATTCCAAACATGCGACATGACCTGTCTGCAGTTCCTCTTTGGCCTCAAGTTCGAGCTGTTCATGTCCCCCTCGGAACTGGCGGCCTGGCAGTCGGATGTCGAAGAGACCCTTGTGGCTTACGAGCGCGGCCCCAGCTACATCCAACGCTTCCAGACCGGATCCGCTGCCATGTCCATGTCGCCGTCCAAGACCGAGTGCGGCCTGGGCTCGTCGCTCCGCTGTGCGGGCTCGGCATCGGCGGACCTGGTCGACGGCGACGCCTTTGATTACTTCAAGCGACGCGCCTACTTTTGACGGCCGCAACACCTCGGCGACACCTCGGCGACACATGGCGTGCTTGCTGCTCCTCGCGGATCGGCTTCGAATCCAGGGTGTTCTCACCACCCGTCTGTGCTCTCCTCCTCCAAATCCTCAGAGTTAGACCCTGCAACTGACCCGTCGGCTCACGTTCTTCTAGAGTGCTTGGTATTTATCAATCTGCTTCTGCCGCTTGACGGCCCCGGGGGGCTGGATAAACGGCAGTCCGTGGCTGGCTTGCGCCGTCCAGTCACGGTGCCGGGTCCATGCCCTTCATCTATTATTTTCTTTCCTTTCATCCTTCCTTCATCGCTAGCAAGCATGTATGCACGAATGCATGCCATTTTTGAATATTCTTACGCAGCCATCGGCTGGATCACACCGGATTGGATCGGATCGGATCGGATTGTGTTGTATCGGAATGTGGATCAAGGGTTTCCGGCATTGCGCCATTGGAATGATGAGTTGGGGCTTTCAGCATCCGGTCCTCCTGTGTGGTATCTCTCTCTGTCTTTTTCTCTCATCTCTATCTGCCAGGCCTCCCATTTGGCGTGGCCGGGTCGTTTGAAGCGTGTTGCTCTCGTTATTGTACATGGGATCAGCTTCTGCCGTTTGTCAACGGCGGTGATGAGGCAACTCTGGCCTGCTTGTTTGTATTTCTCTCTCTCTCTCTCTCTCTCTTGTTTCATGGGACACACCTTCCCTGTCGGCTCTGGTCGGCCCCAGGTGACGCAATGCAATCCCGCCGATGAGGCAAACGTTGCTCAGCTCGAAGCAAACAGGATGGATGGATGGAAGGGGGCTGGTGCGGGATGGCGAGAGGGGGAGCGCCCGGGCTGGGCGGCTGAGCCGGCTGTGCATCGTGCGTCTGGATTGGGCTGAATTGCGTTTGGCCTCGCCCGACCACAGTTGCTTGACCATTGCTCGACGACCATTGTTGCTTGACGACCATTGTTGCTTGACGACCATTGTTGCTTGACGACAGTTGCTCGGCATGTGTCTTGGTCGACCATCTGCTTGTCTGGGTGGCGCGCAGCCGTGTCAGCGGCGCTCTGTCGTATCTGGCCCGATCGAACACACGGGCGACATCCTTTGCGACATTCAATTCAACTCGATATTGTTATCATCATTCGACAGCATCATCCTGAACACCACCCATCGCCCCGCACACCAACTGCATCGCTTGCTCCTCATTCCCTCCCTCGCCCCACCGCCCTGCCCAGTCCTTCCCGCATCGCATCCCGGCCCGGTGCACTCGCCCCCGCCGCCCGCTCTGCCCTCATCGTCGCACCACCGTCGCACGCCATGGCGATAATCTCGGTGTCGAATCGCTGCGTCCAGAGATTACCTTTGACCCGCCCCGGCCCATGACCCCGCCTGTCAGGACAAGCATCCCCCCCCGCCCGGCAACAAGCCCAGGCCAGACCTGCAGATCCCGCTGGCTCCTTCTTCCTCCTGCCCTGCCCTGGCCTGCGTCGTTATCATAAAAGCCCCGCCCGTCCTCTTTCCCTCCTCATATCTCACCTCGTAACCACAACCATCACAACCACCGCAACCACCGCTGCCGCCGCAACCATGTCCCGCACGCTCGCCCTCTGCCTCGATCGGCTACGACTGCCCGTCGTCCAGACTTCTCTCGTCTGTCGCCATGCCTCGACGCTGTCGCTGGCCTTCCCGTGGAGCCTCCAGCATCCGCTCTCTGGCGCCGAGTCCGAATCGCCATCGCTCTTTGCACCCGAGCCCTTTGCCCGCCCCCGCTCACCGCAGCCTCGGTCAAGACCCTCGCTGGCTCCTGCTCCTGTCGCTCCTCTGGCTCGCCCTCCCGTCCAACCGGCCGGCTCGCTGTCAGAATCCTCCACTGCCCAGTCGTCGGCCGTCGACTCGGAGCTGACCGCGGCCCTGCTCGAGCTCCCGGCCTCGTTCATGCCTGCCGTCCAAGCGCTGACCAACTCCACGCTGCAAGATCTCACCCAGCTCGAGCCCAAGACCTGCCGCGAGCTCCTCAACGGCAAGTGGTACATGTCGCCTCTTCCTTCCTCCACAAAGGTCGATTATGGCTCCGTCATGGTCAACGTCGTGATGGACCGCCAGAACCTCGGCTGGACACGCCTCAAGGTCGACGAAGAGCTGCTCCTCAAGGTCTGCGAGAGGCAGCAGTCGGACCTGGACCACGTCTGGAAATCCTTGCTCAGCGAACCCTCCTCCGAATCTTCCTCCGAATCCGCCGATCGACCGTCATCCTCCTCCCACTGCGATGTCGGCGTGATGCGCTGGACCGGCGGTGTCCAGGGCGGCCTTGTTGTGCAGATTGTCTTTATCTACGACCGACGAACCATGAGGAGTTCTGATTCTGGCCTCTAGATCTCCTGCCGCCCGGCCTGTGACTCTCCGGTGATCCAAGCAATCCCGGCGACCACACCAGGCCGCTCTGTGGATTCATGCTCCTCCCTCGTTCTCATCTTGTTCTCCACGATGACACCCATGCAATGCGTCGCGCTGATCCCCCTCCCCCTTCTCTATTTTTCTATCTTCTGCTTTGACCTTCTTCTGGAGGAGACTGTCCGGGTCTGGCTCCATTTCGACTCGTGTTCGCTTCGTCCCTGCCGCCTCGGCCGGGTGTGCTTTGGCACCTTTCCCTCGTGTGGCCAAGGATAACTTTATTGCCCTCTCCCTCTCCCTTTTTGGATACCGAACGAGAGGCTTCTCTCTTGGGTCATCAGAGACCCCTCATAAGTCATAATCTCACTTGGAATAGAGCCTTCCTTCCTGTGGCTGCTCCCGAGATGATTACCTGAGACAGGCGTGTGGGGCTATGGCGCTATGAAGGTCGGCGTGGCCGATCCTGAGAAACAGAGTGCACCTCTGTGTATTGCATTGGAAGGGCGCAACCATCCAAGCTTCGGGCCAGAGCAGGGACAAGTGGAATGGGAATAGAATCAAGCAAGTCAAACGAAAAACAGAATGAAACAATCAACCAAAATCAGAATCAAGCAAGTCAAACAGCGGGAGATGAGGACGGCCAATCGGGCTGGCTCGTCGACGCATGCCTCTTGTGACTCAGAGGCTGTCCAGGAAGCTCTTGATCTGCGCAAAGGTCTCCTCCGGCTTCTCGACATGCTGCGAGAGTGAAGAAGTCGGAACACAGGGCAGTGAAGGTCAGCAAACAGCCCAATGCTCCCCCCCCCCTGCGATTCCCTCTCCCCCGTCGCGTGGATCTGGAACGCTTGCTGTTCATCGAGGCCGATCCTGGTCTGAGCTTACCGGATAGTGGCCGGTGCCCTCGATCAGGACAATCCCGCAGGACTTGGCCTGCGTCAAGTGGCTCTTGACGGTCTCACATTCTTCCAGAGGATTGGAAAAGTCGGGGTCCTTCTCGCTGCGAGAGGAACGAGAGGCAGAGTGTGCCGACAAAGTTCAGGACCCAGGATCCAGCGCCGTCGGTCAAAGTCACCAGGAATATCCCAGGCCCTCTCTGTCATATTCAACCTGGTCGTTGAATGGACGCATACCCAACTCCTCGGCGGTATCCGTCAACTTACCCCATCAGCAACAGAACAGGGGACTGGACCTTTGCGGAGAGCTCCCAGGCATTGTTCTTGGACGAGCGCATGAAGGACCCAAAGATGCCCGCATGAGAGCAGTCGCTCATCATCGAGTTACGGATCGCAGAGACATAGGCCGGCAGATCGGCGGGAGGGGCCTTGAAGAGCGACTGAAAGTACGTTGTCCAGACAGGCATGCCCCAAAGGCGGTTGAAGATAAGGACCGAGATGCCGTTCATGAAGGACGCTGTGGAGGCGGATGGAGCGCCGACGGTCAGGAAGTACTGCGAGCGACGCCAGTCCCCCCAAGGATATGCATCAGAAGCACTCGCGACCTCCCAATCGGCACACATATCCACCCAGCAAGTCGCCACAATACTCACTGCCTGGCATGTCCCGGGTGAAGGCGCAGATCGGAACGACACCTGCGAAGCGCTTGGGGTCCTGGGCCGCAACTGCGAGAATGACCGCTCCCGAGAAAGAGTTGCCCATGAGCACGACGTTCTCGCTGACTTGCTCGGCATCCAGGATGCTTGTGAGATCCGCAGCAACGTCCTCGACGGTGTAGGTCTTGAAGGTGGTGTCGCTGTCGCCGTGGCCGCGCAGATCGGGGGCAATCACGCGATAGCCGGCATCGAACAGCTTGGGCCCCAGGAAGCGGAACTGGTGGCGAAAGTCGCCCATGCCGGGTGAGACCAGGGCGGTGCGCCCGGTGTAGTTGGGTGGCTTGCCCGAGTCTTCATAGACAATCTTTCCGTCGGGACGGTCGACGGCCTTGAGGGTGCCATTGGAGAAGATCAGCGGCAGGGCAACTTTGGTGGCGAGCGACATGGCAGAGATTCTGTTTGGCGGTTGCGGATGGTTTGATGGAGCCGGAGGAGGACTAGAAGGAGCACTTGAAGGAGCACTGGGAGGAGCACTTGAAGGAGCACTGGGAGGAAAGCAGGCGAGTTGTTGAGAGAAGCCCTCCCCCCGACGGCGAGCCTGCTGTTATATCCGCCGATCGTCGGGGTTTGGCTGAGTTGCAAACCTGCAAAACGGAGAATGCATGGCGCTTGTGCGACGGTGCGCAGCACACAGACTGAGGAGCGGCGGCGGCGCTGTGCTACCGCGGAGTTTGAATCGCGGTGGAAATCGATCGACGTGGGTCTTGGCGGTGGGCATCGATCGACGTGGGTCTTGGCGGTGGAAATCGATCGACGTGGGCCTCTGGCGACCAGTACAGCGTGTTGAAGAAATGGGACACATCGTTTCATTCGGACAAACACGGCGTAGTCGGATCACACGCCAGGTCAAGTCATTTCCCTGGGTGCGCTGTGTGAGGGAGAACGATGCAGGGCAGGGGGAAAGTCGCTGGCTTGGGTACCGATCAAAGCCGTCCAGCCAAATCGATCAACATCAACCGATCCACAAGTCATCCGTGTGTGAAATGACCCGTTTCTGGCAGAGTCGCGCAGGGAGAGGTGGTGTCGGAGAGCATCCTGCGGCGTGCCAAGACACCGACCACCATCCAGCCACCCACCATCGCCACAGCACCGACAACGACGAATCTTCATTTTCTGTATGTTTTATATATGTAAAAAAGGGGGGGAGGTGGTAGTAATAAAATAGAAGGATGGAGGAGACAGATAGGAGCTCATTCGAATCGGCGAGGCAAGTCTGGAAGAGCGCGAGAAAAGAGTGGAAGGAACAGAACTGCAGACTCATTCTAATTCGACTGGGTGGGGAGGAGAGATGAGACAATCACGACGGACGAAAAGAAAGTAAAAAAAAAAAAGAGGAGAGAAATCACATCAGAAGATTGTCAAATACCGGGCGGCGAAAAAAAAAAAAAGTTCCCCCATTGACAAGCACAAGCACGGGGGCGAGGGACAGATCCCAGGAGGCGACTCGAGCAGTGGGTCAAGACGCCCCAATTCAGCCGCACTTGTGGTCTTGTCGCTTGCCATGCCAAAGCCAACCCGAGCAACTGCCTTCACATGCGCCGGCCATCGCGGCGCCGTATTCCACCCGGCGACCGCTCCGAGCGCCAAAGCGAGCCGACATGCTGTCCTGGTGGTCAACAGACGTGGGTAGAGTGGAAGAGGGGGGAGGGTGACGAGGTATTGGAGGGAGAGTCTCACTCTTAGTGTCCATTCGAAGAGTGCTTGTGCAGTATAGATAGGCAGGTAGATGGGTGTATAGATAGACGAGGCAAAGAATAAAGGAAGGGTGGGGTGCGACAATGGCAACCGACTCATTCCAGAGAAGCTCCTCGGTCTGTGCCCGTGCTCACCAGAGAGAGAGAAGGAGGGAAGAGGGAGGAAAGGAATGCAAGAGACCTCCGCCAGCTTCGGATCGCTAGAGCTGCAGCGCCTGCAGAATCTTCTCGCATATGTCCTTGTAGTCTGAGCTGGAGCCCCCGACGCGCTTGAAGCGGAGGCCATGGAGATTTTTCAGCCTGGGCAATTTGCAGACCTCAATCTCAAACTTGACCTGTTCCTTGTTGGGCCCAGCCGTGCCGGCCCAGGAACACTCGATCAGGAACCGGCTGGTGAGGCGGTGAGTGATGCCGTGCGAGGTGCAGGCGGCAGCGACTTGCTGGATGATATCGTCCGGGGGTTTTGTCGAGGTCGTGTTCGAGTTGAAGGTAAACCGGAGTGAGCGCGGCTTGTTGTCCTCGCCAGGCTTGATGGGCGAGAGCGAGCCCGAGTCGTTGACGCCGTTGGAGGACTGGTTTGCGGATGGAATCACGTCGGCGGCCCCCGAGTCCTTGCTGGGCGAGATGGCGCTGATCGTGGGCGACGACGGTGCATCCGAAGACTTCCGTATGCTATTCCGAAGGATGCCCACGATGGTGTTGTGCCGCTTCCTCTGGGTGCGGTCGTCGGCACAGGCGCCGTTCTGGCCGCCGGATCCATCGTCGGGCCCGTCCTGCCCGGTGACGTCGCCTGGGTTGCCGATCTTTGGCTGTTCGTCCAAAGATCCGGCGCCGGTCTCCTGGCTCGATGTCGGGGGCTGTAGCGAGCCGACGCCGTGGGTCATGACCGGGGCGGCGGTAATCGGGCGGGGGATGGGGGTCGCTCCGGCGCCGGTTGTGCTTGTGCGGATGGGCTCCTCCGGGAGTACTTGCGGGGCCTGCATCTTCTTGAGCCCCTCGGCAGCTTCCTGGTCCTCGTCGGCATACTTGGCCACATCGGCCTCGCCACCGACGGTGAATCGGCGTTTCCTGGGCTTGGTCTTGACTACCGGGCGAGCGCCCAGCGCCGGGACCGCATCGCCCGGCCCGTCCTCCTCGATCTTGGACATGGCCGGCTCCTCCGAGGCTTTGTGGGCCGCAGGCGGATGCGATGTGTTGTCGCCCGAGGCTAGCGGTACCGTCTTGATGGGGATACCGCCAATGGTCTTTTCGTGCTCCGAGCTGGAAGGAGCCGTCTTGGGCGGTGCCGATACAGCCGATGGTGGAGCAGGCCCGGTGCTCGATGCCCCGGCTGCTGCTGTTCCTGTCGCTGCTGCCGTCGCAGGTGCTGCCGTGGCTGCGGCGTTGGCATGGCCGGAGGCAGCCGCTGCGGCCCCAGTTGCGTCCACAGATGCCCCAAGCTCCTTGAGCTCCGAGGCGACTCGGCCGCGAGCATCCTTTTCGTAGTATAGCAGATAGTAGATGGCCGCCACATCGTCATAGAGATTCTCCCTCAGCGATTTCAGGATCGCCTCGCGATCAATGTGGTACTTTGTCTCCATGATCTTGACCAGGCGCTCGTCCTCGACAACAGGGCCCGATCCGCCGGCCATAGCAAGCTCGCCATTGATGGGCGAGTCTCCGAACGACTCGTTGATCCAAGGATCGTCAATGAGCATGTCCAAGCTGGCGCGTTTGTATGGGTCGCGGATCAAGAACTTGCGCAGAAGCTTTTCACACGCTGCGTGTGTGTGTGGGGGGGGGGAAGAGTCGAGACGGCGGACAGGAAGAGCTGGTCAGAGGCTGGCGCATGAGAGAAACGGGGCAGACGTATGCAGGAACACCGATGGTACATTGAGCGCCCTGCACCACAACATGGGTGATATATGTGCTGCTGCGGGACTGGGGCACTAAGCGCGCCGCATTGTCGGTGCGTATCTTCCCCTCTCCTTGGTACTTACAGTCTGACAGGTAGAAAGGGATGCGGTATTTGCCTCGGCACACCGACTCTCTCATTTCCTGGAGGTTCTTGCCGTCAAAGGGGAGACACCCTGTCGTCAGCACATACAATATGACGCCCAAGCTCCAAATATCAACTTCTGGGCCTGTGTAGCGTCGTCCTTGAAACAGCTCTGGTGCCGCATATCTGGAGGCACAAACAGTGCATTCGAGAGACGGGTCAGTATCCGCAGCAAACAGTAGCAAGCAGCAAGCAGCAGCAACGTGTCAATACACGATGGTATCATCCAGTAGCATGTCGGCACGCAACGCCGTCACGCAGTAGCAACGGAAGCAACAGCAGTCCAAGCAAGGATGGCGATACGGACGGTGGAGAGCCGCAGAAGGTGTCTAGCTTGGCGTCAGGGTCAAAGTAGTTGCTGAAGCCGAAATCGGCAATTTTGATGTCGAGGTTGGAGTCCAGCAAAAGGTTCTCGGCCTGGAGAGGAAACGCCATCGAGAAAGCGTAGCAAATGTCAGCACACAGGCCGCTCGAGGCGCTTCCAGTGACGGCAGAGAACACAGTCGACGAGCTCAACGCGACAGTCAGCAGCAGCACCTTGAGATCTCGGTGAATGACCCTCTTCTTATGGCAGTAGCTGACAGCCGAAAGGATCTGGCGAAACTTTGCACGGGCTTCCTTCTCCTTCATCTTGCCGTGGACGACGAGGTAGTCATACAGCTCACCGCCAGAGGCGTATTCCATCACCAGAAAGACAGTGTGCTTTGTCTCGATTACTTCGTAGAGCTTTACAATGTGTGGGTGGTGCAGGAGCTTCATGATCTTGACTTCGCGGTAGAGCTTGCTTAGCTTCTTCTCATCCAGCGTAGTTTTGTCGATGACCTTGATCGCAACCTGCATGTCGGATGGACAGAGCGTGGCGAGAGCGTTAGAATGGTTGTCTGTGCCAAGCTGCAGTTTGCAGCAGCGGGGGAGTGAGTGCAAACAGCGCTTTGGTCGAGACAAACCGCCGCACTGGCGAGTGTCGCTGTAATTCGAGCGACACATGCTCAACCACGCCGGCATTCAACTCGAGCAGGTTTGTTCCCACTTCCCCATCCCCGCCGGCAATCGGCTGCATCAAAAGTTCGCGTCGGATGCAGGCTCTGAGATGCCTTTCAAGCAGCGAGCCAATGAAACTCGATCCCAAACGAGCTGGCGGCTTCTCTAATGGAAAACGCCCGCGAAGAGTGGCTCTGAGGCCACACACGGAGTAAAATTACCTCAACACCTGTGATTTTGTGTTTTGCCAGCTTGACCTTGGCGAAATTGCCCTCGCCCACCGTCTTTTGGAAAACATAGTTTCCAATTCCGGGAAGATGGATGTCGGGATTGTTGGTGTCATCCTTATCCCTTCTTCTCGAAGACGACGAGGGCTTGGTGGCAGGAGTCGTGCTCATTCCTTGAATTGAGGCAGAACTGGGCAAGAGGCAGCGGCAGGAGAGGCGGATTGGAGGACGAGCGACAGAGGACGAACGATAGAGGACGAGCGATAGAGGACGGAAGACGGGTGAGCGGATGGGATTTCGAACCTGAGCAAAGCGCTGTCGACGTTTATTGTTCTCAGCGGGGTAGCCAAGGATACGATTCAGGAGCCCAAAGCGGAGCAAGGGCCACGCAGTGTGAGGGAAAGCTGCGAGCGACAAACAGCGGCGGGTCGTCTGGTGTGTTGTTCCCACGGGAGGAGTATCGTGGTTGCCCCCAGCAATACCCTCTTCCACAGGCAACGGCAACGGCAACGGCTGTGAAGGATGTTGATGCAGGTGGCGCAAATCTCCTGCCTAGGGATGATGCTACAACGAACCTCCTTTTGAAACAGTGGTTGAGGCCGACTTCCAGAGGACGAAGTGGACAAGCAAGCGAAAGGGAAGGGGAGAAGGAGATGGCGAAATAGCGATTCGCCCAAAGGACAGCGATCGTGTCTATCGAGGGGGAGGTCGAATCTCCAGCGAGTCGGATGTATCAACAGCACAATACTCCAAGCACAGGTTTGAATGACGTCGCCCAACAATATACGCACTGATTGGCCCAGTTCTAAGAAAACGACTTGTGTGCTCTTCCAGACAACGCCGTGCACGAAGCGCAGGGGAGCGACGGCGAAATCAGCTGGCAGTCGCTGGGCAGTCCAATCGGGAGCAGGCGGCAGAGGCGGCAGAGGCGGCAGAGGCGGCAGACCCCCGGCGAAGGCCACTGAAGCCAACAGGGGATGTGGAAGCCGGCAAGGGTCAGCGACAGCCACACGAATCAACATTCGCATCGTATCGTATCGCATCGTATCGCAGCAGCGGCAGTGATCGTTCGAGCAGTGACTGCTGTCGCGGACGACACAACAGCAGAATCAAGACTGCGACAGCGCTGTCGTTGATGCAGAGATGCGACTTTCTGTCATTTTATCCATCGCCAAAGTGGTCGACCAGATGGTTTCGGGATGATACTCCCAACGACGACGGGAGTGCAATCCTATCGCCTGCCCACCGGGGTCTACGGATCACTGAAATACACTCAGGGACGCACCGCCCCGTTTCGTTCCGGACAAGCTGTAGATCGATATGCATCGCCCGGCACACCGATCCTCGCGGTGCGATGGAGCATGAGCTTGCCCCCGAGGCTCGCACCCTGGTCGGCCGCGCGGGGCCTGGCGCAGGTCCTTTGATGGCCGCATTTTGCTGCTCCGGCTCGCTCTCCCGCCAGCCCCGTCACGCATCTCCTGGATCGCTCTCGCTCCATCGCACCGTCACCAGCACCTCCATCATGTCGGCCCCGCCTCCCCGTCCAGCAAAGTAAGATGTCACCCGGCATGTCGATCTGCATGGCCCCAAGTCCAAGATGTCCAAGGAGTGATGCCTTTCGGCAATGTCCCCGGCAGAGGAATATACAGCATCCACTCCATCGCCGCCGCAATGACCAGGCACCGACTCTGACTGCCGTGTGCCATCCACAGACGATCCGATATCAAGGAGGTCCTGGTCGTCCAGGCCCTCTACGACTACACAGCGAGCCAGCCCGACGAACTCAGCTTCACCGAGGGCAGCACCCTATAGTAAGTCGCAGCCGCCCGCCAGTTCCCTCGAGCGTGGCGATCGTCACCAAGATGCTGCCGTCTTGGTGGACTGTCGGTTGATATCGGCGCCCGATAGCCATCGCCGATGTGCGCTCGCTCCGCTGGCTCGCTCGGCTGGCTCGCTCGGCTGGCTCGATGCGCACTGCGTCGCTCATCATCTGCCATCACGGACCAAACCCAGTGTGCTCGACAAGCAAGACCCCAACTGGTGGAAGTGCCGTTCCGGCGACAAGGTCGGCATGGTACCTTCGAACTATGGTATGGACTCGGAGAGACGGAATGCCAGCTCGAGACCGGATCACGGTCGTCTTGGGCGAACGTGGATAGCTCCATCACGAATCATGGCTGTGACCGAGCCATGCGGTCTATCGAGGCTCGACGATGCACATCCCGCGACGCTGTCGATCCAACGATACCGCCAACTCACCCAGACTGCCTCTGCTGCTCCCGCTCAGTTGGAGAAAACACCACCACCATCGAGAATCCGCTGCATGGTATGGCTCGCTGGATGAGCGCAACGGCCCACACCACATCGCCACCGTCCGGGACCAAATTCAACTTGCCGTTGCAGCGACCCGGGCATCCCGACGGGCTGCTTTCATGATCAAGTCACTCCACTTGCTGCTTGACTGGACCGTCGTGCCTGTGCCTGGATTGCCCTCTGGCTGATGATGCTTGCCCCTTCCTCGCTCCAGAGGCTGCCAAGCGTGGAAACCTCAGCTTTGCCCGGGAACTCGTCGCTACCGGCATTTCGGTCAACGGTACGTCTCGAGCTGGGTGAAAAAAGCACAGTGTTGGGCTTGTAAATGCTGTTCGTCATCGACTCTTCGACAGGGACGCCCGGCTGATCGATCAGCACACTCATCCCTCAGGACTGGACAAGGCCGGCAATAGCCCCCTCCACTGGGCCTGCCGTGGCGGCCACTCAGACATTGTCGAGCTGCTCTTTACCAAGAACCCTGCCATCAACGCACAGGTTCGACGATGACTCCTATGGGCCCTGCGATGAGTGATCACTCATGTCACGCCGAACACATTCGTTTCTCACACGCACTTTTCGCTCGCTTACCACCGATACAGAACAAGCTCGGCGATACCCCTCTCCACATGGCCGCTTGGGGTAATTGGGCTTTGCTCTGCTTCTCGCGACTCCAGTTTATTTGAGTCTCAGCAGGACGTACGGATGCTACTCGCAGTGAACCGGCGATACTGACTGACTGTTCCACACAATCGCTCCAGGCGGACACCTCCCCACAGTCAACTTGCTCCTGACCCATTCGGATATCGACGTCGCCATCAAGAACAACTCGGGACAGACGGCTCAGAGCCTGGCCAAGAACGACGCTGTTGCCGCCGCTCTGATCCAGCACGTTGGTTCCGCCAGCTTTGTTGGATACTCTGCTGCCGATGTCGACTCGGATGACGACTGAGGCTGCCGATGAACTCACAAACAAGCCCTGGATGACGTCCTGTGGTCGAAAAATATATAGATGTCTTGATGATGCCCTCCCTGCACAAGACGACAGCCACCGTCACGGAACGCTGGGGAGTGCGCCTCTGCTTCGCTTATCGGCCAAGACTTATCGGACATGGGCTTGGATACGCTCGATCACTTGGGCCAGAGCTAGATCCTGGACTCTGACGACCTTGCTCCGCGACTTTGCTCCCGACAAGAGTTCCAGTTGATATCGCTTGCAGCCCAAGACCTGCGCAGGAACACCACATCGACAGGCTGGTCAAGAAAGCTGCCAGCTCCGAGAGCACCGATGCTGTTCCTACCTCGGCTACGTAGCGGACGACTTCTGCGTTGGCTTCTCCGTCCCGGGGTGGCGCGGCAATCTGCCATCAGCGGGCGGTGAGCGCTGCAGCAGACGTTGAAATCCATTCCGACAAGGATGGGATTGGATGCGCCGGCCGACTCTCTGGTCCTTTATACCTGCAAATCGACACACTCTTCGCTCGCATCCATGATCTGCGATATGCGCGCACCAGGCTTGACGAGCAGGTTGATTTTGACACATCCGTCCTGCATCGTTTCGGCAAATCTGCATTCGTGCTGGGGCTCTGCGGTTGGTGTCGTGGATGGCTGAGAGCCCTGGCCGGTCCGCTTGCGCTGGGTGGCCATCCGGCGTAGACTGGAGAGCAGTCTCGGCGCCGGGCTTGCACCGATGGACAATACGAATGTGCCGATGGTTCGCGCAGTGTGAGGCGCGAGCGTCTGCATCGAATTGCTCTGGGCGAGATGTGGGCCAGGTTCGGCAGCAGCGAAACAGAATGTCTGGCGGAAGGCGGACAACGGCTGTCGCACCGTGTTTCCCTTCAATACCTTGTGGTCCCGGTGGGCAATAGGGCAGATCGCAAGGCCCTCGCTTATAGATGATTGACTTGCGGGTCCCGCTCGCCAGAGCCGGCTGTGTGCCCGGGAACAGGTCGGTGTGGCTTGTTTCTGCGCTCCTTCGGTGACATTCGGAGAGCATCCTTCTGCTGCTGTCCTTCTGTCCTTCTGGCCCTTTTGCTCGTCCGCCAACTCCGCCAACTTCGCCAGCATCGCCCCGCATCTCACCTCCAGCACCCCCCATATTCCACCAGCACATACCAAGCCTCGAGATATACCATCCCTCCCTCACTGCATCTCCAGCACCGGCCCTCAAATCATGTCTTCTCTCGAGCTCCATCGTCTGGCCTTGGCAGCACTCCCTGCCCTCGCCGATGCCACCGCTGGCGAGCACCTCGCTCCCACCAGCCACCACGAGCTTGTCGCACTGTATCTGTTTTCACTTCTGCACGCACTCGGGTTCCGACCGGCGTCTCTCGACAGCTCCTCCTCGGCGGCTCAGGTCCGCAAGGCCCTAGCTGCAAACTGGAATCGAATCCGCCAGGGCCAAGTGTTTGCAACAAGCCATATCGATCCGGCGGCCAAGGACGTCCGTCTGGAGCTCAGGCTCGTTCCGATTGCCAACCGCATCTTTATTCACTCGTGGATCGACCAGGTTGGTTCGCACTCTGACCATGGGCGGCATGCATTGGCCGTCGGTTGACGATGTTGGGGCTAACTCTTCCCGAACCCAACTCGGCTCGATTCGCTCTCCACCCAGGCCGACCCAGACATCAGAACCCTTGAGATCAAGTCTACGGACTATTTCCCAAGCACGCTGGACCTGCCGCCTGCAGCAGTGCAGGCCATCTTTCGCCCAGACGACGAACAGCTTGTTCTACTTGCGTCTCTGCTCCAGACCCATCTTATCGACCCTTCAGCGACCAGCAGCATCCGCGAAAGCACGCAGGCACTGCTTGCGTCCGGGTAGGTGCCAACTGCAATCGACTGGTCTCTCTGGCGGCGTGACGATATGGTCCATCGACGGTGAATCGCTCATGCTCTACTTGAACAATTATCGAATGCTATTCAAGCCCGACCAACTCCGAGAGAACAGCTGCGGCATCGATCGGGCAGGACCATGCTGCTCCAGCCAACCCGATCTCATCGCAGGAGCCTCTCCGCGATCCACGCCGCTTCGAGCCCGGACCACTCTACCCTCAGTCGTCGCCGTTCTCCATCGGGAATGCGGACTTGGACCCGCTGGCTGCTTCTCCAGGGTGAGTCTTGAGCGGCAGGGGAACTCACTCACTGGGCCGCCGTTGGAATCCAAACTGACCAGCACTGGCATCCGTATCACCAGAATGTTCGGTGGACGTCCGCCCGTTGGCGGATTCGGGGGTGGCGGCATGGTTGTTCGCCCAGGACATCCTATCTTCCAAGGAAGTGCTCCGGGCGGCCCATTGGGTCCACCCAGCCTCGGCGGGCCTCCAAGGTTGCCTCCGGGTGCTGTCCCGCCTGGCGCTCGCTTTGATCCTATCGGTCCGTTTGGGCCGGTTCCTGGATCTGGATTCAGGCCGATAGGGCCCGGCGGCCCTCGTGGCTCGCGACCGTTCAGGTATGCTGCCACCCACCAGTCGGCCAGAACCTTTGCGGCTCAGGCTTGAAAAGTGGGCCGGTTGTGATCTGGCTGAGGATGTATGCGCGAGATGGCCGGGCCGGTTGGACCCGGTTCAGCGTTTGAGTAATTAAGGACGCTGGGTCTGGTTGTCGTCGCTGTGGTTGTGCCGCTGCACTCTAACGAGGAACAACGCTGCACCCTTCCTTCCACTCCACAATCGCCCCCTGGTCTGTTCGGCATGCGACACGGCTTTCTTCGATTTGACTCTGCCTCATCAGCGGCGATCCCGACAACGACGAGCTACCTCCTCCTGGATACAACGATATGTATTTGTAGCTCCTCATCTGCGAACCAAGGTTACGAATGGCAGCGCCAAATAACCCAGTCGGGCCTCAGACGGGAAATCTGCTCGCTGTCCGGTCTGCAAGAGGCGGATGACTGTTATGAGGGGGTGTATGAGTTTGTATTCACATCAAAAAAAAAAAGAAGGCTGCCTCTCAAAACAGTGCTCTGCTGCACAGCTTGTGCGTTGTTAGATGAGTCTAGCGATTGAGGGTCGGATGATGGTCATGCAGTGCCTTAAGCAAGGTCTTCGAGACCCTGGGCCGGCCACATCCACCCAAACTTTTCCCAGCCCTCGAGCTCGCCATACTGGAGAGCGCGGTAGGCCTGATAGAGTCCTCGGAAGCCCTCGAACTTTTGGCCCTCTGGCGACATGGTCACGATCTGGGTGTCGACCTTGCCCGTGGCCTCGTCCACAATCTCCCGGTGGATCTCCTTGACCGGAGTGAGGATCACGGCGGTGCCGCAGGCAGCAACTTCATTGAAGGCGCCGTTTTCGACCTCGGTCCACTCGACAGCACGGCGCTGAGTTGTCCAGCCAAAGACAGCATGGGCCAGCTCCTCGAGCGAGCGGTTGGTGACCGAGTTCAAGATCGAACGGCTCTTTGGGGTGACGTAGGTGCGTGTGCCGTTGACGACCGGGGTGAGAGCGGCAAAGTTGGAGGTGGCAAACTCCTCGACGTACTTGTGCTCGGCGGCATCGAGGAACAGATTGACTGTGTATCCGCGCTTGTGGGCCTCTTCGGTTGGCTTGAGGATCGGTGCATAGTTGCCGCCGAGCTTGAGATGGCCACTGCCGTATGGAGCTGCGCGATCGAGCGAGTGCTGGATCAGGGCCGTGACGGGGTTGCCGACGCCGCCCTTGTAAAAGTCGCCGACGGGGTTGACAAAGATCATGAAGGTGTACTCCTCGGCGGCGTGCAGGCCGATCTGCGGGCCGGAGCCAAAGACAAAAGGCCGGATGTACATCGAGCCCATGGAGCCGTAGGGCGGGACAAACTCGATGTTGGCCTCGACGGCCTTGCGAACGGCGTCAAGGAACAGCTCGACGCTCGGAGCAGGCATCGAGGCGGTCTGGCACGAGTCGATGAGCCGCTCGGCGTTGAGCTCGGGACGGAACACCCGGACCTTGCCATCCTTCATGCGGAAAGCCTTGAGGCCCTCGAAGCAGGACTGGCCATAATGGAGGACCGTGGCTGAGGCGAGCCGGAGTTGGATCGGCGGCATCGATGCGAGATCGACGCACGGGTGGAATGCGAAGACGAAGCGTGCAGATGTTCAAATTAGCACAAGATCGAAAAGCGTCCATCAGGACAGGGACAAGTCTTTGCGACATACAGACAGATAAAGCGAATAGACAGAGGGACGTGTAGACTGATAGACATATAGATCGATAGGCAGGAGGCTGGCTTGCCCAACCCAGGAGGTTGGCTTGCCCACCCAGGAGATTCGGTAAAGCGCATCCCGGCGTCGCTGCCGATCCATTTGCCCCTTCGGCACCCCACACGGGACAGTGCCGATGGACAGCAATGGCTTACCGGCGATGCTCAGCGTGATGTATGGATCGGTCTCGACGACGCCATCGTCCCACTGGCCATTCTTCCAGGTGTAGCGGATGTGCGAGTTGGTCGGGATGATGTTGAATCTCAGGTTGTTCCAGTCGATGGCGGAAGCCGAGGGAGCGGGGGCACGGTTCTGGGGCATGGCTCCGGGTGCGGGGGATCGCAGGTCGAGCAAGAGAAAGGGACGGGAGAGGGCCGGGATCGTAAGGCGGTGGAGACGATCGGGCTCAGCAGGACGATGGGACGGTGCTGCAGCGGAAAGACGATGGCGATATAAAGCGATAACCGGAGGGAGGGCACGAGACATGCGGCTGTGACACGAGTCCGCGATAGCGGCGATTCAGCCTGAGGCGACCGATTCAGCCAGCGGAATCAGGCTGAAGCCGCGACCCAACTTGCTCCCATGCGGCGAACGTTCAGCGAGCGTGCAGCCATGCACTACGGAATGCCCCGGTGCGAACCAAGCATGCAACGGCGTATGCCCTGGTCGCCGATGCAGACCATGCAGACTATGCAGACCATGCAGACCATGCAGACTATGCAGACCATGCTGCTCGTCTGGCTCGAGTGGCAGCATGCCGGGCTGGCCAATCCGCGGCGGCGGCACGAGCCACGTGCACACGAGCATGCGCAGCCAGCACACTCGATCCGGCTCGATCTGGCTCGGCCCGCATTTCATTGCTGCGCACGTTCATATGCGCGTGGCTTGTGCTGCGTCCCCCGTGACCGCGATCACGCTGCGCTGCCGATTTTTTCTGCGTGGTGTTTGGGGGGCGGGACAGAGGGTATAAATGCAGCAGCGGGCGCGCGGCCGCTCTTGGACTGCAGGAAGTACGGAGCCCTTCAACAGCGCTGCTTATTAGGCGGTCTACCTTGCAAAAGGAAAAGAGCACTGTCGATGAAGTAACGTAGCGTACGAGGGTATCCCAGAGCCGACCGATCCCTCTCTTCCTTTGCGGAGATGAGGCGACGGGCGATTGGATCGGGTGCCACTAGTGATGGTCCTCTTTCTTAATGATCTTTGATCATGGTGGCAATATCCTTTCGCACAGACCGTTTCTCTGCAAACTTGCTTGGCTTGACTGGCGGCAAGCATGGCCCCACAGCCAGCTGCCGCAAGCAAGCGCTATGGCCAACTGGACTCGTCTATCCGAGTGGTGTTTCGCACTGCTGCGTTTGTTGCGGAATGCATCTCGGATGAGCTTGGGCTATCAGTGGTGATGCGTTGGCAGCTCATTTGATGCTCTGCTTGCCCGAGATGCGAGATGCGCGATCGTATTTCACTATTCACGGCGCAGCCGCCTCGTGTATTCAGGAATATGGCGACAGTGGCTGACGGACAAGCGCCGCTCAACAGTCACGATATACGCCTCTCGGCCTCGGAATCATCGAGCGCCAAAGAAAAAGGAGGGGTGTGCCTTTTCTAGGACGAGCTGGACTCGGAGCTGACTTTCTTGGCAAACAGCTTGCGAAAGCCCGAGATGGCAGCGGCGCCGCTCTTGTCCTCGTGCTGCTGCTGGTTGAGAGCGCCGGTCGACCCGCGCTGGAACCGGCCAAAGAGACTCGTTCGTTTCCGCGGGCGGTATTCCTCAAGCAGATATTTGGTTTGGATCGGGTTGAAGGCGCCCCGGCGCTTTGCCCGAATCAGAGCCACAGCCTCGTCAGCGGGCATGCCGGCTTCGATCAGGGCAATGCAGACCATCAGCGGGGCGCGGCCCAGTCCGGCAACGCAATGGACGGCCTTGAGTTGAAGCAAAAGTATAAATGGAAAGCGGCAGTGGAAGCGATATGGTTGGTGAGCTTGGGTTTGCTGGTTGCTGCGGCGGTCGTGCCCATGCATTCACAGCTCGACATGCTCGACATGCTCGGCCCAGCAGCTCGTATCGATGGCCTCTCCATATCGCTGAGGCGATGGCCGGTTGTGCGGACTGTTCTCATGCATCTGGGCCAAATGTTGGTCCCCGCTCACGACCATTCCGTATGCACCGATCAAGTTTTTGGCCAGCTCGGGCACCCCCCAGTCGTTCTCCCCCCCCCCACTTCCTCCTATCTTTCTATCCCCGGGGACTCACCACAGTGGCGGACGGATCCTTTTCGACACCGAGTCCGCCGAAGCTGTTGGTGCACACCGTCAAGAAGGTCTCGATTTCTGCGTTCGTCGGAACACCTCCGTCCTTGATGAGTAGATCCACAACCGCGATGCCCTGGGACTCGAATACATCCTTGGAGTACGTTGGCTCACAGAGCCGGATGATGACGGTAGAATGATGAATCTTGAGCGCCTGAAATGCCACCAGTAAATTGGGGGATGGAAGATTAGTTGGCGAGCCAGGGTCGGAGGACAATAGTCAGCAGAGATGGAAAGGGGGGGGGAGCAACGAGTGAAGGAACCAAGGACGGGAAACAAAAGTCGTGTCCGACTGAATATGGACCAAACCCCGAATGCCCAGGATTGCTTGTGTTTGGTGACTTAGTGCTGATGGCTGTCTCCTGGTCAAGAAATCCATCCGCAAACCCGTCGCTCTGTCGTCCCAATGGTGTAGAGTCGAGCAGCCAAGGCCTTCCTCGCTCCATTTCCCTCGCCCCTCTCTCCTTCGCCGCATTACCTCAAGATAGGCTGCCGTGTTGCTTTCAGTCGGGCAGTCCATGATCAGGAAGCTCATGTTCCGGAACTGAATTTCGGAAAAGATCCCGGGCAGGCGCGGCATCTTGGCAGTGATTTGTTCCCAGTGGTGGACCCAGCTTTTGTGTTGTTTTGATTTTGGTTCTGCGACCGGGATGGAGGGGGGGGAAAGAACAGGAAAGGATTTGGATGGAAAGTGAGGAGAGGCTGGAAAAGAGGGGCGAAGGGAAGAGTAGCTCGTTGGCTGGCTGGCTGGGTGAATGTGCAGAAGCCTGGTTGGGAGAATGTGCAGAAGCCTGGTTGGGAAGGAGGGAAGCGAATGAAGGGGAAAGCGGGGACGGCGGCAGCCTTGACGCTTGTTGGCGGACTGGATTCCTCGGCGCTGCTCTGGCCAGCGATCTCGCCCGTGCAAATGCAGTGCTGCTGGCAGTCCTTGCTCCTTGGCTTGCAGCCCCAAGAGGAAGAGATTCAGACCAGAAGAACAGGGTGCGTGGAAAGAACGAACAGGCACAGGACCGGGCTGGGTGGCTCAGAACGAGGACACGTGCGATGCCAGCAATCCGGGCCAGGAGCCACACGGCGATTCGGTTTGGGAACGCTGCCATGATGCATCTCGCCATGCGACCACCAAACAGGCAGCACTGCGGCGACGACAATGCTGTGCTGCACAAGACGGATCAGATTCCACATTACAATGTATTTGGAAGGGAACGGAGAGGCCATTTGGGGGATGAAATCTTTCTTTCAGGAGGAAACGACAGGGCCAGGGAAATGAAGAGACACAAAGAGAGGAAACGAGTGGGTCGGAGGAAGGGAAGCGGATGGATGGATGAATGGATGGACGGATGGCGAGAGAGGGGAAGGGAGGAGAGCGAGGCAAAGAAGGACCGGACGGAAATGGCGAGTGGAGGACTGAGTGATTCAAAGCTCGAGGCAATACAAGTCTAGACAGCTTTCCAAGGAAAGGCGGGAAAGAGAGAGAGAGAGAGAGAGAGAGAGAGAGAGAGAAAGCAAGAACAGAAAGGACAGGACAGAAAGCAAGGACAAACCAAAGAAATCGGCATCGCGCAAACTCGACGTGGATTAGTGGAGGGGGTGCAGGCGGAAGGAGGAAGAGCGGACGAGCGATCGCTGCGGCGACAGAGGGGCGCCCGGGATCGAGAAAAGTGGGAATGGATGTGTCGTGGTGGCTATATACAGATGCACTCCCACAAAGAGATGAAGGAGAGAATACATTACAGCACTTCCAGAGACTTCCGCCGTGAGGGGGGGGGACGGGAGGGACGGTTGGGGACAGAGATGGAGACGGAGGGGATGTGGACACAGGCGATCAAAACGAGTCAAAATATGCAGAAGGCTTTTCGTTGCTCTGCGCGCATAGGCTATGAGGTCAGCTTTGTGGTCTAGGGTGCGAACGTTGATATCTTCACTTGTTCCAGCAGTGCAAAGGTGTGTTCGTTGCGACTAGATCCGCTCGTGGGAGATGCTCGGGAACTGGGGTCCAGGATCCGGAGCGCAGGAGATAGTCGATGGGAAGGATGGGCCGGACATGCGAGGCTCGATCGGAAAACAGCCGACCGAGAGAAAGTTGGAACTGAGAGGTCTATCGGAAGAGGCCAGCAAGTGTGCTTGGGGAGGTAGCAGCTCGCATGTCTGTGGTTGAGTGAGGTGTGGTGGGATTTGTCCAGCGTTGAAGTTGCTTGGGAGATCGATGCCGTTCCGTGGCACTGGAGGCGAATGAGGGGTCATATCAAAGCCCCTCGGGAATGGTGGAAAGAGAGAAAGAAAGAGAGAAAAAAGGGAAAAAGAGAGGGAGAGAGGGGGGAAAAAATGAAGGGCTAGAGGCCATGGACAGAGTCCTGTGGAGCTTGGGCCGAGTCCAGGGCAGCGACACAATCGGTACAGCGGCAGTACAAAAGGTACAACGATTAGGTGAAGGTTGTTTCCGGATAAATACGAGAGCTTCCTCTCGAGCAGGCGTTGGTGAAGGGCTGGCTTGGTGGATCGTGTGCGAAATGTATCAGAATCGTGCGATGTGGTTGCAGCAGGCACCAATGCAGGAGGATGAAGAGGTGGCTGCGTGAACTGTGATAGTCTACGAGGCAAAGGCGGCCGGTGGCCAACAGAGACGGCGGCAGACGCACGAGCTCTGGCCGAACAGTCCGATCCTGGGAGGTCCGCGACAGTGTCCGCGGCTAGGGTCTGGTTGTCTACGAGGGAGGACACTCCAGGACCTTTCTCCGGGCAACAAACTTGTTCCGCGACGAGCTTGCGGGGGCGTCGGGGCCGGCAGCCATGCGGACGATGGCCGAGTCGAGATAGGACTTTATCTTTTCGCGCTTGTTGCGGAGCGTCTCTTGGGCTGCAGAGAAAACGAGAGACGGCAACGCGGCCATGGTGAGTCAGCGACCCCGGTGGGTTGGATGAGCGATACAATCAGCAAGATCAACGACGACAGCTCGCATGGAAGGCCTCGCCAACACTTACCACACCACCTGTCCCAGTCGGTGACGCCTGATCGGACAAAGGCGCCGGAGGAATGCGAGGGTGCCTCCTCCTGCTGGCCAAACTTGCTGCCACCGACGCAAATCTGATCGATGGGAGTCGCCGAGATGTTCTCGAGGCTTCGGCGCTGCTTCAAGGTTGCGAGAGTGTTCAGGCGTGTGGTGTGCGAGGCGCGGGCAGTCTCGGAGGAGCTGTCCTTCTCAGGCTTGGCTTCGTCGGCGGCAGGTGCACAGCCAGAGGGAGCCGGAGCTGGCACTGCCACTGGCGCGGGCGCTGTCGGGGAGGCCGTGGCGGACGAAGGTGATACAGGGGTAGTTTCGGAGGTTTGCCGCTCTTCGGGAGGAGGCACGTAGGTCCGGAGTTTGGTGAGATACTGCAGGCGGTGCTCGCGGCGCTGCTCTTCCTCGGTCGGGCGAGTGACGCGCGGGGCCGTCGACTTTTCGCCCGTGATCCAGGGGTGAGTTCTCAGCTTGGACAGGAACTCTCGGCGACGCTTGCGGATCTGCTCCTCCTGCAGAAGCAGCAGCAGCTGTCGGTCGCGCCAGTCCCACCATCGCTCGAGGCGGCCCTCCTCCCAGTTGCGGAGGGTAGCAAACTGTCGCAAGTCCTTGCCGGACTTTGGGGAGACTCGGAAGGTTTCCCACGGAACAGCAGCGACGGCAGGGAGCGTCGTGGGCGCCGAGCTCATGAGCTGGGGCTGGGGGGGCTGGGGCTGAGGCTGGGGTTGAGGTTGAGGCTGGGACTCAGGGAGCAGGACAGGTTCAAGCGACTGGGTCGAGGAGGCAACATTGGTTGCAGCTGGAGTTGGAGCGGGAGCCGGAGCAGGCAGGGTCGGCGAGGCTGATGGGATAGCCGTTGGAGATGGGGGAGGAGTACCGATGGTGGGTTGCGCATGGGGCTGAGGCTGATTTTTGGGCCGGATAGGGGTGCTGGCAGTGACGGGCAGCGAGTAGTTGTAGTGAGTAGAAGTCAAGAGGCCGGATGTTGAGGAGATGTGGGGCTGGGGCCCTTCGCTGCCGAAGCAGAGGAGCGACAGAGTAAGCGCCTGGATCTGTTCGGCAGCAGCAGCGGTGTTGATGGACCAGAGAAAGTCTCTGAGGAGCCGCAGCGAGTCGGTGATGGGGTCACCCTGAAATTCGAATCCTGGAGCGAGAGAAAGACAATGCAGAGGATGAGCACATGCAGCCGGACGCGGCGGCTCTGGTCTGGGCCAAGAAGCGGGAGCTGGGCCAGGAGAAGGCGAGGGGAGAGTGGGGGAGCGGACCCGATAGAAACGCCGCCCAACCACGACCAAGGCCAAGGCCCGATAGTTTGGAAGCGAGACAGCGATCGCAGGCTGCAGGGGCCTGGTGCGGTCTCCAAGGAGCCGGTAGTGGCCGGTAGTGAAGCCGGTGGTGAAGCCAGAGCACCGAGGGGCTGCTGAGGGGTTGCCGACGAGGCAGAGAGAGATGCTGGATGCAACGACACAGGGGATGGAGGGATGCTGAAAACGAAGGTGGGGGGGGGCCAAGAAGGCGGGGAGGCAGGGAGGCAAGCAAACAAGCAAAGAAGGATGGAGAAAGCCAGTACCATCTTTTCCAGTTCTGATGCCGGCATTTGCAAGAGCCAAGGACAGGTCCATTTTCCCTCAGGCGGATGGTGCGGTGACGGGGGTGCCAATGAGCTCCGTGGACTGGACAGGATGACTCGTTGGTCGGAGGGTCGGCCGGATGGTCGGTTGGTCGGTCAGTTAGTTGGTCGGGGAGGCGAACAGGATGCAAGATGGGAGCAGAGCAGAAGAGAAGATATAAGGCAAGGAGAGCCGCCCAAGCAGGATTGCAGGGTTGAGACCAAGGCCGACGCCTTTTCTTTTCTGCCACGGGCAAGCAGGAGCCGGAAGAGAGAGGGTCGCACCTTTGCGGTTTTGTTGGGGGGGCCGCTGGATCCAAGGCACGAAAGGCGGCCGAGAAAAGAAAGGCCAATGTGACGGCGTCCGTTGTTGGACAGGCGGCGATTGGCGTGCGGGGCAGTGTTGTGCTGTGGTGCGGTTGTGCTGTGGTGCCGTAGTGCTGTGGTGCCGTTGTGCTGTATTGTGTCAGTCCTTGTCAGCCCTGGTCAGCACTGTGTCTGTATCCGCAACAGCTCTGTCCGATCCACACCAGCAACCGAACAGCCGCCGCCGCCGCGCTCCAACCTTGTGCGGCGCCCCTCTGTGTCAGCGTGGCTCGGTCGCGCGACAGCGACAACGCGGCTGGCGATCCCTTTCTTCTTTGCTTTGTTTGCTCTGTCTGCGCCCGGGTTGCTGTGTGGGCTGCACCCGCGCCTCTCGGAGATGCACAGAGCGTATCGACAGAGAGTGTGCCCCTGTGCTTGTCCGCCCTCCCCCCCACTTGTGCGGCAGCCCTGCCGCAGTTCTGCCGTCTCCGCGGGACCCCTTGCTCGGCGCCCCGCGCTGCCCCCCGCCCGCCGCGCACCGCTGCCACCGGCGCCCCGGACTGCCCCGCGCCGCTGCAACGCGTCGCCCGCCCTGGACAAGCCTGCTGTGGCCACAGGCCTGGCCACTGCTGCGGCTTGTCTCGCCCTTTCTTTTGCCTGTGAGACAGGGGTGCTCCCCTGTTCCAGAGCCTTTCCTTTTCGTGAGTGCTCCTGTTGCCTGGGCCTTGTCGGCGCGTGGCTTTCAGGTTCAAATCGCTCTCCGTTGCTCTCTGTTGCCGATCGCAGATCTGGTAATCATTGCCGGCTGCATGCCACGCTGGCAATCCTCTTCAACTTTACAGCGAATCCATTTTGAAACAGGTCACTAGCGTGGGTTGCGTGGTGTGGTGGACTCTGTCGACGAGATATCGACTGCAGATATTGGAGTCATGGACGAACCGACTCCATGAGGCAGACCGACTCCATGGGACGGACACGCAGGGAAATGATATGATCCACTTGTGATATGATCCGACTACGCCGCGTTTTGTCCAATTGAGACAATGTGTCCCATTTTTGCTTCAACATGCTGTACACCTCCCCACCGTGCTGCATATCCCACGCGGTATATTGCTGCCCCTGCTTCTCCGTGTGTCCCTCTTCTTCCTGCTTGTGCCACCCGGGCTGGCCCTCTCCCGATGCCCGTCAGTGGTGCCCGCTGCGCCGGGTTGCCTCCGGGCATGAGGCGATTCGCGGCAGCCATGAGCCACCCGTGCCGGGTGTGTGGGATCGCTTTGACACTGTTCCGCCCAGATCGGTACCCAATTGATATCACATGTCGCACATCACACGGAGCGTATCGCATATCACATGGGACATATAACATATAGAGCATATCACAAGTCACATATCGCGCATCGCATCGCATTCGCATCGCATTCGCATCGCATTCGCATCTCATCGCCCATCAGATCGCTGCCACGCCCATGTCCCGCGCTGCCCTCTCCCGCCCGGCACTTCCCGCCACACCAGTCGTCCTTCAGAGCTCCTGCCAGCATCCTGCCCGCATCCCACCAGTACCCCTGACCGGCTTCCTCTCCAGCCGCCGCCCCCCATCGGCTCCGGCCTTGCGCTTTCCCTCCTTCGCAGCCACAGCCCTTGCCTCTTTCTTTCGATTTCCGACCCGCCCCCTTGCCCCGTCGCTTCCGGCTGCCCTCGTCTGTGGTTCACCGCCTCGACCGGCGTTCTCGGTCCTTGTTGTCCGCTGTCCATGGCGGCGTCACGTCGTTTTGTCGGCTTCAACTGCCTGCCTGCCGTGCAGCACGTCCTCGGCATCGACTTTGTGGGTATTCATCATCGATTCTCACTCGCAGCCGTCGCTCGAGCTTCTCACCACGCGTCGCCTCACACCGCCGTTGGCTTGCCTTGCTCCAGACATTTCTCCAGTCGCACGAATATGGTCCTGCATGGGACCACCTCCTGGAGCTGCTCCACAGCGACGAGCCCACCGTGCGGCACGGAGCCTTGAGAACCATCGCTGCCGTCTCGACCTCCATTACGCGAAGCACAACTCTCGAGACCCGCAAGCGGCTGGTGAAGACGCTCTGCGATATTGTTGTCGCTGATGAGGTGCGAGTGGTCCTGCTATGCGGCTGCCATTGGCAACTACTTCCTCCCGACAGAGCATCATGGCAATCCCACGGCCGCCTCAGCGTCGCGAGCACTCACTCCATCTCCGTGATCACAACGAGCGCCGCTATCGATCGGGTTCGCCCAGCACGTCCAGTCCATCGACTCCGTCCAGTCCATCGATTCCATTCAGACCATGCATTAGTGACTAACCCGGCCGCTCTCGTACCACATCCGTCCAGTACCAACGATCGTCGGGTCTGGCCGCCTTCCTGCTCGGCTGCTGCTGCGACTTCATGAACATGAGCGACTTTCCCAATCATCTCTTCGCCATCGCCATCAAGATTGTGATGCAGCAGGCTCTCCGCGTCTTTCCCGAGGATCCCGACAAGGCCCTCCAGTCCAGCCCGTCACTATTCCACCAAAACACATATGCCCCTCCCCAGACTTTCTACTCGCGAATCCACTACCTCTGGTGTCTGTCGCGCTTCTCTGCCTCCACCAAGGACACGGACTTGGTTCAGCGCCTCACCGGCTATCTCGACCGCCTGTTGCCGATTCTCTTGGCCCCACAGACCCACTTTCTGTTGCTCGCCGCTTCGCTCCACTGCATTTCCTGCGATATGCCCATCACCAATCAAAACAGACGCCGAGTCGAAACTCTCTTCAAGCCCAACATCCAGCTGACCACTGACAAGATCAACGAGGAAGAGGCGGCAATCCTCGCCGCCATGCAGGCCGCCACCGCCACCAACATACCCAGCTCAAGCTCCGGGCCAAAGCGGAGCATCCATCCGCTGGTCAAGAAGGAGATCGAGCTCTTCTGGATGAGATGGTACAACCGTCCCACCGACAAAGTCCTTGTTTCCGTTCGGTCATCACCCGATAACCTCACCCATCTGGCAGAGGGCTACTCCAACCGCCGCTGGACCTGGCTCTTTGACGACGCCGGCACGGATTTGGTCCCCATGGGCGACTCGGCTCTTGAGGCTGCTCGCTCAAAGCGCCTGGCAATCAAGAAAAGCATGTCCGCTGCGCAGCCACTCGAGATTTCGACCGACTCGATCATGATGCCGCTGTATTCGGATTGCCGTCCAGAGAAGAGGGGTATTGTCAAGAAAAGTAGGTGCCCAGAAGCGTGCCCATTCTTGGGCTCAGTCGCAAGAGAATGTCAGCGACTGTGTGCTCGTCGCTGTTTGTCTGGCTTTGAGGGCTTTGAGGGCTTTGAGGGCTATGGCGGTGCTGTCCGTCGCCTCACGAAGCTCGAGTCTCATTCCATCTGCACCCTCTCGCATCTCCATCCGGCACTTGCCCTTCCCTGAATGCACCTCGCAGAGAAGCAGCCCGTCGTCGACACCGTTTCAACATCGCGCCCGACTTCATCCGAGATGCAGGACATTCTCAAAACCGAGCTTGATGTTCCGCCCGGCAGTGGCTCGGTTTCCTTCAACATCATCCCTCCCACCCTTGGATTCACGCGCTTCCCATTCAAGAAGACTGTCTACCTCAACAACAAGTCCCACAGCAAGAGCACCGTCTTCCAGCTTCAAGTTTATCCCTTGAAATACTTCAACGCCACGCCGCCCTTTGGAGTTCTGGAGCCAAATGGCTCCATGGCCATCAACATCACATATACGCCCCGCCCCTTTGATCAGACCTTCAAGACCGAGATTCAGGGTTTCATCCGCGTACGCGACGAAAACGGATTTCCGATCGAGAGGTACGCAGACCACGTTGATTTGCTGTGTGCGTATCCATACTTTGCCTTTGATTTGTCAATTGTGTCCGTATGCTGTTCTCCCGCATACTGAATGATCCGAGCTGCCCCTCCATTGCCTTTCTGCATCGTGTCTTTTTCTCGCCAACATGTCCCTTAACCAACCGCCACTGCGCCTGCTGGCTGGCCGCTCGACTCCAGACTCGCCATCAAGGCTTTCCCCCTGCCTTCCGTCAGAGTCTATCCGCAGATGCTCGACTTTGGCTTCTGCCCACTCAACGAAACCCAGAGTCTCATCATCAATCTCCACAGCTTGCTGCCTATCGAGGTGGCTCATGTGTTTGTCATCATCCAGTCGAAAACCAGCTCCATGTTCCAGTTGGTTTCAACACAGCTGACCACCCCCGCTTTTGCCCGCCGGCAATTTACCATCAAGTTCACGCCAACCGCCCTCGGCCCCGTCCAGGACCGTGTCGCCTTCGTCACCTTTGGTGGCAAGTTTGGGTTCTTGACCCTGAAGGGGGTCGGCGGCTCGGCCCTCAGAGTCTTGGACTCCAAGCTCGACTTTGGCCCCACGGACCACTATTACAGCGCAGCCTCCAAGTCACTTGTCCTGCGCAACTGCCAGCTCAATCACAGCCTCCCGGTCACCTTCGAGACGAGCACGCACGAGATCATTGTCAACAACGGAGAGCCTGTCTTTCTGGCTCCCGGCGAAGAGCGCAAGATCAAGGTCGAGTTTCTCTCCATCATCGTTGGCATGCGCCAGGAGATGCTCAAGATCCACGCGCCGCGATCCGATACTGTCTGCGTGGACTGCCTCACCATCTCGGGGCCGAATGTCATCGTGCCAGTGCTTGACAACATCTGGCTACCCTCGACCCTCATAGGCCACGTTTCTGTTGTCTACATCCCCCTTTCGAACCTGTCCAACTCGACGGTGCATCTGACCCTGGCAGTGCAGAAGCAGTCGCCCTTCAAGATCACCCTGCTCAACACCGACTATGCCAACCGCGGAAGCTCCATCTCCATCGACCTTAAGCCCTGGGAGGGCCCGGAGCACAGCGGCGTTTCGCTCACCATGGGCCCCAAGCTCACCGCCGTTGTGGAGGTGCGGCTGCTCTCAGCTAACCACGGGTCGTTTCGATCAACTTTTAGTGTCCAGATGACAAAGCCGCGCAAGGCCGCCATCGCACTGCTTCATCTGAACGGACTCGTATTCAGCGACTACTACATGACCAACGAGGACGAGCTCGCGAACCTGCACAGCTTCTTCCACCATCCCGACTTCACGGTGCCCACGGGCAAATACGATGGCCAGATCACCACCGATCCTCTCGACGCCAGCCCACAGTCCGAGCTGCTGGAGCTCAAACCCGGCCTCCAGACCGTCTTCAGCGACTTTTTGCGCGACTTTGGCGAGACCATGTGCGAGTATGTTACCCTGGTCAACATCTCTACCTCGTCGCAGCACTACTGCATCTGGATATCACCTCCCTTCTCGACACTGATCCCGCTCGAGGGTATCCTCGAGGCCGGCGCCTCGCTCGACATTCCCATCAACATGAGCCGCGATTTCTTCCGATACGAAGTGCCTCCGGATGCCAAACGCTACTCTGCGATGGGCTCGATCGTCGTGATGGACCGCAACGAGCTCAAGTTTGGGGTCACCAGCAGCACCTTGGTCGGGATCATGAGCGACCTTGTTGTCCTGGAGATGCGCCACCCTCTGGACCGCATCAAATTCCCCACCAGCAGCACGGGCGAGAAGTTCACCAAGCGCGCCATCATCCGCAACTGTGCGCCGATCGAGATGGTGTGGGAAGGCCGCACCGCCAATGCGCGGTCGGAGCAGGAGGTCATTCCCTTTGCTGCCGCAAAGATGAGCATGGAGGCGTGTCCGTTTTCGCTGGCAAGTACCCAAGTGACCCTCAAGCCATTCGAGTGCTACTTTTTGGATATCATCTGCCAGTCCAACTCGAGCGGCAGCTTCAACGGACGGCTGGTCATGCAGTACCAAGAGTCCATCCCGCACCTGAGCGACTGGAACCGACTGCCGCCCAGTACCATCCACCGATCGATGCCGTTCGTTGCCCTCGACTGCAGCGTTGGCGAGAACGAGCTCACCTTCCATCCCGTGTCCGAGTTTGTCGACTTTGGCGAGGTCCAGCTCGGCCAGACGTACGAGAAGGAGCTGGTCCTCGTCAATCGGCAGCACCTCAACACCGCCACGGCCATCTCGACGGCGCACCCGTTTTCCGTCCCCGAGTCCGAAATCGTGGTCGCGCGCTCGTCAAAGAAAGAGATCATGATCGAGTTCCGGCCAACCTCGTTTGGCGTCGCCTTTGGCTCGATGGTGCTGTCGTACATTGGCAGCTCAAGGTTCCTATCGCTTGTCGGCCTGGGCGGAATTTCGGTCCTCAGGTCCAACCTGGCCGAGCCTCTCAAGATCCCGGCGGCATCCCGCATTGCCGATGTCGTGCAGGCACCCAAGCACACGGTGTTCTATGGGATGGTCAACATCACCCAGCCCAAGACCATGCCCCTCGTGCTGCAAAACTGCGGCACCTTTGACTTTATCATCAAGCGGATTTCTGTCAGCGACGACGGCCATTTGATCTGGAAGCTGCCCGAGGACCCGGCCATCAGTCCACCCGACACCACCAACGATTTTGACGCCGAGCGTCCTCAGGACATTGAAGTCGACTGGGACGAAGTTGATCTCCTCAAGCGAGAGGAGCGGAGCAGCAATCCGTTCTCGGACAAGCACGGATCTTCACCCGGCCAGGCGCCTTCGCTGACCATGCGTCGCCGTCGCCAAAAGACCGGCGTGGGTCTGATGTCAACCCTGAATGAGCAGGTTACCGCGCGATTCCCGCCGATTCGTCTGCCACCCCTACAGTCTCTCCCGATCCGGCTCACGTTTGGAGGCTTCGATAAGGTCAGTAACCCTGCTTCAGCACACTGATACGATGCTGAGGCACCAACCGTGGCCTTGTGCTGCGAGAGTCTTGGGTCGTCGCTTTCCATCTCCGAGATCGATGTTGCGAGCAGCACTCCGGCATCTCGTGAGATACCGTCCCGCCATCTCGTGAGATACCGTCCCGCCATCTGCGACACCGTAACACCCCGATCGACACTCACCGCCCGTCGCTTCAACAGGGCGACTTTACCAGCACACTCCGGATCGATGTTGAGACAAGCCACGGCGAGCACGAGCAGTATCTCATATGGGTCTCTGGAACCATCCAGCCGCCTCTCCAGCCGTGGGAGAAAAGGCTTGAGATGGGTATATGCGCCGTTCACTGTCGCCATGTCGGTATCGTTGTGGGGGGAGGGAGGAGGCTGTGTGTGTCCACCGTGTCACTCTATTTGTTCAACAAAGTATCAATGCAATGAATCGGTGTAGTCAAGGCGACGGGGCATCAATCAGTGAGACTAACGCGAGCCACCTACCACCTACCACATCCACATCCACATCCACATCCACATCCACATCCACATCCACATCCACATCCACATCCACATCCACAGCGCTCGGAAGTCAAATTCACCAATACCGGCACCATTCCCCTGCGCTGGGTCCTGGAGGCCGAGAGCATCAAGTACGTACCCATCCCAAAGTTCGCTCCACAACCTCTCCCAGACGACGAAGCCACAATCCCGTTCCCAGTCCGCACGTTTCCCCCAGAGGGCACCCTCGCTCCGGGCTGCACCCAGACCGTCGATCTGAGCTTTTGCCCGAGCATGCCGCAGTACGAGCTCTTTGCGTACCTCAAGCTCAAGACCGAAGACTTTGCCGAGTCCATGATTCTGGTCCATGGCACGGGCGCCTCGTCCAAGTTGACGATCGAGACGAACGTCATTGACTTTGGTGTGCTGCGCGTGGGCGTCAAGAAGCACATCCGCTTCAAGCTCACCAACCTCGGCATTCTGCGGGTCAAGTACTTTCTGGAGTGCTCCGATTCGCAGTTCATGGCCGATCCCGAACAGGGACTGCTCGAAGGCGGTGGGCAGATCGACGTCACAGTCGAGTTCAAGCCCAAGGGTGTCGGCAAACTCAACAGTCTCCTCAAGATCACGCACCAATCGCTCGTGGGGGTCTCGCTGGAGCCCCTCCTCGTCCAGATCAAGGGCGAGGGAAGCTATCCCGAGCTGGTCGTGCTCACCAAGGAGATCGACTTTGGCACGGCGCTCTATCGCAACCGCAACGTCAAACCGATCCAAGTCATGAACAAAGGCGCAGCAGAGGCCCACATTTTGTTTGTCTGCCACCACCCGTACGTCGTGCTAGAGGGCGGGGGCAACGGCGAGGTTGTCTTGGGTGCGTACGAAACCAAAGAACTTCATGTGGTCTACACGCCTTACATAGTCGAGTATCTGAACATCAAGGCCTTCCTCAAGTCGACAGATAGCCGTGGCGACTACTTCATCATCAACCTCAGGGGCTCTGTCGGCGTGCCCAAAATCACGCTGACCCCCGCCGATGCCCTCAAGAACATTGACTTTGGAGTCTGTCTCCTCAACTCGACGACCAAAAAGTCCTTCACGATGAAGAACGAGGGCAACATCACGCTTGGATACCAGGTGACGCTCGAGTCTCTCAAGCTCGGCAAGGTGCGCGATGTCGAAGAGACAGCGGAGCTGGCTCGGAGTTTCAATGAAGTCAAGCTCTCGCCGCTGTCGCAGATCCTGATCGAGCCAAGCGAAGGTTTTCTTCAGGTCAACGAAAGTATGACGATCGTCTTGTCATTTCGGCCCAGTGCCCTGGTCGAGGTTGAATATTCCATCCTCCTTAACTGTGACTTCCAGAAGATGTCTGGGACCGTCCGCGGCAAAGGCGGAAGACCCGTGCTGCGATTCGATTCGCCGCTCACGACCATCGACTTTGGAACCTGCCGCCTCAACCGCAGGTTCCGCAAGAGCATTACCATGTCAAACGCCGGCAACCTTGGGGCGAGCTTCTATGTGCGCCCGGAGCCGCCCAACAAAGACTGGTCCATATATGATCAGGAGCTGTGGAATCTGCGCCAGAACGGCGGATCCGAGCCCGCGGCCAAGGATGCCCACACTTCTCCAGACCCGGGCTCAGTGCACCGGCCTGACTCGCCATCGTATCTGGAGGAGACTGCCACCCCCGCCCCGGAGCCGGTGCCGGAATGGGTTCAGTATCTGTCCCAATCCGGTTTCAAGCTCATCACCTCGAACGGATTCTGTAAGCCGCACAGCAAAGAGGATCTCTTCATCGAGTACTTCCCTGACCAGGAGCTCGTCGTCTCCAGCCGTCTGCGGGTCTTTTTTGGAGACGAATATGAGGATGTCGAGATCCGTGGCAAGGCCGCCATCCCAAAGCTTGCGCTCTACAACGGCACTGCACCCATGGTCTCGACTGTGCCCCTGCATCTCGGAGTGCATCCTATCAACTCGACCTACACACACATTCTCCAACTCGTCAACGAGTCGCCCTTTGGCATCGACTTTCTTGCCCAGCCCCTCGGACTGCGTGAGTTCGAGATCACGCCGCTCCGAGGGTACATCGAAGCCGACTCGAGTGCACCGCTCAAGATCAACCTGACCCCCGAGTCCGAGAGCAAGTTCCAGGTGCTTCTCAAGATTCTGTGGGAACGCGAGCCTCTCCGGCTCACGCTGATCGGAGAGGGTGGAATCGGCAAGCTCGAGGTGGTCTATGCCGAGGAACGCGATTCGAGTATGAAGGGACTCGAGTTTGGCATGGTCCCATTCAACAGCGCATCGGAGAAGCGTCTGTTCCTGTACAATGTCGGCCTGGTTGAAGTGTCGGTCTACGCCACCATCGACAACGACGAGTTTGCCATCACCCAGATCGGCGAGCCCTTCCAGGTCCAAGGGCAGCGACAGGTCGGGGCCACCCGGGCTGTGAAAAAAAGCAGCTGGAATTGGGACAGCAGCCTGCGCTGCCGCCTGGTCTCGGGCATGGGTCTCGAGGTCGCTGTGCAGTTCACGGGGCGGTCGGCCAACACCTCGCTCGGCACGATCGACGTCAAGTCCGAGTGCGGCCGGTTTCTGATTCCCCTCCGTGGCAAGGGCGGCACCATCTCCATCAGCCACAAGGGCGATCTGAGCTTTGGAGACATTGCCAGCAACTTTACGTATACGCGCAAGCTGGTCATTTCCAACTCGGGGTCGATCCCGTGTCCCCTCAACGTCGAGTGGCTGGTGGTCGGCCACTCCAACAGCCTGGGTGCATCGCTCGTGCGTCTCCACGAAACTTACTCGGCACTCGATCCGCGGTCTGGCTGGGCCCGCGGCCAGCTGGTGAAGGAGAAGGCCGTCAAGGACCCGCTGTTCAAACCAGGGCCCGATGTCAAGTTCACGGCCAGGGAACACTGGGCCATGATCCGGAAGATGATCAAGAAAGATGCCGTCATCGAGATCGAGAAGGTGGCCAGCAGCTCGCACATGTGGAGTCAGCGTGGCGACTCGGTGCGCTCCGGAGTCTATCCAACCGCACAAGCGCCGTCTTCCCAGGGAAGCTCGACGTCTGTCGGCGGCATGGGCGATGCACCCGGGTATCCCGAAAGCACCACAAACAGCACGGCGGCACTCGGAACCACCATCTCCCGCAGCGCCATCGGGAGTCAGAGCTCGCACACGCTGCTGCTGGGCAAGAACAAGAGCGTCCTCAACAACTCGAGCAACCTGAAGCGACGACAGATGTTCTTCCATCTGATCACGAGCACGCCGCTGACGAGCCAGTCCCATAGTCTCACCAAACCCTACGTCAAAGTCGAGCCGGCTTCGTGTGTGCTGCCGAGCTTTGGCAGCGTGACCCTGAATGTGGAGCTGAACCTGTCCACCGAGGACACCTTCCTGGCGACCCTGATCCTCAAGCCGGGAATACCAAACACGCCTGTACACGAGGTTGCGCTCACGGCAACACCCAAGGCCGTCAACATCATATGCGACGACACTCGCTTGCTCAACTTTTTCCGCCAGCCCCTCGGACAGCCCGAGACGCTGTCGCGGACCTTCACCAATGTTGGGCACAAGGAGATATCGTACAAAATCAGCAACAATAACCAGGGCCTGACGGTGTCGCCTCAGAAGGGCACCCTGAAAGTTGGCCAGAGCGTCACCGTCAAGTTCATTTTCAAGCCTGTGGACGAGTCGCTTCAGACCTCGGATATCACGTTCGAGCCCGATTGTTCGCAGCACATTCGGCTGCGCATGTATGGAGGTGGCGGATTCGCAAAGGCTTCGCTGGCGAAATACCGTCGCTTCGACTTTGGCCACTGCATGATCGGAAAGGACACAGTGTCGTTCTTGCCGATCACAAACGAAGGCAATGCCATCCTCCATCTGACACGATTTGAGCTCTTCGAGACGGACACATTCTTCCGGGGCATCGACTGGCCCACGTCAAGGTATGAGTGCACATAGTCGTCATCGAGATCTGAGCGTTCGGGTGGAGATGCGGGTCGACACAGCCGGTCCACTCACTGACACCGCCACCTTCGCCATGCGGCGCGATGTGGCTGCCTGTCCATCATTATCCATCGTTGTCCATCATTATCCATCATTGTCCATCGTTGTTCATCGTTGCTCATCATTGTTCATCGTTGTCTATCGTTGTCCATCACTGCGCAGGATTTCGCTCTTCCCAGGAAAGAGCTACAACCTGCCCCTCGTCTTCAATCCGCACGAGGAGAGCCCTGCACCAGGTCGTCTAATCGTGGGAACCAACACAGAGTCGTGGGAGATTGAGCTGATCGGGCTCGGCCGTGAGGCCGTGCTCATTGTTTCGCGGGTGGCGCTCGAGTTCACCGAGTGCCTCATCGGCAACACCTACGAGCAAAAGCTTGGCCTGAAGAACGTCGGCGATGTCAACTACCCGGTTTCGTTCACGCTCGAGAAGCCCTTTGCAGACATTGAGTTTATCCCGCCTTCGATGGTGATTGCGCCGTTCTCGGAAAACCACGTCATCATCTCATACACACCGACGCGCGAAACGAAAAATCCGGTTGTCATGACGATCTGCTCGCCGTATTCGACCCACACAGTTCCGCTAAACCTCCACGCCGGAACAGCCATCCTCGAGTTCAACAGCACAAGCCTCGATTTCGGCATGTTTGAGCGCACTAGCCAGCCCTCGGTCATCCTCACCATGAAGAACTCTGGCACCGTGCGCACCTCCTACCACATCCGCGACACGACCAAGCCCTCACGCTTCCATATCAGCAACGGCCGCGGACACCTCGCCCCGGGCAAGTCGTCCGAGGTCTGCATCACCCACACACGACATGAGGTCTGCCAGTTCTCGGAGAAGCTGGTTGTCCGCACCGAGCTGATCGACAAGCTCTATTACGTCACCCTCGTCGGGCAGTGCGAAGAGGCTCTTCTTCAGCCGGAGCAATTCTCCCTTCTGAACATGGGCATCTGCCCTGTCCTCGAGCCCACCAGCAAGCCGCTGCAGTTCACCAACTTTGGGCGGTTCCCGCTGTCCTGGAACGTCAAGGCTGCCTATCCGCTCAAGGTGACGCCGTCGCAGGGTGTCCTCCCTGGCGGAGACACCGAGGAAATCAAGGTTTCGTGGTGTCCGTCAGGGGGATACGAGCTGCGGACGCAGATCTCGCTCAACACCAACATTGGCGTCTATGCCATCATCATCCGCGGCAAGGCACTCTTCCCCGAGTTTGTCATCCAAAACATGTACATTGATTTCGGCATCTGTGCCGTCGGCTACACCAACCACGAGAGCTTTGGCATCACCAATAAGGGCAAAGTCCCGCTCACCTTCTCCATCCCCCCGCCGCGCGACCCAAGCTTCAATGTCGTGACGACCGCGGGATGTCTCCAGCCCAAGCAGTCCGTCACCATTGGTGTGCTGTTCAAGCCCATGTCCCTGACTCGCTTCGCGACGAGCTTTGTGGTGGAGTGCAAGGGCATCAACTACAAGGAGGTCATTGCTGTGGGCATCGGCGGCTCCATGAAGCTCGAGATCTCTCCGCCAGAGATCAACCTGGGTGAGTTCTGCAGTGCTGGTTTCACTACACGAGATGGAAACGGCTTTGTGCGCGACGCTGCGCCGCACCAACGCTGTCGATGCTGCAGAGCGCTATGCATCAAGGCATCGTCGACCACCCGACTCACATGAATCTCTGCTCACTCCTGCACACGACATCAAGGTCGCTGCCCATTCGACCTCAGGGTCTACAGAACGGTTCAGCTGATTAACCGCGGAGACGTGTCGCTGAAGGCAGAGCTCCAGCTGTCAGATTCAAGCGACACCGATCGCTGCGAATTCACCTTCTCGGACTCGGTGGACATTGGTCCAAATCGCGCAGCGCGATGCGTGTACGGCCTGAGGGTCAAGCGGGTCGGCCCCTTCTCGACAGAGCTGCGTCTCAACACGAAGGAGAGGTCCTACATAATCCCAGTGAAAGGTTTGGTCCATGCCAATCTGTCCTCCCGCATACGTTTTCGCGACGGCTCTGACACGCAAGTGAATCTGCTTCGCAATGCGATGTTAACTGCAACCACGCTGTCTATTCAACAACAGGCGTCGGAATCAAGATCATTCTGTCTGAAGAGAGCACCAATATCCTCCAGAACGAACGTCTCAAAGCGGTGCGTATCCCACATGTGCACAACCGTCGGGCTTGTTACTCCTTAGTGGCGATTACCACTACATCTGGTTTTTATGGGGGCTGGTCGTATGTGCTGCCCTCGCATCCAGTTCCTCGCCGCAATTTGTGCCGCATGACAACAATCTTGACCGCATCGCCTTACATCATCGCACTGTGTTGATTCGGTACTAATCTAACCCACATCTCTGTGCTCCTGACGACACAGCTCCAAATGGTGGATCCATTGATGATCGAGATTCCAGAAACTGGCCTCAGCGACTGGCTCGTCAAGTACAGCATGCGGTTCTGTCTGGATTTTGAAATTGCATCGATGATCGCCGATCTCACATCCTCGTTCCGATCCGAAACCCCCGACTACCAACGAAGCCGGAGAAGCTCGTGGATCACGGTCGTCGAGGACACTGAGTCCGCGAATCCGCCGTTGCTCCCGATACAGTTCCCGGCGATCTCAGCGCAGTCTGCAGCATCGCTGTCACAGTTGGCGGAGGACGAAGCAGCACTCAGCGATGAGCCCATGCTCACGTCTGGGTTTGACGAGCCCCTTGAAAAAGACACGATACCGGACGATCGGTTCGAAGAGCACCGGCCAAGTACTTCAGGTCTCAGACACTCAAAGTCATCTGGGTCGGCCATGCCCATCGTTATACCCATACCGCAGCCCGAGAGTACCACCAAAGGCAACAACGACGAGCCGAGCGAGACGTTGCAGAGTCATGTTGCTGATCCGGTCCTGGACGTATTGCCCGCGACGAACCAAGAAACTGTGCAGCCAGCAGAGCCCGAACTGGTCCCTGAGGCGGCAGAGGAGCCGTCTTCGACAGGGCAGCTTCTCCCCGAGCCCCAGCGACCGTGGAGCACCTCGACCACCGTTCCCCTCGCCGATCAGAATTCGACTTCTGTCATGAATATCGGGGTCATCGAGGACGACGACGAAGTGGAGATTCTTCCTGGCAGCGACCCCCAGCTCGGCCCGGCATCAGATACCGCACCACTTGGATCCGGTCCTCCGATCGATGGCCACGATCGCACCACCGTCGAGCCTGTGCAAACAGCGCCTATTGTTGATGTAAGCACGGCGCACCCAGCGATAGTAACCGACCCTGTGCTTGTCCAGGAGCCAGCTCAAGATACAAGCCAACCCCCATCGCTCGATGCAACAACCGCTGCGAGCGAGCCGCCTGCGACTGTCCAGCCTGCGATACTCTTCCCGACGACAGAGCCTCCTAACGGACTGGATGGCAGCAGTCCAGAACAGCAGAATGCTGTTGCAAGCAGCGCAGCCGTAGCCATTCCGACGATCACAGGCACGGATGCCCGAAGCGAAGAACAAGGCTCGGCCCTCGGCTCGTCAACTAGCCTCACGAAGCTGGCTCTCGTGGACTATATGGCAGAGAAGCACAGGATACTCGACCGACTGACAGAAATGTCAGAGAAAATCGCCGAGGGCCTGAGACCAGAGCATCGCGAGTTCGTCAAACTGACCAAGCGGGTAAGCTGGAGCCTGTCAGGCTGGATGGGTAGTCACCACTGAAGCAGCAGGAAATGCACCGATTCAAGCGGCTGTGGCTAACTGCCCAGCACGAGGATGTTGACGAGTGCCAGATGTCCAGCACTGCCCTGTAGACACATGCTGACCGATACCTGTTTGCATCTAGTTTTCGACCATGAAAGAGAATGAGTACAAATCCAAGACCGTTGAAGTGGACGACCATGTGGCGCACGAGGTGATCAGCTACGGCGATCTGAAGGTATGCGGGTTTGCTGGTCTCGATCCAGGACATGTGCCGGAGCAGCAATTGAGTGGCCAGCGTATTCACTCATCCCACGGCGCTTACGGAACAGATCCTGGACATTGACTTTGGCGAGGTGCTGGAGTTTGTGGGAACGGAAATGGTGGTGGATCTGTCCGTGGTCCTGGAGCGGCCGCCGCCCTTTCCGCCGGAACAAGCAGTAAGTTGGTCTGGGTGCTGGCTCGCCAGACAGCACCGCCCCAGCAGATACGGCTGCGTGGGAAATCGTTCGCTTGGAACTGTGTTTCTGATGACACCGGCCCTCTGCAGTCCACCGCAGTCACCAAGGATGCCGAATCGGTCAGCCGCAACTACATGCCTTTCCCGCCGATCCTCCGGGCCAAGCGCAACGCAAGAACTGTCGATGCGCTGGCCGACTGGACCAGCTTTCCTTTGGGCATTGGCGTTCGGGTAAGTGCACCCGGGCAACCTCCCGAATGCATGTGGGATGCGGGTCGGCGATCGGCCGATGGCCTGGCCCTGAACGACTCAACTCAACACTCGCTAACACCGGCTGCCGGCGCCCCTTGGTGCTGCCAGGTCTATGTTCCGCACAACCTGGATATGCCGTGATGATCACGACATGTTCTTACGCAACCGACGCTCTGGCAACGAGAAGCGAACCTTGGGCCAAGGAGGACGCTGGCCAACAATGTCCACGATTCTGAATACACGCACATTCGCCGCTGCCCATTACGCCAGCATTGGCCCTACTCATCCACTCATCCCTCAGCGACAAGGTTGATTGGGCATCGGGTTTGGCCGTCAACCAAGACGCGTTCCGAGAGTCCAGCATGTGGATATCCGGCATCGGAGGAGGGTGGTCAAGGTGAACCCAGAAAACCAGCAAAGACGGCGCGACGGCATGGATCTCAGCGAAAAAATGAAAGCATCGGACAGTCACTGCTTTGATTGCGCTGGCGGGCGCAGCAAGTGAAGCCTCATACGCAAATTACAACCATCATTGATCCGAAGCCGCCGCGCATATCTTGGAGGCAAAAGTAAGGGAGGAGGGGATTGCTGGAGAATCAGCAAAAGGGGGATTGGTGAGGCATGGCACTCGCAAGCTTGCCAGCAACAAGCTGCAGGATGTATCTGGGTTGATCGCGACGCATCGTCGGCTCAAGCGAGATCTGAGGCAGAGTAGCAATTGATAGTGCGTGTTAGCTCTCTGGGTCAACTTTTGCCTGCTGCCGGCAGACCGACCAGCTGGGATCGATCCGGACGGCATCAGAGAATTGTAGTTTATGATTGCCCACATTCTTGGGTTCAGGAACAAAATTTTCCTCATTTTCCCCATCACGCGGACTGCAGAGAGCAACGGAGCTGCCAGCACAAGCCTACCTATCCTGCAGAAGTTGCCGCCGCGTGCGCTATCGCCATCGGGATCTGTTGAGTGCATTGGCAAAACGAGCCATCGGGTTAGATGGTGGACGGCGCCAAGCACATCGCACGGCGCCTCATAGCGGGCGGGATCCGCCACGGTGCGAGGCAGGGGGCTCTCAGAGATCTTGGTGATAATTATTGGTCCGCATGAATTGCTAGGAAAGTAGCAGTTTGGTTCACATCGCCGAGCCCTTTGCCCTCCGCAAGACCCGGCTGCCGATGCAGCTCAGGGACTGTGTGCTCTCCGGCAGACCAGGATACGTACCATCAAATCAATGCAATCGCAGCCCGGACATCGAGACAGCCGTCGATCCCCGCACGGACAGGTCCGCGGCCGAGGAGCAGACAAGCGGGTATTCAGCAGGCTGAAGAAAACCAGTGGGACACATCGTTTCTTTCGAATGCAACACGCCGCCGTCGGATCACTGCTGCAGATGCTGTCGCTGCAGGCCGGGGCAAGAAGATATCTCGGGATGAGAGGGGAAGACGCTGGGCAGAATGCAAAATCGCCCCCGCGATTATATCGCCGTTTGGTTGGACAAGCATCGGCTGCGCCACGTTCCGATCACGCTGTGGCGCATGTCGAGGTGGCGTGCGCAGCATGTCCGTGGCTGTGCGCTGCACTGCACCGCCACGATTTGTGGCTGTGTCGCGAACCTGCCATCGCGGCATCGCCAATCCCGCTTTCGACGGCGCTTGCCGTCGCCAATCTGACCATCGACGGAGCTCGCCGTCGACAATCTGGCCATCGCCAGGCTTGCCATCGCTGGTGCGTCGCCGAGGACCCATTGGTGAGCGCCATCCGCCACCGCACTCGTTCACTGCAGCCCGACCACAAGGTCACCAGGTCGCTGGATGAACTCCTTTCACGTGAAGGCATAGCCCAAAGCCACAATTCCGCCCCATCGGCCAACGGAAGCGGTCAAGGCCGGCACCAGTCAGCCGTCGCCGATGCAGTCGCTTCGAGTCAGCGCCGGGCCAAGCGAGCGAGCGTGATCGTCTCAGACCCCTTTATATCGCACCGTCTCGTACCGGATGCATGTCTCTGCTCTCCTCCCGCCTGATCCCTCCTCCGCCCTGATCTCGCCATGCCTGCCGTCTTGTCCGTCCCGCTGCCCGTGGAAAAGTTCCTGCGGCTGTTCTACATCGTCTCGCCCTCGCGCACGACCTTCACCTCGCTCGAGGATATCCCGGATTACACGCAGGAGGCCATCCCCTCCTTTGTCGTTACTATCTCGCTCGAGCTTGTCTATTACCTCCTGTTTGATCGACGGGGTCTCAAGCGCGATGACGGGTCGTGGGCCACGGCCAAGTGGCGGATGAACGACATCGTCGGCAGTATTACGGTAGGCGCCGGCCCATTCCAAGCCAGGGGCATCCAAGCGCAATCGATCCGCTCCATCGCGCAACTTCCTTTGCTTCGTCGTCTGCCCTCCCCTCCTATGCTCTCGTCGGCACCCGGAACAGCAACTGACTCGCTGGCGTGACGATTCTTCCCAACACCGCTGTCTGTCTCGCAGGCTGGAAGTCTCTACACCATCTCCAAATTCTTCATTCCTCAAATCGAAACGCTTGGATATATCTATGTCTGGGACCACTTCCGAGTCTACGGCTTGGATCCCACCAGCCTCCCAACTTGGATCGCAGCCTTTCTGGCTGCCGACCTGGGTTACTACTGGTTCCACCGCATGGCCCATGAAGTCAACTTCATGTGGGCCGCCCATGTCGTCCACCACTCGTCGGAGCACTACAACCAGTCGACGGCTCTCCGCCAGTCCATCTTCCAGCAGCTGACCTCGTGGGCATTTTATCTGCCCGCGGCGTTGTTCATTCCTCCTTCAATGTTCTTCGTCCACCGCCAACTGACGGTGCTGTATCAGTACTGGATCCATACCGAGGTTGTTCCTCACCTTGGATTCCTCGAGTATATCATCAGTAAGTTGGTCTCCATCGAAACAATCTCATCGGCTTTGGCTTCGACAGCCGATTTTGCACCAGCTGGCCGGCCAAGATGGAGTGACGACCTTCGCTACTGCTGCTTCACCTTGGGCCCTGAGCTCTGCATTTGACATGGCAAACTGAATGCTCTTCGTCGCTTCCAGACACTCCGTCTTCTCACCGAGTTCATCACGGCCGGAACCCATACTGCGTCGACAAGAACTATGCCGGCACGCTCATCATCTGGGATCGCCTCTTCGGCACTTACGAGCCCGAGCGAGTTTATCCGCAGGTGGTTGCTCGCAAGGAAGACGAAGAGCCTGTGCGTTACGGCTTGGTCCATCCCATCAACACCTTCAACCCCATCACCGTCCAGACTCATCACTTTGTCCACATCCTCAAGACCGCCTACCAGACTCCCGGCTGGATCAACAAGGCCAAGGTACTTGTCTATGGACCTGGATGGCACCCCGGCACCCCTCGCACCGGCTTGGTCTCGGAGCTGCCTCCCATCGACCGCCACAACCCACCTCCCAAATACGACCCCGAGCTTCCCTTGGACCTCGCCGTCTACAACGGGCTCCATGCCGTCACCACCATCGGCCTCTCGGCCCTGTTCTTTGAAAAGGCGTCGACTCTGTCGCTGTCGGCCATCCGCCTTGTGACGGGCTATCTTGGCATCAGCTTCTATTCGACCGGGGCGCTCTACGACGCCCAGCCCGATGCCCTCAGCATCGAACTCGTCAAGAACGTCGTCGGCTGCGCTCTCCTCGAGGCCGCCAAGGGCCATTCTTCGATCCCAGCGTCCGGTCGACTGGGTCTGCAGCTGCTCCAGGCATTCTACCTCGGCAGCGGGGTCTACATTGGCTCCAAGTTGATCCGCCGAGGTCGCAACTGGGCCAGCAACAAACCCAAGACCCAGTGAGCAGTAGCTGCGGGGATATTTCCATGTTCGCTGGATGCTCTGGTGCCCGTTTGTACTCTTACAATCGCCGAGCACCTCATCGCCACGCTGTCATTGCTCTGCCACCGCACCCACAACTGCGACTACTCCTCTTGGTACTTCCGATCTCATACGATGCTTTTACCATTGAATACGACAAACTGTACAACTCGCTTGCTTCCGAGTATATCGCTTTCACGAACGGATCATCGATTCAGTTGCAGGCGAGGGATCGTTCGCGTTGGCAGCATCGTCACTCCCGCCAGACAAGGCCCAATCGCACATGGCGCTGGCACCATGGCTTCCGCTTGGATTGAAGTGAGCAGCTAGAGTGCACTCACCGAACAGAATGCTGGCTATTGTAGTCTCGGGCCCAATCGAGCTGTAAATGCGCGTCCTCCCATTTAGCGACCACACTGCATGATAGTTCTTCGAAAGGCCGCGGACGTGCCCGTTCTTGGCAAACTGTGTATGTCGCTTGATTTCGGATACTCTTTATTGAGCAAAGGTGCGAGTGTCCGCTGGCAGAGGAGCAGGCGATCGCGGCATCGGACAGGATTGCACCAGACCGCATGGCTACCTATCCCTGGCTCGGTTTCCGTTCACAGAAACCCGCACTTGACCGCAGCATCTTGTCGAGAGACATCAGCGCGAGCTTCACTCAGAATTTGGGTATCCGCAGATTCTTGCTGATCTGTGCTGTGCCGCTGATAGCGTAAACCAGGACAAAGGGCTAGGGATTGCGAGTCATCGGCTGTGTCAGCTCGCATCGGGCAGAACGACAGGTCACCCAGCCGTGGCTCGCGAATGACTTACATGGAATGTCCAGCCAGCAAAGATAAACTTGCCGCCCGGCAGCTGTGGATGGATTACATCAGTACCTGCGCCGGCCCGAGCGATTGTGACTCTATGCTCTCTCCCAACAACACACTGAGGATCGGAAAAAGGCACGACGGTCCCAGGTCAACCGGGTACTTACCGAGACGTCGCCAATGAGACCGATCGTAGATAGATACGCAATCAGGAGAGCAATCAAGACCGTTGTGGCTAGAACGAGGAGGTTTAGTGTGAGTGCTGGACCGGGGGCTGCCTTTCTGGCATTCATACGCGACCACCCGCTTCTCGATCTGCCGCTCATGCCGCTCTGATCCATTCGCTCTGCATGTGCTCCGCTGAGCCTTGCTGTTGGGCCATACGAATGGGTGTTCCTTCAAAGAATCGGACTTTTCCAGTATGGTCCTTGTTTGTGATGGCCGTCACGTTGTATCGGGCCAGACGAGCGACTCCACAGTTGACAAAGTACAGGAGGATGAGCAGATCCTGTTGTTTGAGTCAGCACGAGGGATTAGCTCGTTGCATGGTTCGGGGATAATCCAGAGTGCAAGTGTTGTTTGCAGATCTATCCAGTGGAGTTGCTTGATTGTGCAAGCATCCAACATATCTCTGCACCGGCACAAGGCTGCCGAATGCTTGACCAACATTCACACATACCCACAGGCCCTGGAGCCCAACGGCAAAGCCAAGTACGGCGGGAGCGACGCCAAACGAGATGACATCGGCGAGAGAATCAAGTTCCTGTCCCAGCTGGGACTCGGTGCCTCTCCATCGTGCAACTTTGCTGGTACGGTATGATAAACGAGGCGGAGGGTTGTGAGCACAAAGTTGGGTAGGACCAGCGATCGAGTGGTAGTCGCCTGCATCACTACGCAAGTACTGCAAACACACGCACCGAGCTTACCCATCGATGATATCAAAGAACAGTGCCGCAGGAAGCAGCCAGATGGCGGCATAGAGGAACCACTCGTTCTGGGTCGTGACGTATTTCAGAGAGGCCAGGATCGAGGTGCAGCCCGAGCTGGAGCGGAAACAAGGGAGCCGTAGCGGATGCAGTCACAATTGAAGCGGCAATTGATCGTTCGTCGGCAGAGAGCCGTTGGCATCAAGAGGAAAGTCAGTCAATGTGCGAGTCCGCCGCCATGCAGCGCCAACTCGTCCGTTGTGTCGAACCTTTGAAGTTGCCATCGAGACTTCCTCCCTCCCTCGACATCATCGCAGATCCTGGGAGCAGCCCGGCGCCCGAAGCCGGTATGCACTTACGCGCTGTTGCAGAGCGTCACAATGTCGGCCAGGAAGAGTCCTCGGACTAGCGAAAGATAGCGGGGCTGATGGCGAGTTCGCTTGGGCACGGGCTTGTGGACATCTCTGGGCTGTCCGCCGACGGGGTCGGCAGAGGCGGCTGGCGTGCGGCGAGACATTCCGTTTGGACTCGAGAGCGCTTGATGGACAAAGGAGAGGCGGCGCAGGCAAGGACAGCGACGCAGCAGACGAGCCGGACGGAATAGCAGCAGCCAGATGGGATCGCAGCGGCCGGGCAAGATAGCGCTCGCAGGCCAGACGACGGACAGAGAGCTTTGTTGGCAGCGGGCGGGTGTTGCCAAAGCGCCAAAAAAATCGCAATCGAACCGTGCTGCGCACCCAGCAGCCGAGAATTCCAGCGATCTGGCCGAGACCAACACCGGCAAGATCGCGGCCAGCAGCGACAAGACCACGACCGCCCGAGAACACCGGCAGACGGCATCAGCACGCACGATGCCCAAGCTCAAGAACTCGCTGCGCAACCTGCTGCAGGTCCGTGCCCAGAACGCCAAGCAAAAGGCCGGCGGCAAGCACACCGCCAAGGCGGGCCAGAAGCCGAGCCAGAAGCCAAACCAACGATCAAATCCCTCCCACAACTCACGGCACGGAGCCAGGCCCAACGAACATGCCAGCCCCGTATCCAAAGGGCCGGTCGAGACCAGCGTAGATCAGATCGAGGCAAGCGATGAGACTGAGGAGGCTCCCGAGCTGGTGCCAGTCGAAGAAGCCGCCCCCACCCGCGATCAGCGGCCCTCCAAGCACAGGATCCCGCCAACGATGCCCTACCAGGACGGCGACTCGATTCTGCTCGTCGGCGAAGGGAACCTCAGCTTTGCAAGAGCCCTGGTCGAAATCGTCCCACGCTCTCTGTTGACGGCGACAGTGTTTGACTCGGAAAAGATCGTCATGGAGAAATATCCGGACGCAGCCCGGAACATCAAGGCCGTGGCCGATTCTGGCGGCGCTGTGCTCTTTGGCATCGATGCCACAAAGCTCGAGGGTTACAGAAAGCTCCGGAACAAGCGCTTTGACAAAATTGTCTTCAACTTTCCGCATGCAGGTACGCTCGCCGCTGTGGTCTGGGTGGATCCGACGTGGGATATCGCCGTGCAAGATGCCGGGGAAGCCATCGTTTTCAGATTCCTCCAGTGAGCATGGCTGCACTATCGCTACTGATGCGCTACATATCGATTTGACAAGGCGCTGGCATCAAGGACCAGGATCGAAACATCCAAATCAACCAGGAGCTGCTGTCGTCGTTCTTCCTGAGCGCCCTGCCCTTCCTCAAGTCACGCACGACATACCAAGATCCCGTTGACGGAGAAATCCATGTGACCCTCAAGGAGGGAGAGCCATACGAGTCGTGGCGCATCAAGAAGTTGGCACAGATGACGGGGCTGCTCAAGTGCGCAACGTCCTTCGAGTTTGTGCCGCAAATCTACCCGGGATATGCCCATCGGCGCACAATTGGGTTCCAGGAGGGCATCAGCAAGGACCACAACGAGGAGCTGCAGCTGAAGCGCTGCCGAACGTTCGTCTTTGTGCGTGTCGATGCAAAAGACGATACGGGAACCTATCGACCGGGCTGGAATAGCAGGCACCGATCGCGCCGACGGCGAGCACAAGACAGCGATCGCTCGGACAGCGACGATGCCCAGGATGGCGATGGGGACGGTCTAGGCGATGAGGATGGCTCGAACGAGGCAGAGTAGGGGGACCGGGTGGCGGCGGTGCCACGGCAGTGTTGGCTTGATGGAGCAAAAAGCAGCTCGCGGAGTAAAATAAACTGTCGAAATTGTTTGGGAGGCCTGTGGTGTGCACAGCTGCTGATGTATCGGGGCCCTGCGACTGCGAGGTGGTCGGAAACCTGGTTGCCTGCAAGTCACTGCTCGCCTGGCTGCCACACTTTGACGCCGACACGATCCATTCACCCAAACACCTCATTCGCCGGAACCTGGTTGTCTGGACCAGGCCGCTCGCCGTTGACGTCTGGTGTCATCTGCCGGTGGCGCCCACCCCACAGCCCCCGGCTCGAATGCGGTTGGAGTGCCGCTCGCCGCTCGCCGCCCTTCCCCGAGCCCGAACGACCGCCTTCGGACCAACCTTCGTCGGCGATCGCCTCGGCTTCATCGCAGCACTCTCCCACCTCCTCTGTCTGAGCACCCCTCCCTGCCTCTCTGTCTAGCACCATGGCGGAATCCCAGTCGGCCCTCCTTCTCCGCAAGCAGCTTCGAGGTCGGTTGCCACCTGTGCTGCTTTGCTGCTGCTCCCCCCCCCGCCGAGTGCGACCCCAGGCGATCGTCTGCTCGCCGGTCCTTGGCTGTATTCGGTCGGCTGGAAAGTCCTTACGCCATCGCCTCGGCCCTCGCAGCGATCCTGGCAATGGGGCTCGATTCCTCTCCCTGTCGGACCCGACTGTTCCCTCCCCGCACCCACTTACGTTCCCTCTGCTCCTCATTGGTAGACCTCAACAAAAACCCCGCCCAAGGATTCTCCGCTGGCCTGGTTGACGACAGCAATGTCTACGAGTGGTATGCGTCTTGGAATGCTGCTTATCGGCACGGCGTTGGCTGTGCTTGACAATCGTGTATCCTTGGAGCCATTGATGCGGCTGTGTTCATCCTCCTCCCATTTCCGCCACCACAGGGACGTGATGATTGTCGGACCCGAAGGCACGCTCTAGTGAGTATCGAGCCCATCCGTTCTCCGTTGTCGTGCTGGCGCTGGTGGTGGTGTGTCGCCGACAGCCCCGCCGCAGTCGCTGCGCCCGGACCTGTCCTTTTTTTTTCGGCATCACTTGTGCTGTGGCTGATATTCGTGTCGATCTCGTCCGCAATGCAATACAACGCAATGCACTGCGCTATGCTGCTTTGCTTTGGACCCTGCAGCGAGGGCGGCTTCTTCAACGCCCGCCTGTCCTTCCCCGAATCCTATCCGATGATGCCGCCCACGATGAAATTCACCAGCGACATGTGGCATCCCAACGTGTATCCCAACGGCGATGTCTGCATCTCCATTCTCCACGCCCCAGGTAGGTGTTCAATGTGTGTGTTCAGAGTGTGTTCAGAGTGTGTTCAGAATGCTCGACACAACCGCACGGCCCAGAACAGGAGGGCGACTGCTGTGGCGTGAGCCTAACCCTTCTCAATCCCACGACACCCAAGGCGATGACAAGTACGGCTACGAGCAGGCGTCGGAACGATGGCTTCCTATCCATACCGTCGAAACCATCATCATCAGCGTGATCTCGATGCTCAGCAGCCCCAACGACGAATCGCCCGCCAACATCGAGGCAGGAGTACGTATCAGCCTCCTGGATCGTGTGATTCTGGCACGGGACTGTCTCCCCGCTCCCCGCCTGACTCGCCGATCTGGCGCCTGCCGCCACGTTTGCGGCTGGGCACGTTCGTGTGTGCAGCCTGTCCTGTTGTCTTTGGCCCAGTGCACGTATCATCCCCGCTTGCGCATCTCCTCCTTGACGAACGTTACTAACAAACTGCACCCCGTTCTCCGTGTTGCCTTTTGCGGCTGCCTGAGCAGAAAGAGTGGCGAAACGATCCCGTTCTCTTCAAGAAGAAGGTGCAGCGGATTGTCCGAAGGAGCATAGAGGGTTAGGTTGCGGGATGATGACTGAACAGGCAAACACCCCCCAGATGAAGCAGCGAGGGAGGCCCACCGACCATCCCTTCTGTATATTTGAGCTTGTCGTCGATGACCGTGGGAATTTGTGGTTTACTTCTGGCGTGGCTGTTTATGTTCCTACTTTTCGTGTACACAACTTCCACTTCACTCCCTATCTTTGCCTCTCTTTTCGACTCTGTGCTTCTTTCCTATCCATTCATACCTTTGTACTTTGTATTGAGCGTATTTATATTTATGCGAGATCCCGACCCCCTCCCTCTTGCTCGTCTGGCGATTCCCTTTTGCTGCTTTGAAGAAGCGAAATAGATCCACTCTGTTTTCTCTCTGCCCATCGGTGCTGTGCTGACTCGATGCGATAGTGTCTTGGTGGCCGATAACATATTCAGAATCAGCGAGTCGGATGCTCGGCCATGCGTCATCCATTGGGTTCCGCCGTTGTTTGCTTGGACAGATGCCACCAGCATCGTGAACAAGCGAGCCTGCTTTCTACAGACCCCCCTTGAGTAGCTGCGCAACATGAATCCGGTTGTAGGCATTGGCTGGGATTGCCGACGCCAGCACGCCAACCGACAACGAGACCAGCACAGTAAAGATGAACAATCCGAGCGGGAAACTGAAGTCAAAGGGGAGGTCCAGGAATGTTGTGAATTGCAGATTCAGCGTCGCGGAGGTGAGTAGGCCTGCGGGTTGGGTTAGGTTGGGTTGGGTTGGATTGGTGGTGAGCCAGGAGAAACAGGTTTGCGCCGCCAACCGCCTGCCGCCGCCGCCGCCAGGAACGCAAAGATATACATGACGAAAGCACCGGCCACGACATTGCGCTGGTACGGCTCCTCACCAACGACTGTGCCAACCAGCATCGATGCCAGTAGCAGGGAGACTGCCTCATACACATATATCTTGACGATTTGAAGCTTCTACGAATCACATGTATCCACAGTGGCAGCGGGATTTTGGTACACGAGAGAGTCGGTTGGCTCCAGTATCCAAGGCAATCACGGGCACCCTCCCCCACATTCCCATCAGCGAGCGCCATCAGTCGCAAGAGTCTAGCCCAGTCGACGGTCACTGCCGGGATGCAAGCCAGACTCACCTCCAACCCGATTGATCGGAGCACCCCCAGTTCCCACGAGCTGCTTCGCATGTTCTCCAGGAATGTGACCCAGAGAACAATGAAGCACAGGATCACAGCCACGAAAGAAACTATGCAAGTGAAACGCCATCCCCGAGAGAATTGCTGTTAGCACACATTCGATCGCTGATACACTCTGCATCCGGCCAGTCGGCTCGGGCGGCTTGGTAACATGGGTCGATGGGATGGTCGGATGCACCCATACCAATATAGAAAATGACCAAGATACTGCTTGATGTTGCCGCAGTAACACTGACTTCTTGATCCAGCGTGGTGACGGTGAAGGTGCTGCCGGTGACGAGTGTGTTGAGGTCATTGACCACAGCGAGCTTCTGGTCTGCTGAAGCCGAGTCCCGGATATTGACAAATGCTCGCTGGACGGGAACCGAGATTCCACTGCTTGGCGGAGCAAGAGACGAGGCGCCATAGGACACATTGAGCAGGAACGCATAGTCGCTGAAGGTGACGAAGAGGGGAGTGTTTGACGTGGACTGCTGTATGATAGAGGGAAACCCGGGGAGCTTTTCCACGGCAGCTATCGGCTTGACGATGAAGATCTTGTCCGATGCCTGGGCCGAGTTGACCGACAAGTCAAGAATCAAATGCTGGTTGACGGTGATGATGTCGTTCTTGAGAGAGTCCGCAATGATCACTGGTATCAGCGGCGTCGTCTGGAAGTGGCTCATGAACTGAGTATCGACCGTTGCGACATAATCAGAGAGCAGCGGCGGGTCGAGCGGTGCCTGCAGCATGGCGCGCGCAGAGGGATTGTAGAGTGTCTGGAAAATATCGGGCTTGCCCGAGCTGGTCATTGGAAAGCTGAGGGATTCGTCTGTCGCCGAGGGAACATAGTACCGAGAGTTGACGGAGCTGAGAAAGCTGGATTCGAGTGCGGTAATCTGTACCGACACCGTGAAGGCCGAAATGGAGACCAAGCTGCGAAGCTGAGATGAGGACAGGACAGCTTCCTGGTTCATCGGGAACTACAAGGGGCGACAGGTAAGCCAAAAGTGGATATGGATGCATGCTGTCTCGCGGAATCGCCAAATGTCGCTCTGACGCCGCTTTACCACAGCCGACGGAACTTACAGAGGCGAAGCTGAAGCTTTCGACAACGGAAGGGTCACGGTCCTCCAACGAGCCGCTCTGCAGCAACGTAAAATATTCTCGCAGGGCCGATGCGTTTAGAGGAGTGCCGATGCTGCTGCTGGAAACAACGACGTTCGATCCCTGCGACCACTCGATTTGTTCTGAAAACGAGCTGGATTGCAGATCAAACATGGCAGCAGCAAAGATAATGAATGCAAGACACAGAGAGAAAATGAGCGACGCCGTCGAGTTGGTCGACCGGTGGACGGTCAAGTTCTTGCTGACGACGCTGTGAAGGGGTCGATCGGCGCCCCATATGATGCAGAAAGCGAGCACATGTTCAAGCGGATGCTGAAGTGCGTGCCCGATGACCACTAGTCCGATGATCAGGCCTTTTATCGGCGTGTCAAAGCGATGAGATGTGTCAGTCGTCGATCAAGAAACCTCCAGAGCCATGACATGCATCTGGAGAAGGCAGTTCCAAAATGCCCAAGCGCAGCCTGAACAACAGATACAAGCTGAACAGCTCTGCGCCGCTGCGCGTCTCATCATGCAGGACGCCGTACAGACGGCGGCAGCTCTCACGGTATCTGCCAGCCTGCCGCCTCTGTCGGTTGACCAGCATATTGTCCTCGTGTTTGGGTATGCTAGCAACGTACCTATCAATAGAGTCGTCATGATCGTGAAGAACAGACTGGTGTCGCCGAGAACAAACGCCAATGGAGATCCGCAGTACACTAGCAGCCCGACTCCGACGACAACCAGAGCGAGCAGTGAATGGGTCGGACTCACGCCAAGGCTCTCCATTGTCTGGACTGTTGCCGAAGTTTGGAGAGCCATGTGGTGGAACATGTCGAGCGAATCGCGCAGAGTCTTGCCCAAGGCACGTTGGATTGGCACAGTAATGCCGATAAGTGGGAAGGCAAAACCCATGGAAGCTCCGAGGGCGATGGGGACGGCACCCAGTCCAGGCGCGAGCACGATCCTGGTCAACGAGAATATGTAGCCGTTGCTTCCAAGCGAGATCAGGAATCCGACCAACAGCCCAACGCTGACGCCTGGAATTGCCAAAAACAGATACTTGCAGGGTTCAAAGCGATGTTCGGCAAAGGCACCGTTTGAAAGTCGGTGTGTGATAGCACAATATTGTCAGTATTGCAGCGTGTCGGGTGATCTTTCCAAGACATCCTTGGTTGTCTACAATCCAGGTGCAGCAGACCCAGCCATACCTGCGAGATCAGTAGATTGACAATATGCCCATGAGACATGCCAAGCATCCGAAGCATTCCAAACTCATATGTCTTTTCGGACACGTTGGTCAGGAGGACTGAGTAGATAACCAGGCATCCCAGAAACACGAGCACGATTACAACGACGAGCAGGGCCTGGAAGAAAACAGCGACAAGCGGTAGCGAATGTCCATGAGCCAGACGAAAGCAGTGTGATTGCAACAAACAGGGTATGGCCGTGATTGTCTCTTCCTTAGCGCAGCCACCAAATGAACCTTGGCTCCAGTGTGGTTACCTGCTGAAAGTACACTCGGAACAAATCCGTGACATCCAACGAGTTTGATAGCAAATCGTAGCATCGCATGGGGTAGTCGGTGCCCAGCCGCAGGAAAACGTCGTTCGAGAATGAAATGAGGTCCCCGACCCTTGCGGTGGCATCCTCGAGGTAGCTTTGCACGCGATCTGCCATCATCATCGAAACCAGCATCGTGTAATCCTGTGATGAGAGCGCCATGATGGCACGTTAGTGCGAGAACATATTGAAGGGATGTATACAACGCATGCTCGCCAACACACTCACCTTGAGGCGGAAGGTTGATGGATCAAACCCGCTCGTGCCATTCGGAGACTGCGAGAGCGAGAGCACAAGTCCCAGGACACTGTCGTTTTGTGCCTGAACGAGAATGTTTTGCCCCCAGGCTTGCGCAGTCTGATAGTCCATCAGAATGACATTGCCGATGCTGCTGGGATACTTTCCGAATGGAGACTCAAGGCCATCCATGACTTGTCAGCGGAAAGAACCGATGCAGCCGCATGTGGGGTTAGCGCATGAGATGGCTTCATCCGAGTGGTGGCGCCAGCCGTACTCACCAACGAAGCTGTTGTTGAACTGGTATTGAGGCGAGTTGTTGACAAAGTTTGTGACGCCGTTCTGATCGACAATGTAATTTCCAGATGAATCTGCTCCGGGACACAGAGCAATGATCAATTATCAGCACTAGGCACGGGTCAATCAAAGATGGCTTCCGGAACAACACGCACACCTTTTGAAAACGATTCGCTGATCGTGTTGGCCAGCGTTGGATTCAGCAGAGAAACAAAGAGCGGACTGAGGGTGTAGTTGGATCCGGGTGGCAGTACAGCACTCAGGACATCAAAGCTTTGGGAAGGGCCGCCCTGTCCTGCGACACCAAGGGATGGCAAGCTGAGCTGAATACGGGCAAGAATCAGCACTGAGTCGTATCAGGGCCAGACGAGGTGACTCGGCAACTCTTGCCCTCCCCCAACGCCACTTTCGTAGCTACGTAGCGCTGTTTCTGTAGAGCTTGCATCGTCAAAAACGCTGAGCGACGAGAACAAGCCCTATACCTGGAGATAGTCTGCAAGCGCGAGTTGGACGGTTGCGTTTTGGTTGCTGTTGGGCTCGACGTGGATTTGCGGAAGGAGCGACGCTGTGATCGAGATCTGACCTTGCGACAGCTCTTGGTACGGCCAAGAACTGGCAAGACCGATTCGCTGGCCGAGCGTAAGCCGAGGATGGTTGAGTTTGGAACGTTCTTGGACAAAGAGGAAGTGGCCTCAGGACGTCCAGAGATGAGCCCACATGTCGATCCAAACTCAGGCCGCTGTCTGCTCACCTTCTCCAGCTCAAAGTCAACGACAAGCAGATAGGCATGCTTCCAGTCCGACGCATTTTGACTGTTCCTGATTCTTGACGGGAACAGCCATCTCGGCGATGCACCCTCGAGTGAGGTTGTGCCGTCCAGTGCCGCGTTCAGCGAAGTGAAGTTGAGAAGAGGGATCGGCTGGGCCGACGTCGATTGGCCGACGCAGAGCTGGCAGGCCAAAATGGATTATTTAGAGTCCAGGCCGGGTGGCAATCAGATGTCAATCCTGTTCCCTGCCTAGACGCATGTGCAGAAACAGCATATCCCGCAGAGCGCAGGCCCAATTCGTATTCCTGCACAGGTCCCCCTCGGGTTGCCGGCAACACCAACCAAATCGTATTCTCCGATCTGCAGAGCGTGGGCGAAGAACCATTCGTTAGTTCCAGCAACGTATCGAGTTGGGGGGGATCAAGCTCGCTGGTATCGAACCGCATCAGATACGAGAGTGCAGGATTTGGCTGCGGAAACATGCTTCCTGGCTTCTAAGCCGACTGGCTGATGGGCTGGAACCCTCGATAACGGACGGATAACTCACAATGTCTTCCGAGAGCTTGAGAAAGATGAGAGGTGCCTTCGAGACAAAGTCTTGTGCGGCACTTTGGTTTTAGGCAGCATTGAGTGCACCAGGGATCGAATGGGCCCGAACTACGGATAAGTGGTGGCCTTTGCCTCGCACCGACGCAGCGATATTGCCGCTGGGTCAAGCACCGACTTGCGTGGGAACGCACTTCTCCGCAGCCCGAGCTCCAGTTGCAGATCCGATCGACGAGCACCCACCCCCGACAGCGTCTTGGGCTGCTCACCTGAGAATTGCCACAACGAGGGCGATTGCGGTGCATCCCATGAGCAGCGGGCGCTTATTCTTGCGCGCATCTCGCAGAAGATAGACGAAGAGGAGCCACAGCTGCGAGGCAGCCGAGAAAAGTCGGCCTCGATGCGATGCCATCACAGGCAGAGGCTTCTCGGGCGGCTGTGCGCGATCAATGTGGTCTCGGAGCATGTCGATTTGCTGGTAGATGCTGGCCCCACCGTCTGGACGGTCGAGCACGCCCGTGTTCTTGGAGATATCGGTTTCCATGGTGCAGTCGGTGCCGGCCAAGCTGGTTGATAATGAGGGGTGGTTGTGGGACGAAGAAAGTCGGCTTTCTTGGCCAGTCCGCTCCCTGGGCACTTGCGCTGGCACACACCCGATTCCCGCCAAATTGCGGGCCACAAACATGCGGATGGCCGGTGTCGCTCTGCGGGAGGGGCAGCGCCGGGCGGATCCGAATGTTCGTCTGGAGAGACCATGTCGGTCGTATCGACATCTGGAGAGGCCGATCTCGATCCGGAACAGAGAGCGACAGTGGCGGCGAGGAATCAACCGCTCTCTGCTGATCACTCCGCCAGCCCACTCGCCACGAGATATTCTGGAGGATCTGTACAGTGGGTGTATTCGAACAGAAGCTATCCTCAAATGATGCGCTCGGGCAGACGCCCAGTAGGCACAGCGCCGTGCGAATCGCGGAGCAAAGATTCAAACGTGCCAGGGGCTGACTGAAAGCGATCAGAAGGATGCAGCTGGGGCCAAAAAATCATCATAACAGTAGTGAAAGGAAAGGAAGAAAAAGGTCGCAGAGAATCATCAGATCTCAGAGGCGACAGGCGGGGCATCCGTGGTGCTGTTCCAGAGCAGAACGACACGGAGCTCGCGCAGTCGTTCGTAGCATTCGCTCAGCAGCGAAGAGAGGATGGCCTGGCCTTCGGGAATCTCCATCGAGGCCGGATAGCTCGAGTCTTCCTGGAACATCTCCGTGTCTGCGCTGAGGAACTCGGTGCCGTAAAAGACACCGTTGCGCTTGGAGTCTTCCAGTGTCTTGAGGATGCCGGCGATGGCGTCCAGTTCGGGCTGGATTTCATCGAGCTTCTGCTGGCGGACAAAGATCTTTCTGGATTCCCGCAGGCGGTCGCGGCAGGTCACCAGCAGCTCATATATGCCAGAGAGTGCATCGGAGACCGGCGTGGCGTCCGAGAGCATGGCATGGATGAGATTGAAGCACTGGTGGAGCAAGTAGTGGATGACGGCCTGGCCGGCGGGGATCTCGCCCGTGGACTCGCCATAAAAGATGCCGTTGACGCTGGAGCGATCGATCTCGACGAGACGGGCCTGCATGGGCTCGAGGTCGGCAGCAGTGACCTCCCATCGTCGGTCCGACACAAGGACCGATTCCAGATCGGCGTGGATCTTGGAGAGCTCCTCGTACAGCGGGCGCAGCGGGCCAGTGACTTCGTCCTTGGACGAAACAAGACGGTGCAGGGTCTCGAAGCACGAGTCCAGCAGGCCGATCAGGGCCGCCTGGCCGGCGGGGATCGAGCCGTCCTTCAGCACAAACGAGCCATTGACGCGCAGGCTGTCGATTTCGGTGAGGTTGGTTTGGATGGGGTATAGGCTGTCCAGGGTGTAGGTCTTGGAGTGCTCGTACTTTTGCAGAGTCTTGGAGGTTTCCATGAGCTTTGCATAGATGGTTTGCATTTCGGGAGCAACCGAGTCGGCAATGCCCAGCAGATACTCCAGGGTGCGGTCTGTGGGAACGTGCGAATGGGCCAGGGAGCGAAACCGCGAGGGACAGGAGTTAAGAGTGCTGCCATGGAGGGATCGCTCGTCGCAACAGGCAGGCACACGCAGAAAGGATCCGCGAGACACCCAGAGAGCAAGTACTTACGGATGCGGTTGAGAAGACCCATGAGCACAGCCTGGCCGCCAAGGACAACCGGCGGGCTGGGCGTATCGGGGTCGGCAGCCGCTCGGGGGCTGATGAACTTGCCGTCAATGACATTTTTGTTCTCGATCTGGGCGACGCGCAGCTGGTACGCCGTAACGTCCTCGATGGTGAAAGCGCCTGTTCGCTTGTACTCGTCGAGCTTGCGCGAGATGGCAATCAGATGGGTGTAGGTGGGATAGAGCTTCTCGTCGACCGAGGCGACCTTGCCCCAGAGGTTGAAGAGGGTTCCCCAGACCGAGTCGAGGACGACGTCGAGTCTGTTGGGGTCGCCGGGCAGACCGCCACGCTTTTCTCGCACCTCCCGCAGACACTGCATCATCTTGGAGGGAGAGAGAGCCAGGGGCAGGGGAAGGGACGGGTGCGAAGGCGGATGGAGAAGGGGGGCGTGGGGGATGCGAAGGCGAGCACAATGAGTATCGACAGAGCATAGAACGAGACGATGGGCTGAGTTTACCATGCACCCAGTGCCGAGACAAGAGCTGGCAAGAGCACGAGCAAAGCACAGACAATGCACAGAGAGCGGATGCTCGCATACCTTGCCGAGCTCGACGCAGTGGTGGTTGATGTCGGCGAGGGTGACGTTATTGTGGCTCTCGCGCTTCCACTTGTTCAGCGAGTGCCGGAACTTGTGGAGCGTGTTCAAGAGATCTTTCTCGTCGGAAGGGATCTGGTCCGAGATGGTGGTCTTTGGCAGACCGGTGAGGGGAGAAGAGATCATGGTTACGGTGCTATAGGACAGGGGAGTGGGGGTGGATGAAGGAGGAACAGAATCGGGATAGATGTAGTGGATATTGGACATGGCAGGCGAGTCGCAGGCAGCGCGGGGTAGTATTTATACGTCGACAGCGACGCAAGAGCGACGCAAGAACAATGCGAGAGAAACAAGCACGGCGGGCGTCGGATCAGATGATGGGGACAGAGGAGGGCGAGTGGACCGCGAAGGAGTAATCATGAGTTGATACGATTCGAGCAGCGTCGATCGGAAGCGAGGGCGGCGAGGGGCGGCGAGGGGCGGCCGAGAGGAGACCGAGGGGTGGCCGAGAGGGGACCGAGGAGAAACCGAGGGGCGGATGAGACTGGAATGAGTCACCGTGAGCCTCTGTTTGGAGCGAGACGGTGCTGGACGAGCGAGGATGCGGTCGGGCTGCGTCCCGTCAACACCCGATGGGATGCATCTCGTCTGGCCGCAGGCTCTATGGAGGCTCTATGGAGGCTGCACAGAGTATATTCACGCAAGCACGCCGAGCGGCTGCTTAGTAGATATAGGGGACGATATAGTAGGGCACCTTCTGTCGGTACTCGTCCCAGTACTTGCCGTACTTGTGCTGGCACTTTTCTTCGTCGCGGAGGCTTCGGTGGACCAGCAAGAGGGCAAAGTACAGGGCATAAAAGTACGGAATAGCATGGCCAAAGCCACAGGGCAGGCACCACGCAATTCCCATGATCCAGTCGCCTGCAGATGCGGAACGTTGGACGGCGTTAGTGTACTGCGCAAGAAGGGTCTGGATGTCGCCTTCTCTTATGCTCCGAGTTGGATGTTCTCCGTGCTTACCAAGGTAGTTCATATGGCGGGACCACTTCCACCAGCCGTCCACAAGCAGCCGCGTGCCGGAGGCCGTTTGGATGAACTTGAGGTTCTTGACATGCGGAGCGTCGGGCTTGGCTCTAAAGTCATTCTTCTGCAGATTCGAGCTGCGGAAGATGTAGAAGCCAATGATCTTGACCAGCAGGATGCCACCGAGGGCGGCGGGGCTGAGATCGATGGGATACAGGGTGAGGTAGCGGGCTTGCAGGGTGTACACAAAGGGAACCCAAACCAGATCTGGGGAGAGGAAAGGCCGGCCAGTGCGTGTTAGATCTTGGAAAGAGCCAGCTGCCGATGCGGCAGCATACGACCCCGAGTTCACATGCAGGTGCCGTCGTCAGGGGCTCACCTCCATAGGTCAACATAAACCTGGATGTGGGCAAGTTGGGCGTAGCCAACGACAGCGGGGGGACACGGCAGGAATTAAGACATTAGTACATCCTCCGAGTCAGCGAAACGGAGCACGTTGCATCGTGGGCGCTCGCCTACCCGAAACCATCCTGGATAATGTCCATGGTCGTGAGGATTGCCTCTTCGTTAATCAGCGCATCGAGCACGTAGTAAATCTCAAAGATTTGTACGAGGATCATCGAGTTGGTGACCCGGCCGAGCTCATGGTACTGTTTGGCGGCGTAGCTCAGGTTCAAAATGGCCCAGAGGATGAGCCCCGGTCGCAGCTCGCACAGGTACTTGAGATCCAGAAAGCCGAGACGGGGGTTCAGCTCGCGTCCCATCCAAAAGTCGTAGATAAAGTTGCCCGAGTTGCCCACGAGCGACATCAGCGGTGTGTTCGAGCGGAACGAGTACAGGTACAAGAACGTTGCCTGGGCAAGTGCGTAGGCGGTTGCGGCCGTGCACAGTGGCAGGGTGTTCTCGGCAATCCACACGAACGGGGCGAGCCCGTAGAAGTACAAGGCACCGCCGAGCAGAGCGGCCGTCAGGTATGCCATGGTCAGGCCGTTGATCTTGTACTTGAGGCGACTGTTGTTGCGGAGCATCGTGCCCTCGATGATCCTGCCAGGGACGACGAGGTAGCCAACAAAATGGAAGCTAATCCAGAGCATATACACTCCAGCGGCCTTCCAGTCCCACCACTTGAGGGCCGCAATGTTGTCCAGCACGGACTGCGGGTCCGTGACCAGCACCAGCGGCGAGCAGCTCTCCTTGGTGCACAGCGGGAACAGGCCCAGGGTGGTGACGATCAGGAGCGGCACCAACACAGCGGCGCCCACGGGCCCGAAGAATTCGTAGGAGGTGGTGCGCACATTGAGCTCGCGGTTCTTTTCGGCGACGGTGCTGCTTCCGGCGGCCATGGTGGGTGCAGGCTTGGTCCGCAGGGGAGATGATGGAGTCGGGGGGTGATCGTGCTGGGAGCCTGGAAGAGACAGTTGCAGGCTCGAATGGCGGTGCTGGCTGGGATGTGGCGTGACTGCTCAATTTTTGATTGGCTGGCGCGCGGAAAATGGCGCTGTCCAATGGGACGAGAGAGCGCACACCTGGAGATCGAGTCGCATGAATCGCCGTCGCCTGGGTGGTGCCTTTCGCTTGCGGGGAGCCATCTGGGCGAGAAAGCGTCCTTGCTTGAGATCCAGAAGCACATCACTGAACGGTCATGGCCAGCACGCGATGTTTTGAGTGATAACATATTTGTTCAACATCCGGGGTGTCCGTTTTTATTGGATTGGCTATATTTTGCAACGGCTGCATCATCGACCGGCCTATGGAGATGGCATCGGCTCCAGAGCGAAATCTGCCATATCGGCGGCTCGCGCGAGCGACACATGCGCCTCGATCCTCAACCAAACGACCTCGTTGGCACCCTGGATGTCGTGGGCTCGCTCATCGATTGTGTCGCACGGACGCACACTCGACGCCGCTACTTTCCGGCGGACTTGCCCTTCTTGCCACTCTTCTTGGCGCCAGAGGCACCGGTCTCGCTGGGCTGCGATGGCTGGGCCGGAACGACGGTCTCGCCGCCAGTCTTGACAGGAGCCGCGGCGTGCTCCAGCTTCGAACGAGCTTCCAGAACCGCACGTTCGGTCAGCGACTTGAGAATATCGGCAATCTCCTTGGTGCGCTCGTGGTCGTCACCCAGCTTGGCTTTGCAGTAGTTGTAGACAGAGCGCTGGATGTTCAGAGCCTTGCGGAAGTCTCCGATCTTGAGAGCACTCTGAGTGAGTGCCTGGTACGACTGGATGGTGGCCGGATGGTCCTTTGTCAGCAGAGCCTCGTTCTTCTCGGTGCAGCGCTCGTAGAACTTGAAGGAGAGCTCCCAGTCCTCCAGCTTGGCCAGCATGGCACCAATGTGGTCGTCGGCCGTTGGTGTCTCGGCGCTGGCATGAGAGAGCGAGAGCAACTCCCAGTACTTGACGGCGTGGCGCATATATGTGAGGGCCAGATTGGTGTTGCCGTTCAGGAACTCAAAGTAGCCCAGGTGCATCTGGGGGGCAGATGGAGGTCATTGGTGAGGCAGGGTGGTGAGCACGGCTGATGGCACAGGAGCGCGGCAGTTGTCGACACCAGGCGGAGTGGTGGTGCGCCGTCGATGCTGCTCCTTGCAGCCGCAAAGACTTACGTATTGCTGAGCAGTCTCAGGGTCGTCGACACCATAGATTCGCTCGGTGCAAATGACGGCCTTTCTTTGGAGAGATAGCGCAGCCTCTGTCTCCTGCGCCTGCAGTTGGAGCATGGCGAGACGGCCGTAGAGGCGCTGTGTGTCTGGGTGGATCGGGCCGTAGACTTGCTCGTAGATGGAAAGAGCTTCGTTGAGCAGCTCTGTTCCGAGCTTAGGGTTGCTGTCCAGGCTATTGATGCCACTGTCAACAGCATCGTCGCCAAAGTTGGTCTGTGAATGCAAGCGACTGGAGTGAGAACTGCAGACCTGGGTAGCGACAGGTGCGGCCCGCTGTCGCCTCTGCCCATAGACACCGGAGCCGGCATGTCCCATGCAGCGATCGCCAACGAGAGGCGAGCTCAAGCAGCGCTCCAAGGTAAGCGAGGCTGGCCAAGCTAGAATGGCACCAGGCCCGAGGCGGCGACTTGTGCAAGCAGGCCCAGACGCGACGAAGGCTTACCTTGGGCTCGGCGTGCTTGACGACAGGATACAGACTGATGATATCGGCCGCAGTGAAGATGCCATGGCGAGAAGTCCAATCGTAGCCACGAGCCTCGATCTGGATACCGACTTTGAGGCACAGCGACCGAACAAGGGGCGTGGGCTTGGCGATCTTGAAGTCGCTGGGCAGAGCAAATCGGAAGCGGCAGGCCACCTCCTCGGTCACAAGTCCCCAGAGCTTGCTCGGGGTCAGGTCCGAGAAGGGCAGGGTCGTCGATTCGTCCAAGACCTGAGAGTAACGTCAATCATCGTCAGCCACCTGAATGAGTCACCACCAGACAATACACGTCAAATCGTACAGAGTGCGCGCAGGTTACTGACGTTCTGGTGGAATGTGTCCAGATTAGCCGTGAGCACGGCGTCGCTGCTGGAGAGGAGGCAGTTGAAAAAGTGGGCAACACATTCGGCAACCAGGAAGGCTGGAGTGTCGCGCAGCAGCTTGCGGAGGATATGCTTGGCGGCGCGGGCAATCATCTCCTGAATGCAGAGGTCCTAATGGGACGAGAGGCGAGATGTGAGTCCATCGGTCCGGCTGGCAGGCAATGGCAGTCACAGGCCCTTGGGGGTCGCAAATCTCGGCACCATGCCGCGGGCATCGACTGCCGCAGAACGCACCTTCAAGTAGGCCACAGGCGACTCCTTGAGGTCATCAAAGAGCTTGGCAATTTTGCCGAGGTATCGCATGTTGACACCGCGGCGGTGGAAGAAGCGCGTGAGCCCTTCGCCGTCGATCGGGATGTTCAGACTGTAGTTGACCAGTTGGATGACCTGCAGCGAGGATCCTGGTGAGCACATGCACAATCCAGACCGCAAAGGCAGCAGCGTGGGGCTGCACCCAAAGTCGTACCAAGTTGGGCAGAGCAATGCCGTTAAGGAACCGAGAGGCTTCACGGACAACCTCCTCTTGCTCAGAAGATGCCACGGCGCCATCGCCTTCGACAGACTGAGTCAGCGCATCCACATTGAACTTGAGGCTGAACTTGAGGGACTCGGGGTCGATCTCGCCATCTAAAGATGTGCAAATGCGTGTTAGGGGGAGAAACACCAATCTGGGAGTGTGAACAGTGGTTGGGGTGCAACACAAACCTTTTGCCTTGGCCAGCTGTGGATAGGCAAACCATATGGTCAAAGACACGGTCAGTTACATCCATTCAAGTTGTCGTTGAGCCAAACAAAGCTGTTGCTTGCGCCAGATTGCCAGCACGAACGCAGCCGCCTGATCATGGCGCCCCTCTGTAGCATCCGGAGCTGATGGAGTCACCATCCCGACAGCCAAGTTTGTCCAGGCGATCCCGGGCAGCCAAACGAGCGGCAAATCTCGGAACAGCACACAGCGATCTACAGCAGTCCCGACTACCCGCGCAGACACGGGGAGTCGGACCAAAACCAACCTTTTCCTGGTTCTGGATGAGGAACTCTTCGACCTTGCGACTGTAAAAGTGCTCGATCAGCTCGGTGCGGAGAAGAGGGATGCCGTGTGGGTATTTGGGCATGTCGCTCTCCTCGGCCGTTTCCTGCAGGAAGATCGTGTCCAGTGGGGTGATGCGGTACAGATCCAGGAAGTACTTGCGGCCGTCCGTTCCAAGAACGCCCTGGCAAATCGGATCAAAGTCAGTGGCTGTTAGTGGTGGTGACTTTGGGCTCGTTGGGCGAATGCAGAGGGGCGAGCCTGCGATCACTTTTCACATGAATGACGCACGGCCCTGTAGAGGCTATCGCGCCAGCCCAGTACAGCCAAACGTCTTTGGGCCTACCTTGGTGTCGATGGAAGTATAAAGCTGATGGGAGCCCTCGGAGCCGACGATCTGATGCTCGTCCAGATGCAGAGCCTCGGCGATTTGGGCGGCGGCTTCGTGGAACTCGCTGTCAGCCACGACATGGTTTCGGCCATCGATAGAGCCGTACTTGATCGAAGACTCCTTCTCCTTCTGAACCTTGAGGATGCCCGGCACAATGGTCTGCGCGACGATGCGGTAGCCTCTCCAATCGATGACTGTGGTGCCGAGGGTGTAAACGCCGTCGAGATCAATGTTGGAGAGGGCGCGAACGCCATCAACGTCCTTGCTGACGGCAACATGGGCAGCAGCCGGTCCGCCGATATGCTCAAAGTTCTCGCGGTGGTCGTATGAGAAGAAGATGTTGTTGTGCAGGAACATCTGGGCCTGATCGACCTCGTTCGGGTTCAGCGACATGACGCTGCGATCGACGATGGCCATGGCACCGCGGATCGAGGCATCGACAAACTCCGAGTGCAGCTTGAAGATGGCTTGGTCGCGCAGGACCCGCTCCTGGGGGCTGTCCTTGGGCAGCTCGCGAGCCGTCTGGAGCTCCTCGTTCCAGTCTCGGGCGCCAAACGATTCCATGGCATCGGCAGCATTGACATAGGCATCGAGAGCTCGGCCGGCATCGGCGCGGTGCTTGCGGGTGCGGACGGCCCAGGGATAGACGCCTGAGTTGGAGATGATGTACTCGAAAGGATGGCGGGCAGTGGCGTCCTGGAAAACCTTGGCAAAAGTAGTCTCGAAGGAGGGGCTGGCCTTTGACAAGCAGCCCGGCAAGGTGTGTGCTCGAGCGGATCGAGTCGGATGGGGCTTGGGATCAAAGGTGTCATCGGTGGAGCTGGAGACAAAGAAGCCCGAGGACGAAGCCGTGATGTGCAAGGCTTGATCGTCGAGGGTGACGGCAGTGAGGTACATCAGATCGCCGGCTGTTTTGCGGTAGAAGGGTGGCGGGTTCCAGGCCGAGATGGTCAGCTGCTTCAGACACAATTCGCCCTCGGTGCTCCAGGTGACAGGAACAAAGTCCGAGAGAGAAGACTTGTCGGCAGGGTGATCAAAGTCGTAATCCGAGAAGGCGTGGGTCTTGGAATCTATGACCGACCCAGGCCGGCGGGAGCCAGCGAAACAGGTCAGTGAATGCGAGCAGTGAATGCGACGGCTCTGCCCACTGACTGGCTGCACAAACTCACCCAAAGGCTCGCCGACTTTGATCGTCGACAGAAACGTGGGAGAGGGATCGACGCCAAAGGTTGGAATAGGCGACTGGAAGTTGGTCAAGATCTCGCGGCATCGGGTGATGTGGACACGGACCTCTCTGTCGGTATAGACATCTGGAAGAAAGCGAGACACATCGGGTTCAGAATCCGCAAGTGACAGGGCGATGTCGGCAGCCAGAGAGTGGCTCGCAGCCAGTACGAAGCGTACCTTCCATCATCTGCAGAGCACTATCGGTTGACAGCTCCGGGATATCGCCAAGCTCGGTGACCTCAGTCAGGCGCTTGCCGCTGAAGGTCAGATAGAAGCAGGTGTAAAACTTGGCCTCTGGAGAGTCAAAGATGAGCTGGCGGATCTCCGAGATGGTGACGTGGGGATGGACCTGGCCGACACAAGCGTCAGAGAGGGCAATCAGCGGCTGGACAACTTCTTGCCAAACCAGACGCCCAGAGATATGTGCACGCAGCCTCAGACAAGACGGCCAGGCAGACAGACACAGCGGAGCCTCCAACCAAGCAAGGCTATCGGCACAGCTGGATAGACGCTCGGGGGCCCAAGTACAGGCCAATCCATAGGGACGATCTTGGAATCAAATTGCACCACATCGCATCGCATTCCGAGTTGCCGGCGCCGAGGCAAGATACACACCAAGAACTGAAGCTGGCCCTGGTTTCGGGGCAGGAGAACGGTCAGGGGGAAGGTCTGGTACTCGACTGACGATCGGGAGGCAGAACAGAGCCGGATCGTTAGTGCCGACAGCCGCGGTCGCAAGCTCCAGCAAATCGCAATCGGACACAGCGACACATACCTGGCGGGTCAACCGGCACAGCGGCATGCTCATGGAGAGACTGCTCCTGGGCCTGCTCCTGGGCCTGCTCTACGGCGGCGGCAGGCTCCACAGCCGGAGCGGGTTGATCTGCGGTCTTCTTGGCACCCGACTTTTTGTTCTTCTTTGATCCAGCCATGGTGGTTGATCGACGTGGTGACTACGACGGCAGGTGGTCTGGACGAGGTGGGAGGGCGAAGGTTCACACAGGAGGGAGAGAAGGAGGACAGACCGGGATCTTTGATCTGCGCCAGCTGGATCGCTTGTGGTCTCGAGGCAGAGCAGCATGGCCAGCATCGGTCATGTTTTCTGGGGGGTTGTGCCTTTTTTTTTTGGCCTGCGTGTCGGGTGTGGCGTCCGCGGAGAGAAAGCGCAGCGCGGCGGTCGTCGCCGGCATGGGTGTGCAATGTGCCATGTGCAATGTGCAATGTGCAATGTGCGGTGTGGGACATGTCGGCGACGATGGCCGGAAGAGATTACAGGCAATCCAATAAAAAACGGGACACCCGGGTTTTTGACCATTCATCGAATATTTTGTTACCCAATGTTATCGCGCGCTGGCCATGACCATTCGCCACACATCCGACTTTCGCACCGCCGCATTGCGATGCTACGCCCTCATCCATAGCCTGCGTAAGGTCGCCTCCATATTCAGTGTATCCAAGAGCACCATCCATCGATGGCACCGAGGATGCAAGCTGGATGACCCATCCCGGGTCCCAGCTCGCAGATCCACTTTCTTCGAGCAGGCATGTCCAGTCATTCGCACCCTGATTGAACAGGACCCGTTCCAGACTGGTCCTGTGTTGCGATGCAAGCTCGAGTCCATCCTCCAGAGGAAAGTTTCACTCTCACTCTGCCACACTGCCATCCACCGAGCAGGTCTCTCACACAAGAGGGCAATACACCTCTACAAGTCCAAGCGACTGGATGAGCGAGTGGCACAGTTCAGGGACCGGGTCCGCTCCATCGACCCGCGGCGATTCGTTTTTGTCGATGAGACAGGGATCAGGAGATCCATTTTCCCTCTTTACGGATACTCGCCGAAGGGTGCTCCGCTTCGCCAGCGCAATCACATGAAACACAAGTCTGTCTCGGCTGCATTTGCCATCAACCACTCTGGTGTGCTGCATCGCATGTACATCCCCACATCATTCAAGACACACTCGATGGTCGAGTTCTTTGAGCGAGCGAGCTTCCCAGACGACTCTGTGATTGTGATGGACAATGTCAGCATGCACAAGACAATGGCTGTCCTGGACTGCATCGATCGCCGAGGATGGTCAGTGATCTTCACCCCACCTGCCTCACTCGACTTCAATCCCATCGAGAACTTCTTTGGGATTGTGAAGCATCAGTACAGGAAGGCAGCAGCGCTGAATGCGTCCGAGGGGTTCAAGATCGGGATGGTGACCTTGTTTGAGTCTGCCGTTCGGAGGGTGCTTCCAGATGTCTTCCCACGGCTGATTGAGCGAGCGATGCGCTTCTGGGGTTGAGTTCCCTCCAATCAAGCCGCCGTTCTCACGTTCACATCCCTGGCTTGAACCTCTCGGCGATTTTTGAACAGGTCGCTTCCCCAACCAGCCCGCGCAGACGGGTTCCTGCTCTCGGGTATAAATGCCACACCTTCGTCCTGCTGCTTTCTTCCCTCATCTCGCCTTGATCTGATCATCGCGCTATTGTACGATAAAAAAAGTCTCTGCTCTGACCAGTACCACTGGCAGGCATCCAGCATCCTGTGCCCCCATGCCTCCGAAGCGCAAGGGTACCGGTGATGGCCAGCCTCGGCCACCCAGGCCCAAGAAAGCCAAGTCACAGTCGGAGCCTGTCTCTGGTTCGTATTCTGACCCCACGCATGCTTGGTCGTCTGTTGCTCCGTCGCTCACCACCACTGCTTCTGCAGATCCAATGGATGTCGATCCCACCGAGCCTGGTCCATCTACTTCCTCGAGTACTGGCAAGCGATGTCGCCAGTGCGATGGCACCGATCACGAACGCTGCAACACTAGCAAGTGTCCCAAATACCGGCCCCTCAAGAGTTCTGTCGTCCCACTCGTGGATGGAAGGTCATCCGCCCCTCAGTTCAGCTGCTTCAAGCAGACGATGGATGGCTGTTGTCTCAATCCCGCTCTCCGCGACAAGATCCAGGCCACCGTCGAGGCCATGACCCAGATCCAATTCGAGGCATCCAGGCTGCTCAACCTGCACATCCTGAGGTGCATCGAGCAGGATCTTCCCGTCCCCGTCATCTCCAAGTCCACCCTGCTTTCGTTCGCCAATGCTTCAAGATTGTCGAGGCCGATGCCCTCTCGCCGACCGGGGACAATGAGAAATACAACGAGCATCTGGTCGCTTCCTTTCGCGACTACCAGACCACTCGGCACGCAGACCTGCCTCCGGCCCCTCGTCTGCCTGATGGTGCTCACAGTCAGCTTCTCACCCTGGCTGTCAATGCCTATGCCACCAACTGCACCACCCACCTCAACCTGGCCTACTGGCGACTCCTTCGCCGCTTCTGCGCTGCCGTCTTCCCAGCCAACAAGCATAAGCACGAAGCCATCGAGGCCTGTCTCGAGCTCTTCGAGAAACCAGGGCAGACTCCACCCAAGGCCGATCTCGAGTTCCTCTACCCGGACTTTGGCCACGTCCTGGACGAGTTTCGGTACAGCAACGACCAGGACCGCTTCCGGGCCCTCCATCGCCTCTCACACCATGTGGGAATCCTCGCCCGGGACAAGATGGTCGACAATGTCCACAAGTGGATCGACTGTGACATGCCCGCCCTCCGAGTCACCGAGCTGCAGCGCCAGGCCAAGCTGGACGAGCTCACTGCCCAAGGCATTCCCTCCGACGACAAGAGGTTCACCACGGCCAAGTCTGAGCTCGGCACCACCAAGTCCAAGATCAACAAGCTGGCATCCAGGATCAACTGGGCCCTCAAGCAGCTCGCTCTGGACACTCCTCCGGCCGTGTGCACGATAGTTCCTCTATGCACAGCCAAGGCCAAGTATGTCAAGATTGACACGGCCACTCTCTGGGAACTTCTTGACACCGAACATCGTCTTGGACTCACCAGGGACATGCTCAAGGAAGAAGGTGAGGACGGTGTCAACAACCAGGATCGACTCTGGCGCAGTTGCTTCAAGCTGCGTAGTTCCCTCTTCCAAGTGCGGGTCAGGGACAAGAAGCTGTTCAACTACGAGATCAGCACCGATGGAATTGGATGCACCATCGGTCTCGTCAAGTTTCTGCCTCGAACCGATCGCACCGAGACCTCCGAGCCTCCTCCGACCGCCGAGCAGCGTATCCAGGCCCACATCGGCGACCCAGACCCCAACCGTACCACTTGGATTGGCATCGATCCTGGAGTCGGCTCCATCTTCACGGCGGTCATCCAAGCACCAGGCCACCAAGACGAGGTGGTCTCATTCTCCAATGGCCACTACCAGCACATGTGTGGCCATACGTCCAACACCAGGTGGCACAACACCATGAAGTATCGACTCAGCATCGAGACCTGGATGTCGACCACCCCCTCGCCCAAGGTGCCGTCCTCGGAGGCCTTCAAAGTCCATCTCACCCATGTCCTGCAACCGGAGCTGCGAGTGCAGCTCGACTTCCACCTTGGCAAGAAGGCCCGTCACCATCGATTCACGGGCCACAAGAGGCGCCAAGTGGCCGTCGACAGGATGTGCAAGGCCGTCCTGAAGCACGCCCCGATACGGACCGATGTGGTGATCGCCTTTGGCAATGCGTCATGGCGACAGGGCAAGGGCTATGCATCCAGCCCTCGGAGGCAGCGGTTTGCTCGGTACTTTGAGCAATTCGAGCACCACCGACGCCGTCCCAATCACCATCATGGAAGCGTCAAGGTAGTCTCGACGAACGAGTTCAACACCTCGCAAGTGTGCTCCAAGTGCCTGGAGCCAGTTCGGTTGGAAGGACTCGATGCGCCCAGTGTTGCGAATTCCCACTTTGTCAGGAGCTGCAAGAATCCCAGCTGCCGGACAGTGTGGAATCGCGACGTCAATGCGGCGCGCAACATGATCACAGTATGCAGGTCGATTGTGGAGATCGGAGAGCGACCGGCGGTGTTCACTCGGAGGCTGCCAAAGTGATCTGTTTTATTTCTTGTGGCTTTGCTTGACGCAAGCACAGCACATACTACATGTTCATGGAAACGGCTATATTGTCCCGTTTTTTTCTGAATAAAGTGTAGGTAGATTGCCACCACGACCAGCCAATGGCCGAATCAGCAACAGTCGCGGTGGTGGTGGATCAGGCAGCCTCCCATGGAAAAGGAGTGTGTCGCTTTTATTGCTTTGAGATCAAGGTCGCCAGGCGCAGGGCGCCATCGTATTGATCTTGTGTCAGGGCGCCCTGGTCTAGCAAGATGCGCAGGGTCTGGGAAGGGCCAAGCTTCTCCTCCAGGGCGGTTGTCGAGCCAGGTGGTTTGGTGGCCTGTGAGCTCGGCGGTCGAAGCGGCGAAGCCGGGCCAAGGATGCTCCGTTGTTGGCTCAGGATCCGAAGGGCGTCCTCATCCGTGATGGAAATGAGGCACTGGATGGGGAGCATGCCAAACTTGGCGCTGGATTTGTTCATGCCAAAGGCCCATCCGTCGTCATACGAGGTACTGAGGATATTTGAGGCCAGGGAGCACACACGGATGAGTCGACCAGGAAAACGGGCTCACATGCAGGGGCTGCGGGTCGTGTCCGAAAGTCGGCAATGCTCCAAACGAGACACAGGCTCGACAGGACCAAAGTACTTTGCTCGTTTCGGGCTTTGCCAGGCACATATCCACATCGCCCAAAACGCTTCGCGGCTGAAACAGCATCCCAACTTACATGATTACCACAATGTCATTCACTCGCAGGTCAACTTCATCGGTCTGGCGCGCCGCAAAGCCGACCACTGCACAGTAGTAGTTTTTGGTGCCAGACCCCGACGACATATCGGTTACGTGCTCCGACTGGTGGCTCTCGGTCGGTGCAGAGTCGGAGGATCCCGCCAGGCTCTGGGGTGCCCCGAGCGTCGTTGACGATGGTGAAACGCTTGGGCTGCGTCGGTGCGCAACTAGCCGCTCGTTCTCGAGCCATTGTCTCGGTACCAGCCCGACCTGCGAGGTCATCAGATTGACGGCCCTAACCAGGGCTTTGGATACGGCATCGGATCGTCTGTGATTGCGGAAATCCCAGGCACACCAGCGGCCACGGCAAATGTTAGAGCATGGGTTCATACGACTGCCATGATCACTGTCCATGATGACGATAGCTCTTTCTGCCTCGCCCTTCTGAAAGTGATTCCACTCCACGGTCACATCGCCTTGCGCTGGCTCGACACGTACCTCACGCCGACAATATCTCCGACCGAGATCTTGACGTGGTCTCGCTCGGTCGGGTCTTGAGCATGCTTTGCTACCAAAAATTCAAACAGATTCAGGGCTGTGGCCATGTCGACGCCGGCCGGCCGGTAGAACTTGCCGACTGCGCTCGAGTCCAGGGCCATGTGTCCAAGCTCGGACTGCAGATTCGAATCCGAGCGGCTGCGGCGGGTATCGGCCACCAAATAACCAGAGATGGGCTGCATGCCCGTGGTCACAGAGGCGGAAGAGTCCAAATGGCTCGGTGTCGAGGGCCGAACGAGGTGCTGAATAACGCTCTGAGTGTACAAGGCGGCGCCAGTGGGAGTTGCCCGACCGGTGCTCTCTGGCGACGATGGGTCGGCTGCTCGGGATGTTCCATAGCGTGAGTTGGACCGGATCAGCGGAGCTTCGTCGCTGGACAGCCTCGAAAGATACAAGTCGTCGTTGAAGGCCGAGTTGCGCGACGAGTCAAAGGACTGGTTGGGGAAGGCGGGTGCTGCCGGTGTCTCGCCCCTGTTCGTCGGTCTGGTGGCTCGCTGAGAATCACTGACGCCCCTGGTATAAGGGCTGCCGGCTTGAAATTCGGTGACGGACTGACCCGGCGGCGGCGGCGGTGTTGTGGTTTTGATGGTCTTCAGCTCACTGTCCGGCGAGTTGCTATGCTGTGCACTTTTATGCCGGCGCCGTGCAAAGCAAACCACAGCCACGGCGATAGACAGTAGAGCGATACATCCGATGACAATGCCAATAATCAAGGGGAGACTCGGACTAACGCTTTGGCTCAGGTCTCGAGCGCCAGCGGCGGCCAGAGTACTCATACTTGTGGGGAGCACGCCAGAGGGCTGCGTTGGGTTGGTAGCGGTGCCGTCTCCAAGCCCCCCGGAGACTAGGCCCTGGGCACTTCCAGATGGCGGCTCGGAAGGGGTGGCGGATGCAGCGTCAGATGAAGCAGAGGACAAAGTGATTGATCCAGGTGAGGCAGCAGAGGACTGGATACTGGTGGAGGTGCCAGGTCCAGGCAGGCTTGAAGTTGGTGATGGGGCCGAGGGTGACGTTGCCGGCGGCGGCGGTGGAGGAGGAGGAGGAGGAGGTGGTGGTGGTGGTGTAGTGAACTGAGCCCAAAGTCGGGGACGACAAGCGAACGCGGTGAGAATCGGGCGGTGTGCACTTTGCAATGTGCGGTGGATGGGAGCGAGCAAGGGACGGGTCTGCTGGCACTGTTCATTGCTGGGGCCAACCGATACCCACCCAGTAGACTCGAGAGTCCTGGCTGCTTCCTTCGGGACTGTTGCTGTAGCACGGCTGGAAACTGGTGCTCTTTTGGAAGCACATGCACTTGGGACAGAGGTCGAACCATCCGCAGCTGACGAGATGCAGACGCAGCTCCTGTGTCGGCGAGCAGCTGTTGGCGCAGGCTTGGAGGGTCGAGGTGAAGCTGCTCGAGGAGCTGTCGTCGATGTCGTAGCCTTGAGTAGGATCGCTCCATGCCCAAGCCTCGGAGTCAGAGCTGATGCCGACGCATTTTTTGGTGTCGTAGGGAGCATTGGCGGCAGCTGCATTCTGGCCAAGCAGTCCAGCGACGATCCACACGACAAGCGGCGCAGAGAGATGACCGTGGACATGCATTGCGCCCGAGCCGGTGAGGGAGGAGACCCGCGAGGCAGCGGAGCGCCGAGGTTGGTGGAAGAGGCCCGAAGGGAAGACAGCATGGCGGCAGGCCGTGAGGAGCGGGAATATATGCCGCAGGGGCTGGGGAAAAAAAGGGGGGGTCGCTTGGACGCGCGAGAGGCGATGGCGCTGGGAGCAAGCAGGAGCCCTTGACCAAACACACCACCCAGCGCAGGAGAGCAGCCACTGGGGGCCCACGGCAGGAGTGTGGCAAAAGACAGCGGCCGGGACATGGAAGCGCCAGTGCCGAGCAGCTGTCGGCCGGCACGGGATCGACTGGCAACGAGAGTCAACGGCGGCGACGGGGACAACGACGACGAGCCCGGGGCCGATGTCATACTGGCGGGGCTGGCAAGCCGAGATCAGCGGGAGTGGACATGGTGCGCGCTGAGCCGGGTTCATAACGATATCGGGCACGACGAGCTCTGTGCGAGACGGCGAATACACGTCCGTGTCCATGATCATGCCCATGTCCATGGCGACGAGGGCGATTCGATCATCTGCACCAGAGTCGGCGATGTCAAGCAGCGGATATCAAGCGATTGGATATCAAGCGATTGGATATCAAGCGGTGGATATTCAGGAGCGACAAGCGATGTCAACATTGGCAGCGATAATCCACAACGAATATCCACAACGAATATCCACAACGAATATCCACAACGAACATCCACAACGAACATCCACAACGAATATCCACAGCATCCACAGCATCCACACGAACATCGACGACAAACAACAAGCGTCCCGCCCAATGCGCATGTACACCCGAGCAGCCGAGGGGTGCGCGTCACATGGCCGCGCGCCCGCCGTCGCACAGCGCCACGCCCTTGTGGTGCGCGCACCAATTGCAGCGCTGTGCCACCCGCCACGGCGCGCCCCAGCCAGGTGACGCCGATCGCGGGTGGGGAACGGGCCGCACCAATCATCGGGCGGGGCGCTGTGTCTCGGGGTCTTGCCCGGAATGCCACATTGTCCAGGGCAGTGCACCGCCCTGGGTGCATGTCGCATCCTGGTCATGTTGCAAGTCGAGAGTCCTGGCTTCACTGCTTCCGCCCGCAATCGCATCCGCCGCAATCGCATAATATCCACCGCTGCCATCGGAGACTCGGTCGCACTCACATCGGTCGCACTCGCATCGGTCGCTTCCCCGCTTCCTCGCTTCCCTCGCAGGAGGCAAACGGGAAAGGCTTGTCGCTGGCGCACGAACAATCGTCGTCCTCGTGGGTGATGCGAACCGGTCGGCCAATCGATGCTGTCAGCAGGGGGTGGTCGCCACCTGCATCATAAGTCCCGCCTGGGTTCGAGTTCCGATGTCGTCTCCCACAGCCGACATGCCATCCAACAGCCGGCCCGCCGTCCAAAAACCCGAGTTGCACGAGCCAGCATATTTGCTGTTCGCCAACCCACCAGCATACCGGCCTCCCGCCGACCCCTCCTCTTTCCTCTTTCTTGCCTCTTTGGGCATTCGGGTCGCCAGACTCTCGACACAAACACCGTTTTATTTTCCGAATGTGGCCGGGCTAGCCGAGGTTGACGAGCCGACCGACGGCGCTTTGATCAGCGCAATCAAGGACAGGCGCCGCTGAAAGGCCTTCCAGCCTTGGATGTACGAGTAGCTGTTGGGCGTCGCCAGCGGTAAGGCGTGGTTGCGGCGCAGGGCATTGAACACAGCCGCAGACTCCTGCTCCATCGACATGACCTCAGAGCCAGTTGCTGCCCCCGTCGCCGATGCTGATCCAGCAGCCTTGGAGGGATCTGTGAAGCTTGTGCCTGGAGCCGAAGGAATACCGCCAGAGCAGGGTGCGTGGTGCAGGCAAGTCGAATGCCATCCAGTCGCATCAACCAGGCGCCAAGAAGCATCCGACAGCACCGGGCGATTTCCAAGGGGCATCGAGCACGGTCGAGTGATCCAGGGTTTCAACATGTCCAAATCCAGGTCAGTCCAGCGCCCACGGCAATGTTGCTCTTTCGCACTCGCTCGCACACAACATCGCCAGCAACTACGAAAGCGCTCTCGACACGGGCTTGGTCCCGACCATTCCCGCCGCTCGTGGGAACAGCGTGGCCTGCATCCATGATACACACCTTTCTGGCGATTGATGTGGATAAAGTAAAGCTGGTCGTATGGTAGCGAGCGCTGGACGGCCCGTTTAAGGGAGACCGAGTGGATCTTGCAGCTGATGGAGCGGAGGCATCGGCTGTTGCCGTCGATGGGAACGCCGCACTGGACATCGAGATTCAAGGGTGCTGTGTTGGCCCAGGACAGAACAAGTCATTCCGTCAGCAGTCCGTTAAGTATTTGTTGCTATCGGGCCCAAACAAACCGGTGCAGCCTCCCTCAGCAGCACCCAGGAACAGCTACCTACTTTTAGACTTGATTTGCAGCTTGGTCAGCTTTGGCGGTGTCTGTTCCGACTTGTCACCGGACCTTTCGCCCGACTTGTCGTGCCCACCTGTGGTAAAGCAAAGTCAACATGCATCCAGAGGGCACAGCACGGACATTAAAGCAGTTACTCCCGGACACCCAGGGAATGCAGCATATTTGTGGACGAGCCCCGCGAATCCCCGAACTGCACCAACTGGCGGTTCGCCCAACATTTGCCGATGCGCCTCGCCCAGATCTGCCTCGTGTGTGGGGACGCATATCTCCTTCCAACCGCACTCGCATACCGTCCAAATCGTCGGCCTTGCGCTTCGAAACCTTGGACCGGGCTGTTCCTGGAATCTTGGCTGTTTCTGTCGCCGATGGCATCAGCACTGCCGCAGCGGTCTCGGGCATCAACGTGTCTCCTGAGCAGTGTTCTGTGCAAATCCAGAACCCATGGCGAGTACAGAGTCAGTGATCTACAACCACGCAATCGGCAGTCGCAGCGCTCAGTGCACCATCGGCCTTCCCACACAGCGGCCCTCTCGGGCGAGCAGAAGCACCGTCGGCAAGGGCTGCCCATGCCCATACCTGCGTGTCGGGCAAAGGCGGGTATAACGAGGGGCTTGCTGCATCGGGAGCAGGTGATGATGACCATTTCTTCGTCCGAGATGATCGAGCGGGCTGTGGGCAGCCGTCGAATATCGTTGTCCGGGCATCCGTTCGTTCCGTCGCATCGAATGCCCACCGCCAGAGACCATGTTCCATCCAGGAGGTGACCAGCATGTGCCACCAGCAACGTTGATAAGACGATTGTTGAGCCCGAATCCAAGTCGTCCAGAGAGATCGCCGGGGTCAGCAGATGCCGAATGCCGAATGCCACGGGTCGCGAAGCAGGTGTTGCCAGGGGCAGCCGTCCAACACATCGAGGCCGTCGACCAGCCAGACGAAAGAGTACGAGCAGGATGCCGCAAAGAGGCCGATGTGGGATCAGTGGCGAGATGGTGTGGGGAGCAGCAGTGTTAGGAGCATGAGCAAGTGCCAGCAGAGTGGAAGGTAGGGGCCGCAGAATGCTCGGTGGAGCGTTGTAGACATCCACGGCAATACATGCATGCAGCACGATCTCTGAGGGTGAGTGAGCACTGATGGGCCGGCGGCAAGCCATGCGACTTGGGCCGACGAGACAGGGACCAAAGACTCACGATATCGTTCGGTCGAAGTAATAACTTGGGTATCCTCCGGGGGATCAAAGGGATCTGCATATCCGAGAACGAGGCCAGGTTACGAACAGTTGCAAAGCTCGCCAAGGCGCCAGGCGCTGGGTGCGGTGGGGGGGTAGTATCAATCGTCGATTATGCAGTCGCTCGAGAGACTGAGCGGCAGTCTGCGGATGCTGCGGGATCAGAGAGAGGGGCCGGAAGGAGTATCGGACGCTGCAGACGCACCCTCCAGGAGCCCCAGCGAAGTCTTTATTGAGGACCAAGTTTGGCCCTGCTTTTCCTTGATCATTGTCGATAGATTGTTTTGGGGCTCGGCGAGCAGCAGGCGCGGATGCGATTCGGTGTCGTCGGGATCAGCAGCAATGGTAGAGGGCGTTGGGTGTGCCTGTTGGAGGGGGGGGGTGATCGAGGCAGATGCCGATGATAGTGCCGAGGCGGGCCGTTGTGCGCAAATGGTTCGTCGGGCGTGTTTTGCAGAAACCTGTTGCGGACAAGACTCGGCGCCGATTATCCGCACACGAAGAGACACACACCAGCTCGACTGGGCTGCAGGCCGGGCGACCAGCAAGACAGCAGAAGCAATGGCCATGTCGACGGGCGGCAGCAGCATCGGGCATGTCGAGGAGCGGGAGCAGTATCGGCCGCAACCGCGCGAACGGCTGTATGATCTCGATCCGGCTGGCGGACGGCATTGTGCTCCTGTCGTGCCTGCAACTGCAGATCCAAGTCTCTCTCACCCCGCCCGCCTCCCTCTGGCCTGCGCCGGATGTCCGGTGCTTGCTCCGATATCAATGTCGATATCGACATTGATGCTCTTGGTGTTGCATCGGCGGCAGTCTCCTGGCTAGGGTTACGGTCGCAGCCCTACCTCTGGTCGCACAGCCCTTTTTTTTTTTGGACATGAAGCCGCAGCGAGCTCGGGGCTGGGCCTTTGATCCGTCCTGCAATCTGCATCTCGTATCCTGCATCCTGCATCCTGCACCCCGCACCAACCAGCGATCTGCCATGGCTTCAGAGTTCGAAGAGGTAAGGCACCTGTACTGCGCCTGTACTGTGCCTGTACTGTGCCTGTACGGCACACTGCCCCAGACTCGGACGGCGCCACATGGCCAGGCTTCTGCGCACTCGTCGCTGACATTCGTCCATCGAACTCGATCTGCGCCGTCCGCCCGACCGGCCCATCAGATTTTTGGATTCCTGAGAGATTCGCGGCCCGAGGTCCGCCTCCTGGCCAGCCAGCACGTCGTCGGGTTCACCGGCACAAACCAGCACTTTGATATCTTCAAGAAGGATGACGGTGCTGCCGTCAAGACCCTCATGGAGCTCACCCACGACACTCCGGTAAACTACGGAGCCCCTCGTCCGACTTGCAGAGGAACGGCGTTGGGCGACGAACGCAGAATCAGGCAGATGTATCGGGCAGGTGCTGGAAGTAGGCATTCGGCTGGGCTGTGTCGGACTCCCTGATCGCCAACCTGACTCAGTGCCACTTGCTGGAAACAGGAAATCTCCCATGAGGCTCTGCGCGCCCTCATCAACCTCTCGGCAGACACCGACATCCTCAATGTCCTGAACAGCGATGGCTTTATCTACCATGTTATCCTCCAAATCCTGGTGAGCAGAGAGGCAGTAGCTCCAAGCTCTGTCCGTCCGTCGCGAACACTTGCTGACACCCGTTGTCTCTTTTCGTCTCGTTTCGGCCCGTTCCGGTATGCCGACTGCCGGCGATTGTATAGCTGCCCAAGTCTCTCTTGGCAGACCTGTACTGCATGCTCCTGAACAACCTCTCGAAATACACCCCCATCACTCTTAAACTTGTCCCGGAGGACAACTACAACAACCCCGTGGCCAAATCTACAGACGATAACAGCGACGCTCCCAAGAAGCGCACCCACCAGCTCGACAACCTTCTGGAGGTCTTTGTCCGGGGCGAGTCCAAAAAGTTCAACCCCGATGCCGAATACCACTTCCTGGCCGGTGTCTTTGCCAACATCGCATCGACCCGAGTCGGCATGGTGTACTTCCAGGGCCGCTCCAACGTCGACCAGCAACTGCGGCTCTCCAAGATTACCGCATACACGGAGCACCCCAACATCATCCGCCGCGGTGGCTGTGTCTCTACCGTGAAGAACTGCTGTTTCGATGTCAAGTACCATGCCGAGTTGCTGAGGAACGAGGAACTGAATCTCTTGGTCTACATCCTCCTTCCGCTGATGGGTCCCGAGGACTACGACGAGGATGTGAGTCTGCGACAGCCGCGGCTGTTGGTCCCTCTGCGACTATTTGCCATGCTGGCTTCTAACCACTCTTTGGCACATCGGCTGACTCTCTTTCGCTTCGGGGGGGGGGCGGATGCATCCAGGATTACGAGGGCATGCCGGCCGAGCTCCAGTTGCTTGAGCCCACCAAGACCCGCGAGACCGACGCCAACCTGCGGCAGATGCTTGTCGAGGCCCTGCTTCTGCTCACCAACACTCGCAACGGCCGCGACTACCTGCGGGCCAAGAAAGCTTATCCGATCCTGCGAAACCTGCATCTAATTGAGAAGAACGAGGCCGTCCGGGATCGCATCGAGCGCTTTGTCGATGTGGTCATGGCAGACGAGCCCAAGGACAACAAAATCGAGGAGATCGATGACGACTCGAGCGACGAAGAGGAGGCTACCCATTTCGAAGCCATTATCTAGATTGCGTTGTTGTCCGGGCCCCATGAATGCGTTTGATCGCATGGCCGATATCCATCTGAGCCCTGTACGGTGCTTCCAAGGCAATCAAGGCACCCGCACTTTCAAGGCCCAGATCATGGGTTGTCCTCGATAAAGGTGCCGGGAATGGCCCAGGTGCTGCTATATTCCTCCTGTGCTATTGAGCGAGCTAATAAAGCCGACCGGGGTGCACTGAACAACGGCAGAGAAGAAAGGAAGATGCATGGAGAAAACAAGGGGGAGGAAAGCAAGCCATCAAAGGAAAGGAAAGGAAAGCAAAGGCGCGGAAGGAAAGTCTACATTTGTATCGACAGTACATGCATGCCCGTGCTCATCACCACCACCAGAACCGGACATAGAGCACCAAGAGGACAACCAGTCCCACGGCTGCCACAGGGCCGTACTTTTGCAGAAGCGCCTGGCGATGCAGATCCCTTGATTTGTCCTTGTACTTTTTCGAGTTATCGCGCAGGGTCGACGATGCAGACTGCATTCCTGTGAAAGATCGAAGCGCGGAGTGCGTATACGCGTTAGATCCGAGCGCTGTCAGCCGGAAGGTGCGCACATGCTCAGCTGGCAGATAGAGCCGCGGGCACAGCCGGGGCCAAACTGTGCAGGGACCAGACGCCGTCAAGCCACTCATCGTACTGGAGAGTCCCTCGCCGCGACCGAGGACGTCGTTGATGTTTTTGCTCATGATGCGGTGGACGTCCTGGAGCTCATCGTTCAGCTTGTTCAGGTTTCTGGCTGTCCTTGTGTCCTTGTACTGCCGCTTGGTCTGCTGGATGAAGGTGTCTGGAAATCGTCGTCGAGGGTTAGTGCCGGCGGCCATCAAGCGCAGGCTCGGCAGCCTCAGTTGATCAGCACTGCGGTGGGATTTGACATACTGCCCCTGCCACCGAGCGATTGCAGCCCGTATCCCCGCCCTCCCAGACTCGCTCGTTCCATACCAAACTTGATAAAGGCGTACGGCCGAGCCACCGAGTTGACATCGTTTCCGTACTTTTCTTGAAACTCCTTTTGCAGGTCGTTGAGATATGCAAAGGCAAGCTTCTTGGGGTAGTTTCGATCGCAGATGCATAGATAGCAGACTCCAAACTCTATGAGGTAGCTGGATGGGATGCCGGCCAAGGTCAGCCGACACGTAATAGCCGCAGCGTCAGTCGATCGATTGAGCACGCCACGCCATTCGCATGGCTGTCCAGTCAGTTGTACTGCACGAGCTGAAGGACAGGACGCTCGCTTACTTGAAGACGAACGGGCCGGTCTCGACGGAACAACGGGTTTCCGACTGGGTGTGAAGGTTTTTGAAGAGCGCCTTGGCCTGGTTCTTGAACTCGGTGAGATCTTCGGGCTGCGATCACAAACGGGGGTTTGGACAGCAAGGGTATGTCGTACGGTCGTCAGCCCATATCGTATTGCAGTCGTCTTCTCAGACGGGAGGTTACAAGTGATGGCCAGCGAGGCAACGAAGCTCGCATTCCATTCTCCATCGCTCCCCTCGCACCCTCGCACAGATGCTGCTTCAGTCCTGACGGCAGACCTCTTCGTCGTCCATCGATGCGGCCAGGGGAAGGCCGTCTGCGACTCGGGCGATAATGGTGGATTTGACCATCGTGGCAGGCGGGGCGGGGATCGGGCTGGCTCGGGATTGATCAGATGCAAAAGATGAGGGCAGGGCGCTGTTGCCGCCGACCTTTGACTCAAGCCCAAAGCCGCCCTGGCAGCGACCCACGTGACCGGACGGTGTGGAAGGGCGTGTGTGGACGAGGGACAGAGCAGCATTCCCGCTCACTCTCACACTCGCACTCACCCCCGCACTCACAACAGAACTCGGTCGCATCTGTGAAAGCGAGCACCGCCAGCGTCGTGCGGGTGAAAGCGATAATGTATTCCCCTCATTGGTGCTCTAGAATCCTCCGACATTGGCAGCGCCTCCGCCCTGCGCGATCGATGTCAGCTTCTCTCCCACAATCTTGTTGACCTCAAAGTACTTGGCAACGCATCGGTCGACGCACACCGACTCGCCCTTGTTCAGCGTCTCCTCGATGTAGGTCTTGGCTATGCACTTGCTGTGGCAGGCGTTGATGATGCTGCGGGATGCATCCAGGGCAAGCGCGGGGGACAGTAGTCTGGTTACCAAAGGATCTCGGTCTCGAGGCGCATTCACCACAAGCAGCTCCATCGCAGCTCCATCGCAGGCCATGCGCTCGGCCGCTGCTGCGACCCCGATTCGTCGCAGCCATCCCGTCTCACGATCCGGGGTTGATGATGCCAAGCGGCTCGACAATCACGCCAGGCGCGAGGTCAATCCTGCGCACAAACATCTCGCAGATCCATCCAGCAGAGGTGCCCATCGAACATACTTGTCAAACAGAGTGGTGACCATTTCCTGCGGGTTGAGTATGAGAGAGATACAGCGTCAGCCAAGTAGCAGGCATCGGGTATCCACGTTCCTCTCGCTGGCTGAGCGGCAGAGCGAGCCCGGATTGCATCGGCTCGCAGCAGGATCAACTCGCCCATGAGCGCCTGCATCGACGGTTCGCAGCGGCATTCGCGATCGCCGTGCCGGATCCTCGCTGCAGATAATGCTAGCGCGCTCTGCATCATGTTTGCCGTCATTGTCCATCCGTACCAGCTCCTGTTCAGCAACAGCCAAACGCTGGGGGTTAACCGAGTTTTGGTTGGCTCCGAAGAAACTCATGATGCAATAATTTGGTGGGCGACAGGGGTCGAATGCAGCGGACTAGGCCTCACAGGTTGAGCGGCTCGAGCGGCGGATGCGGGTGCGGATGCGGTCCTTTGCTCCTTGCGGTGTGGTCCAGGCCGAGATATCGCTGAGGGTCAGAGTCGGCCTCGCTGGCCAAGAATGCGTTTTTGCGTTTTCTGCTGGCATCACGTGCAGCTCGTTTTTTTCGGACCAGCCCAGACCAGACGAGCCCCGACCAGCCCAGACCAGCCCCGACACCCAACGATCAGTCGACACAACCCGCAAGGCCGGTTCCGCCAGGCACGAACAAACACCCGGCAGCGATGACAGCAAGCGACAGATCTGCAGCAACGGCAAGCCAAGCGAGCACAGCCGGCGTGTCGCTCGAATTGGCGTCGGTCGCCTGCAACCGAGTCAGCCAGGGCATGGACTGCTCGCTCATGGGCACGGCCGCATACGCTGCCCACCACATGGTGGCCGTCTTCGACTCGGAGGTGCTTGTCGACATTCGAGGGCAGCCAGTGCAAGCGAATGGTGTGCGCGGCTTGATGCCAGCAAGCAGAATCTGGCAGAGAATATCGGCCCATTGGCCTCGTGCGGGCTTGGACCGCTGGCGATAGGGGATGGCCAGACGACTTGGCTTGCTCACCAAACCGATCTCGATTCTGCAGGACGCCAGCCATCGCGGAGTGCATCAAACGCTGCGAGGACATACCGACCGAGTCAACTGCGTCCGCTTCATTCGCTCAGGTAGATTTCCACCTCGGCAAGTCCCCACCCGTTGAGCATGCGCTCCTGCTCCTGATAGTTGAGCGGACTGCTCGCGATCACTCGACCGCCGATGAGGCCCAGCCAAAGTGTAGATCCTGGCTGTCTCTGGTCTTGAGAATCTCGACCAAGCCCAACTGCATGCACTGATGCGAGAGACGATGGATCACAGCCCGCCCAGGTCGCTCACACCCTTGGTTTTCGTCGTATAGGCAAAGGGCTGAACCAGCGGGACATTGGTCTGGTTTCGGGCTCGTTCGACAAGACAGCCCGCATCTGGCGGCCAAACAGTTCTGGAAAGGTAGAGCCGGTACCTTTGCAGTCGCAGTCGCAGTCGCAATAGTCGTTGGGAGAACCCTGGCAGGACACCCGCTCGGCTCGACCACTTTACTGATGGACGGACTTGCAAACACCCTGATGCTGCCAGTGGGTGTGCACTGCGACTCTCTCTGGACACACATCGACGATAGTGTGTGTGGCGACCACCAGAGGCGAAGACCTTCCTGAGGACGCAAGTCTGATAGCAACCGGATCGCTGGATGGAACAATCCGGGTGTGGGAACTCAAGCTCGATGTGGGTCTCCAAGGTAGTTGCTTGCGCTGTTGATATCGCTTCTGTCGTCGCATCGCCTCGGCCCATATACACCGAGCATGGCCGGACCATTTTCGACAAGCAACGACGCCCGGGTCAGCCGAGTCCCTGGCACTCATAGCATTCCTGGCCCCTTCATCATCTGCTGTGCTTGGCAGACACTGTCGAGTGCATCCAGGTCATCGAAACAGGAACCAAGTACCCCATAGCGCTGGCCCTGTCGTTCCTGCCCAACTCATCTGGTAACTGTCCTCGTGTGGGGAGATGGAAGGTCACGATGCTTGCCCAAACAACTCGTCGTAACTCTCGCCGCAAGGGATAGTGTTGAGGCATTATTTGAGGCGCTTGGCCGAGACGCTTGATCGAGACGCTTGGATGGGCCTCTGTCTTATTGACCTCTGTGGATGCGCATATTGACTCCAATCCCATCCAGTCCCTGTGATCATCAGCGGCGGCACAGACAACAAGCTCGGTGTCTACATCCGCTCCGGTGCGCAGGTAAGCATTATGGCAGACTCTGCATGCCTCGCTTCAGCGGAATGCGTTTACTCATAGACTCATGACAATTTACGGCTTTGTGGCTCAGTTCTCCAAGATGTTGACACTGCCTGGACACACAGACTGGGTGCGATCGGTCGACATTGCCGTTTACACCGACCAGCACGAGAACCACAGTCTCTCCAAGCATTTCAACAAGGGCGATCTGATGGTCGCCAGTGCATCCCAGGACAAGTACATTCGCATCTGGAAGATTTCAGACACTGTCTCACAGACGGGCGCCGCGACCGAAGAAACAGTCGCGGACGACTTTACCAGGGACCTGCTGGATGCGATCGCCAATGTCGAGATGTTCGTATCAAGCACTGGCTACTTCTGGACATGTGCGCATGTGCGATATCTCGGCGCTAGACTCATCCGTCATTGCACCCTTGCAGGTCCGATTCTTTCGGAGGTGGCATGCAGCTGAGCACCAAGGCACATCTGGTCGACATTCAAGTTGAGGAACACCGGTGAGTTTTGCGCGCAGGCAGCCCACCCAGCAGACACTGTGTCTGTTCGACCAGATGCCTTGGCCGTGCACGGTACTCATCTCCTTCTTTGTGGGTCTTCGTGCCAGACGCAAGCGCTACACAATCATGTTCGATGCACTTCTCCTGGGTCACGAAGATTGGGTCCACTCGGTTGCCTGGGCACCTCCAAAGAGCGGTAGCTAGCCATTTCCATATGAATGCTGCCACCCGTCCTTCATGATGCTGCAAGAGTGTGCTGATGTGATGCGACAGGCCTGGAGAGAGGCCCGATATTCTGTTTAGCATCCAACTGATTGCGGACATATATCCCATCGCACTGGCGCCTCACATTTGCTACCACTAGGTCCAGACGGCAGCTACACCCAGCCGCTGTCGCTGCTCTCAGCCTCGGCCGACAAGTCGCTGATGCTGTGGACACCCGATCCCGACACAGGCGTGTGGAACAACGACGTGAGTAGCGGACCTGCTCGTGCTGCTCCATCGCAGCGATCTGCGCCGAGGTACTCACGCCATCCTCATTGGTATAGGTCCGTGTGGGTGAAATCGGCGGCAGTCCCTTGGGCTTCCTCGGCGCCGTGTTTGGTGCCCAGGGTGAACGCATCCTGGGCCATGGATACAACGGCGCCATCCACGAGTGGATCAGCACCAGACGAGGTACAGTGTCCGCACCACATCGCAACATCTGCAGCGACTGTGTGCTTCTGTCTGCCCTGCCAATCAACTGGCTCATACGTGGCTGACAAACGTGTGTCCCTCTATCGGTGCAGGCTCCAGGACCGAGTGGGCTCCCGATATCGGCTTGGGCGGCCATTCCGGGATTGTCGAGGGCGTGTCATGGGACCCAACTGGCAGATTCGTCGTCAGCGTCAGCACAGACCAAACCGCCCGTCTGTTTGCGGCTTGGAGCCGTCCATCAGACCAAGCTTCGCAAGAGAACGTCCGCACTTGGCACGAGGTCGCCCGGCCACAGATCCACGGCTACGATCTCAACTGCATTGCATTCATCAACAACCATAGCTTTGTCAGCGGCGCAGACGAAAAAGTCGTGCGCATCTTTGAAGCACCTCGAACGTTCATCCAATCGATTGGTGCCATCACCAGGGACGCTCGTCCCGAAGATCGGCCGGTGAGTTGCGCGATACCTGTGCTGTGGCCTTTATGCGGAGCGGTTCGGACCTCGGCATCTCGTCAAACAGAGCTGTGGACATCGTTCTCGGCGACTGCCACAACTGCATGCCACGCCGATCTGCTTGGAACAGCTGGGACTCTGCTATGACGCAGAACTTGGACTGATCCGCATCCTGGAACGGACTCGACTGCATCTGCGATCGGTGCGACCCAAAGGAGGATCGCCCTATCGGAGCAAATGTCCCTGCCCTCGGCCTCTCAAACAAGGCTGTGTTTGTGGAGGATGTTGAGAACTCGACAGCATCTCACGACTACCGGAATCTGTCAAGCTACACGGCTGTTTCCAGCACGCCAACGTCGCTTCTTGAAGTTCTCAGCCAGCCGCCGCTGGAGCAGCACCTTACACAGCACACGCTGTGGCCGGAAGTGAACAAAATGTAAGGCAGATGCGCGCATCTGCGGATGCGATGGGATCCTACGCTCCCTTGCGATTCGGAGCACTAAGATGCTCACTGTCTCGGGTGACGTTGCCAGATACGGTCACGCTTTCGAGATCATCGCCGTTGCCGCCAGCCACGACGGGAGGCTGATTGCCTCGGCTTGCAAGGTAAGCCGTCGCTGTGTCTCTTGCTTCATCACGCGCCACAGGCTTCTGTCTGCTAAAGCGACATGGCCTCCTCGGAGCTTGCTGACCCCTTTCCGGCTGCCCTAGGCCTCCAAGCCTGAGCACGCTGTTGTCCGACTCATATCCACAAGCACTTGGAAAGAAGTCTGCTCCCCACTGGCAGCCCATACTTTGACCGTCACAGCTATTCGGTTCTCGCCTGGCGACAAGAGAATTCTGACTGCAGGACGCGACCGCATGATATCCGTGTTTGAACTCCGCGATGGTGCGCATTTGGAGTGCTCGCTGCAGTCGAAGCGATGGTGGTCTCGAGTCAAATGCAAACCCATCGCTCAGAGGCGCGCCTGCAGCTCGCGACGGCCCACCCGCCTCCGCACAACGACTACGATGTTATGCTCCGGCGATGGACTGACTGTGGTAACTTCTGGGATATGCCGCCTTTCATTGTGTAGGCGAGTACAAACTCAAGTATAGCAATCCCAAGTCGCACGCCCGCATCGTATGGGCGGCGTCGTGGTCTGCGGATGGTATTTACTTTGCTACCGCCTCTCGGGATAAATCAGTAAGTGCCTTAAGCATGTGCTCCGCAGCTGACGCTCTGAGTGGCTGGTGACAGCGCCCGAGAGAGGGCTATGTGTCTGATGCTGGTGCTGATGCTGGTGCTGATGCTGGTGCTGATGCTGGTGCTGATGCTGGTGCTGATGCTGGTGCTGATGCGATGTGGCGCTGTGCATACAGATCAAGATTTGGACCGCCGTCAAGGACAGCTACGAGTGTGTCTCGACACTCAAATTTGAAGAGGCTGTGACTGCTGTCGATTTTGTGCCCGCCAAGTTCGCAGATGGGTGAGTTCGCCGGCGCCAGTCTCGACGCCAGCTCCGGGTGCGCCGTATGCATCGTCATCGTATCGTTCACGACGGAATGGGCGAATGTTCCTCCCTCCTGGCCATGACTCACGCTCATCACTGCGCATTGGTCAGCAGCTACATATTGGGTGCAGGACTGGAGAACGGTGCAATCGGGTTCGTCAAGCTCCAAGCAGACGGAGCAGCAGTCACTGCAAAGATCCAGCTCGCCCCTGCAGAGTAAGTAGCGTAGGACCACCGTGCTGCGCTGCACCGGTGTTGACCGTCGGCCGTGTTTCGACCGCCATGACTCTGCCGCCCCAGATGCACCATCCTTGCCATCTCACCACAAATATGTTCACCCTCCTGCTCCAGCATAACCCACATTGCCTCGATCAAGTCTCTGGCATGGAGCCCTGTGTCATCCCAGGGAGACGCCCCGGTTTGGACCCTGTGCAGCTGCTCCGATGACAGCACCGTGCGCATATTCTCTGTCGATCCCGATCGCATCTTTTGAGAGCCTCCAGAGCAGTCCGCTTGCTAGTACAAGCGAGCACGGCCGATATAGTTTGGGCGACTAGCGAATTGACTGAGCTGTCGCGACCGATCGAATAGCACTCCATGGCTCCGGTGGAAACCCCGTGCACTTGTCTTGTTGGATGTTGGGTGCTGGGGCTATGTGGAGTTGGTGACAATGATCTCTGCGAGGGCTGGAGCAGTAACCTCCTGCGGTATGTCGAAGGCTTTGGCGTACTTTACAAGAACTTCCATCATTTCTGGATTGTCAGTCAGGCGATCAGTTAGCGTGAATGGCAGACGAGTAGCCAGTGGATCCGATGACGTCTCGAAACTACCTTTATCTAGATCGGATGGAGTTACTACCGCCTTTTTCTCTTCGTGGCAAGCCTGCAAAGAACGGTAGAGTGAGCCGAGTGGTATCCCTGTCTTGGGTCATGGAAAGCGCAAGGGCTGTTATGGCGAAGACAGCCACTTGTATGCTACAGCAAGGGGCTTCAGGTCGCCGATATGGCGGAGACATGCCGTACCGACTGGTCAAACTGGAGGTCGCCAGGCTCGGGCTCCCAGCTGAAGTGTGGGAAGAAGGCGAGCTCGGTGTTGAACAGCTTGGCGAATCGCTTGCGACTGATGCCCTGGACACCCGAAATAAAGAGTACTCGCGGGCAGCTTCGCGTTTTGAAAAATTCCTGAATGGTGATGGTGCCCTCGACGGAAGAGAGGACAATACAGACGCGAATGTTGTCGAAGGTCTGCGGAGTGATTGTGGTGGTCGTGGCAACGAGAGGTGTCAGCGGAGAGAGATATCGATGCCCTCGCACACGGATCGCGCAGCGCGATTTGACGACCATCTTGATGGAATGCCGATGCCGAGTCGGGGCCCTACATCAAGCGAAGCAAGCGGAAGCAACTGGACTCCATGGTGTCGCTTGGGAAAGTTCCCAAAGAGCTGGGTTCGGCGAGAGAGCAGCGTAACTTGGCTGTGGGTGAGCAAGCCGGCGGACGTCAGGCTGTCCATGATGGCGACAAACTGATGCTCGAACGTAGACGGTGCAATGTCCGGCAGCATAAATCCGACTCTCAGAATGGGGATGTTGGGTCGCGCATCGTGCAGTGATTTGAGGCACTTTCTGCGAGTCGCGGGTATGCGGTTTGATCGAATAGCACAGGCGTCGATGGTGAGTCATGGATGCGACAGCCGATGGCGCCCACACCTGGCATTTGCATGGCCTTGTTGCGCCGATACGTGCAGATGCAGATGCAGATGCAGCAATAGATCGATACAAACATGAGCAGAGTAACGTCGGCGACGAGGCGATTGAGATACCGGTGAGCGAGCAGCCGCCAGCCGGTACACTCGTCTCGGAAGTGGACGACGCTGATGGCATCGCGGAAGTTGAAAGGCAGATTGCGGCAGTATGGCCGAAGGGGACTCTGTGTATATTCGATGTCTTTGTTCTTGTCCTCTGCGGCAGCTGGCTCCTGGTCTCGCACACTCGCTCCTGGTGCCCGGCTGGTGCTGCTGGTTGCAGCGGTGGTTGGACGAGTGCCAGCGCTCATGAAAACGCGTGGAAAGGCTACAAAGGGCGATATGCGATCCGTCGTATACGCGAATGTGCGCACGGGTGCGTCCGAAGATGGAACTGTATATGCGAGTGTGTCTGGGGGCAGGGTTGTGCGTCTAGCTGCCCTCGGAGAGGGAGCAGTTAGGACAGAAGCGAGCTGAACAGCCCCACGATATACTCAAACCGGGACGGACAGAGTCCACACGTGGCCGCAAGGCGCAAGGGCAGCGGAAAGGCGCAAGGGGAAAAGCGCAAGACACGCCAGCAAAAAAAGCCGAGCCCGGTTCCGCCCTGCGCTTGCTCTCTCGACCATGAGCCCGACCGACGAACCGCTGCGATAGAGTCGTCTGCCGAGAGCTCGTCTTCCCCGCCGCCGACCCTGCCTGTGCTGCCGCCGTCCGGCTGTCCTACGAGCAGCCCAGCATTTGCCGCGCCGACCCCCTGTCTCATTCCTCTCCGTCGTCTCCTGGGACGAACGCTGCGTCAGACCCCGCCTCGTCAGCTTCGGCGTGTCTTTCTCTCTCCTTCAAGCCCAACAGCACCAGACCGCTGGATCCGGGCGCCTGTTGCACTCTCCGCTGGCGGCAAGCTCCTCCAAAGTTATTTGTGACAACCGGCTCGCTTGTGCCGTGATTCTTTTCATCGGCTCGAATTGATCAAAGCTCGTCTCTCAACGATATCGCTGTGTCCACACGCCTTCTGAAGAGCGCATCTCCACGCCGACTTTTCCTGAAAGCCCAGCATCCAGCTCTTCGCACTTGCATCTCCCCACCGCATTCACCCAATTCACGCATCTGAGATTTGTCAACATGGGACACGGCGACAGACCCAAGGCGAGGCCCCAGCCCACAAAATCGCAAAAGCCACCACAGGCCGCGGACCAGAGCCACCACAACAGCAGCCCAATCCGCCCATCGACTGCCCAGGAACATACCCGGACTGCCTCCCCGTACACCCCAGGAACCATGGTCCCTTGCCCAACGGTCCGGTTTACGCCGGCCGGATCCACTCCCCCGAGTCCCGCCGTCCCGGGCCCTGTTGCCAAGAAACAGCCGGGCGATTCTGCCGAGCAAAAAAAGAGTAAGCGCTCTCGCCGCCCGTTCGCAGGACACCCCCAACCCCTGTCTTCAGGCCGACAACTTTGCTGGTGCAGAGCGTCGTCTCGGTCTGGTTATGGGTGCCCAAGTGCGTGGCTGCAGCAGCTCGTCCTTTGCACTCATCCGCTGTCGCTACCGGCCTCGCAGATGCAAACATGATCTTTTGCAAAATCGCCGAAGACCTGATACAGCTGCTGAAGGCAAACGACCAGGACTCGGTGTTCCGCATCGACACGATCCGACGGAGAGCGTCGAGCCTGGTAAGCGCTGTGACGGTAGCTCCTCCGGGTCGCTCCGCCCTCCCATCCGGCCCAGGACGTCAATGACCTCCAGCCCGGGGAGGGAGCTTGTCGAGCACCTGAGAAAGCAGCCACGCGATCGTTTGACTGATCCAAGACCCCGCCTGTACCGGCACTCAAACTATGCAGTATAACGAGTTCTCGCAGCTCCAAGCCCAATTCACCGAGATTCTGACGGAGCGAGATTCAAGTACGTTGTCTCCACCGCGTGTCTTGGCATCAATGCAGTCTGCTCTCATGCACATGGACACCTCGAGCGATTCGATTCTGCTAGCCCCGAAATGCCACCCGAATCGCGCTAATCATTGATTCATCGACGCCGACATTGGCGGCACACAGTACGCGAGGACTGGAACAAGATCACGGTTCGCCAGCAGAAAATGGAGAGCCTTTGTCGGGATTTGCAGAGCGAGAATAAGCGACTGGCGGTAAGAATCTGCTCGGTTGGATCCAAGATCGATGTCCGATCGAGTGTGGCTGTCTCTGGCTGCGATGTGACTGCCTTTGTTTCGTGCATACAAAGTCTGACCCGACTATTTGTCCTTGGCTCCATCCAGGCCCTCCACGAAGATACGCAAAGGATCACGATCGGCGAGACGCAGAAGCGCGAAGAACTCGCGATCAAGTACGAGTCCAAGATGGATGAGATGTCCGAGGAGTACCGGAAGCACCTTGAGGAGCACGAAATGTACGATATCCTGAGTCGCCGATGACGGCAGGACGCTTGATGTTGTGACGAGGTTCTGGATCCATCGGTTGTCCAGTCCATGGATGGTCGCGAGCTCACGCTTTGCTCTCTGCACTAATCCCCCCCGCAGGCTCAAATCGCGATTCGAGGGCTTTCTGGAGCAGTACCAGCTACGCGAGCACCACTTTGACGCCGTGGTTCAGGCAAAGGAGCTGGAACTGGAGCTGGAGCGCGTGAAGCAAGATCATCAACGGCAGGAAACCGAGAAGGAGCTCCGCAACGTGGCCATCCTCAAGTCACAGATCTCATCGTTCGTCAAGACCGAGGAGGATTTGCGGAGAGTCAATGCGGAATATCTACAAAAGATTGTGAAGGCCGAAGACACCCTGCGGAAGAACAACGAGCTGGTGCAGTCGTATCAAAAGGCTCTGCAAAGCGTACGGATTGTATCTCGCCGCAGGCTTGATTTGATCGCCTTCTGAGCGACTGTGTGCTCTGTCTTGAGCGCGTGAGTGGGGGATGATCTTTCGGACAGAATGCCACCGATTGAGAGCGCTGATGCTGATAAGCTGGTTCGACAACGAATCTACCGATCCAGGTGCACGAAGAAAAGCAGTCGTACGTTGCCGAAAGTAGCGAAAAGGTAGGTTCCTGTGGCGTGTTTGCGAGCCGCACTGCAAGATCCTGCGGGTGTCCTGGCCCCCGCTGTCCTACACCCAGCATCAAATGACCCCCCTTTTAAACTTACTAGCCGTTTCGCGACTCTGCAGCAGAAGATGTCGGTCGAGGCCAGCGCGCGCCTCAAGGCAGCAGAGTATCGCATGACGACAATGGAGGGCCTATGCCGAGCACTGCAGGTATGAAGCGCCACCATGCATGCGTGACAATGCCGTGCGGCAAGGCGTTTTGGGACTCGCTCGGCAGTAGCTTGCCACTCTGCTTGTGCTGCGGTCGGTTCCCTGGGAACTATGTCTTGGATATGGAACCTGCCGGCGTGATCTGGCCTCTAACAATTGATGCCTCGCACAGACGGAGCGGGACGAGCTGAGAAGGACAGTTGCGAACTACGAAGCGATTCTACGGATGTCGTCGGAACCAGTCCGACAGCAGTTTGCCCTGACAAACTCGAGCCCAAGCCAACCGAATCCAGTGAGTCAACTAAATCCAACGAGCCAGCTGAATCCAGCGAGCCAGCCGAGCCAGCCGAGCCAGCCCAACCAATCGAGCAAGTCGAATCTCCCAAGTCAGCCGAGTCAGCCGAGTCAGCCGAAACAGCAAAGTCAGCCAAACCCGACGCCGACCAAGAGCCCGGCGATGGAGCGCGAGGCAGTCGACGGCGACAACCCAACCGAGATGCCGACGAAAAAGCCCGACCGGAAGGGAAAGCGAAAATAGACCCGCGACGCCCTGCAATGATAATCGACCCAGCCCTTGCCGCCCTCATGCCGTTTCCTCCGTCGATGACCTATATCTTCCCGCCCCCTACCTTCCGCTCTGGCCGAGCCAGAGTCATTCCGGTAGATCTCACCACTGTGATGGCGGCGCCCCGTGCCGACAATGCGCGATAACCACGATCCCGATTCGCGGCTCTGCTCAGCGAGCTTCTGCTATTTGCCACGGGCGGCCCCTGACTGGATCCGAGCCCGCTCGCTTCGAGCGGCGGTTGGCCGATTCGAGATCCGAGATTCGAGACTGTCAACGACGGCGACGGCGACAACGACCCGACAAATACAGCATGATAGAGCACCGCTGCTGCAGTTGGCGAATGGACCACCCTCTGGCTTGCCATGGCGCAAACCTTTGTCCCTTTCCCACACACTCTCGTGGAACGGCTGGAGAGCAATACTGCAAGCCTGTATTGATCATCATGGGCAGTGTTCAGAGAGCCAGGGAATAGGCGGCGTATGATGCATAATTAGAGCTGATCAAAAATCGCGAGCTTCACCGGCAGCTTCTCGCCCAGCCAGAAGGCATGGCGGGTGTGGTCGGCCTTGCCACCGTCCGAGGTTTTGGGATGAACAAGGACCGACAGGTTGCCGCGGTTGAAGTTGAGCCAGGGAACGACGGCGCCGAACTGAGCAGGGGTATCGATCTGCAGCTCGAACATGTTCTTGCTGTGAGGACCTGTGAGGACAGGGTCGGACAGATCGGGTCAGCACGAGGCCCCAGGCACATAGTGAAGAGAGTGGTGGTCGTCCCTCCGGAGGGCCGATGTCGGCCGACTTTTACTTTTGTTCGTGGACACGAGAAATTACCCTGGCCAAGACGACAGGCGCCTCGGCTGAGCGGAAGCAGGAGCGGACACAATGCTTTGGCACCAGACCCACTCACCGATGGGGCGATCCCAGATGGTGTAGATGCGAAGCTCAGGGAACTCGCGGCGGAACTTGTCGTGGAGCTTCTGGGCCAGTTCGGCTTCATTGGCATCAAAGTAGACATGGGCATCCCAGGCGTTGGAGCGGGAACGCGGCAGGACGGGCTCCGGGAACTCATTATAGTACTTGGAGGGCGAGTCCTGCTGTGGGTTGATGAAGTAGCCGGCAACGGGATGCTGAGCACGGGAGAGCTCGACGGACTCGGGGATGGGCATGGCGGTGGATGCTGCGGGTTGGGCTTGGGTCGATTGGTTGCGAGCGGAGCGGGAGAAGCTGGCAAAGAACTTTGAAAGGGCAGACACTTTCGGGCGTTTGCTGCGGGAGAGGGGGCTTTGGGAAGGGAAGGCCAGGCACGATGCTGATCTGGGAACGGACGAGGGCCAGGCCACACTTTTATATCCGCCTGGGCGGTTGGGGCTCGCTGGGCGCCGACGATACCGGGTGATATGCAATGTTCGGTCGGATGCGGGCTGGCACTCTGGGCGTGATTGGATTGCCCCCGTTGCGCTATTGGATTGCGCTTGTGCGTGGGACGGCTGTGCTGACGAACGTGTTGAGGAGCCAACAGCCAATCGCTGCCGGGCGGCCTTGTGCCTGCGGCATCGCATTGCGCTATCAGGGTGGCCCAGGCGGGGACATCACCAGGGCTTGCCGCCAGGCTCCTTGCGGGTCGGCGAGCGGCGCTGACATATTGGGTCGCCACCGCGCATTACAAATCGGGGCCGGGCGGATTTGGCTCGTCTGGTCGGTGGGTTGGTCGTCTGGTCGTCGAGTCGGTTCGGGGAGGGAGGGAGCGGCGGCTCTGGACGGCTGCGAGAAGAATAGGAATATGATGCCGCTGAACAAGCATCCCTGCTGCGTCGATAGAACATGTCGAATAGAGCATCTCTGTCTCTCAGTCAGAGCCACTGCCCGACCTCTTCCTTCCAGCCCTGTGGACAGAGCAAGTCTGCTCAGGTGCACTGCCGATGCGACCCAGCCCACTGGCAGCCTCGGCTCGTTGGTGTGTTCGGCTCGTTGGTCGAGCGAGTTTTGCCGATGCGGATCCAGGAACACGGAAGTGAGGCTTTATTGCGATAGGCCGAGGTGCGCGGGACAGGGCGAGCCAGTTCGCACGGGCTGCTGGGACGAGGCGGGACAGGGGCCAAGCACCAGCGACGAGCGCAGACTCGGCCAGCATGAGGACAAGCAAAAGAAACGAAGCGAAACAAGGCTGGGGGGGGGAGGAAGACCAGGCAGGCAGGAAGGAAGATCAGGCAGGAAGGACGAGTGAGTCAAACGAGGCGGGAGAAGACCGGCAGCGGAAACAAGACATGAAACCAGGACACAGGCAGAATCATAAGCAGACAAGAGGCGAGCGAGGGGCAATCATACGACGGCAGGAAGCAGGCAGCGAGGGAAGGACAGAGGGGGGCAGCCAAGGATAGCAAACAGAGCCAGGCGAGCGAACGAAAGGAAACGAATGGAAGGGGCACGGAGATCCGCAGGAAGCAACGGCGGTGGCGGGCGAGACAGATGTGGATCGATAGCGCGGGGCTGAGCGGGTGGGTCGGCGCAAGTCGAGAGATACTGCATGCTCGATTGGTTCCATCGGAGCGCCGCCAAGTCTGTCCCTCCCCTTTCCCCCCCCAAAAAAAGCAAATAGGTCCGCCGCAGGCTTGGCCATCGAGCTTGGCCACCCGGCTTGTCCCTCTTGCGATACGTGGCCACTCAATGGCCCAGAAGGGCATCCTTGCCAAAGAGCAGGTAGTCCTCGACTCGGATCGCCCAGCTTCGCTTGGTCTTCTCGACAACTTCGTTGGGCCCGCCAAAGACGTAGGTGTAGCCCATATTCTCGAACTGCGACATGATGGGGTCGTGGCCCAGGCGGATCTGGCGCTCGTCAACGACATGGTTGCGTGCGCGGGCGCCGTCGCGAGTCTTGACCGTGATCCGTCCGTCGACAACGCCGGCAAAGGTGCCGGGCCGCCAGATATAGTCATCGTTCAGATGCGACGTGGCCTCGCTTCCGGCGGCGGCGTCGACGTCCCACACGGGGAGGCGGATCTCGACTGGATCGTCGACTTGCAGCGCCGACAGGTCCTCCGACAGGTCCGCCGATGGGTCCTGGCAGGGACGCAGCACCTCGATCGAGACCCAGTCTTCGCGGCCCGAGGCGGGGCAGCGCACCCGGTAGCAAGGGTCCGTGGGATCGCGATGCCACTTGGTGTCGGCCATCACCTCGACGAGCTCAACATGCTCCCAATACAAGCCCCCGCGGAGCGGTCGGCCCCAGAGGCCGGGCTCTTTCTCGCGCACGAGGCGTTCGACCCAGTCGCCGACGGCGATCGTGTCCAACGACGCCGTCTTGGCCTTGATGACGTTGACGGCGCTCTCCGAGATCGGGCTGAGGGTGTCGGCGATGGTGGTGATGAGGGTGGTGGCCTTTTCGGCAAGGTCGGTGTCCTCCTCGGTGGTATCGACCACGAGGATGTCGGAAAAGTCGACCAAAGGTGCAACCTCCTTCCAGCGGAGCAGGGCGCGGCTCATGCCCGTGCCCGAGCCCAGGAAGACGGGCACAATCGGCAGCCGGAGCTTGTAGGCAAACTGGAACTCGCGCAGGCAGTTGTCGGACCCAGCATAGTCCCCCGAGATGCCGATGATGGCAAAGTTGGCTGGTGCAGGCCATGCGGGACGGCAGTCGCAGACGAATCAGCTCACGGCCGCACTGGTGCGCGGTGCTCTCTCTCACGGCATTCGCCATCAAACAGTGTACCCCAGCATATAGCAGCGCCGTTTACAAATACATACCGGCAAGCAGGTCCTTGGCAATATCTTCCCACGGAGTGCTGGGGCTTCGAGGGACATGCTGGACACGGAAGCCGGTGCCTTCGATGGCCTCGATGATGACGAGCGGGTCCGCGAGACCAGTGCCGCCCGAGGAGGCCGTCAGACGCGCAGAGTCCGAGAGCATGTAGCTGACGTAGATCTTTTCGGTCTTGAGGACGAGCTCGGGAATGGCCAAACCGAGCATGTTGGCGATGCCCTCGTCGCTGGTGTCCGTGGGCATGTTGACGTTGCCCGGAGCCAACAAAAAGAGTCGCTCGGAGGGATAGTCCATCGAGACGCGGACTTGGCGGGCATCGAGGCGGTAGACGTCGTCCAGAGGCGCCCGGAACTTGACCTTGACCCAGCCGTTGTCGATGCTTTCGAGGCGAGCCGGCCACCAGACATAGCCCGAGTCGTTGTCGGCGCCAGTAAGCTTGCGCGCTTCGACCAAGATGCCCTCCTTGAGACCGCGGAGCTGGAGGAAGGGCGACGGGGACTGGAGTGGCCGCAGGCTCTGCTTCGAGACCCATCGCGAAACCAGGGTCTCGTGCTCTTCCTCCTCCACGTCTTCGCTCTGCAAGTCGTCGTGTTCGCCCGTGTGGAAGATGACGCGGTAGGGGCTCTCGGCCTCGAGATCGGGATTGACCTCTTCGACGGTGGCGTAGATCCACACGACGGTTGACTCTTCCTCGGGGTCAATGGCGGTGGTGCGGATGGCGCATTCGACAGAAAGGCCGGGGACAATGCTGTCGTAGAAGGTGTAGTCTTCGGGCGGCACGAGGTTGTCGCGCAGCTCGCTGTTTGTCAGACGGCCCAGAATCTCGGACAGCTCGTCAATGTCGCTGGTCTTGAAATCCTTGGAGTAGTCGATCGCGGGAGTTGGGCCGAGGAAGTAGGCCACCGTAGATTCGGTGTAATCAAAGCCTTCGGAAATAACGATGGGCACTGCAACCAGAATGCGAGGGCGTTGTTAGAAGGTGGCGGATGGGCGGATGGGAAGATGAACAACTGAACAGATGGGCAGATGGGCAGATGGCGGATCGTCTGAGGAGAGCCAAGGAAAGCATCCAAATATACGCCACAGACACCAAAGACGCTGCGGACACCGAACCCCCTCCCTTCAGTGCACATGGGGCTGACGGCCCGTGTCTGTACACGACATGCATACCAATAGGCAGTCGCTTGTAGTTGACACCCAGATGAAGCTCGCGCAGACAGGACTCGGAGGCAGCATACTCGGGCGACAAGAACACGACAAAGACAGAGGCTGGAGCGATTCCATCGCAGTTGTACGAGCAGAGGCGATGTTAGAACGAGCGTCGGCCATTTTTCTGCACAAGACACAGCGCAAGCCGTGGACCGCGGGCCGTGTTCGGAAGGCATAGTGGGAATGTTGGGCCCAAGATGGATCCACTCACCTGACGAGATGCCCTTGATGACTCGCTCCATCGTGGGATCCCAGACTTCCAACTGCTCAATGTCGATCCATGTATTGTATCCGAGGCCCTTGAGAAGGTCGCTGACGACGCGGGGGTCGCAGGAGCTGGGGGCAGTGGCGGTATCGCCGGCACGCTGCGAGTTGGCAGGGCAGTACGAGATGAACACTGAGGGGCGCTTCTGTGTTGGAATCATGACGGACTCGCGATTCTGGTTCCCGGTGTCGAGCCGGACCATCGGGTCGGATGGCGCATCGGATGCAGGACGTTGAAATTGCCGGGGGGGAGACAGAGGGAGACAGCGACATTGAGTGAGACGACACCGTGAGCACCCATTCCCGTAGGACCAAATAGCCGGCACTCGGAAAAGCGTGAGCAAACGAATCGCAGGTCGAAGCAATCCCAGCCCAAAGCGAATGACACCCAACTGGTGCAGAGCAGGGGATGGACTCGAGCATGCCGGTCTCGGTCTCAATCTCGGTGTCAATCTCGGTGTCGATGTCGGTGTCAACCTTCGACCCGAGCTTGCTCTCCGATTCGCATCTCGGAAGCTCGGGTTTGGATTGCTCGGTGCTGGTGACTCACCTTGGCAGAGGCCACGGTGGCGCTGTTCAAGCGACCAGCAAAGGCCGATCGAGGCTCGCCCTGGATGTCGCTGGCGGCAGCGTTGCGACCGACCGAGACGGAAAGCACCTTGGGCTTTGGGGCGATACGGAAGGCGCTGGTGGTGTCGTGGGCGTTGAGGATGGCAAAGGGATCGACGCCGCGAGGGATGTTGCCGGCCTCTTCGATGGTGAGGGCAATGATCTCGGGCAGGCCGCTGGGGTTGTTGGACTGAACCGAGAAGATGTCGCCGACGGGGAAGCGGTTGCCCAGGACAAAGCCGTCGAGGGTCATGGCCATGACAAGATTGGGAGGGAATCCAAGAGTCTCGGAATCTTCCTCGAAGGTGCCCTGGACGCTGGCATCGGGCGGAAGGTCCCAGGACGAGTGGCCGCCATGGGCAGCCTCGGTTGCAGCAGCAGCAGCGGCAGCAGCAGCGGCGGCGGCGGCAGGATTGGCCGGATCAAACTGGCCATCGACCAGATCCTGAGGATGTCCCTGGAAAGACGTGCGAATCCTGGCCTGGATGGCATCGCGATCTGACTCGGCAATGAGCTCGCTGACAGTGTCGAGGAGGTCGCGGATGGTTTCGTTCTTGGGAGCCGGCACCAGGAACTTGCCACGGGAAGTCAGCACACGGATGGGCTGGACAGGGCCGGAGGGAGAGCCTCTGACCCGCATGGCAATGCCGGTGGTGGTGTCGGAGAAGGCTCGTTGGGTTTGCTGCAGGAGGTAGTTCATATCCCTCGGGAGGTTGCTAAAGAGGGGCGAGAGCGGGGACTGGTTGGAGCGAGGGGTCGGTGGGCCAGTCGGGGTGGAAGGGGGAGAGACGGAGAGAGAGTTTGGCGGCAGCTTGGAGGCGGTGGTAGGCGGGAAAGCAGGGGTGAGGTCGAGGTCTCGAGACTAAGACCGAGGTCGGGATCGAGTGGGAATGCGGCTGGGAGCGAGGGCGGTGGGTGGGATCGAAGCAGACCAAAGCTGCGAATCGCAAGACGAAGGGAGCGATGGAAGGGCCGTGGCGTGCGGGCGGCAGAGGGGGAGCGACGGTGACGCTGGCTGAGTCGGATTGCTGGGGCGTTGCAATCGATCGATCGGGTGCTGCAGACCCAGACACTGCTTGATCGCATCAGGACCGACACGGACGGGTGGACGATCGATCGAATCCAAGCCGACGAACGGGTGGGTGGCCGACCGCCTCGGGTGCTGTGATCGGTCGTTGCGGGTATCTATCGGGGCTCTGGTTGCTGCTTAACAGCTTGCCGATGACACCCAACATCTGATCGCATCCACACTCTTGCATCGCTCGCAGCAGACGCCACCATGCCCAGACAGGTCTCTATCTTCATGTACGGCGCCCTCTTCAAGGACATTATCCTGGGCGTTGACCGGTAGGTGCTCCTCGATCGCCAGCTCCCAATCGGACGCTTTGCCTCAACCACACACCCACGGCCGCGATCTATCCAGATAGCTCACCTCCATGCTATCGGTCATGGCTCGCTGGACAACGGACTCTTGGATCGGCATTTGTGTTTCGCTGTGAAGCTTCCCGGCCGAAGACTCCAAGCTTGCGGCCCGAACTGTGCAGACTCGTCGAGGAGGCAATACCGGCAACTCGCTGGTGGTGATGTCTCAGTACCTCGGCGAGAGCGACATCCATGGACAGAGAGTCGATGTGGACCTCAACATGATAGGATGCTACGCCGGCACACCCGAGAGCCAGGCAGCCGAGTAGGTGTCCGAGCACGACGCCGCTGCATTCTGGGCCAGGCACTCTATCGCGAGGCAATGCTATCCCGGATTGACGCTTTGTTCCATGTCCTTGCGTGGGGACGACAACTGCGGCCAGCGTCATGGTCACCGACCTGACCAGCCGATCCATCTCCATCTCGAGCTGCATCTTCCGCGGGCCCGAGTTCACCGACCCTACGTCCTGGATCATCGCCACGCCGTCCACCCGCACGATCGTCAACCACAACACCATGCCCGAGCTCAGCTCGGCCGAGTTTGAGGCCCACGTCTTGCCCAACATCGTCTCGGCAAGCGGCGAGATCTGGGCCCATTTCGAGGGGCGGAACTGCCTTGAGCTGTCACGGATGATCGCTCGGCTCGACCAGTGGCGCACATCACAGCCCGACCGACGCATCCGGATCTCGGTCGAGTTTGAGAAGCCGCGGCGCCTGGGCATGGAGGCCCTGCTGAAGCAGTGCGACGTGGCCATCTTTTCGGCAGTATATGCGGCCGACTATGGATACGATGCCGACCACCACGACGAGTTTTTGCGATGGATCCGGCCCCAATGTCTGCCTGGGTGAGTAATGCTGGGTGTGCGGCCGTGTGAATCGCAGGCGAATGTCGTCCGCGGGAGCTGTCCTTTGGACTCGACCACGGAAGCAGCCGTGGCTGTGGAATGCCTTTTGGACCCATGTTCAAGCAGCATGTATCTGACGGCGGTGTTGTTGTTTTCTGGATGCGCAGATGCATCCAAGTCATCACCAACGGCGATCGAGGAGCCACACTGGCGCAAGGCCCGACGGACCGGCACGGCGAATGCCTTCTGACACACATCCCCGCCGGCAAGGTGTACGGGGACGCTGGGGTCGTCGACACCATTGGGGCCGGCGATTCGTTTATTGGAGGATACATCCTGGGAATGGCGGCTCTGCAGATGGATCCTCGACCAGCATGCGAATTTGGCTGCCGGGTAGCGAGCGCCAAGTGCGGACTTGTTGGCTTCGACGGCGTTGCACTCTTGGTCAAGCCATAGGGCAACACTGCAACAATGCGAGCGGTATTGTGTCGCAGTGATGGCTACTTCATTTTTGTACAGTCGCTGGCTGGCTGACGCCGCATGTGCCCAGTGGGCAGTACCCGGGTCTGGCGACGACCAGATGACAGACGCCTCGATGGATGGTGTGGTGGCGGCTGATGGTCGGGGTGGCAAATCCCACCAGTCAAATGCAGCCAGTCGAAACCGATTAATGCCAGGCCGGCTGGTTTGGAGGACCTCCCAGACGAGCGAACTCGATGAGGGCATCGATATTGTCGACCTCGCGCCTCAACCACAACCACCTGTTCAGCCACATTGCAGGGGATCGCCCATGTCGCATCGCTGGACCATGCGGTTTCCTCCGCCCGCGTGTTTGTCTGTTCGGACAGTTCCCGTGCCAGAGAGTGGATCCGGCCTGGGCTGTATCTGCGACCAAGTGACCGGCCGACGCTGCGGCAATGCACGACACCGGCGCTGCGTGCGCGGCGGCAGACACAAGAACGTGCAGGACGGCGGGCGATGGAGGGAGATGGCGAGGACAGGGCCAGGGTCAGATGGCCAGGGTGCAATGGAGCAGAGCCGGAGGGGCCGTCACGCGGGGCGGCTTGCGTTTGAATCAGGGGCCACATGGCGAGGCAGCTGGGCATCGGACGGCTGGAGAGCCGCAGATGTGCGATGCGACGCCAAATTGATAAGAGTGCATGGCGACATGGCAGGCGTGCTATCGAGCAGCTCGACAGCGATGGCATCAGGGACTCGACAGCGATGCCATCGGGAACTCGAGAGCAACATCGAGTTGGTGCGCCCCTGGCCGAGAGCGTGGCGACGCAGCTCATGCGCCCGGCACGCGACCAGGCTCCACTGGTGCGACCGGGTGACTGCACGGTGCGCGTGTCCGGCGGAGACACAGACCCAACAGCGCGTGTGCTGCGCGCGAGTTGCTGGCGCTATCTGCGCCGCATGACACAGCGCAGTTCCACATCCGCACAGGCACAGTCCACACTGCGGCACATTCGTGGCGCGTCGGGCGCACAATGGTCGCCAGGGCACACACACACGCTGCACTATGCTGTGTTGCGTTGTGCTGTGCTGTGTTGTGTTGTGTGAATCGGCAACGTACAATGGATTGGCTGAAGGGCGGACGATTTCGAGTACCGCTGCACAGCAGCAGTGGCATCCCACAGCAACAGCAGCACCGCACAGCGACAGCGGCACTCTACAACGGCACCGCACAACACATCGCCCCCACCGCGCCAGCGGCACAGCCCGACTTCATGCCCTTTCTTTGCCCGGTGCTTTTGCGTGTTGTGGTCTTTGGGCTTTCGTTTTGGCTCTGGCTTTGGCTTTGGCTTTGGCTTTGGTCCTGTCCTTCTTTTGCCATCCCATCCATCTGCGTGGTTCTTCTGTCTGCTCTGTCGCCCGTTCTACTGCTGCTGCTACTGCTGCTGCTACTGCTGCTGCTGCTGCCCATTCCATCTCTTGTCGCTCCCGCGCCTGCATCGACGCTCTGCCGAATCGCTGCTTCCCAGAAATCCGCCGAGACAGGTTCGTGTCTTCCAGAATTCATCCTCTGCTCGCCGAGTCTTCAGCCACCAAGGGCGTGCAGACCCCCTTTTTCCTCTCCGACGGAACCACAGCCATGTCTGTTCTCGGGCTCCATGCTGCCGAAACCTTGTTTCGTCTGGTTTGGTTTTGGCTTGGCTATCGTCGGCTGCAGTCGCATGCATTCTGCGATATACTCTCTGCGATATGCACTCTGCGATATACACTCTGCGATTCGCATTCGCCATCGCTGCTGCTTGGACCACTGCGATTCGCCCTCCTCAGCAACCCGCTCTCCTTTGGCTGGCATCCCCCTCCTCCTGCCCATCCTTGTCCCCTTTTGGCCACCGGGCGAGACTCCGGGACCACCTCGGCCATCAGCTGCCCCCGACCCGCCCGCCCTTTGGCGTGCTGACCCCCCTCCTCCATCCCATCCCATCCCGTCCCATCCCGTCCTCGCTGGTGATTGAGCCTTGGTTCCAAATCCTGCAGGGTTGGATTGGAAGGTCCTTCTACGCCTCTCCCCTGTCCGTCTGCCATATCCGCCCCGCCTTCATTGCCCTCGTCCTGTCGGGGTCCTTTGGTTGTCCTCCGTAGCCTCGCCCACAGCACGTCGCCCGTGTTGCCCCCCGTTCTAACCTCCTGGCCCTGGCTGTCTCTCGTTCCTATCGCATCCATCCGCCCTGTCTGAATCTACTTTCGTCGCAACCATCCGCACCAATCAACTTGCATCCATTCCAACCACCTCATCAAATCTACCTCCACGCTCTCCACCGCATCCACCGCATCCACCAACTCCACTTCAATCTACTTTCACTCCAACACCATCAATCGACTCCGTGCCGTGCCGATCCAGTCGATTGTTTGGACCTGCCAGCCAGAAACCCGCCCGCACATCTCCCCCAATGGAGGTCTCTGTCCTCAGGCCCAGCTCCCACCCGCTCTCCGCCGACCCGCCTGTCCTCGGCCTCGACCAGCGCAAAGACCCTGCCCTCCCGCCGTCCATCCTCACCTCCATGATCGCCGACGTCTTTGGGGCCGCTCTTCAGAACAACCCACCTTCGCCCTCGCCCAGCGTCGACCCGCCGTTGCCCGACCCGGATCCGGCTCGCCATGCCTTGCTTGGCCCGGCGTCTCGGCCCTCGTCGCCGCCGTGCGCGCCGCTGCTCGATACCGCCCCGCTGTCGCCCGCATCGGCATCGTCGGCAAGCGACACCCCCATCGCCCGGACCGATATGCCTCCCTTGCCCGTCGCCGTCTTCGACTCGATCTCCTCGGACCTGCTTCGACCCGATCACCCTCCATGGGGCCCTGCCTCGTCTGATCAGCCCCTTTCTCCTTCCGACTTGTCGCTGGGCCGTCTGTCGCTGGATCCGCCGTCGTTTGATCAGCCGCCATCGTCCACGCGCCATCCGGCGTCGTCCTCGAGCGCTGTATACACGGCCCAGTCGCCCTCCGTCTCCACATCGACCCACAAGCCGTCTCCATCTCCATCTCCATCTCCATCTCCATCTCCATCTCTGGCTGCTGGACGCTCTGCCGCACTTCGATCCGCCGCCATCCATCCCCTCCCGCTCGACCTGACCTCTCTCCAACCCGTCTCGTCCGGCCTCATCTCGCCAGGATTCTCGCCTTCGCCCCAGTCCGGCGGCAGCTCGTCCTTCACTCCAACTTACTCTAGGACTCCTACCGCTTCCTCGGCCTTTGCCTCCTCAACCACCTTTGCCAATCCGCCGACTCTCTCCAGCTCCTCCGTCTTTGCCAACTCGCCTGCCCTTACCGCCACCTCGACCTTTGCCAACTCCTGTGTCCTCCCCACCGAGCTCAACACTCCCACTGATGCCTCCCGCCCTGCGCCATCCGCGTCCTTTGACAATGTCCTCTTCCAGCCTTTGCGGCTCTCACCGCTCTCCAGCACCGGCTCACCCTCCAACTTTGCCTCGAATCTGCACGACCTGGAGTCGATCGCGGACTCGGAGAGCGCAGCCCTTCCGCTGTCCTATGCTGCCAACCACGCTGGCTCCTCTCTCGAGCGCTACGATTCGTTCGACCACACCCCGCCGAGCTCGGCCCTCCCCCCCACCACCAGCCTCTTCAGCCCAGACTTTGCCTTCAAGTGGGACAACTACTCGATCGATGACGACCTGGTCTCCATCAACCCGAGCCAGGCCGCTGCCTTCGATACCAACAACTACGAGGCCGACTTTGTCCGCCACATGAATGGCATCTCGCAGGCCATCACCACTCCACTCGACGAAACCGACGACGAGGCTGACGACATCCTTGGCGCCTCCGACATCATCGCCCAGTACAACCGCGGTTGGGACGACGACGACGGTGCCGTCTCCTTCAAGCTGCAGACCCACGACACTTCGTCGCTGGTCTCTGTGCCGCCCAGCCAGGCCGACACCGATGTCGGCGCCGAGGCCCGCATCAGCCTCCTCCACGATCCGACCGACGAGCCTGCCGCCTCCACCACCGCTGCCGCCCTCGACAATATCCAAGCGATGGATGAGATCTGGAACCAGAGCCGCAACCGCGACAGCCTCGATGAAAATCCCTTCTTTGCCGAAACTCCGACCCAGCTGTTTATGCCAAAGCCCTCCGTTCGGACCTCTCCCACGCCGCGGCTCGCACCGGAGCAGGAGCGCAAACGCGTTTCTCAGTACTCGACAAGGTCGGTCTACTCGCAGGCCTCGGCAAAGTCTGCCCCGGCAGTCCTCAACGACAATCCTGATCCCAGGATACCGGCCGCCCGCCATGCCCTGACACCGTCGCCCAATGTCGAGGATCTCAACGAAGAGTATCGCAAACTGGTCGGCTCCAACCAGCTGCGCCTCATGCGCAATCCCAGCAACCGCTCCAAGCACCGCCGGAACCGCACCAAGGCGAAAAGCTCATTGAACCCCCGCGACCGCGAGCGCCGGACGCTGTCTCTTCAGATCCCCACACGCATTCCCGCCGATGCGAGCCCATCGCCGGCCTCAGGCTCGGGCCATCCTCCGCTGCCGCCCGAGACCATGCGCGACACCGTCGAGGGATCATGGGTCTATAAGCCCCGGCCGACCAACACCGGTCGCCGCCGGTCCAGCAAAACGGCCGCCGCTCTCGATAACACTTTCCTCGGAGTGATGATCTCGATGTTTGGCAAGCGGGACCGCGCTCCTGGGGCCCGAGGCAAAACCCAGTCCAAGACGCTCTCCAGAGCCCAGTCCAAAAACCTGAGCAGCTCGCCCGAAGACGACGCCTCGCACTCCTCGGACGAGGACGTCGAGCCACCCAAGCCCGTCGGTCCTTTCTTCAAGACCGAGCAGTACGACGCCGACGACTTCCCTCCCTCGGCCATCTCGAGCTCGAGCATGCGGCTCTATGGCGTGGTCGACACTAACGAAGGCCTCTTCACCATCGACGACGCTTCGTCGGTCTCGCAGTCGAACCACTCGGAGCCTGCAGAGCAACACGACCACGAGGACGAGCCGGAGCTGCCTGCGTTCAACACCAACCCGCGGCGCCAGTCCGGACACGACAGCCAAAAGGCAGCCTCCCCGTCGCCGACCCTCCATCGTGCCAGCCAGATGTCGACCCCGATCCCACCACTCTCGGGCTTGAGTGCCATCCTCGGGTTTGGACAGCGACACCGGCCCACCACCCCGGTTACCACACCGCAGTCGTCCCCTCACCCGCATGGCTCGTATCTGACAAACACGTTGGGGACCCTGACGACGCCGTTCCTGGGCAGCGGCCCGCAGCATCACCCGGACGGCGCTGGCTCGGCCGGTCTGCAACCAGGTCCCCCGCGCCGGGCCACCAAGCGCCTCTCCATGGCCAGCACTCACACCACCAACAAGGGCTTCCTCACCCTTTCCGACAGCTATATACCATCCGAATACGATACCCAGCACTATCCCATCGAGACCGCTGCTGCCTCGTATCCGTACCCGTCCTCAGCGTATGCCGAGAGCCGTCGCAGCGAGGACGACTATTCGGCTCGCCTGCCCACCTTCAGTCGCAACCCCTCGGCTGCCGGCAGCACAATCACCCTCAGCACGATCCACACGGCGAACGGCGTGGCCGGAACCATCGTCGTTGGCTCATCGTCCGGGCCCGCTGGATCCAAGTACCCAGGACACCACCTCGCAAGCCATCCGCTCCAAAGCAACCGCTCCAGCGTGCACGAGCCGCTCGACGCTCTGTCCCCAAACTTTAATGTGCCCTCAAAGTTTTACAAGCTCGGGGTCTGTCTCTCGGTCTCGGATGCAGAGATTCCCGACGACACCATCTCCAAACTGGAGACGATGGTGGGGTTCACTCAGTACATCATCACTGCTCGGGTAAGCCCTGGGAAGGCCCGTGCGATGGCCGGTGTGGCCGGTGTGGCCTGCTTGGTCGGCGTGGCTGGCGGATGCTGTGGCAAGACATTGTACAGACACAGGAGGTCCTCTGTGCTGTTGCTGCTGTTGCTGCTGTTCGCCCCAGCACGCCACAGCAGCGATCATGAGGGGTAATGCGTTTCTTGGAGCTGACCTCTCGCCAATATGTGTCTTGCGGCATCTCGGCCCGCTCTCTCTCCCACAGCTCCTCCGCCCAAACATCCCAAACTTCCGTAATCCAGAGGCCTGTGTCTTCACGGTGTACAAGCGCTACAAGGAATTCCGTGCATTCTACTACGACCTTGTGAGTTCAGCAGCCGCCAGGACAGAGGCTGAATCCATACCTGTGTTGGAGGGGGGGGAAAGGATACTTCCGGAGATCCTGCCAGCGACCGATTGGCTGATTGATTCTCCACCGTCTCGACCCTGCTCTGTCGCAGATGAAGGCTCATAAGAACGCCACCAAGAACTGGCCAGAGTTTCCTCAAAAGACCTTCTTTGGTGGGTTCCCTTCTCCTTGCTGTGCATATTGCTCTGGCAGCTCGGTTTGCTCCTCCGTTTCCATGTTTCGTACTGACTTTGATACAAATGGCGATCCTTTGAACTTGTATCCCCCCTCTCCTTCCTGTTCGCTTGTATGCACGCACATGCGCATATAGACCGATTCAGCACCAGAACTGTATCTCATCGACTACTCGCGTTTTCGGCCATCGTGGAGTTTATTTGCCTCCATCCACAACTGTACAACTCCCCGATCCTGATCGACTTCCTGGACATGTCCCCGGCATCGAGCAGCAGCGGCAGTGCATCGATCAGTCGACGGGAGAGCTTCCGGCAGGTCGCCCATGGCGGCGGTGGTGTCGTCATGTATGAAAACAAGAACTCTTAAGAGATCCAGACTCTCGACATCTGGTGTCGCGGCCTGATGAAGCTGTTGCTGCTGGTTGTCGTTGCCGCTGCTTCCCCTTCTATCGATCTCACCTGGCAGCAGCCACTCTATCGAGAACCTATGGACTGGGCCCATCCTATCCTACCTTCTCAAACAACAAAGCGAACCCCGAAGAACACATTCTCCCTTGGGCTTGTGCACGTGTGTGTACGTGAGCCCGTCAATGCACCGACTCTGGCTGGGTCCGATGCCGGTCTCTTCAAAGCCCACGATCATCACAGCCACCAAAGCAACCACCAACTCTATACGCCAAATAAGCAAAAGAAAAGGAAAAGAAAAAAAAAAAAGTCACACCGCCTCGGCTCCGCCACCCCTACTTCCCGACACACACTTCCGTCAGCGATCTTGAGAGCCGTCCAGCCGGCAATCTCATCAGCCACACTCATTCATTTGATTCCACGTGCAAAGCGACGGAGCTCGGCAAAATGCAACTACGAACACCATTTCAATCCCAACAGCAGGTGTCCGATGTAGATTGTATCATTTTACATCATTCACATCATTCCTCCATTCTGCTCTCATCCATGTGTGTGTGTGTGTCGATATTCGATCTGTGTGCATCCTACTCGTGTATGCTTTCAACTCCTCTCTCTCTCTCTCATTGAATGTCTCATCTACCGCTTCCATTTTCCCCTGTGTTTGTTAGTCTGGTCTCCTTTCACTCCCCCCCCTTTTTTGGCTTGGTAATCGTTATCTGAAGTTGGTATCCGCTATCGTGTCGTGTGTCCCTTTTGTGCACTTGTTCTTTGTCTCTCGGTCTCACTCTGGATCTCTTGTCATTCTTTGCGCTGTCCTCTTTCATATCGTTCGAGGGGGGAGGTCTGGAACATTCTCTTCTCTCGTACCCAACTCAACTCAACTCAACTCAATCCAACCCAACCTAACCCAACCCAGCTCAGCACACCATATCCATATGTATTTCTCTGTCAGACCCCGTTCGACTGGTCGCTGCCCCAACCTACACACACCCATCTTGCTCGACACCTTGTTTTTCTGATCTTGATCTGGCTGATTCAGTCTGATTTGAATGGACATTTCCTTTTCGATTCGATTCGATGCATTTCCCCCTTCCCATCTATTGTCCTTGTTGGCTTGTTCCATGACGGCTCTGAGGCAGTGGCCATCTAGGATTGCCGAAACATCCGCTTGTTGTTCTTCTTTGCCCTATCTATCTTCCCATGGCTCTATATCTATTCATCCATATCTTCCCCATGTGCTCTCATATTTGTCACTCTCTCGCTCGCCTTTTTCTCTCGCCTCTTGTCTATCCCGCAGCTTTCCCTTCCGTCTCTTCCCGCACCCCTCTCCCCTCTTACTTTTCTCCTTCTTCCCGTTCTATCGGCATGCTCGCTCGCCAATTTCCTCTGTGTCGCTTTCAGCGCCCGTACAATGAGGCGGGACATCTTGTTATCTTTTCAGATGGGAATACGCACTCATCTATCATCCCACACTGGCCATCCCAACCGTGCGAAAGAGAGTTGGAAGGCGGCAGACAAACGACAGACACAGCCCATCGTCACAAGCATCTCAGCAATCTGTGGGTCAAGGGGATTGTATTTACGGTGTGTGGAGTTGATCAATGAAACAATCAAACGAAGAGAGCCAAGCAAAGCAAAGCCAAGCCAAACCAAACCAAGACGCAAAGGAAAGAGGGTCCAGAACAAAACAAAGAGATCATGAGTGACAACGACGTCGCATTTTCGTGTGCATCCGAATCAAAGAACCAAGGGACAGTTGTCTCTGTCCAGCGGACCAAAGTCACGGATGCATGCGCAATGCAGAATGGGACCACACCAGGGCCAGCCAAAAGGATGAAAAGAAGGTTGCAAGATATCAAAGATGGGCTCCATCCGCTGAGGATCGGCGGGTTCCAAATCTGACAACCCTCCCCCCCCCTTCCGGCTTCCCGGGGCGGCGTTGAGGTTTTTAAAGCTTTTCAAAGATGCAAATGAACATGAAGAGGAAGGCGTAGGAGGAAGTTGTGAAGGCATGGGAAAGGGCAGGCTTCAAAGATCAGACACACACGACAAAGTGCTATACGGGCGGAATGATGAGTTGTTGGAGTGGCAAAGGACCCACACAAACACAATGCAGGCACAGGACCAAATGCGCTGGAGGGAGGGGGTAACGAACGAAATCAAGGTCAAGAATGGAGCAAAAGTCTGCCGAGCAAGGGTCTGAAAAGTCCTACGGTGGTGAAGGCGGAGGATGGTGTGTCAAAGACATCCTTTCCTGTCGCCATCACACGGTCTCTAAAGGAGACTCGCTCGACACATCCAGGGAATTGCGGGCTGTCACCGGTTACTCGACGGTGACAGACTTGGCCAGGTTTCTGTGATCGCGGTAGTGAACAGCCAGGGGAGGACGGCGGTTTGGTCAGATCGAGTTCGTCAGGCGCAACCGAATCAAAAACAAGCAGCACGCATCACAGAAAGCGCAGCCAAACTCTCGTCAGTGGATTTGGTTTGCTCACCTCGGGAAGTCGACGTTGACACCACGGGCCACAGCAATGTGGTACGAGAGCAGCTGCAGCGGGATGACGGTGATCAGGCCCTGCAGACAGTCCACGAGCTGAGGAACGCGGATGGTTCTATACTTGTCGGGAATGTTGGAGTCATTCTAGAGGCAACAGGGACATGACAGAGTGTCGTTAGAGATCCGTGAGCCGCTCGACAGCGAACCACGAGCCGGAGGAGCAGAGTGTAGATGATCGGCGATGGACATGGGAAGAGCCAAGGAGTGTGCGCGTGGAGCTCCCACTTACAGTGTTGCAGATGATGATAGGGTGACCCTTTCTGGCAGTGACCTGCTGCAGTGCGCTCTGGACCTTGGGATAGAGCGAGTCCTTGGTCATGATGAGAATGACAGGCTGGATCAAAAGGGAACGGCGTGGTTAGAGGGAGGTAAAGCGCAAAGAGAGCACGCCATCTCCACCACAAACCCACAAACTCACAAACCCACAACTCCGCACAGCCCATAACCGCGCAGCTTCAGCATCCAATAGATGCACCCCAGCCAGCATCAGACCGATCAAGGCCCGCTTGGCTCACCATGTTCTCGTCAATCAGGGCGAGAGGGCCGTGCTTGAGCTCTCCAGCAAGAATACCCTCGCTGTGCATGTACGAAAGCTCCTTGATCTTGAGGGCACCTTCGAGGCAGGTGGCGTTCTGGTAGCCACGGCCCATGATCAGCAGACTGGCCTGCTTGACAAGAGACTCGCGCGAAAGCTGCTTCAGCTCGTTGTCGAGAGCAAGAGTCTCCTTGATGACCTGGGGTAGGCGGCACAGATCATCGATGATGGCATTGCGGCGCTCGGTCTTGGAGATGCGGTCCTCGCTCAGCTGAAGGGCCATCATGACGAGAGCAATGAACTGCGAGGTGTAGGCCTGAGAAGCAGAAGGGGCAGGTGTCAGGAACGGAGAGAGTGCCCCGCGAGCCAAGGAGACATGGGCCGCTTTCATCACCCCGAGGAAACATGGCGCTGCTGGGACAACACCAGACTTACCTTGGTACTGGCGACACCGATCTCAGGGCCGGCGTTGATATGGACACCGCAGTGAGTCTCGCGCGAAATGCTACTGCCGACGGTGTTGGTGATGCCCACACACAGGGCGCCACGCTCCAGGCAGTAGCGGAGAGCAAGGATGGTGTCGGCGGTCTCGCCAGACTGCGAGACAAACACGCAGACGTCGTCACGGAAGATGGGAGTCTTGCGGTCCAGGAAGTCACTGGCCAGCTCGACGCTGATGGGGATTTCGGTGAGCTCCTCAAAGATGGCACGGGTCTACGGCGCAGCGCCGTCCGATCCAACGCAGATCGGGAGGAAACGGCCCGGAGCAAAGAAAGCAGGAAGCGGGGGGGTCAGGGGAGGAAGCGGACACCATTGCCACAGTTGCGAAGCAGGCCTTGCCAAAACAAACGATGCAGCGTACTTACAGCAATGCAGCTGTGGTAGCTAGTACCGCAGGCAACAAAGACAATGCGACGGCAGCGGCGGATGGTAGCAAGGTAGGTGCTCAAACCGCCGAGGGTAACGGTACGGGTGTCAAAGTTGACACGGCCACGCATGGTGTTGACGACGGACTCGGGCTGTTCGTAGATCTCCTTCTGCATGAAGTGGTCGAAGGAGCCCTGTCGAAGAGAATAAAGTATGACCATCAGCCGGGCACCAAAAGCACTGTCCCACAATCATGAGCCTGGGCACTAAGGCCAAAACACCCACCTTCATGATCTCGGCAAGCTCCATCTCCAGGGTCTGGATCTGGCGCATGGTCGACATGTTGTCGTCGCGGCGGAGGCGGTGGATGTGCAGCTCGCCCTCGTCGATGTGGGCAATGTCGCCGTCCTCGAGGTAGAGAACACGCTTGGTGTGCTCGACGATGGCAGAGGGGTCCGAGGCCAGGAAGTACTCGATGGGCTGGGGCATGCCGTCGTCGCTAAGGAAGGCACGAGACTGCGAGCGCTGCATGGGAGGGTGCGAAGGGTTGATGGGAGCAAGGAGGCTGTTTCCCTTGGGCTGGGCGACTGGGTCAACAGAGGGAGAGATTGAGTGAGCTGAAAGAAACCGGCCAAGCCCGGGACAGGTTCTGGCGGGCCTGGCTACAATCGACACAGGCGTCGAGCACCGACTGTCCTTGCGCAATGCGGCCATCCAGTCCACCTACCAGCAGCAGGGGCTTCGGCTCCGCCAAACTCGACATCGACAAAGTCGACCTTGAGCTTCTTCTGGGTCTTGACACCGATCAGCAGGGGGGAGCCGCGGCGGGTAGCGATGACTTCGTCGGGGAAGTGAGTGCTCTTGACGATGATAGCAAAGGCACCTTCCTGCAAGGATAAGGGCAGCAGAGTCAGAAAAGCGGTCACGAAAGCAGGGACAGATGCAGTCGCCGAAGCAAAGTGGAGCGGATCACGGCAACCGCGCGCCGCCAGCAAGCAACAGGAGCAAGCGAGTGAGCGAGGGGGGCGAAGCATACCAGTTCCTTGCAGACAGCCTTCACGAGGGTGGTGAAGGTGGGCTTGGAGCCCTTGGCGTGGTTGTCCCAGATGTACTTGGCCAGCTTGGCGATGCACTCGGTGTCGGTGTCGCTCTCGAAGAGGTAGCCGTTCTTCTCGAGGATGGTGCGGAGCTCCTTGTAGTTGGTGATGATGCCGTTGTGAACAACAATGAACTCGTTGTTGGGGTCGGAGCGGTGGGGATGCGAGTTCTTCTCGCAGGGCTGGCCGTGGGTGGCCCAGCGAGTGTGGGCCATGCTGGTATGGCTCAAAAACTTCTTGTTCATGTCGAGGGTGCTCTGCGACTCGATCTTTGCTCGGAGAGCCGCGACCTTGCCGACCTGTCAGCGCCAAGGGCAAAGGGGGGGCAGGTGAGCCGAGTGACTGGTAGTAACTGCTCATACCAGAGCGAAAGAAAGCTGCGCCGATCTGAGGCGATGAGCCAGGCCAGTTGGAGAGCGACGCGCAAAGCGACCAGCTGGCCACGACCAGATGCATCGTGCCGACAGGACCAGAGCGCAGGCGAGATCGCCGGGGCAGGCGGGCGGCCACGCACCTCTCGGAAGATCAGGAACTCGTTCTCCTTGTCGCCGTTGACGGCCAGGCCTGGAAGGAGGTTGTAGCACAGGGTGAGTGGCTTGCAAGGGGCGGAGGATGCAGGCAGGATGTGCCGCACAGGCGTGGCGGGCGGTGCAGGCGACGCGCAGATCCCACAAATGCAAACTCAGACACGCCCGCCCTTCAATGTAACGCTGCCGAGTGCGACGACAAGTGCGACAACGAATAGTGCTTGGTGCTTACTGATCAAGACGAAAGATGCCGCGGAAAGAGAGGTTGCGTTTGGATGCGAGCAAAACGTGGGTTGGACAGACAGACCGAGTTAGTGGGTGGGTCGGGGGCGCATGCTCGCCGATTGACGAGAGCGTGGCTGGTGGGAACAGCATCCGATCGTGGGATTGCTCACCCAGCACTGTCATATCCCTGGAGAGCCGGGATGCGACGCGATCAAAGAGCAGCAGATGCAGAGCCGTTAGTGGGAGTCGAGCGGCGCAGATCTGCAGATGCAGAGATGCAGAGATGCTGCTGCAGGTGGGTCAACCCGTCAGGACACACTCTGCGAACAAGCCGATGGCAAAAAGCAAAAAGCCCTGCAGGAGCCAAATGCCGACGCAGGGAGCGAGCGATAACCGAACCGCAACCGAACCACAGCCGAGCGATAAACGAGCAGCATGGTCTTACTCGGTATTCCAGACGAGACAGGCCCGTGAGCAGGGTGTTGATGATGTAGCGACGGTCCTTCTCGACCAGGTAGTTCAGGTAGGCAAAGATTCCACACATTGTTTCTTGGGACAGAGGCGAGCGAGGCGATCTGAGAGCGATGGGAGAGCGGTGGGAGGAGAGAAGAAGCCACAGACCCGCAGATGCGACGATGGATCTTCCAGACGGGGCGAGAGAGGGCCGCCCCATCGCGGCGGCTTTAAATCCTCTGGCGGGCGGCGGGCCAGGGTGGCCGGGGCTGGGCGGTGCATGCCCCCGCTCGATCGCCCCTGCCCGCCCCCCTCCGGGAGCCGCCCTGGCGACCACCAGCACCCCAGCAGACCGATGCGGGCAGCGACTGGCAGGCATGAAGCGCATTCCGGGGAGCGCATTGGCGAATGGGAACGGACAGCATGTCCACAGCACTCTGAATGAGCGGCCTATCAATAGCACAGAGTGTTGTTGATTTAATACTCATTCGTAGCGAACTGCCTATCGATAGCGCTCTGAATGATTCGCCTGTCAGTGGTGTCCAGAAGGAACTGCATCCGATGGCAATCCTCGCAGCGCCGCGCACCATCCAGCAGCACCCGAGCGCATGCCCGCCCCACACAGCCGCTCGCTTGTCGAGCGCTGACATGCTCGTGGGCGCCCTGACATCCAGGCCGGCGCCGCAGACACCCGTTTGTTGCCCTGGTCGCCAGCGCCGATGGATCCGAGGCGAGCCATGTGGGCAGGCCGCGGCCGGCGAGCGGGCGGAGGGCGGCCGGATTCGGAAGGGAGCGCGCTGGGTGGCTTGGGCGATCCCGAAACCCATCCAGCCGGCCTGGGCGGAAACGTGCGGGCGACGGCAGCAGCGGCGGTGGTGTACTGGATCGTGTAATAGATGGTGTATTAGATAGTGTAATAGATGGTGTATTAGATAGTGTATTAGATGGTATATTAGATGGTATATTAGATGGTGTATCTGGTGGTGCACTTGAATCGTGTACTTGGCGCTCGATGGTCCTCGAATGACATCGCCATCCAACGCAGCACGGCACCCGTATTCTCGCAGGCCAGGCGGCCACCGAGCGCATGCATGCCGCTGTCGCCGTCACAGCGTTTGTGCTTGCTCTTTGGCCCGCTGGGCGGCTCTGCACGTTGCGCCGGCCCCCAACCCAAGATCGGCAATCGCTTTCGTTGGGTCCCTGGGGCCATCCATCTGCGCGTCCGATCTCGCCCCGGCAGCAATCCTCGTTGCTGCAGCCGTCGTTGCCGTGCTTGTCCTCGGTGCCGTCCCTCGCCTCCACCCCAGCAGTGCCCCGGCAATCTCTTGCCCATGTCCGGGGAAACATGACGCCCTCCACAGCCCCGGCATCGCTGCCACCCCGTCCAACGGCACCCGGCAGCCACCTGTCCGGCCTCTGGACATGTGCTGGGCTCACATGAAACCAGAGGGGTGCAGGGAACCGCTGCTGTTCGGTCGCTGGGACCTGAGGCTTTGCACCATTGAGATATTTGCACCATCGGGATGTCTTTGTCGTTGGGGCATCGACATGGCGGATCGATGCCATTCGCTCCCGCTGTCGCCTCCGCCGATTAGCCGTTGCTGTGGTCCCCTCGCTGAGGCGATGCACTGCCGCTGATGGCAAGCGGCAGCGTTACTGAGTGTCGCCGGGCCTCTGCAGCTGGATCGCAGCTGGGTCGCCCTTGCCCATGGTCTCCACTGCAAGCATCCCGGGCTGTGGCGGGGGCCGCCGGTGTCTGCAGCCCGGCTTCCGTTGGGGGCCCATCCTGCTGGTCCTGTCTTTGTCCATGTCGTTCTTGGCATCGCCGGGCGACGCCGACTGCCGATGGTGCAATCCCTGCGGCGGTGCCTGGCCTTATGCCCGGATCCATATCGCTCCCATGTCGGGACTTGCGACGGGGTGCTGGACAACCGCTTGCCTTGCTCGTCGATGCTGTTGTTCTCCGCCGACATCCATGCCCGCCTCATCGCCTCATTGCCTCATCGCCTCATCGCCTCCTCGGCTCTCCGCCCCCTCCTCTCCATTCGCCTGGCCAGGATTCCAAGGACCTCAACCTGCATTCCCGCTTCGGTGGGGTTCCAGTGCATCCACGCAGAACGAAGCACCCAGATGCGATCCTGCAGATACAGCGCGTGTTCGAATCGATCAGATCATCGGCATGGCTGGGACACGACAACCCTGATTCCGCCAAGAGCAGGCCGGAGCAGGCCGGAGCGAGTCGTCGATTCATGCACTATCTGGGGGGAGACTCGAGGCTATGCGATCAGCACCGTGTTCGGATCTATGGTTCGCTTCGATCGGTTGTTGTTCTTATTGGACTTGCTGTCCCTCATTGTCGGAGCAGAACCTTGCCGCGATGGTGGAGAGTTCGGAACGACGGTCGCGACTCCAAGTAGTCCAGGTTGCTGCAGGTTCGATGCGTCGTCGGTTGGAGAGAGGGGAAGGGAGTCCGTCAGAATCGGGAGGAGCAAGGGAATCCCATCGCGAGTCATTGATGTTGCATCCACTGTTCTAGACAGCCAGCGGATCTTACATTTTGGATAGCTCCGTGTCCAGGGCGATGGGCTTCAGATCACCGGCGACGTAGACGGCCCCCAGGATGCACAGGAAGATGCTGGCGAGACACTCCACCACAATCTGCAAAGTGGAAGCGGAAGTGGACGTCGGTGTCAACGTGGATGTGGCAAGTCGAACCGCACCCGAGGCAGATTCAGGACAAGAACAGATCCAAGCCTGCACGCAAGCATGCATGGATCGAACTCTAGACTCGGAGCGTGCCCCTCTTCTGAGAGGCCGGTCGTCACTCGGTCTGCCTCGAGCATGCTTTCCGATTCCAGTGCCGCCCTCCATCGCCGCTCACCTCAATCGGGAGATGGGATTCGTGCTTGTCGACGAGTTTCAGATAGGCCAGATCTATTGCCGAGCGGAGCAGATTACAGTCAGTGCCTTGACGTGGGACCACTCCTTTGCTATTCGCTTGCGGTCTCGCTTCCTTGATTCCAGGCGGCTTCCTGCTATGCATCTGGCAGTTCGACTCGCCGAGGTCGGCTTTCATTCGTCCGTGTCCTTGGGTGCAGGATCGATGTCTCTGGCTCGTGTGCTGCTCGCTCTCGGCACGGCGGCATTCACCCGCATCGGCAGGAGATGTCGGGATGCCATAATCGAATGCTTGCCCCCATACTCATCTCGATTCTGCGCCGTATTGCATGGTATGCCCCCCCCCCTCGTCTCACTCCTGCATGGTGAGTCTCTTCCTCATCTCGCCCTTCCTTTCCCGAGATGCAACACCATGCTTACGCTCAATCGCAGAATATCCAGAATGAAGCAGCGCGAGGATGCCGACAGCGTAGAGCGCATATCCAAGCAGATTGGCGGCCATGGCGGAGGGGCTTCTGTGGCAGCGACGGCTCGAAGAGGGACGATCTGGGCTGGGGTGGTATTGCCTTCCCCTTTGCCCTTCTCTGGATCCTGTTCTCGCCCACCAGCACACAATCCATCCGGCTCGATCCGGGCCAGGCACGGAAAACCAGGGCGGCGCGTGTGCCTGCCGATGTCGAGCACCAAACTCACACTTTCAATTTTGATATCGGCCCCTGACAACCTATGCTATTGCCTCGCAGTGCAGTGCTCACAAAACTCGATGCAAAGCTGCCAAGTCTCGGCAAGCTCAAGCGGAGGCGTTCCGATCCGATCCGACAAACAACCACTCCGCCTATCGCGATTGCTGATCCAGCGACCTGCGAACTTCCAGGCAAGCCGTTCATGTTGGGAGGGCGATGATGGCGTTCAGGAAGGAGAGATGACGCAGCGGCCCTTTGCGAAATAAATGGCGGGCCGGCGAGAAGTGCGGGTACAGAGAACAACCGAACAACGGAGCGGAGGCGGGGATTTGGACAGCGCACATCCGAACCGGCTTGGCAGGGGAGATTCAAGCTAGACAAAACCATGGGCGAGGTCTGAGATGATCGTTTTTGTTCAAAGGGATTGCGTCCGTCCGCGGGTTCAGGCACATACACAGACACAGACACAAAAAATAGAGACATGAGCCAAAAATTATGGAAATAGATATCGAAAATGGCATTCCCCTTTAAAGAGCACTGCTTCGCCATACCATCCCTATACTATTCAAGTACAATGTCGGAGTTGTCTTTCTCATCCGCTTCGTGTTCGTTCCTCTTCAAAGGGTTGAACAGATGCTTCGACAGGCCCATGCCAAAGCTTTGACGAATCAGAATCCCGATGATGCCGGCGGCGAGCGTCAAGAGGAGTGACAGGATCGAAAAGAACAACAAGAACACGCGCATGATGGCAAAGGAGCTGCCGTTGCTCTGGCTGTTGTATGTCCTGATGATCACAAAGATGATCCCGGCTATCGTTCCGATGCAGCCTACTTCAAAAACGCACAGAGCCACAAAGCTCTCGTAGTTGACGGCGGCAAAGCCCATGGTGATGGTGATGAGCAAGAGCGGGATCGAGACGCCAAGCAGCACCGCAAGCAAGTGCTCGCCAAAATTAGCTACGAGATAGGCATTCAAGACGAATGCGCCTGTAATCTGGGCACCGTATATGACCAGGAAGAAGGCATTGAACTTGACGACAGACAGGAAGACCTGGTACAGGTAAAAGTATCGCTTCTTCAACAGACTCGGTCCCATGCGGCTGGAGGAGGAGATAGAACAAACACAGCTCGGTCAGGGTCACGGCAGACTCCCAGTGCAGCAAGACCATAGAGCGTTCAAATACCGAGCTTCGCCGTAGGCAAAGTTGCTGGAAGTGTATGCTGCACATCGCCCGGATCCCACGGCACTCGACAAACCAACCCAGATCTCACGGCACTCACTTGTAGAGAACCCAGTTGATCTCGTTGTAGAGGTAGATGGTCATTGCCCAGAGAAACACGGTCAGGGCTGTCGTGAGAGCGACAACCGCGATCTATAGGGCCAGCAGAAGGACGGGTTGGTGTCTCGTTTCATGGCATGACATGGGAGTGTGTGAATGAGCGGGCGGAATGGCGCCAACCCGCCGACCAACCTCCGAAAACTGGCAAAAGCTCGTGTATCCCGCCGACGACGCAAGCTTGTCATGGAAGACGATGGTGTTGGTGCTATCTTGGTAGGTGTAGAAGCGGGACTGGAAGAACTGGATGATGGAAAAGGCTGCTTCGCCAATGGAGTAGATGCCCAGCGAGATGACCTGGACGCCGTTCTTGCTGATGAGCGCCGTCGCTGTCATGATGGCGCCAAAGATGCAGGCGAAGAGAAAACATGCACGGTAGCTGGCTCAGGCGCAAGTGCAGCAAGGGCATAAGGAACCAGAAACCGTGCAACACGGGCCAGCAGGATGCGCGAAAGCGGAGCAAGGGAAAGGTGAGAATCTGAAACCCAAGGGCAACCAGCATCGGCGGCGTCCAGATGGCGATCTCGGTCGGGAGGCAGCAGCACCGACAGCGCCGCCAGAGCCGGCAGCAGCAACGGGGAGACATCTGTCAAGCGATTGAATGCGATATCAAACGCACCCAACCACAGCGGACGGGCACGGAGCGGGAACGACAGCGATAAAGGCAAGAGCAGAGACAGCGGTACACGCCACCTACATAATGAAGCTGTCGATAACAACGATCCAGAGCCTGGCGCTGGAGGTGTCGGATGCGGTCGCCATCCTGACCTGGGAGTACGAGTAAATGATGTAGATCTGCAGGATTGATATGATCACGGACACCACGGTGCTGACAATGAAGGCGATCGTCGAGAATTTGCCCTGGCGACAAGTCGGAGTCGTGTTAGGTGGATTCGACAGTCGGCAAACCGCCGATGATCGCGGGCCAGACTGACCCAACGAAGCGACGGTGACCAGAGCACACGCATCTTTGGCGTAGCTCTCCCCTCCCTCACAAACATCCACGGCAGCACATTTGTTCGAATCGAGGATGTCCCTTGCTGGAGCCGGCAAGCAGGGATGCAGACAGCTGGCTGTCTGGTGGAGGATGAACAAAAGTGCGCCAAACAAGCCCTCATCGCCCAAACGAGCGGAGCCGTGGATACCTCGGGCAGCCATCTCGACCACCGGGACTTGGCCTGCGAAGGCGTGCTCGAAGATGGCAGACGGACAGAGTCTTTATCGGAGAACATGCCCGGCGACTGGACGGTGCAGACAGCGACGACGCAGGAAACAGGCAGGGCGGCGCTGATGCGCCATTTTATCGTCGGCGCGGTGGCGGTGACTCTGTGGCCGCAGTCACGTGGATGCAGTGTCAAGGCGAGCCACCACAACCGACGAGGCGGCAGTGCGCTCGGGATAGAAGATGCGGCCATGCAGCCCCATTTCATGGACGTATGCCATCAGCTTGTCATAGTGCATCCCGACGTCGTTGGGGCCGTGCGAGTCGTCCGAGAGCGTGAATTTGACGTCCTGGGTCTTCATGTACTGTGCGGACAGATCAAGGGCAGGCGGATGGGCGGGGCAGTGAGCGAGCGGGGGCCGGCCAAACTGCGGCGCAAGCGACCCTGAGCTTCCATGGCCATTGCCGGCGAGGAATCTGCGGGCTTGGATCACCACCGCAGCGGCCTCGGGTATGCGACCTGTGTCCAGGATACCCACCTCGATGATGTCGGCCTGCGGATAGGCGCCCCGGAGGCCCTTCTTCCACGCCCGCGAGTTGAGCTCGACGAGCCCGCCGTATTCGACAATCAGGGCAACGTTGCGTCGGATCTTGTCCCAGACCTCGGCCGACAGCTCAAACCCGGCCGGAGCAAAGATGCGCACCAGGTCAAAGTGGCCCACTACGAGCGGCTTCAGGGCGGCGAGCATGCTGTGCTGCTGGTCAAAGTAGTCCCGAAACAGGCCCTCGAGCGAGCTCTGCTGGGCGGCCTCGACAGCTTTGGCATAGAGCCCTGTGTCGTAATCGATCGGCACTGTGTTGACGTGGTGGACACTGCCGACCATGTAGTCGACGGGATATGCCTGCACCAGTGCCTGCAGTTCCGAGAGGGTGCCAGAGTGGATCCACTCCGTCTCGAGCCCGACCAGGAGCTGGATCTGGGACTCGTACTTGGACTGCAGATGGCGGGCTGTCCGGTAGAATTCCACAAAGGTGTTGTAGGTATCCTGGGGAGTCAGGTGCGACTGGGCGACCGGAGCAGAGTCGCATCGCATTTGATACAATCGAGGGCGAGGCGAACGCACGGCGGCGGGCGGTCCAAAGTGCAGAGGGACATCAAAAGGGAGTCAGGAACGACCTTTGGCGGCATGGTAAGGACTCTCAGGGAACAGCAAGGGTCTCGCCTCTTGGGCTGGCACTGGCAGCAACCCGCACCTCTTCGGGGTAGAGATCCTGGGCTCGGGATCGAGGCACATGCTCGGAGAGACCGTAGACCTTGAATCCTTTCTCGATGGCCTTGAGCACAACGTCCTCCAGGTTGCCATGGGCGTGGAGACAGAACTGGCCCGAGTGGGAATGCAGCGAGACGACCATGTGCGGCAGGTGGACGGGATGCAGTTCGATTGGCGATCGCGGCGGCAAGTCAAAGGGAGCAGGATCAGGATCGACCAAAGAAAGCCGACAGGTCGCCCAAAGCGTGTGGCTTGGTCCCTGGAAATGGGGCGGGGAATCACTGTTACCCGAGCCGATGTCTGAGCCGATACCCCAGCCGATGTCTGAGCCGATAACGGGGCACCGGGCTTTGGGCCAGGGTCGGCGCATTATGTGAGTTCCGAACGAGACACGGCAGTTGCGGATGGCCTCTGTGAGGTACATGGGTGTATTTAGGGCATTTTGTTGTTCAGGAGGGACAAAGAAAGAAATTGATTTTTTGGGTTGAGGCGACTGAGACCGGACAAAAGGACATTAGTGAGCGGAGTGGAGGAGGAGACACAAATGGATATGAAGTCTAACATTGGGGGATTGGGGTCCGGTCATCATCGGCGAGAAATAAACGAAGGCGATACTGCTGTGCTTGTGCCGCGACCGAGATTCAAAGTACGGGGCCAAGAACAAAGAAAGAAAAAAATGACTGAGCGAGCAAAGTAATTGAGAAGGGCTTGGGATCGAGGATGAGGGGAGGGCGAAACGGTATTGGAATAGAGAGGTGACGAAAAGGTAGTATATCAGACACGACGACTTGGATCAAGATTAGTGTGGATGATGGCTCTGTGAGCGGCAATGATGATGATGCGTATAGGCGATGAGGAACGATAAGAAGGCTCACAAACAGGGATGATTACAAGAAGCGGAGGGAGGGAGGGTATTGCGGAGGAGGATTTTGTTGGCCGAGGAGAGAGAGGGAGGAAGAGGGGAAACGAACGGGGGCAGCTCTCCGGCTTGGCTCGGCGGGACCAGATCATTGCTTGATCGTTTTCCCAGATCGTCCAACTTGTGCCGGTCTGGACTCGTTTCGGTGAAACTAGTTGTCGCCGGCCGCAGGCTCCTCCGGGTTCTGCTGCAGAATCTGGTCTACGATCGACATCAAGGGCACCAGCTCCTTCTGGTCCACCAAGTCAAACTAAAGCCAAGAAAGGTCGCGGAGATTAGATTGATGAGTTGTGTATGGCGACGGATGCTTGACAAAGGCTATCGGCTGAGCAGGCCCTCGAGCATCGACGCAGTCCGAGATAGGTTACAGCAGCGCAATGGGGGGGGGAGTACGATGGTGCAATAGCCAACCTCATTGACAAAGAGGATAAAATGCTTGAAGCAAGTGTTGAAGTGCGGGGCGACGGCGATGGTCTCGAGTTCCTGAGGGGCAGAATGAATCATCCGGGGTCAGCAACGGGAGCAATGGATGAAATGGATGCAATGGATGCAAGGGGGGCAAGGGGAGCAATCGAATCAACACCGTAAACTGGTGCAGTGAGCGATGGATCCCATCCCGGCTTAAACTCGGACTCGCACCCAACCCCAACTCACCCTGAGATGATTGTGGTAGACGTGGGCATAGAATCGGAACATGCGCTTGAAGATCTGCTTGACTGTGGGCAGGAACTGTTCCGGAAAGACGTCGGATGATGGGAAGGTGTTCTCGTCATCGAGTTGTCTGTTTTACGGCGCAAGTGCAGAATGTTGGGCGAGTCGCAAGGTAAGTCAACAACGGCCATCACGATCGCTGGTTTCAGGAACCGAGACTCGAGCGAGCGAGCGAGCTTCGCCACAGACTGATTGCGTGGTGCTGGGCGAAAGGTCGTTGGTATCGGCAATGTGTCGATCCGAGCAATGTGTCGATCCGAGCAATGTGTCGATCCGAGTGCACACAGGGCATGACAGCGACGACGACTCACGCTTCGATCCAAGCCAGAAGATGCTCGATGTACTGGGGACCTGTACACTGGATGGGCTGGATGATGGTCTTTCCGTCGGCCCAGAAGTACTGGTATCTGAAGCAAATATGGCGACGGCACCGGCATGGTGAGCATGTAATGCAGCGCGAGTTGCGAGTTGCAATTGGGCTGGGAACTTCCAGACGCTGTCAAGCCTCATACATGACCGCCATCCTGATGTAGAGCATCACTGCGTGGACAGACCTAGGGCCGGCGTTCATGGTCGGGCAGGTCTCGTCTGTGCAAAAGTCCTTTATGCACCCATAGAGCAGATTGATCTGGTTGTAGAAGGAGACCGCTGTGGACCGAACCAGATGGAAAGGTCAGCGACAGCAGAGTATCCCATCGATGGGCGGCAGAGCAGGTCAGCCAGATCGGCAAGCCAGAGAAGCATGGACGATCGTTACTGTTGACCGAGAACCACTCTTCCTTGTGGGAGGTGCCTGGAGGGATCTTGATGGCCGCGCGCAGATTGCCGCTGCCAAGGGTTTTCTGCGTCCAGCGGATTGTCGGAAACGAAGAGGGAGTCGGGGTCAGAGTTGCAAAGGGTGGATGGGGGTGCCAATGTGGGGAGACACAAACAGGGAGGCAAGCCGGACCCATCGACGGAGACATGCATGATGGGATGGGCTTCTGGTGCAGCGGCGGGCCTCGGTGCCGTGACCAGCACGGCCCCCCAGACAGACACGACAGTCCCTCGCAGGGGACAGACATCCACCGCCACCCCAGGGCACCGAGTGGATGCGGGAACCGAGAGGGAACGTGCAACGCAGCGCAACAGAACGCAAGCAAGGAATGGAAGCCGATCCAGGGCCAAGAGAAGGAGGGGGTCATGTGCAGCTTCTCGGAGCAGCTGGCTCGAGAGAAAGGAAGAGGCTCGGCGCAAGGAGGCGACCGAGGCAGGGCAAAGTGCAGTGGGATGGGATAGGCAAGAGACAGGGCCGCGAGCTTGACCAGAGGAATGTGGGACGATGACAAAAGGCTCCCGTGCGGAGAGACAGCATAGCAGCATGGCCAGCAGGGCAAAATCGAACGTTTGGGTAGATGAACAGTGGAACGCCTGAGGCAAAAGGGGGGGGAGGCAAGCAGCTCAGAGACCGACAGAGAGACTTACGACAATGTATTCGTTAAGCTGGTCGCGGCGGGTGCCTTGGGTGTGCTGTCGCTGGGACTTGAAGGCCATGCTGTCGAGGGCCGATGCCATTTTGATGGGGAGATAGCGGGACGATCGCGGCGAGTTGGGCGAGGGAGGAGGAGACGGCGAGTGGATGTGGACGCAGTTGGCTTTGGACCGATTCTGGGTCTGGGGGGCCGGCTGGGGCGAGGCCATCTGTTTTAAACTGGCAAGCAGCGCGGACGGGGTCGCACAGGACAAGCGCACCAACAAGCAGGAGCGAGTGGGTCGACGGACGCACAGAGGAGCAAAGAGCAGCTGGCGAGTGATTTCTGCAGCGAGCGAGAGCGACGACGGTGGGAGCCGAAGAGATGCGAACATGTGCGAAGGATGGGATGCGATGGGGGCGATGGAGTGCGATGGGAGCGATAGAGTGCAATGGGGGCGATAGAGTGTGATGGAGTGCACGACCAATACGCGGCGGAAATAGATGTAGGATGAGAAGATGGGCGAAATGCTTGCATCCAGGGGATGATGTCGACATCCGAGAGAACCGACAGATTCGACGGGCCGCAAGGGAGTCGTAACATCCACCGCGGCCGTCTGGGAACGGAGGGCGGGACGGCGACCGCCAGACTCTGTGCTGCAAAACAGATCGGTTCACAGCGTCAACTCACCGCGGTTAATCCAGCAAAGGTCCGAGAGGATGCTGAATCACAGAGTCCGGGATGGCGAAAACGGCGACAGGCGTCGGTTTCGATCTGGTTTGGTTGGTTGGTTGGTTGGTTGGTTGTTTGGTTGTTTGGCGACAGAGGGAAGCAAAGGGTCCAAGACAAGTCGATAGCGCGACGAGCAGGTCTATGGACAGGCTGACAAGTCGATAGGAGGGTTTACAAGTCGACAGGAGGGTTTACAAGTCGACAGAGAAGATAAAAGGGCAGGGCAGGGCAGATGGCAATGAGGCGGGACTCGGCGTGAAGAGAGACAGCGACGGTGTCCAGGCGGGGTGAGGCGAAGGCGAGGCAGACGGGCGGACGGGCGGACGGCAATCTATTCTATATGGCCGGCGGCAGCGGATTGCTGGGCGAGCGGCGCGTAATAAATAATTAGTGGGTGGTGACGAAAGATGAGGCCGAAGACGAGGGCGGGGCGGATTCTTATGAGGCGACGGACAGGGAGGAGAGATAGATGGACGGGTGGTTGGATGGATGGATGGATGATGGAGCAAGAGCGAGCCGACACCGGGAATAATAAGTAGGCTGTTTTTGCCATGCGCAAGAGACTCACGGCGAGCCATTGCTCCTTGCCCACTCTGCTGGCTCCATGAGCGGTTCTTTCGCGTCGGGTGTCAATGGCTTGCACAGGCAACAGCGAGCAGTCGACAGCGTTATTTGGGGGAACACCGGGAGGGCGGATTGACCCTTGGCGACACAGCCGGCCCATGCAGTAAGAGTGGTGCGGTGGTCGGTGCGTCGTTGGGTTGTTGGGTTGTTGGGTTGTTGGGTTGTTGGGTTGTTGGGTTGTTGGGTTGTTGGACTTCGTGATGCAAGCGACATAACATCACGGCACCAATCCATAGCATCAAATCCATAATACAACATCATAACATCCATGAAACACCCCACAAACAACCAGCTCCCGCCCACAGCAACAGTGTCGGCGCACTTGTCGCGTTTGCCACACGCTCGTGCGCGGCAACACCTGTGCGACAGTGCGCTCCAAGCGCGCAGTCGTCCTGTGCAACCGCGCCGTGGCATCCCGCCCAGCACAAGCCCAGACGCCTTTCTTTTGTCGCTTGTCCTCCGTGCCGTGCACCCTTGCCTCTGCTGTTGCACCCCTGTTTCCTCCTTGGCATGGTGTTGCTTTGCTCCCCCTCCCCACGCTGGGCCAATCACCGTTACAGCGACGCGTGTCACCGTTACAGCCCCGTTCGAGTGCCGGTGCCTGAATCTCTGTTTGCGCATGCAAGTCCGGTTGAAAATGCTGCCTCAGGCAAAACGGTTGCCCTGCCGCCACCCCCCACCACCAGCATCCAGCCGCCTCCCGGTCCTGGGTATTGGGTGCTGGTACTGGTGTTGGCGCTGGCGCTGCGGTGCCGTCAGATCTTGGCCAGCTCGCGCGCAGCGATTTCCAGGCGCTGGACCGACTTGACAAGGCTCTCGTACTTTTCGACAATCGGCTTCTCGGCTTCAAAGTACTGCAGCAGCCGGTCACGGTCATAAAATTCCATCTGAATCAAGTCGCGGAGTTTGGAGTCGTCGACAAGGATCTTGAAAAAGTGATGCCGTATCTGCATGATGACGCTGTCAAAGAACCGCTCGTAAAACACCTGGCACAGAAGTTGCACACAGGTTAGCCACTGCTGGTCATGCCGCAGTCTTTCCGTTCCGGTCGGGATCTTATGTCCAAGCTCCTTCAGACCTACCTGCCAGTAGCAGCTCAGCGTTGCCTGAATCTCAAAGATCCCAGGCCGATCTGCAAGTGGAGACAGTCGCCGCAGCACTGGTGAGCATGGGCCCTGATCACACGCGGCCGACGGGCCGAGTTGCCTGGCAGCCGTCTCGGCCGTATTCGCAACGGACTCACCGTGATGGTCGCTCAGCGGGATCTCAATCTTGTTCCCGTCAACACACATGACCACGGTTGGGAGTTCTGAGCCCTTGTCCATCCGGATCGAGACCAGAGAGTCCACCATCACGAGGCCGTCGGGGGACTCTTGTGATCTGGTTGAGCCGTCGGTGGGCAGCTCGGTTTCGTCGGGATTGCGGGTCGGGGAGAGCGACCCGCTGGCTGAGCACGGGCTATCGGGCTTGGACTGCTCCTGCTTGGACTGCTCCTGCTTGGATTGCTCCTGCTTGGATTGCTCCTGCTTTGATGGCTCCTGCTTTGATGGCTCGGAATGCTCCTTGATGTGCTGCCTCACATGCCGGCTGGACGAATACGTGTTTGGCATATCCGCCGTCGTGAGAAGCATGCCCATGTAACCAGAGCTGTACTGTGTCGTCCCGCCTTTAGCAGACAGCGACCGCGACGGGGGCTCGGACGGCTCGGCGACGATCTTGGACAGCGAATCGTTGGAACTCTTTTGAGACTCGGCCAGCGGGACCGACGCCAGTGTCTTGGGCGGCGCGAGCCCCGAGCAGGAGTGTTTGAGAGGCGGCAGGGGCGACTGAGCTAACGAAGCCGTCGGCGACGTCACCAAAGGGACAGGCAGAGCCGTCTTCTCCTGGCTCTGCAAATACATCTCTCGCGCTTTGGCATATCCCTTGGTCACCAGCTTGAGCGACCGATCGTAGCGTTCGTTGAAGGTGAACACATCGTCCTCCGTCTCGATGAGCGATGCAAGGATGCCCTCGACCCGCGCCTGGATGCCCTCCATCCAGTCGATGATCCTGGACTTGATGGCTGTGCAGAACCTGGGGCTCTTGGCCATGCAGCGGTCGCACTGGTTGATCACAAACGTCTGCACCTCCAGTCGCACTTGATGCACGAGCTCGGGGATACACGAAACCACCTTCTCCTTCTCCTTCCGGAAGAGGTTGGTGATGGTCTCGTCCGAGATGATGTTGGGCAGGCTAATGCCGGCCCGGGTCTCGATCTCGCGCTCCACTTCGATGGCGTACTCGTCGCTAAAAAACTTGGAGCACGACTCTCGGATCCGCTCCTTGAAGCTCTGATACAGCCCGTACAGGATCTTGGAGATGGGCTGCTCCTTGTCGTTGCCGGTTGGGTCGAATCCCACGCGACGAACACGCTTGAGAAAGTCGCTCAAGAGCAGCGAAAACCTTGGAGACAGGCGTTGGTACATGTCGGAAGTTGAGTTGCGCAATGGGATCGAGTGGCACAAGTGCAGTTATCGTTAGCTACGGGCAGACAGGCGCAGACTCTGGCGATTGGATGCAATACACCAGCATGCTGCGTTGTTGTCCTGAGCCGGGCTTGAGAGCAGCACAACAGAGCAATGGCCTCTTGCGCATCTCCTCCAGCAAATGCACAGCGCAGTGGCAGGCAGCCCCCGAAGGCAAGTCCCGCCACGAGCACGGCAACATACGTCTCTATGGCGTCCTGCACGCTGATCACAATCTTGCCCATCTCCTTTAAAGCTTCCTTCTGCGCCTTGAGCCGAGCGTGGATGTTGGCGCTGATCGACGGGATTGTGGACCGGATGCGTGCGTTTTGGATCGACGTCAAACGGCGGATGAGCTCGGGGACGCCATAGTTTTCCACGGGAAGGTCCATGAGCACTGGGTGCGTGGTAAACAGCTGCTTCTCCTTCATGCGGAGCTCCTCAAACGACATTTTGCTGAGCACTTCCTGCTGGTTGCGGTTGCGGATCGCAATCCACCCGAGCTGGGTCCGAAGGCGTGCGGAGGAGGGGATATCGTATCGACGATGGAAGAACCGCGTTGATGGAATGAGTCATATCAGGAACAGAAAAGCGGTGTTGGTGACCAGAGCGACCAATTCCAAAGCGATTGCTTCCATTGGCCAATGCCAAAGCGATTATGACGCCCTGCCATGATCACAAATCTCGCGGATGCTCGCTAGAGTCTGCTCTGCCATCCTTACACTCAGCTTGACATCCGTGTCTCTTCTGGCCAAGATTTTCTGGACAATGTCGTGGTTGGTGTTGGTCTCGTCGACCTTGGTGCACACTCCGATAGTTCGCTTGCCGTGGGGATCGACGTTGCGCGACAGCTGGATCGTCTCGCAGGTTGAAAAGTCCTGGTGCGCTGCACAAACGTTCAGGATGATGCTCTCGTCTGGCTCGATGTACTTCATGATGATTTCCTTGATGATCTCGGGGATATTCTTGGGCTGATCCTTGACAGGCACTCGGGTGATTCCGGGGAGATCTGGAGCCGGGCGGTGGCGTGAGCGCGGTTCCGCTGCGATGTCCACTCTCAGCCGTCGGTATATGGAGACGACGACGCCCAGCGGCGAGGGGTCGATACCGAGTCGGTTCCCAGCCCAGGACTTTGATGGCAATTCCCAGGTCAAGGCCTTCGCTGTTTTCACATCCAGCTGCAGTTCTCCGGAACGCATCAACTGATGCACCTGGAGTACCCGAACGATCCAAAATGCATAGAGCACCCCGAGTACCGTACCTATGAGCGTCAGATCGTTGACATTGTGCTTGAATACCGTCAGAGTGATCTCGTTCGCAGTCACGTTCGAGCCTGTGCCGCTCAGGCGGTTCGTGAACTCGATGATGCGGTTGGGAATGTCCTCGAGGTTGTCGATGCGTTCGGGCTCCAGACACAATCCCTTCTCGGGCTGGTTGCCGCACTTGATGATGGCATACGGCCGTTCTTCCAGCTGCAGCCGCACCATGCGCAAAACAAGTGGGTTGCGCGTAACAATGTTGTTGCCCTTTGGCAGGTCGATGCCGATGATGGACTCGAGTGTGCTGGACTTGCCACTGGACTGGTCGCCCACGACGACAATAGTCTTGGGGAGTCGAGCAGATGTTAGCATGCTCTAGTGCCATAGATATGCAGTCGCTGTCCACGCCCAATCTATCCCCCATATTCATCCACATCTCCATCAACGACATTCGCTCCTTACCGGCAACAGAATCCGCTCTTCACTCATGCCCAGCTCTCGCAGCCGGTCGATGACATCGAGATTGCGTCGGATCGTGGCATTATCGGCCAAGAGTTCGTACATTTCTATTCTCGAGTGGAACTGTTGCTGCTGTTGCTGCTGCTGCTGCTTGTTGGTGAGGGAATCGGGTAACAGAATGAGTAGGTGGAGGGAGAAGTAACCCGACAAGTTGCGTGGCTCTCCATCTGCAAGCCCACTCCTCTTGAGCGTCGGCTCCGACTCGGCGACTCTCTCCTGCCAATCAGAGACAAAGAGAGCGATCGAAAGATGCATTGGCTCGAAGCATCCGGCCAAACTGCAGAGCACTGCCTCGGCCAAACGCAACGCATCCTTTCCCAGACACAAGTACACTGTGGTTGGATCACATCATAGGCTCAGCCGAGAACGACCAAGTGCTCGAAATCGCTTCCCCGGGCGTTCGTCCGCTGGAGCTCATCCAATACTCCAGTATCGCAGCAGCGCGAGCGCCGATCGATGTCGTTCGGCCGAGCAACTGATCATCATTCGATCTGGGCGGATTGGAACCAGGGGTGAGCACGTCGTCAACAGCCATGTCGCTTCACCCACGGCCCAGCCTCTTCGTCTCAAACTGTCCTTCGCTCCCCTGCCAGAGGGCCTTTCCGCCGCCGCCGCCCTGCCGATCGCTCGCACAGCGTCTGCCGCTATGAACGACGACAATCTGAAGTGGGCCGAGGAGGTGATCGGGTCCTCGTCGTACATCCAGCAAGCTCGGCAGGCCCGCAGCCGCTCCGAATCGCTTCTGAAGGTGCTGCTGACCCAGCGCAGACTGCCCGAGTCGCCGTGGCCCGACTCTATGATCACGATGGTCCTTGCCGAGATCGCTGGCATGGACAGCAACAACTTTGACGGTATGGCTGGCCGACTCTTGCTCTTGCCAGGCGCCGGAAGCAAAGCGTCGCAGAACAGCTCTCTGACCTCATCCAATATGGCTCGTTGGGCTTTCGTGCTCGCCAGGGAACATCGGGCTTGGCGAGCGCGAGTCTCGCATCTATTCCTCCCTCGTCTCCAGCCGACATTACCATTTCGGCCACGGCATCGGTCGATCAGGAGACATTGCCGAGATCCAGCCCAAAGCCGCAGGGTCCTCGCTTGTCATGAAGCTGACCAACGCCATGGTGCTGGATGCCATTCGGATCTCGGGCAAGTGTCTGGGCATCGATAGATCTGGATATGGATCTGGATTCGAGCATCGATGGATATGGATTCGAGCATCGATGATGGTCGCTCTGCTGACTGTCGAGCCTGACCGACTCGCAACCGTCCAACAGGAGCAACCAAGCAGGCCGCGGCTGCCTGCCAGATCTTGCCGCTTGCGACAGGGATGACCCTTGCGCTGGTCCTCCGAACGGTGGCAAACTCCCGTCCAGGAGCCAAGTACGTCCTCTGGCCAAGAATCGACCAGCGGTCGTGCCTCAAATCGATTGTGACGGCGGGTCTGTAGACGGCATCGGCATGATACGCAAATCTTGCACGGGTCTCCAAGCATTTCGTTGCCTGCTCGGCCGCTGGGCATCGCCGTTCTCACCCGCACATCGTTGGTGTGTCTCGCACTTCTTCCACAGGACTCATTCCGATAGTGATCGAGAACATCCTGGACAACGACCAGGTCACCACCGATCTGGATGCTGTCGCTGCAGTGATCGACAAGTACGGCCCAGAGTCGATCGTAGCCGTCATGACCACCACCAGCTGCTTTGCGCCCCGAGTGCCAGACAGGTATGTGCGAGTCTCTTGGCCAGGAGCCGTCGCAGTGCAATCGTCCATATGTCCGCTCTCCCCCCCATGCTGCAGGTCCATCCACGAATGCAGAAGGTGGGACTGGCAACTCATGCCTCGCTTGGTCTCTCCCAGGATCGTCGATGTCGCTGTGCTGTGCAAAGACAGAGCCATCCCCCATGTTGTCAACAATGCCTACGGTCTCCAGTCATCAAAGTTCATGCACGCTCTGTCGGAAGGCTGTCGGATCGGCCGGGTCGACGTCTTTGTCCAAAGCACCGACAAGAACTTCATGGTGCCTGTGGGAGGTGCCATCGTGGCGGGACCACACAAGTCGCTCATCTCGGATATTGGAAAAATGTACCCGGGGCGGGCGTCCATGTCGCCGGTCATGGACTTGTTCATCACACTGCTATCCATGGGCTCGAGTGGATACAAAGACCTCCTTGCGGAACGTAAGGTATGTATCGCATCCCGTCAGCGCAGAGACCCTCGGAGACCCTCCAGGATTTGCCACATTCGTCGCTTGGGAGTGTGCATTCAAAGTACATACCCAGAGTGTGCGTCCCGGGGGCTGACATCCGGAGTGCGTCTGGTACTGACATCGGGAGTGTCTCATATATCGTAGATCATGTATAATACCCTTCGCCACAAACTGCAAGTCTTTGCCGAGCGGCACCAGACGTGGCTGCTGGACACACCTCGCAACGACATTTCTCTCGGTAAGTGGGTGGCATTGGCTTGCTTGTGACTGCGACGATTGCTGGCACGGCATTGCAACAAGCTGTCGCCAGCTCTGGGCGGCGGTGGACCCAGAACCAGAGGGTAGCTGACGTTGGGTGAGCCACATCTGTTTGCAATGCAGCGCTGTCGCTCCAGCCCATGGACCTGGACGAGCGCAAACAGAGCCCGTCGATGCTGGGATCGATGCTGTTCTCAAGGCTGGTGTCTGGAACTCGGTAGGATGACTGCTAGTTGCGCACACATAGATGCAAGAGGCTGATGAAAGTGCTGTTGCCCCATTACTTGCGCTAACCCACCGCTCTGACACCAGAGTGGTGGCCAAAGGCGCAAAGAAGACAGTGTGTGGAATCGATTTTGATGGATACGGCGCACACATCGACAACTACCCGGTCTCCTATCTCAACGTTGCAGCAGCGATTGGCATGAGGGAGCCCGAAATCGACATGTTCTTTGAACGGCTCGAGAAAGTATTCAAGGAACTCAAGATCGGCAGCTACAGGGTGGTCTCGGGCTGAGCGTTCTCCAATGTCGCTCCTTTGACTTTGCCGAGGGGTGGACACAGTGGAACAACGCTTCTGGAGGACATCTGGCCCGGCGAGCTGAAGGAAGCAGCGGTCGACACAGGCCGCACCAGTGCTATTTATTGAGGGTGCGTATTGACAGCGATGTAGTGAGAAAAGCCAATAAGACAAAGTGACAAAACCAACCAAACCTATCGCCGTTCTGTGCGATGGGAGCCAGGCTCTCCTGCCTCGCCACTTGCGACATCGAAGGTAGAAACAATGAAAGACACAGGGATCACAGACACGATTCGCATAGAGCGACAGCAGCTTCCTGTCGTCATGGCTTGCCGTAGCACGCCGTAGCATGTCATGACTCGCCATACAACCATGCATCTGGACCGAATGAGTCGCGGCGACAGTATGAGCATCATCCGGGAAGAGTGAATTGGTGACATTAGCGTCCGAGGTTCATTCGTAGTCGTCACGACGAATGGAGCTGTACAGATGGGCCATCACTTCTTCGCTGTTCAGCGAGGTTCCGTGCTTTGCTGAGCTGGCGGCGATACGCTTGACTGGTCCCTGTGCCTGCGAGGCACCCGGCGTGGGAGAAGGGGGCTTTTTGATCGCAACGCCCGTGTCGATATGCATCTGGGGTGATCCCGGCTTGGATCGATCCCGCGGGGTGAGGTGCTCGGGAGTGGTCAGGTTGGCCAGAGTGGCTCCACTTGGCTGGCCGGGTTGGCCGGGCTGGCTCGGAGAATGCACATGGCCAGAAGCACTAGCAAGACCGGGGGATGGCTCTTCCCGCGGCTGCCGTTGGGAGACTGGCGACGGTGTTCGTGGTCGGCCTCGCAGCCAGGCAAGTCGCTGGTCTGTTTCTTGAACAAGCCGAAGTAACTGGTCCCGCTCGGCAAGGAGAGTCTTTTGCTGCTCGTCACTGGTCATGATTGCTGCCGCGGTTGGGGTTATAGATCCGGCAGGACGGAAATGGTCATGATACGGCGACATATAGCTTGGCCCGGCGACAAAGGCTGCTTGGGGAGGAAGAGCACCCTCGGCTACAGCGCCCTGTGGGTCAGTCGGGTAGTAAGTTGAGTGGATGGTCGGGACCGGGAATCCAAGCAAGGGTTGGGCTGGAAGCTGAGGGTTGGCCGGGCGGATGACGGGGCTGAACTGCGGGACGACATGCGGGACGGGATGCGCTACAGACTGAAAGGCAACCGCAGGCATAGGCTGGAATGCGATGGGCTCTGTCGCGGGCTGCTGCTGTCGAGCTGCCAGCGGTGTCGGCGGTGCGTTGGCAAGGGATCCCATGTAGTTCCTCATGAAGGCGGCCTGACCTCGGCTGTCGCCCGTATTCTGCGGATCGGGTTTGGACGGAGGCGAAGAGGGCAGCTGTCGAGACGGGTGCGTGAGAAAGCCTGCCAACGACGAAGCTCGGCTGTCGGCAGAGGGCACATTTTGGATCGATATGCGGCGCCCCAACCTGTTTTCCGTTCGTGGACCTCTGGTTGGGACATCCTGCAAACGCCCAAGCCAGAGTCCGCTATATCGGAGGACATTCCACGGCTCCCCGCTCTCTCGCGGACAGACAGGCAGTCCATGCAAGTCCGCACCTCCGCCGCCGATGCCGCCGCGGATGTTGCATACCCACCGTCACAAGAAACTCCAGCGCCAGTCGATGGAGATGGGCATATCCGATCTGAGCCAGATCCAGTAGTTTTGTCCATGCCATGGAGCGCAGGACGCGGATGGTTTCGTCAATCTGGCCCTCGTTGGTTCTGAAGAACGGCAGGATTTTGTTCTGGTACAGAATCATGGTTCCCTGTAGAAGCAGACGGTGAGGACATTCTTCGGACACAAAAACACTGTCTGCCGTGGCCTGCCAGAAGCACCACCCGACGGGCGAAAGCGACGGGCGAAAGCGACGGTCCACATACGCATGTTCTGGGGAGCACGAGCCACAGCACAAAGAAAAGCTTGAGCTGGCAATAGAACGGAAACCTAGACGTCCGGGCGGTTTAACAGCAGGTCAGCAAGAATGGCCCAGTCGCCCTTGGGCAGCCTTGCTTGGGAGAACCGGCCATCAACCGCAAGCCTGCACCATACCAGAAGAGGAAGATATCCGCGATGATCTCGGCGACTGTGTATAGCCCAATGACCACCCAGTGGACGAGGAGCTGCTGGAGCATGAATGTATCTTGTTGCTGGAGTGCCTGGAAGACGCGGCACGAGCCGGAAGTTAGCGATAGCGCATGGCGAGCGGGCTGGTCGACGATTGCCGAGCAGTACGGTGCTGACCTTGTAGGATAGATACGCCGGATACAGGTATCCGGCAACGGTGCTGGGTTCAGGCATCGGCGAGGGCAGGACGGACGATCCAGGGAGGCGACATCGGACACGAGTATCGAGCAGCGGATATTAAGCAGATGGATGAGGACAGGCATCGGACGCCGGAGCAAATATCTGGCAAGCAGGAGCGCATTGGCCCGTTGAACATGGGACGGGAGGCTGGCTCACGATCGGCACCGAACTGGTTCTGGGATCAGAATCCAAGTGGTTGTGCGGACAGCGTCTGATCATTGTGGGAAGCAGGACGATCTTACCATCCGATCTGAGATGCAAAGCACAGGAGTCCCATGACGGCTTATTTTCTGCGACGAACGAATGGGGAGCTGTGGCTGAGAGCGGAGGCATTCAAGGACAAGTCTGAGTTGGGAGAAGGTGGACAGGACAGGCGCTTTAAAGGTGGGGGGCCGAGGCTTCTCGACCTCGTTTATACAAGCCTTCCTGGCGACAGAAGGCAAGGGACTGCGGCGAAAAAATATTTATTGCCGACATAATCTCGGACGACCGGGACTGGAGGGAGAAAAAAAATTGGTCTGCAGTCGGGTCGGGCCAAGCCGGGCCAGGACAAACTCTGGGAAAGCCCCAGCCACCACGACGCAGGAGCCGTTTGTTGCTGTCCAGGGGTGCAGACAAGGACGGCCGCACAGCCACCCTCACGCAAGGAGGCGGACAAGCAACAGCAGGGGTGTTGCTCGGCAGGGGCGGGATGTGCAAGGTGATGTGCAGGGTGATGTGCAGGGTGATGTGCAGGGTGATGTGCGGATGTATGTCCCGAAAGCAGGGAGGGCACCATCGGTGGGTGTTGTGCCTGAACGACAACCGGCACCGTCTGCAAACATCCGTCGAGCCGCGGTGTGAGGGTCGTAATGCCCAAGCTCCAGCTGGATGTCTGTTGCCCCCGGCTGTTTCCGACACTCATCCTGTGTTTGTATTTACATCGTCGAGGCCGTTCCCGATTTCTCGGCCGTCAACCAGCCCCTCTGCTCTGCCCAGGGCGGCTGGCCTGCAATAAACGAGGGCGTATGCTTGCTTCTCAGTCTTGCTTTTCAGTCTTGCTTCTCAGCCTTGCTCCTGACGAAACCATCACCCCACTTTTCGGCGACAACGATGAACGCCATCAAAGGTCAGCGTCTTGCGCCTCCATGACCCAGGCTCGAGGGCGCTGATCCGGCAGAAGAATCCACCATCCCCACTAACTGGTGTTGCTCGGTGCATCCAGAGTTCCACGGCGACCGTGCTGAGCGGTTCAAGGTGCTTCCTCCCATCGATATTCTCAAAGTCGGTCCGGGCTCATACCACATCGACGAGGTTGGTTCTGGTGTGCACATGGTGCACAAATACAAGAATTGCGCTCGTCTGTGCATATCTCTGGCTACTCTGCATAGCTCACGATCTCATTTGGGTACTCTCAACCTGCGACAACCTGCGACAACCTGCGACAACCTGCGACAACCTGCGACAACCTGCGACAACCTGCGACAACTTGCAACAACCTGCCCCATGCTTCGCTTGAAGACCACCAAAATGGTCACCAAGATCAATCAGAAACCGTCCTCGACCCTGGGAGTGTGCGTGACGACGGCGACTCGGTTCCCAGATCCCCGACAGCGGGTAAGAAGTGCCCTCAGAACCGCATTTGCTCCAGCGTCTGGACTCTGCCCGATCTAACACTCTCGGCTTGGTTTGCGCAGGCTCCAGGCCCAGGCAAATACCAGCACCTGGAGTTCGCCAAGCTCCTCGACCTGAAACCAACCAGTACTCGCGAGTACCTGAGCAGCCTCGGGCCCAAGTGCAGCCAGCAGAAAGTCATCAGCCGGGTTTGTACCTCATACTCTGTCTCTGCTCTTGGATACGGTGCCGCTGGAGGCCACTCCGAGATACTGATACCCTGTTTCGCCATAGTCAATCAAATGCGCCCCTGGTCCAGGTAAGTTGCATCAAGCTGTGATAGCGGCAGCGACCAACTGCGATGCGGCTGCTGCCATGCACCACAGTCTCGAGCACCATTCAGCACCACTCAATGACACCGATATCACACCATGACAACCAATGCCATTCACATTATACGACCAAACCAAGGCACCTATGATGTCAACTATGCCATTGGCCGCCATGTCGCCAACGACGACCGCTTTGCCCTGCTCAAATCGGACGAGCTGAAATGGGTATGCTTGTCGGTCTGGCAGCTGTTGCTCTCACTCTATTCGCCCGACACAAGCAGCTGATAACCGACACATTCCATCTGCATTGGGTGGCTGCAGCGAGACACTCAGAACTCGGGGCAGCGACGGGAGCTGCGGGCCCTGCTCAACAGCAACGACATCTTCACCGACAAGCGTGCCTGCAGACGCATGGCCCATCTGGCCCTGTTCTATCCTGCCTTCAGCTCGCAGCAGCAGAACGAGCCGGCCCGGAGCTTCACCGGGCTGCTGCCGTAGATGGTGATGACTACACTTGGCGAATATACCAGATGCACACACCACCCAATACGCACACTATGTAGATATGCATCCAGCAAAGTCCACCGAGCCGTCCGTCGGGGTCGTTGCTTTCCCACCAGCGCCCGTGACGACACCTGTCCCGATTGCGAGTTGCGGCCCTGGCGATCGCCAGGCCGTGCTGCGCTGCATGCTTTTCTCAGACCGGCGCCTGCTTTGCTGCCGATCGCCTCCACACCGACAGGATCGCTTTCGTTCGGGCTGGATCTGCATCCGCATCTGCGCTGCATCCTTATTCCCATCCGGCACCTTTCTATCCACCCAAGCCCAAAATGTCAAAGAAGCGGCCGTTTCGCTCGCCCTCGCCTGTCTCGCTGCCGTCCGACCCAGCAACAACCCCCCGCACCGATGCCGACGACGACATCATCATGGGTGGCGACGGCGCTGGACTCGACGAGTCCGTCTACCCATCAGGCTGGTCGCCACACTATCCGCCGGGAGCGACCCTGACTCCGGGCCCCTTTGAGGACCGGTTCAAGAGAATGCGCATGTCCAGCCCTTCGCAAGCGAGCTCGCTGCTCGAGACCATGTCGGTGGTTGCCTGTCTCCTCTCCCATGCAGTGTCGCCGCAACCGCACCGGCCATGCTCTATACGTCGACCGGATGCCGGCACTGACCGACCGATTCCGGATCCCATGTTCGCGATCGGTCTCGTCTTTCGTTTGATGCAGATACCGCATCCCAAATCCCAGCACAAGCATGGCTCCAGGTGAGATCCGGCGGTTTGTCCGAGATATGCTTGTCGTATGCTGGGGGCTTCTCGCTCAGCAATGATCTCTCAGCATAGCGACCCATCTGCCGTCCGGCAGTTGTGCTCTCTGGCAAAGCATTCTGCCGCCAACCACATTCCACTCCACGACTTTGCTAACGCCGAGACGGCAAACCAGATCACCGGAGCAACTCCATCGCAAAGTTTAGTATCAACACACGGGCCGACAACCTGCACCATCCCATCATGTCGCAGCCGATGCCTTCCCATTATGCCGACACAGCGGACGAACAGCAACATCAGTATGTTGCCGCTGGAGCGTCGGATCAACTGCTTCACACATCCGGGCTCGTCGGAGCCGCCGGGTCGCTCTACTCCAACATCAACTCGCAACTCGCTCTGCTGCATGCTGCTCGGACGCCGCGAATGGAACGCCGCAACCATGATCTTCAGGAGGCATCCTCCAGCTTTACCCCAACTAGCGAAGAGGAGGAGCGTCTGGCGGTGAGGCAAAACTACCGCCACATCAACGAGCTGCTGTTCAAGTATCATGAGGGCTCCCATCACCGCCGCCAGCCGACCGAGAACCGGTGATGGGGCCGTTGTTTGATACTGCTCATTTGGCCAAGTTCATCTGGCCAAGCTCACCCGTACAAACTCGGTCAACGACTACCGTTGTGTATCGAGTGCATCGCAGCCAGGCGGAGACCTGCTCGATCGCCCAGGTCCAATAGCAATTCAGTCCTTGCACCCAGGATGAACATGGCTCATGGTGTTTCCCAGGATCGTCTTCCAAGGTCCCCTGTTTTCGTCGACAATCGTCATGCACACTTGAACTCCAGTCTCACCTTTCACACTCATGAAGCGTCTCAACCTCAGCTCCACGAAATCGTGATGCATTTGGTCCTGCTTGGTCCCCCACTGATATGCGGATACGTCGGACAGCAGGACCAATGCTCGCCGGAGCAGCATACCCTACCCTGCATCAACATACGACGCATCAATATATGGCGCATCGGCTTGTTCATATGCTAGACTCGGGCTGTTGGTCGTGCTGTCTGCAATTCGTCTTGTTGGTGTGCATCGATCCATTGGGCTGCAGTCGCCCGCCGAGATCATTCGCCCTTGCGCTCTGTGACTCAACCACCAGCAGGAGTCCTAAGGATACAAGCTTTGCTATTGCCCCTACTTCATAACCGATTGTGCCGCCCAAAGAGATATGCCAAGGTGACGAAGCAGCGATCGAGGATCATCACGATGTACTCCCGCTCTCTTGGCGGGACCGGCGACTTGGCTTCGGGAAAGAGCAGTCCGAGGTGCCAGCTCAACGATTGCAACGAAGGAGCAACTATGCAATCGACTTCCGTGATGCCGCCTGTGCTGGTGAAATCTCCTGAGGAGAGAGGCAGCGTCAGTCCCGCGATTGAGCCCTTGGAGTCATGCGAGCCGCGCAAGTGGTGCAAGCCATGCAAAGCGAGGCCACCGTCGGATACTCACGACAACCCGCATATCATCACGTCCGATATGTTGGCAATGCTGGAGGTTGTGACCGATAGAGAGATCACATTGTTTCGTGAGCACATCGACAGCATGTTTGCCGCAGTCCCATGCGGCCAAAGGGCCCGAGTCCACAATCAGGATCAATTGGCCTACCACAAACGAGTCCTGGACAGGCCCGCTGATGACGATCTTCTTATTCTGGACCTTTTTTCGGAAGCCTCTGGTCTTGATCAGCCTCGAGGAGCCCAGATCCGGCGCGGACGCTGACTTGGACTTGCTTTTGGATGAGTCCTCTGCCTTCTTGATCAAGTCGTCTCGCGATATCCCCACATATCTGGATGTCGATGGGTTGTGGGAACGCACCGTCGTGTCAAAGCGAGACAGATAAGATGGTGAGCCGCACGGTTGAGGAAACATCATAACAACCTGACTCATTACTCCGGCGATTGGGAGTACGGCCCACTGAGCCGCCGTGGTGCTCCGACAGCCCATGCATTCTGCCGACCATCGCTTCGTGAGGCGACCCGGCAACTGCCAGACGTTGGATCTCGCGCCGCCTCGCTTATGGGACAGAGAGAACACCCATACACAGAGCGAGGAGATGGCCCTGGCGAAGAGATGGCCCTGGCGACTCACTTTGGATCTTTTGGTGCCTCGGGTTTCACTGACGCTTGTCCCATGGCGATGACGAAATGGATGCTGGATTGCGCGTAGTGGTGGTGCTGGATGGTGCTGAATGGTGCTGGATGGTGCTGGATGGTGCTGGATGGTGCTGGATGGTGCTGGATGGTGCTGGATGGTGCTGGATGGTGCTGGATGGTGCTGGATGGTGCTGGATGGAGATGCCGAACCCGGCAGAGTCTCTTGAATGCCGTTCGAGGCGAGCAAATGGAAATGGAAGCAAGGAATGCCGCTCCAGCCCTCCCAACCAGCCTGCCTGGCTCAAGATGAGAGCCACTCGCCACAGGGTGTGATTGGCGACTGGATGCGAAGGCCTGAGCCGTGAAATCGAGTGTATTAATAGTATAGCAGACTGTGCATGATGCTGACATTGGTTTTCTTGTGAACCTGCTCGATGATGCTCTCGATGTCGTTCGTGATGTTTTCGCTGTCCTCGATCTTTGGGACCACCCAGAGGCAACCGTCAAGACAGACAAAGGCGTTGAAGAACGATGATTGGTCGAGGCAGAGAAACAGGGTCAAGAAAACATGAGACAGCAGCACGGAGCCGTTGGATCAATCAATCAGTCAGTCAGTCAGTCAATCGGAAGCCATGCCGCCCACAGCCCAGCGCCGGCCATCTCTGGGAGGAAAGGAATCTGCGTACCAGTTTCCCAAGTGCCAGGATATGCCCGCCGCCGATCTCGGCCTCCTCGTGATTGTCCTTGATCTCGATGTTGATGACATGCACTGGGGTGCTCGCCGTCCCAGCACGCTCCTGGATCGCTGATTCAACAGAGCCGATGCGGCGAGTGAGCATGCACCGTTGGCATTGCGCGCAGGGTTGCAGCAGGCCGTAGATGAGTCGGCCAGTTCATCCGACCGAGTCCGAGCTCACGGCATAGCCCGTCGGCTGCCTCGCTGTGGGTCGTGCAGCCCTCTGCCGAGCCGAACACACACCTTCGCAGACGGCATCGAAACACCGCTCCTCGCATGTAATGATCACGTCGAATTGGTTTTTCGTCTCCTGGAACTTTTCGGGTGCCCGCTTGATGCTGCGGTTTCGGTCCAGCATCTTCAACAGGCCGTTCTGGGTGTAGAGCTGCGGGTCCTTCTGGTACAGATCTCGATAGATGTCGTCGTAAGGCGTTCCAAAGGCATAGACATTGGGTCTGTCGATCGAGGGCCCGGGCAGTCGCACCCAGGTTCCCGTGCCGTAGGACTGGACCTTGAATCCGTTGAGCCTGCATCGGGCACGTTGGTGGGCATGTTGGTGAGCATGATGGTGAGCACGGCCGGACCGAGGGGGACAGATGAGCGAGCGGGCAGCAGCACCCAGACGAATCAGCAGCAACTTGCGATTTGCTTGGCGATGCCCGGCGACCACTCACTGCAGCACCCGGTGGGCCTCCATGCTCCGGTTCTGGTTGCTGGCACAGACGACGGCAAATAGGTATCGCATTGCTTGCGCGGGGTTGTGGTCGACAGAGGCTCCTCTGGAGAGGGCTGTGGATGCTTGGGCATGGCGAAAGCGCGGTTTTCCCTCTGCCCAGCGGGTCGGTCCAGCGCGCAGCATCCCTTGGGCAGCCCTTGCATCCAGCAGGGACCAGGGCCGACATCGATGGCGAGCCCGGCAGCAGGAAGGCCGGGCCAGGAAGATGCATCGGCGCCGAGGGCGTCTATCTGCATGGTATGCGTGCATCTGCATCTGCATCTGCATCTGCATCTGCGTCTGCATCTGCACTGCTTCGGCCCGCTCAAGCAGCTAATCGGGCTGGATATCGAGCCTGGAGTGTGGGTCACGTGCGGGTCTCGGATGCAGATCCAAAACCATGGCCAGGAGCGACGGCGACGAATGGCCGAGCCAGCGGCGATTACTGTGGGTGCAAGGCTGATACGGGGAGCGCAGGCTGGCATTGGAGGTGCAGGCCGATGCAGACCAAGATTGGCCTGGAAACAGACGAGACGCAGCGTGGCCTTCGTTGCTATGCGGTTGCTGCATTTTCCACAGCCGGCCACAGCAATCAAATCATTCGGGGACAAGCCCACGACGGAGACGATGTCATCCGAGTCAGGTCCACAGCAGAGCCGATGCCATCCGAGTCAGCCACGCGGCCGAACGGTATCGCCCACAGCCAAGTCGACACATCCGCAGCAGAGCCGACCATGTCCTGGATGAGTCGCAGGCAACTCGGTGCTGCGCGGCACTGCCCACTGATAAGCCCTCCCCCTGAAAGGCTCGGTGGCATTTCAGCCGCACCCCGCCGCTGCCGATCAGACCCGCTGCCTTTCCCACCCACATCGCAACGCACCGCATCGTCCGGCGAACCAGTCGGAAGCCTGGTTTGTTTGTTTGGAATCTGTCAAGCACGCAAGTGCATCTTCCAAAGGCGCCCCGCACCCCTCCAATCGGCCGTCCCACACCCTCTAAAAGGTGAGCAGTCGCTTTGGCCAAAGATGCACCCAGTGCCCTCGTCGCAGCTGTGCCAGACAAGTCCATCAGCGGCCTGTCCGGATTTTGGAGCACTACCCCCCGGTGTCCAAGCGTCTTCTCACGTCATTCTCCTGCCAGTGCAGTGCAGCTCGGCCAGCATCCACCACAAAGCACCCATCCTCCAAGAAGCCAACAATGCACCCGTCGGCAGGCGAAACCAATGCCCAGAGCCCAAACGTCTCCCCGACGCAGGGTCTCTACGTGAACCGATCCTCCGTCGCTAGCCCAGGCACACTCGAGCAGGCTGTGAAAAAGGCTAATCGAGGTGAGTCAGGGGCTAAGAACGTATCGGCAGCCAAGACACTCCGGCGGCCCGGGCTTCTGGAACCCGGATGGGGCCCCGATCGGAATCTAACGCCAGTCTGCATATCGCTCAGATATCCTGGAGCAGAAGAACGAGCTTGGCCCCAAGCTTGTTATTTTCATGGTCAGTATCTCTATCGATGGCGGGAGAGCGGCCTGCCTCTGCCCGAGTATCTGCAGCAATCTCGGCAGCAATCTCGGCGGCGGCATCAGCATCATCGCCATTGCCAGCACCAGTCCATTTGCAGCCTCTCGCCCTATCCGCATTACCCTCGGCATTAACATCTTTCGGTCGCGGCTCTGTCAGGTCGGCCTGCCCGCCCGCGGCAAGTCATGTAAGCACGCGCAAGCCCTTATCTCCCCTTGTGCTTATCGCTCTTGGCCACTGGCCGCATGGTTGCTAATGCTTGCCCTCTGTCGACAGATATCAGCAAGAAGCTGTGTCGTTGTGAGTCCCAGACCGTGCCGCTCGAGACGCTTTGCTGCACCATCACCACCAACACCCACCTTCACGCCCGCTCATTCGCACCCGCATGCATGCAGTATGACTATTTGCGGCACTTACCAGAGCCGGCTGCTGTCGCACGATTCTCTCCAGACACTAACCGCACTTTGCAACTATCTCCCCCTCGCGCTGCTCTCAAGACCTTGTTTGGTGCGGCTTCCGCACCCAGATCTTCAATGTCGGCAACCGAAGGCGAGTCATGTCGACCATCACAACTCCGCTTATCTCGACCCCCGAGGTTGCATCGACCCCGGCGGTCTCGACAGGCGAGTGCTCGGGCATGGGCACGCCCTTCACCTTCGGCTCGACGCACCACTCGCCCTCTCCGACCCGGAGCACCATTGCATGCGTTCGAGCCTCGGACGCCTCGGACCGGCCGTTGGAGGCGCATCCTCTGCCGACGATCAGGATTCCTTCCAAAGAAAACATCGACCAAGACCACCAATCGGCCAACACCGCCTCGTCTGCGGTCCAGCCCTCCGAGGCCATTCCGATCTCGCCCTCTGTTGTTGTCACCGCACCCAACTCGACGACCCACGACGCAAAGTTCTTCGACCCGCACAACTCGGAGGCTAAGGCTATCCGCGACCAGCTTGCCACTGACACCCTCGAGGAGCTTATTGCGTGGCTGAAAAAGGGCGGCAAGGTCGGCATCCACGATGCCACCAACTCAACCAAAGAGCGGCGAGCCATGCTCCTGGAGCGTGTTGCCCAAGAAAAGTCGATCCGCTGTATTTTTGTTGGTAAGCCTAAGCATCTGATCCCCTGACCGGGCGGCTGCAGCTCCGTCCAAGCGACAGGGTTCCTGCTGCTTGTGTGCACCACCCTAACAACCACATCCGTGCCCCTACGAACCAACTCCGCCCTTCCAGAGAGCATCTGCACCGAGGGCGAGGTGCTCGACCAAAACATCCGCATGAAGCTGCGGGGTCCGGATTACCTCAACATGGACTCTGAGCTCGCCATCCAGGATTTCTGCAAGCGCATTCGCAACTACGAAGTCGGCTACGAGACCATCTCTCAGGAAGAAGAGGACAACGGCATGGGGTGAGTCTGTGCCTTGCTGTTGCTGGCTGTGTCTCGATCTCCATCGCTTTGTGTGTCGATGAGTGGCTGTTCTGGCTGGCTCTGCTGGATCGGAAGCGAGCAGTCCTCTAACGCAGGATCAACCCTCTTGGGTTGGCACGGCGTTCGCCCCCACTCCATAGGTACATCAAGATCATCAATGTGGGCAAGAAGGTCATTGCCCACAATATCAAGGGCTACCTTGCCAGCCACTGTGTGTTGTACCTGATGCAGATGCATATCAAGCAGCGCACGATTTGGATCAGCAGACACGGCGAGTCAGGTAAAGACGGCTGCAGTTTCGATGATCCGTCGCCATTCACTCGGTAGCTATCCATCCACACCTTTCTCTCGTCGCAAAACCTGTCTCCTCGGCGTCTCTGTCTGCTCTTTATGCAATAGTATTCTGGGACAGTATTTGGTTGAGCACGACCGCTCCGTGGATATTCTGTCCTCGTGTTTCTCTACGAACAATCCTCCCCTTCTGCTCTGACCAATCGACCATATGCCCGCTCTGCGTCCCTCTGACAGAATACAACACCGAGCACCGCATTGGCGGTGATCCGCCTCTCACCGCGCGCGGTCGGCAGTACGCCTCGGCACTCGCACAATTCATCCAAAACTCCCACCCGCCCATCGAGACCCAAGACTCAATTACTTCGTTGGACGAAAACTTTGGTACGGATGCACACGGCTGTCTCAGTGTCTGGACGTCCACCCTCAGACGGACGATCGAAACAGGCGATTATTTCGACCAATCCGCCTGCGACATCAAGCACATAAAGTAGGTTTCCCGCGCTGCTGCGTTGCCAGTGCTGTCCGGCCAAAGATTGATTGTTGCACCGCTTCGCAGTCGACTCACATTCCTGGCATCGCTGGCCCGCTCTGTAGGACTCTGAATGAGGTGCGTATCCAAAGGAAAGGAACGCTCCGCACACATCGCAGTCGAGCGGACGGCCCCGCAGTGTCCTTGTAGATTCTTCCTGTGTTAACGTGTGCGTCTCTGCGCGTTCTGGGCCAGATCAACGCCGGTATTTTCGAAAGCATGACCTACGAGGAGATTGAGCGGCGTTATCCGCGCGAATATCAGGGTAGGCAGCCGACAATTCCCAGGACTATCACAAGCTCTGTGCCTCGAGAAATGTCTCCCTGGATCTCTGTCGCATCTACTTGCGCAACTGCTTGTTGTTTGATAGCCTGACCCTTCCTATGCAATCATTGTTGCAGAGCGCCAGTTCAACAAACTCAACTACCGCTATCCAGGACCTGGTGGCGAGTCATACATGGTGCGTTGGGGTCGCGGACGGCCCTGCTACAAACCGAACCGCCCTGCTACGAACCGAATCGCCCTGTGGAGTCAATCCATCGCCATCTTTCTTCTGAGCAGGGCTCGTGCTGCGGACAAGGGCGACCTCCTGGCTTGTCTGTGTGAGCTGGCCGAGTGAGCTGGCCGAGTGAACTGACCAAGCGGAATCGTGCCGTCCTCATACACAGGATGTCATAGATAGACTGAGACCCATCGTCATCGAGCTGGAGCGGATGGAGACCAATGTCGCTATTATCACCCATCACGTCGTAAGTCTTGTCTGCCTGCGCGGGCGTTTGATGCTGGAGACCCGGACGTTGACGCAATTGCAAGCATTGCCGCGGACTGGCAACAGAAGCTTCTGTCTACACGCAGCTACTTGATTTCACCGCCATTCACTCACGACTCTGCCTCTGATTCGCCCGCCTCCGCCTCCCAGGTCACAAGAACGCTGTTGGGATACTTCACAGGCATCCCTCTCCAGAACATGCCGACCCTAGAGGTTCCTCTCCACGTTGTCTACTGCCTCAAGCCGCAGCCTTACGGCACCGAGCTGATCAAGTACGTATGCGACCATAGACAGCTCTGTCTGTGGTCCAGGCGTCATTTGGCTCGGCACGGCTTGAATGGCTGCCAGTGCTTCGTACACTGTTGTAGGCGACTACTGGAGTGGCCCGGCTTCTGTGAGACTGCCTGGACATTACAACACCGCCTGCTTCGCTCGCCCACGACTGACCTTTGCAACATATTCCCTGTCGGCCACAGATACAAATACGACCACGATACCGACAGCTTCTCTGTCATCGAGTGATTTGCACTCGCCAGATGCTTGGACAAGCGCTTTGTCCCTTCTCGCAAATGTCCTGAGAGCGTCTGTCCAAGTTACAGTCTTTGCCTCCATTCCACTATCTCTCATTCGCAACAGCCCACAGTCCACAGTTCACAGTTTGATAATCAGTCCCGTTCATGTCAGTGCTTTGTAGCCACAGAAGCCAAAATAATACGTTGCATATTTGGTCCGCTTGACAGCCAGTGCCGTCGCTGCGCCTTCCACCGTTTAGTTGGCCACACGAAACTGATTCTTGAGCTAGACAGGACCTCCAAAAGCTGGACCGTTCACGCCGTGGATGATATCGCACGAATCCACTGCCGCAGACTGGGCTCGGGGGAGGTCGGATCAAGAATGGACAAAGTGATATATATGTAGGGATCGGTACTGAACCACGACAGCAGTAGCTCATGCCCTCGAAACTCAGGGGCTTCTCAATTGTATGCGGTTATGAATGTGAATGATGTATCAAGCGACTGCTAGAGGCAGCTGAGCAGTTCGTGGCGCCGTGATGGTGCGTGGGATCACAGCTCGCTCTTGGTCCACAGCTTGTATGTTCCAGCGGCACCAGAAACTAGGGCCGCACATAGCTGGGTGAGTTCCATGGATCCGCCGCTCGGCTTGGAGGGATAGAACACATCGAGCCCGCAGAAGAGGCCGTCGGCCAGCAGCTTGAGGATCTGCAGCTTGGCCATGAACAGGCGCTCGCGAGACTGCTTCAAGTCCTTCTCGACTGGTTGAGCGGTCGGTCGTGTTGGCAGCGGTGTGGAACCGGAGATGGCTTTCCTGGGGACGGAGGGCTGTTTGAGGGCCCAGTGGTGCTTGACACAAGAGCGGTAGTCCCACAGGGCAAACCACAGATCGATCCAGATCGTCGAGAACCACAGGCGGTCCGAGACGGGTGTCATCCGGCCGGCCCACGAATCCGACAGCACGCCGATCTTGGAAAGGCAGATAAGGTCGTCGGAGATGTCGTTCATGACGGCAAGCCAGCAGTAGACTTGCTGGATTGGGGTGAGGCTGTTGGGTCTGGGCCGGAAGGTGAGCGACCCAAAGACGATGCCGTTCTCGTGCAGCTGTGTCAGTGGGTCCAGCACAAGGCCGAGGCGGATGATCTTGCGGCAGATGGACAGGCTCGAAACGGCCTTTTCGAGGCGCTTGACCCTCGATGCCGGCAGCCACTGGCTCCAGAGCAGGAGCTTGGTGATGTACTGGGCGATCTTGAAGACCTTGTCCCGCCCGTCGGATTTCAGGAGAATCTTGCGGAGCACAAGCAGGAGCACAAAGGGGTGGGCCAGCGTCTTGTACGCATGTGGACGGTCTTCTGTCGCGGCCAGGGCCTTGGAGAGCTCGGCGATCTTGTGGTGGACGGCAGCGGCGACGGCGGCGGCAGGGACGTTGGGCTCAGCGCCGGGACGAAATCCGGCAACCTCCTCCTCGGTCTGCATGGCCATCTCCACCATCGTTGCTCGGCCCTTTGGCTGCTCCTCGGCTTGGTCCGAGCCTCGGGGCTGCTGCTCGTGTGAAGCAGTGCGGTGGACGGCGGGCTCTGGGGGCGGCTGCACGGACGGAGCTGACCTCTCAAGGTCGGATGGCAGAGCACCGCACGAATGAAACACCGGCCCCGTTTGACCGGCACTGGGCTCATCCGCGACGCTGCGTCCTGTGGATGGCTCGACCTCGAACTGGGTGTGCTTATTGGCGCTACGATGCGAGCTGGAGCCGGTTGAGGCTCGCTCGGTGGGAGTCTGGGTCGAGCGAGAGGCAGATGCGCTGGGATCCTGGATGCTCATGCCGCTGGAGAACGAGTCGGACTGGTGTCTGGGAGAGATGGCCGAGACAACAGACTCGGTAAGAGGGCTGGGTTTGGCCGGGAGCGGCGGCAGAGACTTGGCGATGGGGGTTTTGCGGATGGGCGAGGCCGGGTTGGACCTCTTTGGGATGCGGCTGTGGGACATGGGGCCGGTCGGCAGAAGCAATGCAGGAGGATTGCCGGGCGGGGATAGTGTCGGAGCAACGAAAGCAGGTCAGCGCGACGGTCAGCTCGCCGTGGGAGAAGTGCGGGGTGCTTCACGATGGGAATGTGGATGCTGTGGAATGAGAGACGCAGGCTCCAGCTGGTAGACACCGATGCAATCCAAGAAACAACCAGGCTGCCGAGGCCTACCAAAATGCACACCTGTGGACGGGGCACTGCTCGCGGGAGTTCTGTTGAGAATCGGCGACAGGCTCTATTTGACTCTCCAGCCCGGCACGTGGGCGGGCAGCAACAGGACATCGGACGGCAAGCAGCCAACAAAGACGGCGGCATCCGTCTCGGCCCGGCCACGGCCGGAAGAGGAGGCAGGACAGGGCGGGACAGGGCGGGGCAGGGTGCCTCATGGGCCGGAGACGGGGGGGGCGGCAGCCGGCTGTGTGGGGGGCAGCGCAGGACGCAGCCAGTGAGGGAGGAATCACAGCAGGGCAATGCGAATGACATCCTGGCGATCCCACGGACAGACGAGGCCCGATGGTGATTCAGCGAGGCGCTCGGCGCACTGCGAGCAGAGGCGGTGCTCGCATGGATGGAATACTGGACGCCGTGGCGAGGAGGATGGCGTTGCAGCGAGAGGGAGCAATATCCAGATACGAGTGAGAAGACGGGCAGAGATCCATCGGGCCGTTCGAGAGGCAAGCAAGGTCGCATGGGGTCAGCACAAGTAACCAAGGCGCTAACACAAGTTGGAGCGGTAATACTACAAGTAATAAAAGTTGGAGTGGAGTGCTGCAACAAATGTACAAATGGTAATCACACAACCAACGGCACAGCACTACCAAGCCGACAACACTACAACCAAGCCAATAGCACCACCAAGCCAATAGTACAACTAGTCGGCAACATGAATGATGACCCGTCTTCATGTGCAGAGAGCATGTCTTACCACAATTTTCCGGCTGGTCGCAGCACAGCCCGCATTTCGGCCGCTCTGGAGTATCAGCAGATGCTCTGGTGAGTGTCTCCGAGAGCACCACCAGCTTTTCCAGGCTCGCCGCTTGTGCTTTGCTACTGTCGTGGACCAACTGCTCGAGCTTTGTGCATGTCGGACCCCACAGAGCCAGCCCGCTGTCTCGGGCGTGCTGGGCCTGCCGCACGGCCTCTTCGTAGCGGGCACTGGCCAGGGCAAGAGCATCCTGATATATCCGCTCGGCCAGCCGGTGTGCTTTCTCCTTCTCCTCGCTGGCACATTCCAGCGCCTGTTTGAACTGGCTTTCGATGAGCTGCTGCGATGCTTCCCGCAAGTTGGCGAGCTCGCTGTGGATTTCTTCGGTGCGGACGCTGGCGTGCACTAGAGCCTCTCTGCGGGTTGTGGGGAATGTGCGAGGGCGGTTGTTTTAGTCCTGACATCGAGTGGTGGTGGGAATACCATCCGAAAACACACAAAGGTCCGATGCAGCAGTCAGACATCACCTGCTCGTGCTGTGGATCCGATCCATTCCACTTTGTCTACCAGCTGTCATCTCGTCCGGATCAACGCTTAAATCCGTGGACGGGGTCGCTTCAAAGACAGAAGCAGCAACAGCAACCAACTGTGCTGATTCTGGCTGGGCTGCTGGGGCTGTCCCAGTCACCGGCCGGATCGCGGAGAGTGTCGGGTTGATCATTTTCATCAAGGTAACCATCGACGACTGGCTCGAGCTCGGAGGATCCGCTGCGGAGTCTGCGTCTGTGTGTCGTAAGCTATTGCCGATGGGTCAGTGCCGTGTTCATGCACATGGCATGCGAACAAACTGACACTGGCAATGGCAATGGCTGTTGAGCATCGACAACGAACCTGTGGGACCAGTCTTTGCTTATCGCGGGCTTGTCCTTGGACTGCTGTTCTCGCATCTCCTTCTTGCATCTGGAGAGGTTTTCCACGATCAGATTGAAGCAGTCCTCGCTACGCCAGCTGTTGACTGCGGGCCGTTCCAGAGGTACCGGTCACTTAGTTCGCTGCATAACCACTCAAGCAGCTCACGCACACAACCAAGGAAACAGGTCCATTCAATTGTGACTCCAAGTGCGTCTGGCTGCAATGCATATCGCACTTTTCTTTCCGTCAATGGCCAATCTCGCTCGTATGCGACTGTATGCTCGGAAGTTCTCTCTCACCATCGACACGAGCTGCCAGACTTACATGCGTCGACGCCGAAGCGGACATCGACAGAGTTCTCCAACAGATTGAGCCGCAGCACGTCTTCTTCCAGAGCCGGACACTCCATGCACCCGTAGGGCCAGTGGAAGCAGACTAGCCCACCGGCCAGCCGCATGGGCTCATCTTCTGCCAGGGCATCGACCTTGCCGCTCCAGTAGATTCCCGACTCATCGACGACAGCGCGACCAGTACCAAGGAGGATCTGGGCGAGAGCACAGGACAGAAGCAACAGCGAGTTATTTATGAGACAAGAGAGATGGCTTCGTGGTTGGGAATGCAGGCACAGCAGCAGAGCGACAAGCTGGTCCCCACGGAGTTATGGATCGCTCGGCCAAGTCGCAGCGCAACCAAGGGCGCCGAGCGAACAGGGGGTAGCCTTCTCTCGGATCTGCCTCGAGCCCAAGAGCACGCATGCTCTCACCTTCTCCGATCGCAGTTGGATCTCTTCATAGGCGTCCGCAGCAAAATCGCCCGGATCGATCTCGAGGCGCTCCGCAAATGCCTCCTTCATCCTCCAGATATCAAGCTCCAGAGCGACACCGTCAGACTGAGCCTCGGGCAGCTCCTTCTTCCGGTCGAGCATTTGGCTGTACATCTTGGCTCCGTACACCTGGGTCCGCAACAGATGCGTCAGCCGCTGTTAGTCTGCCGGATCGATGGCCAAGCCGGCCATCCGCAGCGGGCAGCGATAGCGCAGGGCTCACATCGAGATCGTCCTCATCGTCTCTGTCCGAGGCGGCAGTCGTCGTAGACTCCCTGCTTATCTCTTGGATCGCTGCTTCAACCGGTCCTGGCGCCGCCAAAGACTCGGCCGGATCGGGTCGATTCGGATGGGCCTGCTCATGATGTCCCGCGGTGCTTCCTATTTCATCATTGGGGTCAATGTCGATAGGATCTGGACTTGAGCGATCGGATGAGACGCTGCCGATCGCCCGGCGGCTTGGGATGGTATAAGGCGTATACTTGTGGCCGGTTTGGTGGCGATCGTCTCGGGTTTTGGAAAATGCGGATCGGTCTGAGAGACCTGGGACGGACGGGTTTGCTCGTTTGAGGTCAGTCATCGCTCGGCGAGCGCTGTCAGGCTTGGGCCGCTGGGGCGTCAGCGGCACCGACAGGGTCTTTGGTGCATTGGCCGATGCACCAGAGGTTTTTGTCGACATATCGTGAACGTCGTTTGGGTGTGGAGCAGAGCGACGATGATCGGGGACAAAGGCCCAGACGCGGCGGAAGCCGCTGAACCCAGGGCGATTGCGACGACTGGGTTGCTCTCATTTGCAGCTTGTGTTCGAGACCCCTTGCGTATATTCAAGCGAGAGCCCCATGCACACCGCTGGGGGGCCTCTCCATATTCGACAAAGGCCCCGAACAAACACACAAAACATAATGAGGACTAGAGGTGGGAGAAGAGTTGTTGATGGGCAAAATCAAGAGACATCGGGGACAGCCAGTCGGGGATTCGCTCCATCCGGGATCGGCTGTGCCGTCATTACGGTCGACACAACAACCATTGTCGACACAGGCGCATGTGCAGGAGGAATTACAAAGAGGGGAGGGGGAATAGTGATGGCCAACCACAGACACCTTCAGCAATCGCTGCCGGTTCGCAGGATCACGAAGCCGGGGTGGGAGTCACCGTGCGTTGGCGCGGACGGATGCGGACCTTGTAGCTGTCGCCCTTGATGCGCATCGTGACCATCAAACGGGTTTCCTTGCTCTGGCCGGAAATATCTTCAATGTCGTAGCTCCTCAAAAAGTTGGCCAGGAAGATCCTGAGCTCCATGAGAGCAAAGTTCTTGCCGATGCAGTTGCGCGGGCCGGCCGAGAACGGAACCAGCTCGCACTTGGACTCGAGGCCGCGGAAGGTTGTGTTGTCCTCGAGGAAGCGCTCGGGGCGGAAGGTATCGGGGTCGCTCCAGATGTCCTTGTTGCGATGGGTCGAGAATGTCGCAATGACGACGGCGGTGCCTTTGGGAACGAAGTAGCCGCCCAGGTACATATCTTGAGGGAGCTCTCGGGTCGGGCCCTGAGGGATGGTGGGGCAGAAGCGCATGATTTCGGAGATGACGGCGTTGAGGTAGGGCAGATTCTTGGCAACGTTGTGGTCGATCAAATTGGTGCGTGGATCGAGCTCGGCGGCATCGAGCTCCTCAAGAAGCTTCGCCTTGACTTGCGGATACTCGAACAGATGGATGATGGTGAGGGCGATGGTCTGTTGTGTCGATAAATGGGCAAGAAATGGCCATGAGTCAGTGGTCTCGCAATTTTGGGCCTTTCGCGCTCGAATCGGTGGCGAAAGCAAGTGGGGAATCGGGTGCAGAGGCTATGCATATGCGATGCGACCCACGAAAGACAAGACTCTTTGAGCCAACAGATGGAAGGGCGGGCGCAGAGGAGACTCACATTTGCGGTCGTTTCGCTGCCGGCAATCAGGAAGAGGCGGCTGTTGATCGAAATCTCTGCATCCGTGAGGGGCTTGCCGGTCTCCGGGTCCTTGGCATCCAGGAGCTGCTGCAGAATATCGTGTCGGTCGGTCGGGTGGCTGCGACGGCTCTCTACCATATCCTTGGTGAAGCTTCGCATAAAGTTGCGGTCCTTGGTGAATTGGCGGTTGATGGACAGGAAGGGGAGGTAGCGGGTCCAAGGGAACAAAAATCGGAACGAGAGGTGGCGTAGATTGCGGCCGATGGCCAAGGGCAAAGGATGGGCGCCGTTCTCGATCTGGGGCAACAGCGAACGGATATACTGAGTAAATGCAGGATATGGCAGAGTTGGTGCCTCGTAGCTTGGTGGACAAATGTCATGTCGCTTACCATATGGAACGTCTGCCCAAAGGCAGTCTCGCCGATGACGTCAAGGGCGAAGCGGTTGGGCAGCTGCCAGATATCAAGCACAGAGAACTCGTCCGGGTTGTTGCTGGTTTCCTTGGCCCACTTCTGGTCGACATAGGAGATGGCGTTGTTCAGACAGTTCATCATCAGCGGCTCCTGGGATGCCAGGCCCTTGACGCTGAACGAATAAGCCTAAAAGTGGGAGAGAAGCAACCGTCGCGCCACTGAGTCAAGATGTTCGGAGCGTGGATGTGTGCAGCTCTGAGCTCTGCACCGACATCGATACTTACCATCGTGCGTCGCAGCTTGCGGTGTTCATTGTCGTCGGCGATGGCGATAAGCGAAGGGGGCTCAACCGGATCGCGGAGTCTGCCCAGGCGGTCAGACGATTTTGGGAAGCTGTCGGTCACCAAGATGGCCTTGGCTAGCTCCGGGTCGGCGATGCTAATCTCGTTCGCGCCGATGACCACAATTGGACCGTACCTGGCGGTCGAGAGAGGTGGATGGATGACAGAGGCGATGAGCACCGGCATCAACGAGCGCGGGAGAGGGTGGGGGAGTGGGGAGTGGGGAGTGGCTTCTGGCCTCCGAAGACAGCCCAAGTGCCACCAGCGCCGCGCTTGGACGGCGTGCCATTGTGTCGCTGCCATCGGACATGGGCGAGGGCGGCTGGAGCATGAAGCGGGATGGAGCATGGAGCATGGAGCATAGAACATAGAGCATAGAGCATGTAGTATGGAGCATAGAGCATGGAGCAGGAGTGTCTGCCAGCACAATCAGACACACGATCGGACCGCTTACTTTTTGTGCTTTTTGTAGCTAACCTCGTGGATCTTGTCGGCGCCAAAGACGAAAAAGTTCAGCGAGCCGAGCAGCACCCTGGCGATACTGTCGCTGGCTCCGGGCAGCTTGCGGAGCGGCGAGCTGAAGCTCTTGATGAGGTAGATGAGGTATCGGGTCGACAGCACGGTGGCGATCGTGCCAGCGGCGATCAGAGTGGCTCGCGCGAGTACCAGGGTCATTGCGCTTGAGTAGAGATCGGCAGAGGAGAATGAGGAGGTGCAGTTGTTGGAACGGGTTCGATGGGCGAGGATGGATGGGGGCCGAGGAGGCCGAGAGCGGTTCCTTTTGTAGTCCGGCCTGCCAGGCTGCCTGTGCGGGCGCCGTTCGGCTCCGTTGGGCCATCGGCTGCGTTGGTCCTTTGGCCGCGGTGAGCAACGAATCTCCCGATTATCCGGCGGTGGTTGATGGATCCTCGGGCGCTTGTTCGGGTTTGTTCGGGGGCTGGGGTGGAGGCGAGTAAGCGAGTGCTTGGATGTTGGGCGCTTGTTGGAATATCGGCTGCGGCGATCGATCCGGTCGATTGCTGGAAGGAGTGTGCAACCCCTTTGTCCCTGTGCTTCGGGCCATGCAGGCGATCTCCCAGAAGATCTCGGGCTGCTCTCGAGCCGGGTTATCAATCTCTCGAGCCAGACTATCTATCTCTCGAGCCAGGCTATCCATCTCTCGCAGCACCCCGCGATGGCACTCGCAGCGATTCCCTCCATTCATCTGGTAGTGTGCCGTGGATGGCTGCGGTGGCATTCAGCATGTGTATTCAACAGAGAGGAAAGCAGTGGCGGGTCTCCCACTTCGGTCTGCACAAGCCGCAAAGCCCAAGCTGATCCCATTGACCCGGCTTGGCTGCCTGCGCCTGTCTTGGCCCCCCCCCATCTCCAGGCTTGGCACAACCAACCGCAGCCATGTCGGCACAGGCGGTGGCCGCTCAAGCTTCCGAGTCGTCTGACTGGGGACTGCTCAGGGCACTGTCGTGTTCGGGACGGGGTTTGTCATCGACGGCCATGTCGTAGTCGTCGTCGTCGCCGTTCAGGGTTTGCATGCTGCGAGAAACGTCCTGGCTTGGCGGGTTCGAGTCCAGACCGTCGTCGTTATCGTCGTCGTCCTCTTCGTCGTCGCTATCGATGTTGGCCTTGGACAGGCTCGAGTTGTATTTGGACGGACGCTTGCGTCTGCCAACGTCCTCGTCCTCGTCGTCCTCATCGCTGCTGTTGCGCTTGCGGTGGCTTGTCCTGTGGTGAGCGTCGGAGCTTCTTTGGATTCCTGCATCGCCGCTGTTGTCGCCGGCGTCCTCGTCTGAACTATCGTGAGTCTTGCGACTGAGCTTCTTCGAGATCCGTTTCTTCCTATCAATCCAGCAGAGTGTCGTGCGATAACGTCAACAGAGTCACGATGCGGCCACGAACAAGCGTGGCCAGGGACAAAGAGACATGGTCAGATCCCAGCAAGTTGCATCCATCGAGATACAGTCCGCTGCACATCAGTTGCCACCCATTCCCCCGTGCTGCAGCCAATCTCGTCTAGACGCACTTTCGGCTCTCGTGCTTGTCGCCATCGCGTTCTCGGCGCTTGCGGCTGTGTTTTTCGCTGCCGCTGGCACCATCGGCATCGTTATCGTCGCCAAAGTAATCGCTGTTGTCTTCGCCATCGTCGTCTTGGATGAAGCCGTCCTTGTCCTTGGACTTTTCAGACTTGCGCGACTTTCCACGTCGAGCCCCTTCCTTCTGGGACTGGGTCTCGCGCTCGTTCTCCTCCTGGCGAATCTGTTTCTCAGTGTTCTCCTTGGTTTTGTCCTGCAGCTGCCTTACAATGACCTCAATTTGCTGGCGGCGACGGTCCTCGAGTTCTGCGCGCTCTCTCTGCCGGTTTCAGGGTGGGATCGTTACAGTCAGTCGAGGTTGTCACCGCGACGGGAGCCAGTCAACGCAGTCCGGAATCCCGCGCATTCGGACAGGCAAGATTCGCGGGTCAGTTGAGTCATCCAGCGAGCCAATATCTCGGGCGACCCGTGAATAGAGCGTCGAGACCAAGACCGAGACCAAGGCCGAGACCAAGGCGGCCTTACCTCTTGTTTCTTGCGGTTTTCTTCGAGCTGTCGGCGCTCCTCTTCGATTGCACGCAGCCGCTCTTGCTTGACCTTGGTGAGGGTTCCGGTTTCGTGCATGCGCTTCAGGGCAGTCTTTGCGATGGCGTCACAGTGAACCGCCCGCGAGGTCGCATGCTTACAGCTGTACTCGGTCGTTCCTTCCTTGAATGTGCCCAGGAATGTGAGCAGTCTGGAAGGCAGAGCGGTGTGGTGAGCGTAATTGCGCATGTATCATTAGAGCACAGGTGAACCAGAACGCTGTCGCCATAGCCATCTGAGGCTTGGATGCACCGACAATGCGCGACAGAGAGCAAGTCTGTATGCCTCGATCATGCGTCTCGATCATGCGCCTCGATCATGCATCTCGATCATGCACCTCGATCAGAAGGATGGCGGCGTCCCTTTACCTTTTGCAAACAGGCAAGCCATCCACTGCCTTCTGCATCAGACCAACGTCTCGCTCTTCAGCCGGCAGATCGTTCAGGATGCTGGCAATCTGATGCTTGGCGATCGCCAGGTTGTAGAGCAGTGTCAAGTTGCTGGGGGTCAGCCGAAGGGCCTGCGTCGGCGTGCCGGATGGAGGTTGGGAAGATCGTCAATAGCTGTGGCCGAGTTACTCTGGATCCAATCCAAGGTCGGGGCCAGAAAGGGGCTTGACTCCTTTCACCCATACCGCTGCAGTTCTCGCGAGAGTCACACACCTTCTCAAGGTACTTGACAGCCTTCTGAATATGCTCAACGCAGGCAACGACCTTCAGGGTCTTGGCAAGAACATAGTGACCACGGGCGAGGCACTGCAAGATGTAGGGGTCCTGGTAGTTGGTTTTCTTGGCAAGGCTTTCGTACTGTCAATGGTTTCAGCTGGATCAGCAATCTTGGCACCAGTCTTGTCGTCGGTCTTGGCAGCGATCGTGGGCATGTGCGAGCACAGAGCCGCCACGGCTGGCTCCAAAGAGTCTGGTGTCTCGTTCCCCTTTCACGCGCCCACACTCCCTGTCGCTTTGCATGCAATCGGATACGGGCATAGCCTACCAGCGCGATGGCGCTTCCAGTCTGGTTCGACTCAAGCATGACATGCGCCAGGTTGAGGATGGCCGACTGGTTGTTGTGAGTCGTTTCCTGCACCTGGGTGAAAACATCTCTGGCCTCGGAGAGATGCCCTTGGACAGCCAGGGTGATGCCGACGCCTGTGGCGGCATAGGCATTTTGATTGTCCCACTGTAGGGCCTTGTCGAAAAACTCGTATGCACGGCGGTGGTGCTGCTCTTTCTGCGAGACCGGTGGCCGCGGATTTCTCAATGTGAGCCAGCGTCTATCGGTGCCATTCGAGCAGGCAAGCTCGAACCATGTCTTTCACGAGCCATCACCCCCACCCACGCAGACTGGCTCTGTTGGGAGGAAGGGGTTCCTTACATTGGCAGCGTCTCTCTTGGCAAACCACAGATTCAAGTTGCCGACACAGCACAGAGAGTAGGTATCATGCGAGTCGATTTCCTTGAGAATTTTCTCGTAGGTGTCTCTCGCCCTGCGGTGAGCCGACGACTGGGCGACCGTTCCTTCACGAGGCTCCTGCTGAAGCGCGCCGAGCATGAGCCAGGCATCGATGTTCTTTGGATCGATGGTGAAAACATCCTTGATGTAATCCTCGGCTTCGGCAAAGTTGTGCAGACGGATTTGCAAAGCGGCCAGGCGCAGATAGCCTGCAGGCGCCATGAACAGCAGCATCAAGAACACAGGATGGCGTCAGTGAAGTCGCAGGTGGCATGTGGCAAGTGCCCAGGCACCTTATAATACGCGGCCGCCGCCAGTCGCGCCTCCACGAGCCGTATCGATGCACCGCCAGCTTGAAACAACTCGACACCGGACATACAGTCAACGTAGTTGGGATGGTCCTTCAAAACATCCTCGTAGAGCTCGCGGGCTTTGTCGAGACTGCCCTCACGCTCGTAGCACCGCCCGAGATTGTAGCGGCAGGTCACGCTGACTCGCTTCGTCCTTTGGACCACCTCATCGGCCAACGCTTCATTCGAAGCATCTTGGGGCTCCCCAAGGCGCTGGGTGCAAATATCGCGCACACGGAGGAACATGCCGCGCGCTTTGGCGAGCAGCGCCTGCTGCTGACGCTCGTCGGCAGCGACTCGTTCGCTGGAGGCTATAAAAGTACGGCACCAAGACACCACCGGAGGTTTAGTACCAGGATCCAGGGCAACGACATCGCGCGCGTTGCATAGGACTGAGCCACGGCTGACCTTCCAGAACCAAGAGCGAGCCGATGTTGTTTAGCAGTTCGGGCTCGACGGTGTCGCCTCCCTTCTCAATGAGCTGCACGGCCTTGTCGTAGGCTGTTGGGGCCGAGTGGATCATGGGGCGTTGGGAGCAACCGACAATCCATCAATGTTATGCATGCTCGACCAACGCGGTACCAACGGGCGGCAGTGCATGATGCGAGTCATTGATCGGCATGTGCTTACCGACAAGTGCCGCTTTGATGTCGGTGCCCTCGGCCAGGCGGCCCATCTCGATATGGATATCGGGGTCGACGAGGTAGTCGTCCTCCTTCAGTTCAACGCTCTTGACACCCATTTCTTTGAGGACGGCTTCTCGATCCATCTTGAGCAGCTTCTTGAGTTTCTCAAAGCATTCAGATGCCTGTTTCTTGGAATCGGGCTTTTGTGCGTACAGCGACGCCAGCCTCTGCAAAACAGCACACGAGCACAAGAAGGACTAAATTAGAGTGATCGCACTGTAGAAGGACACTGGGACATGTACAAGACCACAAATATAGCACTGCGAGGACACAGCCGTGGCAACAATAAACGTAAAGCAATCGCCCAGACGTGAGAAGCGCGACACTTGATCGGCCTGGCCACGGAGTGTCTCTGCGGAGACACGAGAACGCGCGTTTCGGCCCCGGTTCAACCTACTCTGATGGTTCCATGGTCATCGGGCTCGCCTTTCCGGACAGCCTCGAAGCACTCGATGGCCTTTTCGATGTCACCTAAACATCACCCAACACTATATTCAGCACGGTGGGTGCTTGGGACTGCAGGCGCGGGGCATGGATGTACAAAATGCACTCACCATGGTAGATATACATCTCGCCCAAGGCATATTGGCATTTTAGCGAGCGGGGATTCAGTGCCGCGGCCTTCTTGAAGGACTCAAAAGCCTCGGCATACTTGCCCTGAGTGGATGCGGGCAACAGGAGCGACATTCAATGGGTTAGCGATGGCAGAGGCGTGGGAAACAAATGCTCTATTTCGTTTGACTGCGTCGTGTTGTGAGTGGGTGTGAGCGGATGTGAGTGGGTGTGAGTGGGTGTGAGCGAATGTGAGTGTGGACGTATGGGGGGAAGATGGAGCAAAGTCGTGCGCGGCTGTCGTTACCAATGCCTGGTAGGCACGCCCCTCAGTCGTCAGAGAGTCGGCCAGTAGTCGCTGAGAGGTTGAGTACTTGACGGCAATTTTGGCATAGACAAGGGCCTGCAGATTGCGCAAGTGCCCGAACGGCGTCAGATCGGCCAACCACGAGGCAGAGCAGAGTGCATAGCCGCCTAATCAAGCCAGCCACCGGCCACAGCCAATTATCCTAGGGTGTACCTTCTTGAGATCTCGAGACATGAAGCGCTGCGCCATCATCAAGGCGATGAGCGGATGCTGGTGGTTGATTTCGATGCCCATCTTGAGGTACTTGGCAAAGCTTTCCGAGTGCTCCTTGCGCACAGGATCAGTGAGTCCGGGCTTGCGCGAGGCATTCCAGTCCATGACCGCCAGTAGCGCACAAGCATCAGCGTTGCGGTTGTCCTGGATCGCACCAAAGCGGATCAAAGTACTGTTAAGCAACCAACGTCGGGGCTGCGAGCAAGTGCCAAATCCCGCATAACAGCAAGCAATGGTGGCGTGCGCTGAGCAATGTCACTCGACGTACTCGCTGAAGCACCCGGACAAACGCCCGTCTTGCATGGTCGCTCATGCCAAGCTGGTGGTAGCAGATGCCGATGGCCAGCCGCACATCGGGTTTGAGGTTGGGCACAAGCGTAAGGACCTTTTGGTAAAACGACAGCGCCATTTTTATCTCGCCTTTCCGTGCCTGTGCCGCAGCCTGTTTACGGTCCAGAGAGACGGGCTTGATCAGTTTGACGAAAGACGGCACGAGCCCGAGTCCCAGTCCGAATCCAAGCCCAAGTCTGCGCTAAACGAAAGCTGAAGCTCGCGACGAGAGCACCAATGACTTCTTGAAACAAGCCGGCAGCTCGATAGAACAAGCCGACAACGCTGAAATTGAGAGTTGAGTCGATATCACCCGTTGCGCCGACACTCTGAGTGACAGAGCCGCTGCCCTCCAGACCTACCAGCCCGATCAAGGCAGGAATGCAGTTGGGATCCATCTTGGTTGCGTTCATAAAGGCTTGCATCGCATTGACGAGCTCGCCGCGGAGCATTTGTAGAACGCCTGGGGTACACACAAGGGGAATGCAGAGTCAGCGGCAGTCCATGTGTTCGCGGGGTCTACATCAGAGCGTCGAGCCGCAGGGCACCAGGTCGCCACGGCCCAGGCATTCGATGACATATGTTCTGAACCGACAAAACAGCCTGGATTCTCGGGATGCTGTGTCGCCGAGACCGGCAGTCTGTATCATAGGGCGCGGCAGTACCCACCCTTGCCGACAGCGGATAGAGGATCGCGGCTGTCGATACGATCGGCTTCGTTGTAGTACTGGACAGCGGCGTTGATGAAGCGCTCTCGCTCGCTCTGTTCGGTGTTCAGCTTGCACTTTCGGGCCTCGTTCAGGTTGAAAGACGCCAGGCTGTTGAGCAGAAGCAGATGCTGTGGATCCTGGTTCCGGGCGCCTGTTGGGGAGTGGTCGTCGACACACGACAAAAAGTCAGTTGAGGATGCCAGCATGGATATGGTCAGTGTAGTAAGTATCCATATCCCACTTGGGGCACCGTCGATCCTATTGCTGGCTGGTCTGTGGAGGCTTATCCAGGAGAGAGCCAGCGCGAGGATATCCAACAAGATCGGAATAGCCGGCCGGGCTACTCGGGACGATGCCTGCGCTGACTGGTGGTTTGCCGGAGACTCACTCTTGGCCGCAGCAAGGCCCTCATTCAGGAACGTCTTGAAGTGGTCAAACATCGATCGCTGGTGGTACTCATCCTATGAGCATGAGGGACATGAACGAGGGGGATACGGACATCAGCTTTGTATGTGGCCGCCGGGTGATGCAGATGTGGGCCGATGAGCATTGGTGAGCGGCGGGCAAATGCCCGACAGCACAGCGATGCTGCATATGGCTTCAAGCAAGGGCCGTACTGGAACGGGGAACGATCCTGTGCTTGTCGTGGGCTCGGTCGGCGATATCGGTACTCACAGCGAACTCGGCAAACAGGGCCACTGGCACCTTTTCCTGCTTCAGGATGCTCAGAATGTGCTCGGCATTCTCCTGCAGATCGCTCAGATCAACCTCGAGCACGGCCTCCTTGTTGTTGAGGGGGATTTCGATGACGTTGGGCGCCGCCATGGTCTTTGGGTGGCCAGCACGGTGCCTTTGGGAGATGTCCGCTGTGCGCGATGGTCTGTGTTGGTGCTGGTGCTAGGCGATCGGTCTGGATGGCCTGGCGAGCCAGCGAAACGGGCGAGGGGGCAGCGGTTTGTCGCGAGCCGGCGGCTCGATCCGGCGCGGCTCGATCCGGCTCCAGCCGCAATCATGCGCCGAAAAAAAGTCGGGCCTGCGAACGGGCGCAACACCGGCCCAGCCCCGAGAACAACCTCCCAAGCCCGCAGCCGACCAGCGCCGATCCCGCCGCACAAGCACCCAGACAACATGAGCTCGTTTCCAGGAATGCCGGGGATGCCTGCAAAGCCTCAGGATCCCAACGAGCCCCCGCCGGAGATGAAGGCCCTGTTCCAGGCCTTGGGCGAGAGCTGCCCCGTCAAGGTCGCAACCTCCGGCGCCATCGGTAATGGACGAGCCGGCCCTGCAAGACCGGTTCACATGGACATTCTGCATCTGGATCGCCGAGCCAGAGGACAAGTGCAGTAGAGGCGCAGAGAGGCTGCTGCGTGCCTGCGTGCAGGACTGCTGTCGATCGGCATACCCTGGCTCGGGAGCAAGCTGCGCCGACCACATATCTGCTACGACGACATCGCCAGCCCCACGGCTTCCCTGCAACTTCTCGATCCGCCTAACGCTGCAGCGCCATCCATTGGTACCATGTAGGCTTTGTTTTCGGCGGTGCGTTTGGCATGTTCATGTCCAGCGTGGACATGGGCCTCAACACCGAGGAGTTCCAGAAGATGTCGACCAAGGACCAGTTCAAGTATACGTTCAAGGACATGATGTCAAAGAGTTACGCCTCTGCCAAGAACATGGCCGTCATCGGCGCCGTGTTTTCTGGAAGCGAGTGCATCATTGAATCGGTAAGGATAGCACGGCCCGAGACAAGGTCTTGACGGCCATGGCCGTATGAGTGCCTGTGTCTGTAATGGGAGCTTGTTGTTTGTGATGGAAAGGCATCGATGGACTGCTATGATCCGCTTAATCGCTTGTCTGGGCCAAGCCATCCGCACCAAAACTTGCTCAAGAACCTGACGCTGTATTATGCTGCCTCTTCTTCGGGTCCGACGATGAACGAAATTGGCGGACACATGCTCGATGTGCGAACGTTGCTCACTCCCACCCATCCGCAGTATCGTGCCAAGAACGACATCTACAACGGCGTGAGTGCCGGCTGCTTCACTGGAGCCGTCATGTCTGCGCGAGGTACGTGAGCTCGGCGAGGTCGACTGATCCAGCAGCGAATCTGAATGCATCCGCCATTGCGGATATGTGCCGTCGAGGCAGATATGGATGAAGTCGCCATCGTGGACGCATCTGCAACCAGACCGATGATGCTCACTCCTCATGGAATTCACCCTTCTCGCTGCTCGTTGATGGCCCGGGCTCGCAACCCATGCGTCGGGATACAGCTGGACCGCAAGCCATGGTCGGCGGCTGCATCGGCTTTGCCGCCTTCTCGGCTGCGATCGACTACTGGATCCGGCACAGCGACTAAACCAGCGTTGTTCCGAGCGAACTCTTTGTGATTTGGAGATGATTGCGTGGGATCTGGAACGACGGGGCGGTTTCTACGTATAAGCCCCTGTCGGCCCTGGGACTCGATTGTGGTCACGGCAATCCGCCTGATTTGTTGCGCCTCCCCCTCATGCTCGGTTGCATTCGCTCTGCATCGTCTCGATCCCTCGACAACCTCGGACGTCGCCAAGTTCGTAGAAGGAACGGGGAGGGCGCCGCACCAGTTATATCTGTCTGCTGTCATTCTGTACTCGATCCGCTGATCAATATACATCGACTCATCCATCCGCCGGTGCAAGAAATTTGGTGGTGGTGCCATGCTGACTGCTGGGTGAGCGGCCTGGCGATAGAAGCTAGCTTTCGACATGGGCGAACTCGTCCATCGTTCGACACACCAGAATGAGCATATCGAAGAAGCCCGAGACCGAAGCCCTCAGCAGGCGTGCTGTCGAAGCCTTGAAATCGCTGGCGAGATTCAAGCACCCGGGTCAGCCGAGATCGCCGAGCCTCGATATCGAGCGCAGGTATCAACCCGATTCAAAGGCGCTTAAACCTACATGTACAGATAGTGCCCCTCCACTCGCATTTCCCGCTGCAGTTGGTCGGACTTGAGCTCTCTGTCGACAGAGAGGGTTTTGAGGGCGATCTGGGCCAGGGCGGCATTTGGGAAAGGAACGCTAATTTGCCTGTTGGCCGAGGGACAAGCGCAACCAGATAAGCCATCCAAAGATCCAAAGATCCAAGAAAGCGGACATGGAGCTGCAGTTCCACGGCTGCAGTGGCCGAATGCCGCAGCGGTAAGGATCAGCCAGACAGGTCTTACAGCTGGTTGGCCATGGCGGATTTGTGGTCGATTGGAGAGTGGTATCTATCGCCTGTGTGTCGTTGTCGAAAAGCCGAATCGAAATCGAGATCACGGCCAAGATGGCGGTGAAGGCGGAGAGTCCAGCACCCGCGAAAACCACCCGCACATCACCCACAATGGCAAGCAGAGTGTGTCGAGTCCAAAGCACCAAGGTTCTCTCGCACGACTGCACCCTGGCAGAAGGGCGATGCGCATTGACGGACAGTATCGGTTTCCATTTGCATCGCACCGTGGTGAGGAAGAATCCCGGTGGGACTGGGTTGACTGCGATAGATCCGATCGGCGAACGGATTGCACACCTTCCACCGGCTGGTCTCGGAGTGCCAGCAGCGAATGACGCTCTTGGACACGCTGAATATGGAGGCGACCTTTCTCAGGCTATGAATGAGGGCGTAGCACCGCATGACAGAATGGGCATGGCCGGGCGCGATGGCATTGGGTAACGAAATATTCAGTCAATGGTCAAAAACCAAGATGTCCCGTTTTTTATTGGATTGACTGAATGTCGAGCAAAGACGGGTCAAGCCAAGGCCGTCATCTGGCTCAAGTTGCCCCGCCGCTACAGAGTGTTGTGGAAGAACTTGGCAAGGATCGAAACAGCCTCGGAGGTTCGCTGGGCGTTGAGGGGGTCGGCAAAGTCCGAGCGAGCACCGCACCAACTGTTTCAAACAAGCCGTCGATTGTGCGAGTCGTCAGCAGCGCTCAGAGTGAAACAAATTATGCAAATACCGCTTGGTCTCAATCATGTAGATGCACTGGAGAGCCTGGCTGAACCACTTACCCGTGGTGCATGTCGTCGAATCGCTGGTGGACGTTCTTTGCTCCAAAGGGCTTGGCGTTGAGAATCTCAAAGAACTCAGTCTGGCAGGGTGGGACATGAAAACGGATGTGATGGATCAGATCGATAGGCTCCGTTCGCAGCGTGCACGACATCGTTTGCCGAGCATGGTACATCGACATCGGAGACAAGCCGATAGTCTACTTACAAAATCGGCATCGGTCTTGGACGGGAGGAGGCAGGCGGGGATGTTCAGGGCTCTGGCAATATCGGCGTTGAGCATGCTGGAAGGAGGGATGGATGGACACAGGCATACGACATTGAGTCAGCAACTCGGATTTGTGTCAGATGGCTGGCTAAAACCAAGCGCATAAACAACATTCTATCGGTCGAATCGGTCGAATCGGTCGAATCGGTCGAGGCTGGCGACGAACCTGGGATGAGCGCTGGCAACGGCAGCAAAGTGGCCGGCAATGCCACCACGGAAGGTCTGCAGACCGCCCCAGCAGAGACCAACCGAGCCGATCGAGGTGACGCCCTGGGCCTTCAGATACTCGACAGCGGTCTGTGTGTCCCGCTCGATGACCTCGGGAGGAACTCGCTTTCCGAGGAAGGCGACGAGCTCGGCCATCTCGAAGGGGGTAGTGTTCCAGGGCTCGCCACGGAAGAAATCTACGACGGGGCAAATCAGCGCTGTTGTCAGATGGACAGCCAAGCCAGTCAAGGGGGCAGGAGCAACGGTAACGATCGTTCTGTGGCGATCGTGACAACCGGGATGGCCACTGAGACCGCCGCAAGCTAGATGGAGCGATGGACGTACCGGGCATGATGACAAAGAAGCCCCGGGAGGCAAGGAGATCAGCAACCTGCTTAGTGTTGGGGTGGTAGCCAAAGATGTCGTAGACGAAGACGATGGCCTTGGTCGACTGCTTGTCGCCGGTGATGTAAGCGGGCAGGTCGCCGAGCACGATCTCGGAGCCCTTGGCGACATAGTCGCTGGAGCAGGGGGGCAGGGTGCAGCACTCGGAGTTCATGATGCAAAGCTGGACCGGGTCGGCAGGCACAGCAAATGGAAGGGCGAGATGGAAGGCGAGATGGAAGGCAACGGAAGATGGGAACAATTGCGGCTTTATATGCGCGGATCTGGATTTGTCATCGCCCTGGCCCACCAAGCCCGGGCTGGTTGTTGGGTGGACCTGCGGCGATACTCTGGGAAAAACTCTATTGTCGCCGACGTGGCATTGCTCGGGCCAATCTGCCAGATGGGCCATGGCATGCAGAGCTGGGCACAGGCATCAGGCCTTGTCGAGCTGCTTCTGGAGCTCCTCCTCCCAGTTGACATCGTCGTCGACCTCGGCGTCGGCCATCTGCAATGCATTGGGCATGACAAAGGGAGCCACGAATCAATCAAACAGCCAGCCACTGAGTCGGGAACCGAAACAGCCAGCTCCCTCCAAGCCCATGCGTCGACGCATCTGCCCACCAGCCCGCCAGCGCATTGATCCAGCTGGTGGGTGAGGCTGGCATCGAGATTTTAGGCTTATTTGCCCGACATAGCCGCCTGGTCAAGAATAAGCCCATGACCGGCAGTTCGCTCATGCGTCCGCTCCGCGGTCAGGAGTCGCCTGGCAGCAACAAGGCACAACCCACGGCACCTTTACTGCTGACTCATTGTTCTGGAAGCCCACCTGGAAATCGAACTCGAGGGGATCTGGCAGATCTGGCGACGTCGTGGCAGGCTCGGCTACCTCTTGCGTATGCGCGATGGCCCCAGGCACGACCGTTTTGCTTGCATCGCCCGCGATCGGGGTTGCAGCGAGCTTGTCCTCGTGGCTGCTTGCCTGCGTCTGGGCCGGCACGGCTGGGGCGCGGCTGGCATCGTTCTCCAGAGCCAGAGCGAGAGGAGGAGTAATGTCGTCTGCAGTGCCAACAGGTGGATTGTGGTAAGCAGTCTTTCGTCGACGAGATCAAATAGTAGCCGATGCGTCGACGATGTGCGAACAAGTTGCCGTCAAGCACCAGCGGGAGTGTGCATCCGCAGCGAGCATCGCAACTCTATACAATCCGATCGCCAAGTGGAGCCAAGTGGAGCCAAGTGGAGCCAAGGATTCCCAGCGAGACCCATGGATCTTGAGCGATTGCCACTGAAAACACACCAGGTGGGTTGTCGGCTGCACCCAGGCCCTGCAGACCGAGAAGCTTGGACTGCTTGATGAGCCCGACGCGGTAAAAGTAGTTTCGCCAGAAGGGTTCTTCTTTGATACGCTCCGGAACCAGATTGAAGCGCATTCGCTGTAACTGTGGGTCGACCTTCAAGATGGCGATGCAGTCCGGGAACTGTACTTGGTAGTCGAATGTGAACGATGTGTCTGGCGGAGGCGGAGCAAGGAAAACCCTCTTGTCCTGGAGAGTGGATCGGAGGCATATGGGCGTATGCGCCTGGGTAAATATCGGCCAGCTCGATATTGTAGACAGAATGGCCCATTCGGCATGTCCGATATGGCTGCAAGCATTTTAGGGACGGGGCATCCGAAAACCACGCTGATCCATCTTCAAGACCAAGGCTTACGCTCGACAGGGCCAGAATCTGCTTTCGCAGCTCTTCCTCGTTGGGGCAGCCCATCCATGGGAGTGCGGCGGCCTGCGTTTCCCGCTCGCTAAAGCCCTGCGGGACGTCTTTCATCCTGTCATCGATGTTGGCCGTGGCTTGCGAGACCGTCTGGATGATGGACGAAGTGGCGTTGGCGATGGTTGCAGTGACGACTGGGAGCTTGGTTTGGATGGAGTCGGAGACGGAGCCCAGGGAGGCCTTGACCGCCGGCAGATTGGTCTGGATGGTTTCCGATACCGAGCTCAGCGAGGCCTTGACCGCCGGCAGATTTGACTCTATGCTTGTTTCGATTGAGCTTTTGACCTTGGAGGCGTATCCGCCCAGGACATTGAGAGCTGGTCGAGGGCGAAGGTCGAGGGGAGCATCGATGCCATGGGGCAAGGGCGGGGTAAGTATGCTGCACCAAACGCATCTGTGCAGTACTGCTCAGCGGTGCCGGCGCAGCGGCGGCCGCATCGTCTCCGGGTCGGCATATCGCCTGGGCTGCAGAGCCTACCTGACGAGAACGACATGGCTGCGTGTCTGACCCGGCGCTGGGGCGGGCTCGCTGGGGCGGAGGCTGTGATGGGCGCCTGGCGCAAAGCCGGGAGCGCTGGCTCGAGCCGGCTGGCGTGCCCTCGATCCAGGCTGGAGCCGCCGAGGGCGCTTTTTTTCTTCTCTTGGCTCGCGCGCCGCCGCTTGGCCTCTCTCCTGCTCTTCGGGCTGGCACAGAATCCATCCGCTCTTGCCCCAGAATCTGAACACATACCGGCCCCACAGCATCCCGCATCCACAGCCCTCATGATGGACAAGTCCGAGCTCTCCTCTGCCGTGGCCTCGTCGCCGTCGACGATCGCGGGCGAGGTCCCCGTCGTCGTTACCGTGGAGAATTCGCTCGTCCTGGCCACTTCCGTCCCCAGCGACCACCAGGAAGAGCACCATCTCCCGCCATTTGGATGTCCGCCTCAACAGGACTGGGAGTCTTTCGAGGCTCTCCTGCGGACATATGCCCACCAGACCAACCAGAACTTTGCCATCCGCGACTGCCAGACTGTCAAGACCTTTTGGAAGAAGGAGCTCGAGCGGAAACAGCGGCAGCAAGGCGCCGCCTTCTCGCAGGAATCCTACCATTGTATCTATCCCGAAGCCCTGCGCTACGTCTCCAAGCTCTACGTCTGCGTCCATGGGGTCAAGCCCCGATCGCGTCCAACGGACTACTCGCGGCCGCGCCAGTCATATCTCTACAAGCATTGCGAGGCCAAGATCTACGCCCATCTGGAGCGAGTCTCGGGCACGGATGACTTTGTGGTGGTTGTTCGGCGGCAGTACAACACCCATTCCCACGAGCTCTATCCGCGATCATCACCCATCGGCCACAGCGCCTCCCGAAAGAAGCGAAAGACCATCGACTCGATCGAAGAGCATCTCCAGCACCTGCAGCACCACCCATCCCATTCGCATGCGCACTCTGGCGCGCAAGGACATCCGCTCCCGACCCACCCCGTCTTTGGCGAAGCCCTGACTTCACAGCTCCCACAAGCACATCTGCCGCACTCGCTTTCGCTGCAGCACCCGCCGGGATCTTCGCCCTTCCACGTTGTGTCTGCAGTCGGGACTCCCGTGGGCTCGCCGGGTCAGGCGGCCCATGCCCTGGTTCACTCGCACGTCCATTCCGAGCTGCATGCCCACCCCCCGCCCGATCTGCACATCTCGATCGAGAACGGCAAGGCCGTCGACCACCATCTGACTCACACGCTGTTCCACCAGAAGGACATCCAGCTCAAGGCACATCTGGAGTACTGCACCCAAAACTCAATCAACCACGGGCTTGAAACGCAGAACTGCATCTCCTACGCGCAGGGCAAGCTCCTGCAGCTTCTGGCCCAGCCCACGGATCGCATCCTGGAGATCGGCACCATGGGCGGCTATGCCACACTCTTTATGGCCTCGAATCTGACGACCGGCTCCGTCACCACCCTCGAGATCGACTCGATCTGTGCTCGCGTTGCCTGCGAGAACATGGAATATGCCAACCTCGGCGATCGTGTTCATTTGATCGAAGGCTTTGCGCTCGAGTCGCTGCAGAAGCTCCAGGCCGAAGGCCAGCAGTTCGACTTTGTCTTTATCGATGCCGATCTGGCAAGCTACCCCGAGTATCTGCGCATCTCCATCGAGCTTGTTCGCGTTGGCGGCCTGATCGTGGCCAACAACATTCTGCGCGAGGGCATCGTCCCCAGCGTCCATGCCAACGGCGAGGAATGCGTTAGCGGCGTCCAGGGATTCCTGATGCTATTGAGCTCGGATCTCCGGGTGGACTCGACTGCCTTCCAGACCCTTGGCGTCAAAGGCTACGAGGGGTTTTCGATCACCAAGCGGGTGCAATAGAGCACATGCACACGTTGACGAAATTGCGCCCATGCAAGATCACCAATAGATTTCGAGCTGCAGCTCAAACGACCCGCCAACCTCAGAGCGAGGGATGGAAAGTGCGATGCCATGGTCACTGGAACGGCGGCTTTCAGTGCCCTCTCCCCGACCAAGAGCCATGTCTGCGGCAAAAGCTGATAAACTGCTCTGAGCATGCGTCCCTGGACCTTGAGATTTTAAAAAATGCATTCATATTTCGATCCGTTATGCTTCATTCCGGGCCAAGAGGTGCATGGTGCGTCATGTTGGGATGCCACCCCGTGCCGTCCAAGATGAAGCCTCGAGGAACCCAGGTGTCGCAACTGAGAAGGACATCGGACAGCGAAAAACAGCGACATCCCAGACGAGAGCGACGCTGGGGACGTGCAGAGATCGATCATCGAGCGCGGTGGCCAGCGCAGGCCGCAATCCCACGCCTCGCCGGAGGCCGGCGACTGGCGGATCGATGCCAGCAGAGTCTTGCGTCGCAGCGGGATAACGATGAGCCAGCTTGAGGATCCAGGAGCACAGAAGAGCGGGACAGGCGCTCGACGGCCGGTGAGCGACTGGCGGGCCGATGGTGACCTGATTTTGGCAATGACAACTTGATCTGGCGAGAGCCAAGAGTGACGGACAGGACTTGGTGACAATGGAATCAATAGGAAGCTCTTCTGACAACATGCGGCGGTCTTTTGCATGACCTGCCGCTGGGTTTAAGGTGTACGGTATATCAATGGCGCTTGGCAGCCTGGGCTTCGGCTTCGGCTTCGGCTTCGGCTTCGGCTTCGGCTTCGGCTTTGGCCTCGATCCGGCTCCTCCGCTGGGCCTTGATTTTCTCAAAATTGACCGAGGCCTGCTGCAGAGCCTCGCGCTGGCTCTGCGAGGGGAAGATGGCTGGGGCAGCAACAGTGTATATGGACAGGCAAGCGACCGCCAGCATGACGGCGACGGTAATCTTTTGCTTCTGGCGCTGGCCGATGCCTCCGAACATGGTGGGCGGAAGCGATGCAAGAGACGCCAGCAAACACCGGCTGGCCAACAGCCCGCAAAAGGAAGGCTGGTCTCGCCGCGCGTCTCGCGAGAGCGCTCTCGCCGGCTGTCTGACTGTCACGGGCGCCCCCGTGGCGGCCCCGTGGCACCACCTGACGGGCGGCTGCTCGGATTGGCTCGGCGCAGGCTGCGCAGCCCCCCGGAATGAAAAGCTAATTCATTTGCGTCTCGCTGCTGCCGAGACGCCGCCGAGATGCTCTCGCGAGAGCAGCGCCCCGTGACCGCGCAGCCGCACAGAATCGCACAGAACACGGTGGGCGCACACACACACGGCTTCGGCCGTTTTTCTGCTTTTTTTCGCGGCTCTGCCTTTTCGCTGACGTCGCCCATCAGCCTCCCGTCCAGAGCTTCTCAAAGATCCTCAGCTGCACGACATGGCCTCGACTGCCGTCAACTACACCTCCGTTAACGTAATGCCGTAGCCCGTGATATCCGCTGCCGCCTTTGTCTGGGCAGGGTCGCGGGGTCGCCTCGTCTGCTCAAAGTCCTGTGTGCCTTCGCGCTCGCAACCAGGCAGATGCATGGGCAAAGCGTAGCGTCCTTGCAAGCCCCGCTGTGTTGGGATGCGTGCGCGGGCTCGAGCAGTCCAAGCGAGAGTTACTGTTGATGCCTATGTCCGGGATGCTGACGCCTCTATCTTTACTCACGGACCCCGGACTATGAACTCGATGGCCTCCCAACCGACCGGCTTTCGGCTGCTCGCTCGACGTATTCGACCCCAATACCCTCCTGCTACTTGCAGTTCCTCCGCTGGGCTGCCCTCGGTGTCGGTGTCTGGTACGGCTACAGCCGACAGGAGAGCCTGACCCACTTCGTCAAGGCCCGCAAGGAGGCCAACGAGAAGGCCGAGCACGATGCCCTCGTTCAGGAGGCTCGCACTGCCTACGAGACCGCCGGCAACAAGTTCCTCGGCGATCTTGCCCTGAAGGACGGTGGTGCGTACATTTTCATGCGCTCTGTTCACGCAGTGTGTGCACTCCCGCGATTTTGAGTGGATGTCGTCGGCACATTCAGCACGGCCGATGATCTCGTGGAAATGCGGCGCCGCAGACTCGGCGAGGGGCAGACGCGGAAACAGCCCTTGGTCGAGTCTTTGGCGGCATTCTCGTGGAGCCTATCGACGCTCCAGCAAGCCTTACGATCGAGCAAACGAGGCAATTGTGGCATCGGCATCCCAGAAACAGAGCTCCTTCGTGGGAGTGGTCAAACATCGCTGCCTCATGATGCACCGATGCCTGGAATCAATCTCGGCAATCTCTCGATTCACTCCGGTGCGGGCTGTGCTCCGTGGCAAACCAACAGACTGAGTGCTCCGGATGTCGTGGACGTGTTACAGCCACCTGCGCACTTTGCCGAGGCAGGACCTGTTTTTTGGGACCGGATGCCCTCGGTGATCATCGCGATACCCCCGCCTTCACGCTGCACCGCTGCTGCTGAAGTTGATACCATCAAGCCGACCGACCCGCTTGACCCAAGATACCGTCAGCCACGGATACAGCTCGCACAAAAGCAACCGGCGTGATAGACGCTTTGCGTCCGCCTCGGCTTCCGCGAGATCTACCGTCGCTGGGGCTTTGAGCGTCGTCCGATTCATGGCCGCGGTGTACAAGCAGCGCGTTGCTCACCCATCTTTTTTTCTTGTCGCTAGTTTACTCTGATGTCGAGCACTACAAGTTTGATGCCCAGAAGTGGGTCGACTGGACCTTGAACTACTTCGAGAAGTCTTCTGGAAAGAACTAAGCACCGCAAGAGCGCAATACACCCATAATCTTTGCCTGTTTGCAGACCGTCTGGCGTGAACAGGCTCGATCGGAATGATGGGAGCGGAGTTCTGCTGCGTTCGTGAAGCCGAAACGGGACTCGTTTTTAAGGGCTTTGGGTGGTCTCCGTATGTGGGGTCGCGCATGCCCATCCAATGCGTCGAACGGCGTCTCATTCCACGGTGCCTTGAACTATATACATCTGGACTAGATTGCATCAGAGAGCTCTGGAGCCATCGCAAGAGAGGTCCAGACGTCCAGGATTGCGTGTCCCAACCTTGCCGGGAGCAGCAGGAATCCCAACAACCCCGCCGTGTGGAATCACATTGTCGATGCGGCGCGCAACACGATCACTATGTGCAGGGCGATCGTGGGGACCGAGAGTAACCCACGGGCTTCACTCGGAGGTTGTCAAAGTGATCCGTCATGTTGCACATTCCCGATTGTACGGAGGCCTCCCAGACAACGACGACAAAACGGAAATGGCGTGCTCTGTTTTTGGCCATCAGGGCGTCGTGATCCTCAATCCCGACAGCCCACGGGCAGTGCATAGCCCAGAGCACCAGAGCAGCAGAAGAGCACTCGAGGATGAATGGCGATTGTGTATTCAGAGTCAGAAAATGCAGCCATCAGGCCCAGACAGAAACGGGGCAATTCAAGTAAACGCAGTCAAAGAGAGTGATATTTGTGCTCCTTGGCTCGGAGTTACTCGGCAGAACACAGCAAGCACACACCGCCCAGGATCCACTTCTGCGGTCGCTCCTTGGTTTTGAGATTGAAGGTCCAGATGAAGGTCGGGCCGCGCTGCCGGGTGCGATACACGGGACACTCGTAAACTCCCTTGGTCTCCTTCTTGTCGACGGGAATGGCCTTGACATAGATCACTGGCATGGTTGGGGTGAGCTCCTTCATCAGCGACTCTTGGATGAGACTGGTGTTGATATCCCAGCGGGCGCCTTCCATGAACAAGCCGTGTATATAGGCTCCCTCGCGGGGTGCTCCGGAGAACTCCTCGCGGGCCTTCTTGGTCACATCCACGGTCAGGATCATGCGGTCAAGTGGCCATTCGGACTTGCGCGCGGTCGTCTGCATGATTGCCGTCAGGAACGACTGTGGGTTGAACAGCCCCGAGATCCAAATGACGGCGGGCAGCTGGAATTCGGCCACCCAATTCTCGAGCTCCTTGATTCGCAAGAGAAGATCGGCGTACCAGCTGGCCAGTCCTTGCAGCGACGGATATGCGAGCTTCTCCCACGACGCCGGCACTTGGTTGAGGAACATGGCGTTCATCAACGCTTCCATGTTCTCCGTGATCGTCAGGTCGCCTTTCAGACCAAGCGCAAGCTCCTTGAGCGATCGCCGGATTTCGGTCATGAGAATCATCATGCGGTCGCACTCCTGGATCGCCACGGAGATGTACGGCGTGCGCTCCTCAACGCGGGCAATCAGCTCGGCAACGTTGAATCCGTCGGGCAGGCGCTCCAAGATCTCATCCAACACGGCCTTGACCTTTTCTTCCTTGGATGTTGCTGTGCCGCCTGCAGTGTCGCGGGGCTGCATTTCCAGAATGGTCTTGAACAGGTTGTCGGCCAGCTTGGTAAGCACGCCAATTTCGGCGTTCGGGTGCAGACCGTACAGGTTGGGCGACTCGGGCGGCAGGTTTTCGTCAATGTACCGATGGTATTCTTTGTAGTCCGACGTGGGCGGGGCCAGGAAGCCCGGCGCCAGCTCAAAGTTGCCCTCGAGCATCTCTTCGTGGAGATACACATCCAAGTACGCCGTGCAGAGCCGCCGGTCCCAGTCGTCCGAAATATGGCCGCCGTACATGATCTCCCCAAAGATGTACCGGAGATCCGGCCACGGCACTTTGGGGAAGCTCTCCAGATAGTTGTAAAGCACATCGACCGAGATGGTGAGATCGCCCGTGCTGAAGGGATAGCCGCGGTTCCAGCCCTGGGTGCCGAACTTGCGTCGTTCGAGGACGACGGCGTGGAAGTAGCACAGTGCGAACAGGATCGACTTGAACTCGGCGTCCTTGCTACATCGCTCCAGGGTCTCCTGCGAAAAGTTGTCGAGGGCGCGGTGGATGTTGGCTTGCATGCCTGTGGGAGGCTCGTTGGTGATCTTGATGGAGGCCTGCAGGATCGAGATTGGGATGATGTGCATGGAGGGGTCGCCGGCGGGCTCGGCCGACAGGAACACACGGAAATCGGCATGCGACCCCATCGCCAGCAGTTCCAGTTTCTTCTCCAGGACCGGAAGCCATTTGGCAACCAGATGGATGTTCTCAAGCATGACCCAGCCACCCTCGCGGTAGGCCAGATCCAGCCGCTGCTCTGCAATGATTTCCTGGCCCTGTCCAAGAGAGACGTTGTGGAAGTTCTTGTTGTCCTCGGTGATTCCCAGGGTCCTTCCGAGGGCCTCGACTTCCTTGACAGGATCCACACCGGGCGACAGAATGAAGAAGATGGGCGTCCACGGCTTGGCTTCCTCGAACGACCTCGCGAGCGGGATGCGCGACGAGTCCGTGAACTTCACACCCATCTTGAGAGACACAAAGTTGCGCATGGCATAGGTCATGCGATCGGGACGCAGGCATCGCAAGATGCACATCTTGGCAAGTGGGTTCTTGTTCTTCCACTCCTGCGGCAGCTTTTCGTTCTCAGGAGACTCGTTCTCGCAGAACTTTTTCCACTGCTTCGAGGAGCCCTCGATATCGGAAGCAAGCGTTCGGAACTGCTCCATGTTCGAGAGCGCCTTGATCATGCCCCACGCCGCCGCCGGCAGCCATTCGAAGGGCGAGTTGATGCCGGCCACCCGTGGCGCTCGCAGCAAAAAGTCGAGCTCAGCCAGGTCAATATCCCCGCTGGCGTTGAGGATCTGGAAGCTCATCTGCGAGGTAAAGATGAGCTTGTCGCGCTCAAACAGGCCGCGGGTGGTGTAGATAAAGACCATGTGTGTGATCGAGTCAATGAGCGAGACCACACGCTCCTTGATGTCTTCGGACATCTCGGCCCGCTCGATTGCCGTCTTGAAGACGACCTTGTATGCATTGAGCGAGTACTGGTACATCGGGTGGATTTGCCACAGGTCGTTGAGCAAGAAGTACAGCAGCGACGACCGCGCAGCGACCGGCCGGTACAGCTCGCGGGTTTCATTGATCTTCTTCTCGGTCTTCTTGGCCTCCTCGACCTTTTGCTCGATATCGGTGGCTGTGCTCTTGGTAATCTCGAGGTTCTCGACCAGAGCAGTGTCGCCCAGGAAGTTGCCCTGTGCAGCAGACAGACGCGACAACAGCGCATCCTCGAGCTCGGTCAGCTTGATCTTGAACTCGTTTTGCTGCTTGGTCAGCTCGGCCTTGGTCCTCTCCAGATCCGGACGCTCAATGTTGACGACGTCGGCCAGCAGCTGGTCCTCCAGACCCTGCAGCGTCACCGTAAAGTTGATCAGCGTCGTCTGCGCCTGGATCTCGGGTGGGTAGTGCGGGTTAGCCCGGCGAGTCTGGATCAGCAGCTTGAACCTGGGATCGTACTCGACTTCCTTGTCGCCCATTTTGATGTACCGGCCTTTCTTGATCGTCTCACGACCGAGGAGCGGGTTGAGCACGGCGTCGATTGACTCGGCAATGTCTTCAATCAACACGGTGTCGCCGGACGACACTGCCTTCTCAATCATGTCCAGATAGCCGCGCGAGCCAAGCCGGACAACCTTGAGAGCGGCGCCCTCGCGGTTCTTGATCCAGGTGACGCCCTGAAGCTGTGGGTCGATGATCAACGGCCAGCGTTTGCAGCTGACGACCATGGTGGCATTTTCGAGCGAGACTCTGTCCGTCGGCAGACCCTCATTGTTCCATTTTGCGATTTCGGCGCTGGATGTGAGGAGTTCCATGGGATCCAGCCCCTCCGAGAGCGGGATCTTGAACTTGTTATCTTCGGACTTGAGGTACTTCATCCATAAGTCCTGGAGGAGTTCTTCACGGTACCGCTTGCTGAAGCATCCCACATACGAGACGAATGCGGCCGCAAGCAGCACGTCCCCTACCAGCATCTTCTCCTGCTCCTTGAAGCGGGCCACGGCTTCGCTCCAGCGGACCTTCTCGGAGGCCAGACCGTTGACAAGACGGTTTGCGAGCACGATGGTCTCCTGGGTTGATCTCGCCTCTTCCTCGCACTTGAGTTTGTCGGCCGTGGCCTTTTCGAACTTGGCCTTGAGGTCAGCCAGGTTGGCGTCGAGCTCGGCAATCTTGGACTGGATATCGCGCAGTCTTGCTTGAGAGACGCTTAGCTCGCTGTTGGCTTGCTCGAGCGCCTTGCGCTTGGGTTCGACGTCGCAATATACGTTGTAGTACCCTACGATGTTGATGACCCAGGAACACAGACCGGCAGCGGCGATCGATTTGCTCTTCATGAACTCCTCGTTGAAGTCGGGATCGTTGAGATACGGCTGCAGGGCCTCCAAGTTGGACCGGTCGATGTTCTCTTTATTGAAGGTGATGAGCTGGTCCAAGAAGGCATCGACCTTGGCCATCATATTCTTGCCAGCCTTCCAGCTGCGGTCTTTGGCGATTTTGCCCGGCGGACTCAGCAGGACCATGACGGCGGCAACCGTGTTCTTGACCTCCTCGGACGGCGAGCCGAAGGACTTGAGCTCTGTCAAGTTGGCTTTGTTGAGGGTGTTCAAGGCGGCGGCGGCGGCGGCAAGCGCCGGCTCGGCGGCCTTGAGGTCATTTTGACAAGCAATGGCCTTGATGGACACCTCTCGGGTGATGGCATCGACCTTGAGCTCCTCCTCGGCAGCAACGGCCTTCTCCTGATTGACCTTTTCGGTGTCGATGCCAACGCGCTCGATCAGTCGCATAGCCTCCTCGTTCTTGGCTTTCAGATCGACTTCCTGGAAAGCTAGCTTGGCCTTGAGGTCGTCGACTTGAGATGCCGTCGACTGCAGCTTTGTCAAACCGTTCTCGAGACGGTCCATGCTCTTGGTCAGCTCCTTGGACTTTTTCTCGAGCATTTCCTTGTACAGCGAGATCAGCGCCAGGAAAGACTTTGGAGTCGTGTAGTTGTATCGCTTCTCATTCACCAGGTACTTTTTCGAGACACCGTTGACGGACTGGTGCGCGTAAGACATAAACTTGGTGACGGATTCTCGCAGCTCTGTCGGGACCAGGTCGCACGTCGAGATGAAGCGAGAGGCGACAGACTCCAGGGCCTCCTCGGGCCACTCAGCAAACCAGTCGATGATGGTGCAATTGACGATTGCAGGGAACTTTCTGCATCTCGAGCGTAGAGTGTTGCCGACGGGCGAGAAGCAGAGAACCACCTTGAGGTTCTTTCGCACCAAGCGGATAAAGAGATCCCAGCATACTTCGCGCGTATCCATCAGCCCCTGCGCCTTGGCCTCGTTGCGCATCGAGCCAATGATCGTTTCGAGCTCGTCGTCCGGGAAAAGGCCCGGGATCACTCCAGAGGCGAGCATGTCGTTGATCAAGACAAGGAACTTTTCATCGGCAATCTGCGAGTCCGTCAGCAAGAACATGATCTGCTGCTTCTTCTGGCCTGTCTTGGTATACAGCATCGCCAGATCTGTTTTCAGATCCGTGACGGAGTAGCCCTTCTTGAGTGTGATCTGGAAGACTTCCATCTGCGAGATGAATGCAGCGATTCGTGCCAGCGACTGCTTGCCGCTGCCGCCAACACCGACCAGCAGGGCGTTGCCTCTCGGGCTCTCAAGCACGCGGTTGATGCGGCACACATGGCTCATGGCATCCTCGAACAGCACGAGGTTCATCGCAGCATTGACTTCGTCGTACTGGAGCTGCGCCTCGTCTAAGAGCCGCTTGAGCTGGGACCACTCCTGGAGTTGGCCGTATTTGGGCTCACCGATCCCCATGGCAAAGTGAGTAAAGATGAGGGGCTCGGCCTTGATCAGATTCTGGTCCATATCATCAAAGGACTTTTTGCTGATCTCCTCCGCGAACTTCTGGAGCTGGGTGCGGTCCTCGACGTCAACCATTTTGTCGCCGTATGTACGAAAGGCTTCATGGATCCACAGTCGAATGAGATCGACAGGCTCCTTCAGCGTCTCTTTGATGGAGAACAGAATGCCCTGGAAGATGTTGGAGAGATCACGCAGATTGAAAATGTAGTGGAACTTGACCGCAGTCGGCAGGAAAAAGCCCGAGACCTTCTTGTGGAGAGCCAGCGCGGCACCAACGAGCTTCTCCGCGAGCTTCTGGATGCTGTTTGGGAAGATCTTGACGTGTGCGGACAGAATCTGGTAGTAGATTGACTGCAGCGAATCCACTCCCGGAAAGTTCATTGCAAAAGTAGCAAAGTGTCGCGACAAGCGCCCGGTGATGGTGAACGAGCCAGCCGTGGGGTTCATGCACGCCACGTACTGGCAGTTGTGGATTTCTTTGAGGGTGAGCTTCTGTCGATCATACCAGTGCCGGTAGTCCAAGTACTGTCTCAGAAGAGTGTGTGGGCTTGCGGTTCCGTACTTGTCAACTTCGGGCATGTTCAAGTCGTCGAGGAAGTAGATCAGTTTTTTGGTGCCCGGTGGGCCGTAGTTGCGACCGGCCTTCTTCTCCAGCGGCTTTTCCAGGATGGACTGTAGCGACCACGCGGTGGTATAAAAGTTGAAGGGCACATTGACAATCATCCTATCTTCCCCGTACGAGTACAGCTTTTCCTGCATCAAGACAGTCTTGCCGCAGCCGGCATTACCAATCATCAACACAGGCTTGCCGTTGTCGGCGAGAACATCAAGCATGTACCGCAGCCGAATCGTCTCTTGGGTGTGCACGAGAACGGACTGTAAGGGCATTTCGGGATCGTGTTCGTAGGCGGGGACCTTTTCGCTCCAGGGCAGGAAACGTTTGGTTTCGGTGTCGATAAAGTAGTCAAACACGGTCCCGCTGAGCGGGAACTTGACGACCTTGAACTCAGAGACCCACCACTTGGAGAACTCGACGCGATAGTCCACGAGCTGGTCTTGGAAAACACAGCCACCAAATGCCCACACTGCAGCAAACACAAAGTAGATCTCAAACCATTCCTTGTCACAGCCCTTGGGAGTATTAACGGGCGTCAGCAGCCCCTCCAGGATGTTGCAGAGCGTAACGACCATGCAGAATTCCTCGACATTGGCCATCTTGAACTTGCCGGAGCGCAGGGCGTCGAGAGTGATGTTGACGTATCGATCGAACAAAACCGTCAGCGCAGATTTCTCTGCAGCATCTTCGCGCTTATCGAGCCACGACTGGACGTAGGGGTTCCATCCCAGATCGGTTGTGTTGAGATATAGAATACCTGCGGTAGAGGGCGTGTGTTATAAGGAACGACAGTGAGCGATCGGAGGCAAGGGTCCAGTGGCCAATCCGCGTACGGGGTGCGAATCAAGATCCACGGTGTGGATTGTAAAGTTGCGCTTGTAAGCCTGTGGACAATCGCTTCCACTCAATCCATTCTCTGGGGTCGCCAGCGCATGGAGACTCTGCATGTCCGATTCGAGCACGATTTGCGCACCCAAATCAACCGGTGGGCTCGAGAAAGCTGGCGGCACTCCAACCAAGGCGTACCTGCGCGCGACACCGTTGCGGGCGTAGCATATTTTAGATCTCCGATTTCAAACACAAGCCGCATGTGCGGCTTGAGCGGAATGCGCTCGTTGGACGCCAGGGTCAGCATCTTGTTGTCATCCATGACTGTGTTGAGCGACTCGATCCAGTTGGGGTCGATGTCGCCGTCCAGGATCACCCACTTGGGGTCGGTGCCTGGGACCGAGGCTTGGTCACGGAGGATGCACGAAAACAGACCGTCCTTCCATTCTCGTGTGGCCGGGTTGATGCAGCCAAAGAGATCGTCCGTGCTCACGGCCTTGGGATTCAAGTCGGCAAAGACACACTTGCGTCCCATGGCAATGTAGGTCTTTGCCAGCATCTTCCAGATTTGCGACTTGCCCGTGCCGCCGTTTCCGATGATGAAGACACAATGACGCACCACCATCAGCTCCTCCAACTGCACAACCTTGAGCACAAAGATCTCCTCGGCCTGGAGCCCGCTCTCGATGGTGACTTTGCGAATCTCCTCCTCGAGCTTCTCGTTTCGCTTTCGGAGCACCTCGACCTTGGGGAACAAGTCTCCGATCAGGCCATGGAAGACCTGCAAGTCGTCAGCCACAATCTTGGGCAAGTTGAAGTCGCGCAGCGCTCTCATGAGCACATGCTCCTCCGGGACGTTCGGGTCCGATCGCTTGAGCGAACCGGCAACGACAAGGACAGATTTGATCGCTCGCAGACCCCAGTCGTAGTGGTCCTGCTTGGAAAGCAGCTCCTTGTTGAGCTTGTACAGAGTGTTGAACTTGCGGGCCAGCGAGGATGCCTCGATAAAGCCTTCGGCCATAAGCATGATTTCCATGATGAGCTCCAGATTGGGAACACACATGGAGCACGGCCGAAAGAGGGCCTTGATGTTTTCGGGCAACTCGGTGCGGCCAGCATAGCCCGGGTTCATGGTGATGAAGTATCCCACCGTCATCACCAGGCCAATCTCCTCGCCCTGGAAGATGAAGCGCTTCTTTTTGGATCGCAGTGCGTCCTGGATGGACTTGACTTGGGTCGCGACGACGGACAGCACCTCGACCGAGATGCGATTGAACTCATCAAAGCAGCCCCACGCGCCGGCCTGGGCCAGTCCCTTGAAAATGTTGCCAATGGACTTGTAGTCCATCTGCTCGGAGCAGTTGAAGACGTAGACCATGATCGCCAGAGCCTTGCCCAGATCCTTGACGGTCTCTGTCTTGCCCGTTCCAGCCGGACCAGCGGGTGCTCCACCCATAATCAAATGCAGCGACTGGGTCAGCGTGATGTAGCAGCGATCCGTCAGCGGCGTCACAACAAGACGCGGGGTGTTGCCGAGGTACTCGTAGTTGTAGCGGAAGTGGGCATCGCAGATGTTGATGAAGCAGTCGTTTTGGTCAACGTCGTCCCAGCGAAGGCGGAGCTGACACTGCCAGCTGAAGCACTGGGCGTTCTCGGCCTTCTCGAGGATGAGCTTGGCCACCATGTCACGAGCGTGCACGTCGAGCGTACACACAGTCATGATCATCTGACGATCGCCCTTGGTGAGCTCGCCCTGAATCAACGAGATGAGGGCAGTCAACTGGTTGACTTGCTTTTTGTAGTAGTCCTTCACAGCATTCTCGTAGCCTTCCTCAAGGCGGCTGAAGGCTGCGTTGACCTCGGTTGTCCACCAGATCTGTGTGCCGGCGAGAGTGATTTGGGCAGGGTAGTCAAAGATCCACTGTTCTCTGGGCTTTTCTTCGTATCCGGTGACGGCATCGCCGAGCATCGATCGCAAAGTCTTTCGCATCGTATCGGTTAGGCGATTGAGCCACACTTCGACCGGGCCCGTGCACTCGCACTGAGTGATGAATGGCACGTATTCGTCTTCCTTCGAGTACATGCCGATGGCGGTCTTGCTGATTTCCCCCGGCTTGTTGCTGGATTTATCAAACTCGAGGCGGGCGATGCTGTCGTAGAGCTTGGGCAGATGAACGGCGACGGCCTCGGGCATGTTGCCCTTTGCAAGAATGTCCAGTAGATCCGTGGCCGACACGAAGTAGAAGCGCGGAAAAGCCAAACGCTTGGTCTCGAGATACTCTGCGAGCGACTTTTCACAAAGAGCAAGCCGGCTCTGGAGTCCCTCCAGGGTCTCGTAGAGTCCTTCTCTCGTGCACGCCTCGACGGCGTTTGGGGTCTTGGAGGCCTCCTTCATCAGGGCCTTGTAGTCCGAGTCGATGCCATCGAATCTCTTGGAGTCCTCCGGGAGCTGCGCTCGGATGTCTTCCGAGCCCATGAAGATGTTTTCGAGGTGGGACCAGGTCTGCTGGACCTCCAGCCACAGCGTCGTCACCGAGTCGACCGTGGAGAGGGTGTTTTGCCATTTGTTGATCTGGGTCTCAAAGTGGGCCACGTATTTGGATGTCATCATGTTCTGCAGCATAACTTGATTGTCTTCGAGAGTCTCGATCAGCTCCTCCGAACTCTTGAGCAGCGGGGTCTTGGTGGACTCGTGGATTTCGTATGTGAACTCGAGAACGCTCCAGGTTTTTGTGAGGTCGTTGAGGACCTTCTCCATCGCCAGCTCCTTTGTAGCGCGATCAACGATCACCTTGACGTCGTCTTCATACTTGTGGAGCTGTAAGCTCAGCAAGTCCTGGAACTTCATGTCCTTTGTCAGCACGAAGGTGACTCCTGTGGTCTTCATGAGCTGCTTCCAGTGGCGGTCGCGGATAGCGCTGCTGCGAAGCTCGCCCACTGCTCGCAGGGACGTGATCATATCCTTGACCATCTGATCTAGCCCCGAGTACACATCCCAGCCCTTGATTTCCTTATCCATGCGGCGCAGCTCCTTGGCGAGATCGCGACAGTGGTTTTCCATGGAGTCGGTGTCGATCTCTGTCCACAGTGTCGTGCGCCACTCGGAGAACATGTACGTGACCAGAGCCACGACGTCCCAGACGCTCTTGAGCATCCCAATGTCGCGCCGACAGTCGGTCAGCTGTCGATAGTTGGGCAGATTGAGCTCAAAGAGCTCGCACGATGTCTTGATGGCCGCTGCGTCGCTCTCCATCGCAGCCACCTCAATGTGGTTGAGATCGATCATTTCATAGGCCGTGTCTGGTCCAATCGAGAACTTGAAGGGTGCCTTGGCTCGGAACTCTTCTCGGAACTCATGGTTGCGGGCCTCGAATCGGTTGCACTTTTGTTGCAGCACATCAACTTCCTTGGCCTGGAGAGGAGCCACCTGGTCCTTGATCGACACCGACAATTTCTTGACCTCGGCCCACTCTTCCGGGAGATCGTTCAGCAGCTTGTGAATCTCGTCCGGCATCTCGACCCCGAACTGGCGCAGCAGGTTGATGGTTTTCCGGAGAGGCTCAAACACTTTGTCGATGTTATTTGTGCGGTGTTTGACCGCATGCAGCAGTCCCATGGCATTGACCAGTGCGTCATAGTCGCCCTCCTCAATCTTGCCCTGAAGACCCTTTTTGTTGAACTTGATGAACTTGTTGAGCTCGTTGAGGGTCGAGACGCAGTCGTCAGACAGATGCTTGGTCAGCGTGTAGCTCCATTTTTTGACAACCACGTTCAGGGACTGCTTCATCGGGCGGGCATCGACCTTGAACCAAGACTGGAATATGATCTCGGGGTCGATGGCCATGATGGTCTTGTGGATGCCTTCGAACTTGCGGATCTCAGCTTCGAATCGCTCGAGCTGGATGGGCTGATACTGGGCATCCTCGGCAGACTGCTGGATGGTGTTGCCTTCTTCGTCCTTTTCGGCCCCTGCAGCCAGGAAGTTCTTCATGTACTCTTGACGGTTTTCCTGTGGACAGAAATAGCGAGTGTTCGCACAGCATGAGCTCGCATCGCTGCTGCTCGCTGGCTCTGGACTGGTTCCTGGCTGCGGAGCAGCTGTATCCATCCGGTACGAACTGCTCCCCACCCATCAAGTGACCAATGCTCGATCACATTCACTGCGGATAGTGCCTACCGTCCATAGGTACGAGAACTGCTCGTAGCTGTCGCGATAGTTCTGGCAGTCTTCGGTGATGACTTGGACACGGTTGATAATATCCTCCCGTAGGGTCAGAAGATCATCATCGCGCCTCATTTCGCCAAGGTAAGTTCGGTTTTCGACACGGATTTGCTCCATGCGGCCGAGGTGAGCGGCTTCGTCATAACCATCGTCGCCGTCGTCTCCACCTGGGGTGTGCGGAGGCTCATCGCCCGATGCAGCTCCACCAGCGACGCTTTGCTCTCCATCAGCACGCGCGGTTGCGACGGACGACCGCTGCGGCATCACTGCTTCAATATCTTCCTCTGACGGCGGAGCGACGCGTGGCATCAGCGATGCAACGCTGTAGATATCTTCCAGAAGATCTTCGATGATCCACATCAGTGATTGCTCCGATCCTGAAAGGAGAGGCACGACCACCACATCCGGTGTGCGTGGCCACAGAGGATGAGCCGACGCAACAAAACGATGAAGCGAAGCGATGGATCAGGATGGCAAAACAGGGCGATAAATCAGGATGGCAAAGCAAACAAAGTCATCGCAGCAAGGAGCGGCGTGGGGGAAGGCTGTATGAGTGCGTGCGACATGCAAGAACGTACCCTCTTCCATGCCCGGCGTAAAGACCAGCATCTCGTTGTCGAGCTCCAGCTTCGACTCGAGCAGCGGTCCGAGTTCGGCTACTTTGAGCTTCTCAGCATCCATGTTGCTTGTGAGATACTCGAGATTGTTCTTGATGCTGATCCAGAAGCCCTCGCGCACCAAATCGTCAATGTACTCCAAATAGTCACGCCACATGTCGGTTGTTTCGTCCACCTCGAGAAGCGTCCTTGTTTGCAAGACCAGGTCGTGGATGGTCTGGCCGTCCTTGCGCACGCTTTCGTAAAACGTGGTGACCTTGGTATCACGTTCCTCGAGATTGAGCAGCTTCTTGCCGTCTTTGCGCTCGATAATCGGGTTCGCATACCACGCCTTCATGATCTTCTGGATCTGATTGACATTGTTCTTGGTGACTTGCAGGATGCTGTTGAGGCTGCCGACGGTTTCGGTGATCTGATTGATGTACTCATCGATGCCATCCGAGTTCCAGTTCAAGGTCGTGAGCGCGCGCTCGATTTGCAAATCAATCTCATCGATCTTATTTTGAATCAGAGGCTTCTCGACGCCAAGGACACCAGTGCGGATTCCATTGTACATGCTGGATACATGGTCGAGCGCAAAAATGTACTTTCGGAAGACTTCTGCTTTGGAGTAGACTCTAGCAGCCGTCTGCGGGGCCTTCACTGCCAAGGCCTCAAAGTATCTCACTTCGCGCAACAGGGCAACGACCTTGGGGTCAAAGTTGACTTGGAGCAGCCTGTCCTCGTTGCGAATGAGAAGAGGATTATTGAGGTTCTGCTCGCTTTCATCCACAATCTGGCCGGCCCATTGATTGAAGAGATTGCTTTCGAAGCTGTCGAGCGCCTCGTAGAGCTCAGTGTATTTGGCCTTGAGGATGTTGGCCTCCTCGGTGTTCATGATGCTGTGGTTGAGCTGATGACGGTGGGGTTGGCTCAGTCTATGCAGATCCTTGACATCCAAAGCACTGGGACCGATATTCTCGGGGACTTAGACACACATGAGCAGCACTTACGCTCTTGAGCTTATCCATAGCCTTGGAAATGCGATCTTTGAGTTCATGCGCCCACGCCACGCCGCCGGTGATAGGTGCCATGTTGTAATGAATTGGCGGGCAATCCTTGAAGGTCTGGAGGATAACGCTGACATCGTCGAGGTCCTGCGAGTACATCTGCAGAAGAAGAAAGTATTTCCCCTCAAAGTCGCGCTGGATATTGGGCCGAGACAAGAGACCAGAGAAAGACTCTAGAAGCCGGAAGCACGAATAGAGTCCGGCGCAATCATCGAAACCCTGGCACAAAATGGTTCTGTTGGCCGATTGAGTGATTTCGAAGGATTCGAGCGGGGAGTAGCCACAGCCGTGAGCCATGTCAATGTCAATGATCATACTCTCTGACCAACAATCCGGACTGTGCTGTGGCAAGTGACGGATGCGATGTCCAACAGAATAGCAGACTAAGCTACACACCCGATGCGCCTGTCAAGGTCAGTAATTTTGGTGTGGAAGATTCCGAGGTCAGTGTCGAATTGCTTGATGCTGAGGTCCAGCACATCGTACTTGATTCGGGCAAAGGCACTGAGTGCGACGGTGAATTCGTTGAATATCTCGATCACCTGTGAGCTGAGAATCTTGCCCTGTGCGGGATAACGATCCAGAGGGTAAGCGCAGTGTGTCAGGGGCGGCAAGGCTCAGCCACCGGACTCAACCATGGGCTCGACCACCGACTCAACCACTGGATCAACAATGGGCTCGACCACCGGCTCGACCACCGGCTCAGCCACAGACACAAGCACAGCTGTATCTGCGATCTTCTCTCTACCTTGGTGCCTCCGATCTCAATCTTCTCGAGGCGATTGAACTCGATGATGATGTCAAATAAATCTCGGAGTTGTCGCACGCGAGTCAGGAAGGCATCGAGCCGATCAAAAATGTGCTTCGAATCAAAGCCCCACGGGTTGTCGGTCTCTTCGGTCTCTGCCTTGGTTTCGTAGTAGCTGGCCTTGAAGGCATCGCATATTCTCAGCACAAGCTTGAGCCGTTCGGCAGCCTCTTCGGACTCACCCGTGAAGAGTTCCGTGGGCTGGATAAAGCTTCGCGCCTGCTCAATAATGTCGTTGCAGATCTCTCGCAGGACGACGGTGATTCGATTTGGCGTGTTGTAGTACTTGGAGAATGTCCAGATCAGAGAGAGAAGCTTCATCATCCCGGGGAAGACCTGCGCCAGCTCGGCAAAGTCTCCCGTGGAAGTGAGGCGCTCGACGCTCGGCTGCAGGGTTTTGAGGTACATTGTAATATCGCTCGCCTCGTCCAGGGCTGGACGGAGGTGCGGACGTGGATGTGGAATGCATAGCCATGTGTTATTTCGGCTGAGTGTCTGTGGCGGATTCCGAGTTTCCATTCAATCAAACACCCGCAACCAGGCGCGCCGGCTTACCAAAGACAACTTCCTCCATGATGGCCTTGAATGCAGGGTAGTACGTGCTCTTGTTGCTCTCCAGGGTCCTTCCAATTTTTTGAATCTTCTCGTCAGTCAGTTGCTGGTGGATCGACTTGAGATTAGCAGCCTTGGCGGCCCAAAAGTCGATTTCGACCATCGGACCCGGGTTGAGTCCCTCGTCGAGTGGGGCAGCCGAAGACGACTTGATAACCTCCTTGATTTGGTGCGTCCAGTCAATGACGGCGCTCTCAAGAGTGTGCAGTATCGATTTATCGACTTCGGCCCCTTGTTTGGCGCCGTGAGGGAGATGCAGCATGGTTTTCCCCTGATAATTTGTGAGTTGCATCCAGTCATGATTATTAGCCTGGCCAGTGGCTGATACCGCCTCGGTCGGTGATGGCAACCACATCACCAGATGCGACAGACGATATCACCATTCTCGTTGTTTATCGACATGCCGCTTCATCGCCTCTCACAGGTGCTGCTGCACCTACCTTAGTTTTGCCTGATATGACACACACGGCACCGTTGAGGGCATGAAAATGGCGGAGCACATCGCTGGCGACGACTTCTGGCCAGCTCTCGAGATTCTTTGGGTTTGTCAGCAGCGGGAGATACACTTCCTCGAGGATGGTGCTCAGAAAGTCGAGGGGGTTTGCGGGAATGTCGCCCATGACGAGCTCTGTGTCGAGTTTTTCGGTGACAGGGACATTGAGGCTCTTCTTGAGGAAGTAGATGGACTTTTTCTTGAGCATGGGCGGGAATACAATTGCAGGCAGCAAGTCCTCGCGCTGGGTGATATAGAAGAGCAGAGTATTGTGCTCTTGATCCAGAAACTGAACCACAGTTGTACTGATGGGTACGTCAATGTCAGCCGGCGCGTGGCCGCGTCAAAGTGGGTCTCAGCGTGGGCCATCAGAGCGGCTCCATGGCTCAACGAAAGAAAGAGAGCTGGCTTGTGGCGAGCCACGTCGCTGCCACGGGGTATGGGTCGCTGCTGGCCATGCGCGAAAATGCGACACACAAGCAGAGACGGCGATGAGGGTGATGGCAAGGTGAAGCACGCGCTCGACTTACATGTTTTCTTGGACCGAGATCATTTTCTTCCACTTGTCGTTCTTGATTTTCAGGGCATTGCATACCTTCTCTTCAAAGAAGGCCAGCCGAGGGTCGACGACGACGACTCCTGCATCATCCTCTCCGTCTTTATCTTTCTTTCCCTTGGGGGTGGTTGCCTTCTCGGCGGACTCGTCTTTCTTGTCAGACATGGAGACGGGAACACGCAAGGACTACGGCTTCGGGAGCCAGAGTCGTGTGTCAAGCAGCAATGGCGCAATGAGACGGGAAGTGTGTAAGGGCCTGCTCGAACAGCGTGTGCGATGGCCGAGCTCTGGATCGATGATGCGCGAGACAGGAAGAGCAGGGTCAAGCCGTGGCAGTATCGCGCGGGGGGAGGGTTAGTGTGATTCTGCAGTGAATGGAGGGCCCTTGGGATTGCACGATAGGGGAGAGGAGGGCGATGGGCTCGCCGACGCAGCCGGAGAGATTTGAGGGCGAGGGCGAGGGCGAGTGAATGCCTGGGCGAACGGGCAGCCTGATTGGCAGCATGACCTCATCGGCCCGGCAATCCCCCTGCTGGGCCACCAGCCGCCCGTGTCCCCAGGAGGACAAAGGCGCCGTGCGGCTTGATTCGGAACATGGACACTCAGGGGCGGGTGTCTGCGCCTGCGCCGGCACTGCCACTGCCCGAGTTCCCACGCCGCATCACGTGTCTGCCGCCGATCCAGGCTCGAACCGCATTCGCGCCAGCCAAAGAAGGCTGCTGGGCCTTGGTCTTCTCTTGCCAAATCCCCATCGACAGCCCATCGACAGAGCATCAACGACGTGCGAGCCGACCGCCATATCCATCAGCGAGGGTGCACAGAGCCACCACCACCACCCCGGACCAGTAACCCGAGCTCCAGAGCCACCTTCTTGTTCCCAGCGGCTTCCCAGCCTCCGCCCGAGTCTTCCCAGCGCATCCGCCCGGCATGGATCATCCCAAAGGCATCTTGAAGCGCAATGCTTCCTCGCGCCCGACTACATCGCACTCAAAGTAGGCTCGATCCGCTCGACGAGTCTGATGGGTCTGACGGGCCCGATGGACACCGTAGTGACCTTGAGAGATGTGACTCTTGTATTCGGGACTTGGGCTTTGGCCGAACCGACACTGCTTGAGCCTGCTCGGGCCCTCCCACATCCATCCCGTTGTGGACTCTGCCGCTCCGCCGGACGTTCTATTCGGCAGGTTGTTCTCGGATCGCCTTCTGCCGTATGTGCACTAACGCACTGCTGAAACTTCCCCTGCACGATGCCGTATCTGGTCAATGTCCTCCTGGCCATCGACAGGCTGACATGGGACGAAGACAACATCATGCTGACCGAGGCGCAACGCGGAAACACAATGAAGATCACCGAGCCCAAGACCCCATTCATTCACTACGACCACGAGCGGGATCTCATCCTGGGCAACACTGGTAGGGCTCCGAGTCAGCTTCTCCGAGCGTGCATCGATGTGGCGACTGGGAATCCCACGGCTGCCTTGATCCCGCGCAGCGTCTGTTCCATTCATGGTTGGCTTCTACTCCCCCCCCCCCGCCATGCTTTCGGTTTCGCCAGCCACCAGTGCTTTTGCTTCGTTGTGCTAAGAGAGTCGCTGCCATCCTAGGTGACATTCCTCCGATTGAACTGACAAACGCGATTCAGATGGCAAAGGAGTCAGGCGGATACAGCTCGAGATCCTCGATCACATCGTCGTCGTCGTCGTCGTCCGAGAGACGAATGTCAAGGGGCGAGTGGGACTCGTCTTCTGAAGACGAAGAGCATCTGCATATGACTGCTGAAGGTATGTGTGCGCTGTGCTCGCTTCGAGGCAACCCCTGTGTCTCTCGATATCGGGCGCCTTTGCTGCTGCTCAAATCGCCGCTGCCAACCTGAACCAAGTCGATAGCGCCGCCGCTGTGCCTGCCGACTGAAACATAGCCGGCGCATCCTTCTTGTCTCGTCCGAACAAGAATGGGGCATGAGCCTTCGTCCGGACCTGCACAGCCCCAGTCATTATGCTTAATTATTCCTGTACCCTGCTTTGCCTTGAGCAGAGCGAGAGCGACACCAACGGTTCGTCCGACTGAGAGCCCAGCACTACAACATGAAGGCTGCACTCACCCATCATCAAGACGAGGATGATGAGGAAGACGATGGCAACCAAGGTGCCCGCTCCGACAGCCAGAAAAGCGAAAAATACAACGACGGCAAGGATGCCCAGGAGGACGACAGTGATGAAGACGACGCTGACGAGGCCGATGACGGTAACGAAGACGCAGGCGAGACCAATCCTTCCAGATCAGGGCCAGCTGGCAAGGGCATCGTTCGTCAGAATCCGCCGATCCAACTGCATCAGCCCAACGCAGTTAAATTCCCCTTGAAGTCGGCGCTCAAGTCCAGTAGCCACAGTCTGCATTCCGAGACGAAGCACGCCGAGATCCGAATGTCAACAGGGTCGCTTGGCGACGACAAGATGGATCTCTCGTGATGATCTTGGCCCCCTATCCAGAGCGGTAGACATGCTGTTCCCGAAGCCATAGTCATCGCTTGTGGTCGTGACGTCCACGGCAGATGATGCACCGTCGTTATGTTCGTTTGCATCCCGAGTGTGTATTGGGACAGGCTCGCCTGGGTCATTGCATTGCGCCGCCATTCCCTGTAATAATATACAGTCAGGCCCGCAGCCCCAATCGCACCGTAGGCCGCGTGGTCTCGGCTTGTTGGGTGGCGATCAGTCGTTGTATGCACTCGTTTCGTATTATGTTCTAGCTGGGAGTGGTTTTGGTCTTGTCTCGCTGCAACACTCAGTCAGCTGGCATTTACCACTCCTGGATCCTTGCTGTGCCTCTGCTATTCAGTCGGCCTCGATAGAGGCCGACTCCTTTTCGAGACTTTCCTTGTAGATGGCAGCACTGCCTTTGTTTTTCTTGCCGCCCTTTCCTTGAGTGCGCTCCTCAAGCGGATCAAACCCTCTGCGCTCATTGCCGTAGACAGCCTGTGCAGACAGGGGTGTTAGTGCCATGGAGGTGGGTTCCGTGGTAGCCGAGCCAGGTGGATGGAGCTCGCTGGTGGCATACAGACTACGAGGGGCAGCCAACGTTGATGAGCAAAGCCATGCTGATTGTTCGCTGGTCATCGATTTCGGACCAAGTCCTACAGTCACCAACCCCGCGACTTACCCACTCCGGCGTCTTGGCCGCATAGTCCAGACTCGTGAACTCGCGCCCCGATTGCACCAGATCAAAGAATCGGTCATAGTCAATCCAGGTATGCCACTCGTTGTTGATCAGGAACTTGGTGTGGGCGATGAGCACCGAGATGGAGTGCTCGTGCTCGCATGCCAGTGCGTACTGGCCCTCGGGAAGGGTCTTGACCAGGTCCTCGGCAAACTTGAGAACCTCGACATAGTAGGGCACCTTTTTCATCGTGATTTTATCCTTGCTAGTAGAGTTGGGATTCTTGTCGCCGCAATACGTCACGCCCTTGATCTCAATGAACTCTGGCATGCCGCGTTTAACAAGCTGGGAGTACTGGTTGATGTCATTGGTGTTCATGTCCTGGATGATTGCCAAGCGGAAAATGTGTTGGCAGATGCCAGTAGTTAGCAGACAATAAGCCTTTGGCTCGGGGCTCTTGTGGGTCGCTTCACCGACAAATGATCCTCGTGCAGCGGTTGCCAGCAAGTAGCTGCCCTTGTCGTCGCTTCAGCGATTGGCCGAGCAAACAGCTCTGCAGAGGCTCGACCAGTAGACTGCCAGCAACCAGAACCATACCTTAACAAGGGTCAGGCGGAATACGGTTCTCTGCTTCTTTTCGCGCAGGTAGTCGATAGATGCCATATAGCGCTCCCAAAAGTCCGAAAAGAGCGGTCGGTCAATGCGCTTCAGAGACTCCTTGGTACTGGCGTCGATGCTCAGATACAACTGGGTCACAGGCTGGAGTTTCTTGATAGCCTCTGGGAATTGACCGTTCGTTACAAGAAACGAGGAGATGTGGCTTTGATGGAGCATGTCCAGGAGCTCATTGATGTGCTCGTACCAGATGGGCTCCCCGACCAAGGAGAGGGCTGGTGCCGAGATTTAGATTCAGAAATGGTTACAATCAGGGGGTGGCCGGGTCATCGGTTTGTGGTTTTGTCCATGCAACAGAGGGATGCAGAGAGCCGCTCTGGGAATTCCAAATGGCCCCCGATCCACAGGAATGTGGACTCGATTCTTTTGCCGGACTCACCACAGTGGCGAGGCTCCATAGCTTCCTGGAACCGTTCTGGGATGGCACCGGCGATGCCCTTCAACTGCTTGATTTTCTGGCGGTGACCCTCAAGGACCCCCTTGAAGATCAGCTCGGGCGGATCCACCTTCCACTTCCACTCTTTGCCAACGGGGTTGGACTGCTTTCTCCAGCAAAAGACGCTGCGCGAGGATTGCCATTCGATCAGATGCGGGTCATGGTACGCATTTCACATGCAGCCGCTTGTGTGCGCCGCATCGCAGCACCATAGAGCGTGCGCATTCATCGTGGCAAACATGGACCCACTCATGGTCATACCATTTGTTGGCGCACGCCAGCGAAGGGGTGGTTTCCATGCAGCGGTGCGATGCGATTCCGAAAAACGTGTGCTTGTAGCATCCACCCCGACCACGGACCATGGACATGGTCCATCTGCCAAGTAGAATTAGAGCAGTGGGAGCCTGATTAGTCGCGCAGGAGGTGTCCAGTGTCGGAGAGCATTCGACCAGTCGCAGGAATCCACCAGTAACCGTACTCCTGCCCCACTGCTCGATCACCTCGCTAAACATACCGGCACAGCTTGACCGCCGAGTGGGTACCGACGATCGTGTATCTCTCCTTTGTGAGGCGTTCGCGCAGACCTTTGGACACCATGTCCTTGGGCTCTGTATCAGAATGTGACTCGGCTTTGGCCTTCTTCAGTCTGGCGGCGACGGCGCCCAGGTCCTCGACATCAAGCATCTCATCTTCGGACTCGAGAAGGTCGTAGTCGTCGCTGGCTGTGTCGCTGTCGCTCAGCTCGTCTTCAAGCGAGGGGCCGAGACCATCGGTGGAAGCAGCGACAACAGTGCCGGTCTTGAGGGAGTGAGCGCACTGCTGACTCCAGACCTCAAAGAGCGGCTCAGCCTCGGTTTTGGTCTCTCGATACAAGCCCGTGTCCCCGCAGGCGAGTCCGACGATCCGCTTTGCACCGAGGCTGCTCATCCAGAGATCAACCTCCTTAGCACAGGTACAAAAGTGCTCCTGTCCGTAGACAGAGTCGCCGAGACCAAAGACGCCAAAGCTGATGTGTTCGAACTCGTTGCGTTCGACTCGATGGTCGTGGAACCACTCTCGCAGCAGGCCGTAGAACCACTTGCCATGCGATGGGATCGCTCCTTCGGTGTAAGTCGACAGCACGAACAGCAGAGTGACCGGCTGCTTGGTGGCCATCAGGGTGTCGGGATCAAAGTGGGCCATGTCCAGGAGCTGGGCCGAACTGTACTCAGCAGCCAGCTGGGCACACAGCTTCTGAGCCATGTTTCTAGCCGTTCCACTCTCGGTCACGTAGATGATCTTGATCGGGGGCCCGGCTTCCCTGGGGCCCGAAACGCTCACTTTGGTGCTCGAGGTTTGTGTGAAGGTCTTGGGCTTGCGCTTGCCATCTCGTCTGGGGGCAGGAGTTCCACACGAGGCCTCGGAACTCTGACGACAGCAGCCCTCTCCACAGCATCCATCTTGAGGCGACGGCTCTGCCTTGAGATCCCGAGCGGATGGGTCGGGCGTCTGCTTGGACCGCCAGAGCAGAACAAGCGGTACCGCAATCAGCGGTACCAGCAGCGCAAGTTTGATGAGTTGGCTCTGCGAGGACCCGGAGACGGGCAGGCTTGGGACAGGCATCTGAAAGGCCGCAAGGAAACGGAGGAGGCGGTGGGTCGCTGTCGATTGCGGTCGGTTCGGGGGAGGGCGAGCAGATCGAGCAGATCGAGCAGATCGAGCGGATTGAACAGATCGATTGGCCTCAGTCCAGAAACAGAAAGGCGGACCGCACGATCGCTGATTGGCCGGCTGGCTCCACGTGATTGACACGGACCATGGACATGTGTGGCGGGGACTGGATCCAGCGAGTCGGCGAGCCCAGGACCAAACGGATCTGTTTCGTAATGTTTTTTTTTGGGGGGAGGGGGCGGACGTGCCTGATTCATTGGGTGCGATGAGATGAGGTGGGCGTCTAATATCAGGCATCTGTGTTTCTATGCATCTCTTCTTCCCCATGGCTGAGCCGGCGAGCGAGATCCTCCTCAATCGGCACGACGATGCAGAGAACGAGAAAGGCAAAGGCAGGAAAGTAGAAAGAAAGTATATGGAGGGAGCAATTTCCATGTGGCACGTGGTGGAGATGGAGTCTAGTGACTGAGATCTAGTCATTTTGAATTTGGACAGAGAGCAGCGAGTATGCAAGAGAGGCGGACAGTGCAGCAAAGAGTGCCCGGTAGCAAAGAAGATTCTAGAGCAGACGCAAGACCGCGTAGTGGGTGGATTCGGCTACAAGCATGTCAGAGCGACGTCGGGTGCGGGTTGTGGAGAGCAGGAGGGCCAGGCGGATTCGTCTTTGGTCGTGTTCAGCTTTGTCGATGAGCGGCTTTCTCAGACCAGCAGCCACACGGCCTCTATTCCGAATCGAAACTGTCATCCACCGTGCCATCCACCGAGCCGTCTGCAGAGCCATCCACCGAGCCATCAACAGCCGCAGGAATAGTGGAGTTCATGATGACAATACCATCCTCAGGAAAGACAAACTCGTGGTTTTCGTTGCTGTCCGCGTCGGGCTGGTCAGCGTCGTCGCCTTCAATGGGCTCCTCGGGATAGTTCTCGGTCTTGATGAACACGTCATCCTCGGGCACTACGATTTCGATCGTCTGTTCATCCGCAAGCTGCGCATCGCCATCCTGCAGGACTGCATCCGCGTCAGCGGCAGACGTGTCTGCTGTTGGAGCGGCTAAAGCGGCGGTACCCGTTGCGTCGTCGTCTTGGGAAACATTCACGGCAGACTGTGAGGAAACAGAGTCGCTTGCGGGCTCCTGGAGCGATCCGGCAGCGACTTGGACACTGGCCCCCGTCGCAGGCACATCCGTAGGGCTGGCTGCAGCAGCTGTCTCGGCTGAGCTGATCTCATCAGCATCGTCGGGCTTGGGCTCATCGACTATCAGCTGGATATTATCCTCGGCGATATCAGCAACGGTTTGTTGCTGCTGCTGTTGCTGCTGTTGCTGCTGTTGCTGTTGGAGCGATCCGTCATCTTCAGTAGCAATGGGCTGCTCAGGTACAGCCACAGTAGTGGATTCAATCTTGGTCGTGGTGGCTTCTGAGGTTGCGACCGGAGCTTCGTTTTGTGTGGTTGTTGGAGCTGGTGCCTGGTTTGTGATCGACACAGGCTCAGGCGCTGCGGTAACCTCCGATTCAAGCTCGGCTGAAGTCGGAGCGGTGAGATCGGCTTGTCGAGACGCAACAGGTGCTTCCGGGTCCGCTGAGGTGGCCGACGCTGCTGTCTCGGCGGCGTGCGTCGGAATGGGCGCATAGGCAACAAACTCGGGCGGTGGATGAGAGCTGGCTTCTGGAGCAGTCGCGATAGTTTCGACAGAGTAAATGGCTTCAACAGACTCGGTGGGCTGAGAGACTTTGGTTGGATCGACCAATGTCGCCACAGAGCCTTCAGTGTCATCCGAAGGCTGCGCGAGGGTGTTGTTGGCAACCGCGGCGTGCAGCTCACCAATGACTATGTTTGCATAGATATCCTCGACCGCGAGTTCTTCATTTGTGAAAGCCGGCTCGCTTGGTGGCTGGGGCTCTGGAGCACTGGTTGGAATGGCTACGACGACAGGGGAGGGCTCCTCGTATTTGATGATGGACTCGGTGGCAGATTCAATACGATCAGACGCGGGCTGGTCTTGTTGGGTCTGCTGGGCGGAGCTGTGGACCGGCTCCGAGGGCTGGCTGACCGGGACCCGAGAGTCAGTAGGGGACAGAGCTTCATCGCCATTCATCAATCGTTCAAACTCAGCACGATCGGCGTCAGCACTACTGTGGGCAGAGCCAATCTGTATCGATAAGAGGGCGCTTTCGAATTGGCTGTACGCTTCAATAACTCTGGGAAGAACCTGACCGGTGAACGATTGCGAGAGGGAGCTTGCAGTGCTCCGAACCAGGTCCATGGCAGGCGTGATCTGCTGATTGCAGATCTCGTTGATTTGGGGGTGGGCGCGCTGTTGCTGGACCTCTGGTGAGCAGGCGACGTAGAGTGTCGTGTAGGCGAGGGCACCGGAGAGCCCCAGGACAAGCAGAGTGGTAAAGAACGACCCCTGTCGCTTCGCTTCCTTGGCGAGCTTGCTCTTGAGACGCTGAGGATTGCCGCGAGCAATGCCCGACAAAGATAAATTGGTTACAGAAAGCGTCGTGATCTGGACGGCTAGATGCAGCATTCGTGCGCACGGATGCCACAGGCGTTTTCGCTCGCACAGATGGCTTACCTCCGTATCAGCTTGGCTCAGACCGCCCTTAGTAGATGCGGATTCCAGAGAGCTCAGCGCTGGCTCGGCAGGAGTCCAGGGCTCGGGATTGAATAGGTCATTATCGCCATGGGAAACAAGAGGGCCAGCCTTAAGACAGGCCAGCTCAGCACGAACACGCTCAAGCTCCTCGACCAGCTCGTTATTCGCCAGAGACGACTGGGAGGTGGGCTCCTCGACGCGCTGCGGTACGGCAATCGGAGGAGGAGGAAGAGCAGATGCACTCGTGGCTTCTTTGGTAGCAACGGGGATATCGTTGAGGATCTCAAATGAATCACCAAGATTGGTGGCCTCGGCAGCAGAGACTTGCAGCTCTGGCGGAAGAATGGCTGCTCCGGCGTACCCCTCATCTTGGACATAAACATCGTCTTGGAGATAGGCTGGATCTTGAGCATAGGTGCCATCCTGAGCATAGGTGCCATCTTGGGCATAGGCGCCGTCTTGGGCATAGGCGCCATCATTCGGAGGGTAATATGCGGCCGGTGCCGTATAGATGTAGCTGCTTAGTTGAGGATCAAGGCCGGCGCGCACAACAGTGAGCTGATACTGCAGGTTGGCGACGTGCGCTTGGATGCTCGGCAGGTATGCGCCAGGACCATCCTCCGCACTCAGCTGCTCCTCAGGCGTGCGCTGGGTAGCATCAAGGACGGCGGCCCTGCCGACCTCAAGCTCAGCCTGGATCATGGCCAACTCGGCGCTGCGAGCAATGCGTTCCGCTTCCGTCTCTGGGAGGATAGGAATCGGTGTCTTCTGTGCATCGGCGAGGGCGATCTCGGCAACAGAAATCTCCTCCTGAAGGGACTGAACTGCGGTCGGCAAATCCTGGATCTCGACCCCGAGCTGTTCGCTGCTGTCGCGAAGCTCAGCGGCCTGGTTGAGCTTCAGCTGAAGCTGGGACTGCGACTCAACGACAGAGGCGCGCGCGGCGGCAACATCAGCCTTGAGGCGGGCATTTTCGCTCCTGAGCCGCACGAGTTCGTCGAGGTCGAGTTTGGTCAACGGTCCGAGCTGGGTTTCCTTGGTGACTTCGATTTTCTCTTCCCAGTCCTCGATGACCTGAACCTCCGTTGCGGGTTCAGCCTCGTTCAGGAGGCCCTCGAGTTCCTTGTCAACAATCCAGCCATTTTCTTCTTCTTGTTCCGGCGAAGCAGCCTCAGAGGTGGCAGGCAGAGCTGCGCCATCCGTGGAAACGATGGTGCGACGGACCAATCGTCGCTTGGAGATGCGCTCGGTCCTGGTAGTAGGGACGGCGTAGTCAGGCTCGTCCATGCGGGCATAGAGATCCGTTAGACTGGACTTGCATTGGGAGAGGCGACTCCTGACGACGGCATAGTCGCTGGAGGCCGAGCGCGAGTCTCGGAGCTCGGATTTGAGCTCGTTGATGCGCTCCTTGAGCACTTCCTGCTCCTCGGCGACCTGCTTGGCGATGTCTAGGTCATGTCGCAGATTGGCAATCACTCGCTGATCGGCTTGGCAGTCTTCGCGAACGGTCTCAAGTTCAGTTGCCAGCGCAGCGCGTTCGCCCTTGAGCTGCTCGACTTCTTGATAGAGGTGCGACAGGTCTATATCAGCTTGGCTGGCGCGCGCTTCTGCCAAAGCGAGGCGCTGCTGCATGTCTTCGTGCTCGGCGACAGCATCGTCGCTGAGGGCCGGAGCCGCCTGAGCCTCGGCAAGCTGGAGCGTGCGCTCAGCAAGGGACATCTGCAGTTGGCCGAGCGGTGTCTCGGGCAGGCCAAACTTGGGATCCCAGGTAATCTCGGCCTCGACGACCACCTTGCCAGACCAATCCACAGCTTCGGGGATCAAGCTCAGGCTCAGCAGGTCGGGCCAGCCCTTTCTGAGCTTCTTGGCATTGAAGATATAGCCGCCGGTAAAGGTCTTTGTGCAGAGCAGGGCGCCGCCTTGACCGCGCAGAACCTTGAGAGTAAAGGAGCTGATGGGTCTGCACCACCCATCGCCCAGGGACTGCTCGCGCTGGGAGAGCACCGGGGCGATGTACGCGGCGATGTGGGTGCCGGCCGAGCCGGGCTCGCCAAACTTGAACCAGTGGATCTTCCACAGACACTCGTCCGTGCCAAACGGAGCAGACTCGAGCTCGGCATCGGCCTGATCGTCATAGCCGTCGATCGTCCAGGTGTATGCAAAGCTCGACCAAGGAACGACAACCTCGCCCGTGACCTCGGCTTCGATGTTGATGGTGCCCTCGAGGTTGATGGCTTCCGAGAGACGGGGGATCTCAAGGAGGCTCGGGAACCCCCATCCGGGGACAGAGGCATTGAAGCCGGTAAAGCTCTCGAGAGAGGTGCTCGAGACGACAAAGTCGTCCCAGATGCCCGGGGCGTCGGATGAGGCGGAGCGGACGCGGATGGTAAAGTACTTGACAGGGCGGCTCCAGTTCTCGGCATCGGCCAGCTCCTGGTCGTTGGGCAGCGGCCGAATGAAGGCACTGACAAAGCTTCCGTGACCAGCGGCGACGCCGTTTGGATAGATCACGATTTGCCACCGCCAATCGACTGGGCCAAAGGGAGGAGAGACGATCTTCTCCATAGAAGGGTCAAAGTCGACGATGGCCCAGTTGAATGATGCGATGAGCTTGGTGGTCACCGGGGTGGTGTAGAGCTGGCCAAGGGCGCTGGGGAAGTTGGAGCTCTGAAAGGGGCTGAAGCCATTGACGGAGGTGACTGTGGCGGTGATGAGGGCCGGAAGGGTGTTGGCCTCCGGCTGCGGCGAGCCATCATAGAAGGAGACGGTGGGCGAATAGCCGGTTGGATTTTGGGTGGAGATGGAGCCGGGAGGGTACGGCTTGCGGTCCTGATGGGGCTGTGGCCGAGGCAGACCCGACAGGGCCGCTCCAGGAGGCGGAGCACGATAGGGGAGCGGCGAGGGCTGGAATGGCGAGGACATTGCAGCCGGAGAGCAGCTTCAAGTCAAGGTGCGACGAGACTATGGCAGATGAACCAAGGGAAGTAGTAGAGGTAGTCAGTGGCAGCGGATCGGACGGGCGGCTGGTTGGCTGGGGTGTTGGATGGCGCTGCCTTGCAATGACACCAACTCCTGCTGCTGATGCGCTAGGGAGGGGAGCCAAAACCAGTGGCGACCAACATCGGGGCGGCAGGAAATGAGCAAGCCCAACTCGACTGGACTAAAGTGACAGCAGATGGGGACATGTCTGGCTCCGATCGAGCCGATTGAGCACGACCACGACGGCAGGAAGGCACCGCGGGGTTGGTGACGTGGACGATGCAGGGGGTGGTGCATCGAGACGCCTGGACGGAAAGACGTCGTTTGGAGAGCCACCGACCTGGGTTCGTGCGGAGGAGCGGAAGAGATAGACTGCTTGTGGAATTCTCAGGGTGTCGCCGGCGATGGGTGGCGACAAGCAAGATGGACGGCGCCTGGACGGATGCCTGGAGGGGGACCGATGATGGCAAACCGATGGCGGCAGGCCGATGCGGCGACGGCCAAAGACGGCGAAGGGACAAGCGAGTGTGTGTGTGTGTGGACAGCCGGCTCGATCCGGTGGATGGATCCGGCGAGTGGATCCAGGGCAAAAGTACTTTCCTTGTGCGCCCGTTGCACCGGGTCGCACACGGGCGCTGTGCTCCACCTGCGTCGGCTCTGGCCACGTTCGTCTCCATCGCCATCTCCAGCACACGCCCGTCGGCTTTGGCCCTGCTCTCTGCTTCTGGACGGCGTCTTCGCGCTGACTCTGCGGCATTGTCTCATCTCCCGGCTCTCTCAGCCCTCGGCCGGCCGATCATCTCACACAGCCAACGCAGTCAAGTCCTCCCTCGCCCTCGGTTCTTCGCTTCCTGCTCCTGCCATGGCATCCCGTCAAGCCGCAAAGGGCGGCTTCATCCGGCTGCCCATCACCGACGAAGTCTCATCGCCTCCGCCTCCATCGCCGCCCAAGATGGCTCCCGGCCACCCCACGCATCCCACCCAGCGAGTTCCCAGAAGAACCACAAAGCTTTCACAGAAGCTCACCGTCTTCCCCCTGGCTGCCGATGACCGCACTGACGATGAATTCCAGGAAGACGAGCTGGACGATCAGTTGCCGCACGTCTCGTCCAAAGTCAGGAAGGAGCAATGGCTCAGCAAGCTGGAGAAGCAGTGGCTCCCCAGAGGTACGAGCCCGCCGTCAAGGCCATCGATCTGGCCAGAAGGGCAGCTTTGAGACGATATCGTGGCGCTCCTGCTCACGATTCCAGCGAGCCATCGATCATCGACTCGTGTTGGTTCTATTCCTGGCTCGCATCAAGGTCCTGGTGCCTGGGCCACCTTCGCCTGCTTATCTGTCAGGAACGTCCTTAGTGTATCCTTGATGGGAGTATCGAGTCGTGTCGCAGTCGAACCGTCGCAATTCCTCACCCGTCGCTTCTCCATCGCCGATTCTTGCCGCTTGGTCTTGCCGCTTGGTCTTGCCGCTTGGTCTTGCCGCCATCGACTCGTGCGCCCATTTCGTTACGAATGATCCTCCACGGACGATCTTCCAGTAACGGCATATTGCACTGCCAAGTAGGTTCTCCACCACGACCGAGTATCAGCCAGCAATGCGTCCTCCCATCCATCACTCTCGCTGACACTGCCTTTGCTCGATACCATTCCGCGGCACGCGCAGCTCATACAATATGGATCGGCTCTACGAGCTGCTTCTAAAATGCAAACACCAGAACGGCACGGCTCCAAAGCGTTTCGACGAAGGTAGGCATATCGCACTTGAAACACGGATTGGGCGCCCACGCACCGATGTCGCTGATGCATCGGCAAGTCCATACTGATGTGCACGCCAGTCGCATTGCGAATGCGTCATTGATGATTGATTCGGTTCGCTCTCTTGTACTTGCGCACTCGCTCTCCATCCACGACTTCATTGCACAGTCATATATACACCGTACTACTTCCAGCGGCCGACGGATGAGCCCCTCATTGACCTTGAGCATGACCACGAATCCAACGACTTGGATATTGACCACACTGTCGGCATCCACGGGCCTGTCTCCGATCCTGTCGAGAGCTTGGGTGGATTCTTCGAGCATAATCTGGACGTCAATGGCCGAGCCATTCCTCAGACGCTCCCGCGAAGCAAGCTCGCCAAACGAATCGCGCCTGTTGGCGAGTGCTTTTTCTTCGACTATGGAGTTGTTGTATTCTGGTATGGTTGGCTGTTCTGCTCGAGTCACCCTGGTCCAGTTCCTCTGCTCTAGCCGCTCTGGATTGGTTGCGCTGTTCGTTCGCTCGGGCTCGCCTGCATTCTCACGCACGTCGCACCATTTGGCTCTCGGCATCGGCTCGGGCTTCAGGGGATTGACCGAGAAGGAAGAAAAGCGACTGCTCCAAGAGCTATCGCCATTCGAGGAAGACAAGCTGGGTAAGCACCCTTTGGTCGGATAGAACATCGCGCCGATATGTGGCGTATCCTCTTCAAGGCCGATCCGAGTCGGCACTTCATTCGGCGTTGCTTGGTCGAGTACGGGTGACTCTCGGCACTTTTATAAGCGGCTATCGGTTTCGACAACATGGCCTGGTTGTATCTGTCAGCTGATCTATTTTTGTTTGCATGCATTGCCAGTCGATCAGGAGGTCGAGACTGAAGAGTTCCACTTCCATTACAACCGTAAGCTGCGTTTCCGTTTCGTTCACATCCTCGCGATCACAATCGACGCGACACTGACGACATGGTTGTATTGATTTCGAAGCCTCGCATCTGCCTCGGATCTACAATGACATCATCACCTTGAGGGTAGGCTGGTCCCATTGTTCAAATCCACTGACGCCGTCGTGCTTGCGCAACTCTTCATGCCACGATCTTGTTGTTGCTGATCGACTCTGGTTTGCCTCTCTTCCAATCGCTACCAACTCTTCCCAAATGGCTCAATCGCGACTGAACCACTAACCTAATATATCATTTGGCACGCGTCGATTCGATTCGATTCGATTCTTTGACCATGGCCTCATTATGGTCGCGGACACAACCAGTCCCCGTCGACCATGGTCAAGCTCACAATCTCCCACGCGATCGCACAGAGTGCCAAAATGGCTCTGTTTGAGGAGCTGATCGAAAATACAATCGAAGGTCAGCCACATTATCTGATGGTGACACATTGCTGCGATCAATGTGGACGAGGAACTTATGACTTGGTCGAGAGTCTTATCTTCCCCAATTTTGTCCGCAGGCACCAAGATGATCCCGCAAATCATGGCCGAGACAGGCAAGATTCACATGTCGAGGTAGGCGCTCGGCCACTTCGCCAGCCACACCACGACTTCATCGCCCTAACGCTCTACCACGTATTTGTCATTCAACAGGAAAGCTATCAATCAAAAGATCGGACAGGTAGAGTTCGCTCTGAACCATCTCGACTGATGCTGTCATCAACGGCAATCCTCACCATCCCGCCTCACATGCATGTATGTTATCAACAAAGCTCTTTGTCATGAGAATCAACGGTAAGTCACCTCGAGGATACAAACAGCATCCCGGCCACGGCCGCCCCGCATCTCAACACAGTGATGGTGCGGTCTCGGAACCTCGCTGATTCGGTGCCTTGTCTCTTCTGTGTTTTTCCCGCTCCAGTCAACTTGGTCTCCAATGTTCTTGGTAGGTGCCCAAGTTTGCCCGGACGTCCTGTGGCTCTGATTTAGATTTCTTGCCGCTGCTTCGTAGCGAGAACCCTCGGAGCTCAACAAGCAACTGGCCATCACTTTTACAGACACGCCCGAGATCTTCTGGTCCGAGCCGGCGCTCGAGCCCCTCTACATTGCCATTCGCGGCTATCTCGAGATCTCCCAGAGGTATGCTTTTCGATTGAGATGTCATGCGCTCGCGGCCCTTGAACGGCGTCGACGTTGCGCGCCGGGAAGGCGTAAGTGCGTCTGACAGCACTATTGATTTCGCTCATTCCTCTCGCAGAGTCGATCTTCTCAACCAGCGCGTCGCTGTGATCTCTGATCTTCTGGATATGCTGAAGGAGCACCTCAACAGCTTCCACGGCGAACAGCTCGAGTGGATTGTGATCACGCTGATTGGTGAGAACAAAAGTGCAGCGAGGTCATCGAGCCATGGAAAACCGGCGTCTGGACCCTCCAACTCAGCGCATGCGGGTCGGCTGCTCGGCTTGCATGGTGTCATTCGTGCCTCAAGCTCCATGGTTCAGTTTCTAACCCTCTCTGATCTGCTCGATCCATCGGCTTGACCTGTCTGGCGGGATCCTGGTCCAGCCTTCGAGATCATCATCGGCTTGGTCACCATCAGCTTCGACTTGACTTCGTATCTCCAGAACCGCGACGGCGACCTATATTAATGACAAGCTCACCCATTCTACCGATCCAAGCGCACCGGTACACCGCCCAGCGTATCCGATCGTGCTCTACCCGCCCTCAGAAGTGTGCTTGTCTGGCGGAGAGACTGCGACCGCAGTGCGAAGCCATGGTTGTGGAAATACATTTGTCGTGTTACTCCGTCCGCTTTTTGATAGTGCATGGTGAAACGGTCAATCCTGGAATCGACCGTGCTTTCGCGGATTGAGGGCTAGTTCATCGTCGGGATGGGCGCGTCTTTGAAGTAATCAATGGCTTTGGCCACATTCTCCAGAAGAACGCCATAGACAGGATGGGTGGGTTCCTAGAAGAGCATTGTGTCAAACAAGCATATACAACGCCATCGCTGCCATAAGGAAGCTTCTTGGTAGCTCTCGGGGTGGATCCTACTCTCTGCCAGCAAGGACAAGCAGACACGAACGAACCAGCAAGTTGGACCGGTCGCCGACGACGCAGACCGCTGTTTCGTGGACTTCAAAGTCGTTCAACTCGGTATTCCAGCGGTAATGATGCTGTGCGGCGCTAAGGCCGTTTAGGCAGTAGCATGTGTGGTAGTAGTCGGGTCCTTTCTCAGGTTTGTCTCGGAGACCGCCACTCTCGTCCTGACAGCAAATCAGAATATACTCTTGGAGGCGCTCTGATCGAATTGAGGTGGGGGGGGGGAGGCAAATCGGTCAGCGTGTACGACTGATTTACATTCCAGCAAAAGCTCGACGGCTACCTCGACTGAACAACGAAACGATCTTGTTTTTGTCATCTGGACGAGATGCGCCACATAAAAGGAATGAGTGGTGTCATCAGCTCGCAGCCGCGGAGCATCGGGTCGACACGGCGTTGAAACAGATGTGATCAATAATGACACCGGTATCGCTCGCATGAAGATGCGTGCAATGGAGAAGCAGTGCCAACCTTGACTGAGATGCTTCCGCTGGTGGATCACCTCCAGGAGCGGAAAGACAGCCCCCTGCCACGTCGAATAGCAGCCATCGACGAGTTTGTTCGTGCGACCAGAGAATCCGCCCTCGATGTCCATCTGGCGGAAGGTTATCCATCGCTATAGTGGGTCGATGCAGATTGTGTGAGTCGATGTCTGTGCCACCATCGCCGGCTTGATGCGGAGGGAACAGTGATGGCATTTCCTGACTGTTTTTTTTTTTTTGGCATTGCTTACCATCAGGCGCTCAATATCCAGCAGATGCGATTTGTTGAGGATCTCGAGAGCTGCCGTACCACAAAATGTGTAACCGCCATGGGCTTCGAGCCCTGGCAAGGAGCTGATCCCGCCTTCATATGACTGACACCTGTTTGCGGCATTGTTAGGGTTCAGTGGTTTGCAGCCATCGATGCTCTCAAACGATTCCAAAGCGATAGGGATGGCTGCTGATCCTCACTTGGCGACAAATTCTCCAACATTCTCAGCTAATTCAGGCGTAAGGAGGTTGAGCAGTTTGGCGCACGCAACGGCACAGTAACTTCCACTGAAGTGCCAACAGCACACGCATTAGCATTATTGGAGCCATTTGGGTTCGGTTCGATTCACATTAGCATTCCGCGCATGGATCAGTCGCAGAGAGCAAGGAAGGAGCGAGAGGAGAGGCAGGAAAGGGGATAACGAACAGAGGCGCCTGACAGCTTCGATCGTATTATGGCCTGGCGGACAACAGCACACCGGCACCGATGGACATACCGAACGTCGATCTCGCCCTCGGTGTGCATTCTGAACGAGCCATCGCTGCACTTGAGGCTCAGCATCCACCGATAGAGCGTGCTCCTGTCAATATCATTGTCGTCGACGAGCCACGGAGGGTCAATAAACGGAGGCTGGTGTATTCCTTTGGCTCACTGACGGCTCGCACCAAACGCCCGCAGCGCAATACCCAGCGCCCGTCAGTCCAGCTCACTCGAACCTGTTGACGACTTCATACGCCTCCTTGGTGCCGATAGTCACGAGTGCGTTTACAGCGGCATAGGTGCTTGCCAGATGCGACATTTGTCCGGGCCCGCCGCCAAAACCACCGGTTTCATTCTGGCACCGCGACAGGGTATCGATGACACTGGAATCGGGGAGATCGCAAAAAGACACAGATGATCGAGATACCGTGGCGCCATTGGTCCATGTACGTATATAGATGAGGGCTTGTGAGAAAAGACGCACGGCACTGCCGGTCATCAACGAACAGGCGCCGAGAAGCAAGCCTGCCTAAGCCAAGTCTAGTCGATTGCCCGCCCGGGCCGATCAAGCACCAGTGCAGCAACGATGTGCTCGATGAGCATATGCGCATACCGCTCTGCAAGTTCAGGGGTGATTTTGAGTCCGAGGAGGGCTTGAGAGTGGACGACCCAATAGACCAGCCAGCTTTTGGAGGCATCGAGTGTGATGTACCCGCGGCTGAGGCCTCGCAGCCCCTTGGCCAGATAACTGGCATGAAGAGGCCGGCCCAGCAGGACAGTCGAGACGTCGGCGCAGCTGTTGAGCAGAGCCAGCACGGACTCTTCCGTTGCTCTCTGGCTCTCGACCGTCGGTGTGATTATGGCAGTGTTCATCGAGGGAGAGGGTGTTGGTTTGCCTGGGATCAGACCTGGGACGACAGCAAAGAGACTTGGGCTTTTGCACGACAACAAGCCAGGGCCGCATGCAGCCACAGTCCGGCCGTGTGGCAGTGCCCATATGTCCAAAAAAGGGCACTGGCGGCGAGAGCATCCCGAGAGCACCCCGAGAGCATGTCGAGAGCATGTCGAGAGCATGCCGAGAGCATCCAAGTTTTCCCCGGTCGCGAGCCGCTCCTGTCCTCGATCTGCCTTTTGCCTCCCCAGTCCAGCAAAGCCAGGATGGCGGCCCAAGGTAGGGCATCGCCCCAGAGCAGGCCAGTCTGCCCCACGCCCATGTTGTTACCGAGGAGACCCGGGTCCGAGTGCGATCGATCGGTCTGGATGAGCAGATGATGATCCGGGGCGATCTGGTACCTTGTCCGGTTGCTGCGAGTTGGCGACTATCCGCTCGATCACCGCTCATCTCTCGTGCTAATCGGCCCACCTTTACCCTGGGCTGCTGTGACGCCGTCCAGATAATGAAAGGAGTATCCTCGAGGAAAAGGTCGTCAACGAAGAATACAAGATCTGGAAAAAGAACAGCCCTTTTATCTATGAGTACGATCGCGAGTCCTGGTTGTGACGCTGCCGATAATGTCCCGAGCCGACAATGTCCCGAGCCGACAATGTCCCGAGCCGACAGTGTCCCGAGCCGACAGTGTCCCAAGCCGCAGAACAGGTCGTTTCGGCAACTGCTGTCCATCTTTGCTCGATCATGGCCTCGCCTTGACCATCTATCTTTGGCCACGCCCCTCAGTCTCGTGGTCACCCATGCCCTCGACTGGCCGACGTTGACCGTCCAGTGGTTTCCCGATGTCGAAAAGTACGTTGGTGCTGATCTGCGTCGGCTGCGCAAGCTCGGCTGCCGCATTCGTCTCTGCGTCTGCTGTGAATCCGCACACATGTGCACATGCACATTCGCACGGCCTTGGAGAGCGCCCTCGGCCTACTCGCTCGCCTCAACCCGACCCTCGTAAGCTGATTCACCATCGCTTGCTTCGTATGGCAATAGCCCCATCGATAAGGACTACTCGGTCCATCGCATGTTGATCGGGACGCACACATCTGAGGGCGAGCGGAACTACCTTCAGATCGCCAAGGTCCACCTCCCCAACGACAATGTCGAGATCGACTCGAAGAAATACGATAGCGAGCGTGGAGGTGAGCCTTACAGCCAAGCCATAGTGCCGGAGCTGGTCTCTGATCTGGACTTTGAGCTCCTGGCACAAAGTTCCAGCACGGGCTTGGCTCTCGGGGATGCAGTTTGTTGCCTCACTTCCCCCCCCTGCCGATCGTTGGTCTCGCTGCGCTTGTGCTTCCTGGCCCGTCGCTGGTCAATTACATGGCGGAGGCCGGATCTCGTTCGTTCAATTGACAATCCTCCGGCGTTCCCGCTTACCTACTCGCTCGCATGCTACTTTCAAGAGCTCGGTGGATACGGGCACACCGACTGCCGCTTCAATGTCGTTCAGCGCATCAACCACGACACCGAGGTCAACAGGTTCGAAAGCGTTCCTCAGATAGCCTCGATCCTCCAAGCGGATAATACCGCGGGTACCTGATCATTTATCCGGCCGTAATCGCATACTTTCAGGGCCCGATACATGCCCCAGAATCCCGACATCATTGCCTCGCGACCATCGCACGGTGCCGTCTACATCTTCGATCGCACCAAGCACACCCTGAACCCCAGCTCCGACGGCACTTGCAACCCAGATATCAAGTTGCTCAAGCACGCCAAGGAAGGGTATGCCGCAGTGTGCAAAGCGATCGTGCATCATCTGTACCGACTGCGATCCGGCTCGATCTTGATGAGCGACCTCCCCGCTTGTCGAATCGTTCCCAGCTTGGGCTCATTCACGAACCCCTGCGCGATTTCTCAATGCCCCTAGATATGGAACTTCGTGGCATCCACTCAAGGAAGGCCATCTTTTGACGGCTTCCGAAGATACCACCGTCTGTCTTTGGTGAGTCCTTGGAGGGATGGCAGATCTGATGTCTGCCAGAACACCCAGCACCAACTTCAACAAGCAAATCGGATCGATTGTGCATGGACAACGCTCAGACACGCGGTACTCACTCGACAATATCAACTCTGCTGCAGGGATATCAAAGCTTACACCAAAGAGCACCGCACTATGGAGCCCCTTTGCGTTTATACCGGCCACACTGCGTGGGTTGAGGTAATACTAGCTGGCCTGCTGTCTTACGTTGGGCTGATCTCTGTCGCTTAGCAAGATCTCGATCACTCACCGGTGCCTGCTTGTACCATTCATACGCTCAGGATGTTGCTTGGCACGCTACCCACGAAACTATTTTTGCGTCCGTTGGCGATGACAAAAAGCTGCTCATGTAAGCGCAAAGTAGAATGATGGGATCGATGGAAGAATCTCGTGATCAGAAAGCGGGGCTGATATTCACATTCACCCGCCCCAAACCAGTTGGGATACACGAAGTCCTTCCAGAGACAAGGCTTATGCGAGTGTCGAAGCTCACGGCGCCGAGATCAATTGCGTTGCCTTTAATCCGTCTAACGAAAGCATCCTTGCTACCGGCTCGGCAGACAAGGTACGAGCGAACAGCACGGGGGTGTACGACCGCTTCCACAGTGCTACATATCACGCCGACTGAGCATACGGGAGTAGCTATTCAGACCAGAGGCCGTCCAAATCTTGCTTATAACACTCATGCTATCATTCGGAGGACTCCAAGTTCATCACTGACAGCGTTTCTTTGCCATGCTGCGTCCGCAGACTGTAGCACTATGGGATATGCGCAACTTCAAGCTCCGATTGCATTCGTTCGAGAATCACCAGGATGAAATTCTGCAACTGGGCTGGTCGCCTCACAACGAGACGATCCTGGCTAGCTGCAGCAGCGATCGTCGGCTCAACGTGTGGGATCTCAGTCGTATCGGAGAAGAGCAGACCCCAGAAGATGCCGAAGACGGGCCTCCGGAACTGCTAGTAAGGAATGATCAGCCGAAGCAGCGAGACGTCCCCCGATTATACTCCAGCCGGTGCACTGAGGATGCACCCGTTAGGCACAGATTGCGGTCCCGTTCTCCGCTGACCGTATTACTCGTGGGTGGTGCTGGTGGTATTTCATAGTTTGTCCATGGCGGCCACACCAACAAGATCTCGGACTTTAGCTGGAACCTGAACGATCCCTGGACCATTTGCAGTGTCGCTGAGGACAATATCTGTCAAGTCTGGCAGCCGGTATGTGCCGTTTTGATCTCGTAGTTGTGCAATCGCTACCGCACCGTCGCTGTGGTATATAGAAGCGTCTACCGGCGTCCTCATTCGCGTGCTACAACTTGGCGATGTAGGCCAGCAACATCTACAATCTCGAGGAATCGGTTGAAGTTCCTTCGTACATCGACTAGCGACCTGCATGGTAGCTGCGGTGACGCATTCTGCCCTGGCGCCATGGTCAAGCTCGATCCGCCGCGCGATAGAGCCCAGTCCCCTCGATTCTCCAGCGCAAACAAAGTGAAACAGAGACTTGTTTTATAGCCGATCCAATAAACATGCTGGATAAACAGCCGTGCTTCAGCCTGACCCGGCGACGGCGATTCAAGCGACTCGATCTCCAGGTGTGCTCACAGCGAAGGGAAGCCAAGTGACTCGAGAAGGCCGAGTATCTTGATATCGATACACCATGGAGCAGTCCAGAGAGTCGGGTGAATGCACCACACAGAGAGATTGCCAACCAGAACGGAAAACAATCGCATGGCTTGCCCACTGGAGCTTATGGATGTTCGGCAGGATTGTGCTCCGATGCCGGAAAGTGACTGTCCCGTTTCTTTCTGGATTGACTGTATAACCGATATTCCGCTTTTGCGGATGTAAAACACCCGCATTCCTCCCACGCTCCTCAATATCTATTCCGAATGTAAAGCAGGAGTGCGCCTCGAATACCGTGGTCCGAGGCTTCCCTGGCATTTCCACCAGCCTCCTCGCCACCGGGAAACGACGACATGGATGGGTCCGCCAGGGTGTGTCCCTGCTGCAGGGATCGATGGGAACGGCGATGGTGGTGACGGGTCTGTGGCTGCTCACTGCGAGCCTGTGGCTGTTCACTGCGAGTCTGTGACTGTTCATCGACAGATCACCGGATCCATGCAATGTATTCTGAGACAAACGGGGCAGGTTGTCTCATCCTGTCTGGGCTGCTAATCAACTGCAACTGCAGTCGAGTACAGTCTTATCATGTTGTCCATCGAAACTGTCACAAGGAGTGACGAGGGTGTCCGATCTTCCAGTCCGCTCGAGGTCGGGATCCTGGCATCGCCCCAGAGACAGGGACGGAGAGATCAAAAGTCAGGTTAATCCGGTAATGCCTCTATACCATTCCAAAACGCAATCCTTACCATTTACAAGCCGTGACCTTGAACAACTGCTCGATCGCTGGAGCTTTCAGAACCTGAAGTCGCTCGGATTTTCCAGAGTCGAGTTTCCATCCTAGTACGCCGATCGACAAGTCCGAGTGCAGGGTTGCTTCAGCTGGCTGACTAGAAACCGATCGTGTGTCGGCGGTACCGCTGTAAATCATGGACCCACACGGCGAAAATTGGCCCTCGATGCGAGTCTGATGAAATGTGGCACATTGGCGGTTATTGTGACGAAAATCAAACCGACTGTTCCGAATGCTGTCCTGAATGCTGTCCCGAGTGCAGGGAGCCCAACTCCCTGGTTGCAAACGCGATAGCATTGCGATCCCAGGCGTCGAGCCGTCCAGCCATTGCTTCCCACGAGCCGGCTGATTGCGACTGACCTCGGATCCGATTTCGCGTGCCGAATATGTTTTGAGCAGGATGCCCGTCGCAGTGTGGAACAGCTTGAGCTGGTTTCCGCACGACAGGAGGGCGAAATCAGGATACTCCGGGTGCAGTGCAAGGGAAGTGATGGGTGTTTTGCTGAGAGTTGGATTGATGGGTGGGAACGGTAGCATGAACAACTCTTGAGCTGTCGATCGACATTTGCGATGCCCCGATTCCTCGCTGCGGTGGGCGACTCGCTCCAGACAGATGGCGACCGTATTGGGCCGTGAAGTGAGAAGCAGTGCATTCCCAGCACCTACCTGAGTTTGATTTCGCCGATGCTGATTTGCCGGAGCATTCCAAGCGACCGAAGACAGTAGATCCGAATGCTGTAAGGGAGCGACGCCACAAGGATCTGCGAAGATTCGCTCTCGCTCGAGTCAGAGATGGCAAAGGACGTAAACGGCTCGTTGGCATGTAAGCTCCCCAATATTTTCTTTTCGCGGCGATGGGTGTCAAAGATCTTGAGTGTCTGGTCGCTTGAACACGAAATTGCCCTGTAATGCAATATTCCATCGTCAGCCGGCGGCGGTCATTTCTGATAATACACATGACACTCTGCTCCCAATACCTACTGATGCGACAGCCGCGGAACCCACGATATTTTGTTGATGATACGTGTGTGCATTTTGCGCCAGTGGAGGAGGCATGTTCGGCGGCGCCAATCCCAGAGCTTGATATCAAACTCAAGATCCGCGCTGAGCAGCAGAGAGCACTCAGTCGGATGAAAGGCAAGAGCCACAATCTGCTTCGAGGCCAAGTTGTCCAACTGAGTTTCGAGCCGCTGCTGAGTGAGGTTCCATATTGTGATGCGGCGGTCGCTTCGATCGTCGGTCCCGGCCGTGCACACCATGATGCTGTTTGCAAGTGAGAGACAAAGGCTTGGATAAGCCCAGCCACACCTGGGTCGCAAGTGGTCTTGGGAACACACAAAGCCAAGAATGCCAGCGAGCCTGCGTCTCTGCTTACTCGTTGGTTTCGGTTTGAATGCAACAGTCCATCACCTTGACACACGACAAAGTTTTCCCGCACTCTGCTTCGAAGACAAACTGAGTGCCAAGGGGTCGTTCGGATGACGGAGGCATCATTTTTCGTAACTTGGCGTCGCTTATGGCGACTGGGCTTTGCTCGGCCTCATCCAACTCATGTCGCGATATGTTGCTTCCAGCACTCGCTTGATGAGAGTCGGATCCATCAATTTGTCGATTGGTAAACGCAGTCATTGGTCGGTTCATCCAGTCATCGATTGAGCGATCCAAAGAAAGCATGCGATTGAATCCGCCCCAAAAAGTCAGCATCGGATAACGATAGATCGGCAGCTCAAAAGTCAGGTGGCGTCGGTGCCTCATTTGCGCCAGACCCGTATGATCTCCATCCAGGCTTACTGGCATTCTTGCATACCAGCACGACGTGGGTAGCTCCGCTCTGGGAGATTCAGCAGCTTTGATGGTGTTTTTGGCGGTGGCGGCGGGGACTGTGTGTCGAGGACGTGCTCCAGTTCTCGCCTTCCCTGTCGGCTCTTGGGCTTGCGCATTTGAATCTGCGGTTGGGTTTCTGCTGCAGCAGCAATCTCATATGGCTGTGCAGCCTCGTCGTCGGCGCCGTATGTCGTGGGGACTGCCGATGTGGAAAACCGCACGGCATCCGGTCCAACTTGCTTGTTGCCGGCTGGGATATCGGCGAGCTTCTTGATGGACTCGCCGAGACGTTGGAGCTTACAGACGTTTGAAAAGTACAGACCCAGGTCAACTATATCGGTTTCGTATCCTTCCGTAAGCGCCGTGTCTGGCTCAGGGAAGAAGGTCTGAATAGCCCGGGTATACAGCGGCGCGGCACGAGGGCCGGGGGCTGACGAGGCATTTGCAGATGGAGAGGCAGCAGCAGCCCAGAAAGAGCGCAGCTCCTGCTCCCACTGCCAGTTCAGGTACAAGTTGGCCGGATCGATGGTAATGCCATCGACTTTGTGGGCCAGATAGTCCTTGAGCTGTTGGTGGTCTTGTCGCAGCCATGCCAGTATAGTGCGGATTACACGGGGGGAACGATGTGTGAGCGATGGATGCGGATTGATCCCAGCGCCACCAACTGAACATCCAACCCAATGAATCACTTGGCAAGTACCCCTCACCTTCCGCAAACCACTTGCCCCGACTGCCCCCTTCGGCGAGCTCACGGTTGATGTGAGGCAGAATCATGTTATGAAGCACATCCTGGAGAGCGGCAGCAGGATCGTTGAGCTCCGACCGAATCTCGAGCAAACGGACGAAGAGATACTTGCTGATGATATACTTGAGGTCGTCCAAGGCTACCGAGGTACGGAAAGTTATCGGGTCAGCCATAGTATGCTCAACGAAAGCACTCCGACCGCACTGGTTGCCAACGGGCCACTATCGGTGGGCGGATCGCTAACCTGCAACCATTTTGAGATGGGCTTGTGGCTCCAGAATCACTCCTACATATGCTGCAGTCTCGCTGGTGGCGATTGTTTGGCGGCAGTAAGTCGGCAAGGTTAGTGGAGACCAATGGAAGAACAGAAAGCGGAGAACATCGAGCCCAGTTTCAACACCATAGCAAACGTACTTGATCAAGGTCAGAGCCTCCTCAAAGTGCTTCTGGTCCATCAGAGCCTTCAGTCTCCGACAGCGGTGTGAAAATAGCGGGGCATAGTTCAAGCGAGTCTCCTCAAGAAGCGACCTGGCATTTGAAGTCAGTCCCTTCTTGGCCAGGTAGGCGACAATGGCAAGATATATCCTCTCCTCGGACACTTTCGGATCTAAATCAGGCTCGGATCTCTGTGGGCACATGGTCGTGAGTGTGGATCACCGGCTGTTCGACGAGGGATGCGGTATGTGGCTCTCCAAGCTCTAACAAGAACTACCCTGGACTCTGATCATAGAAATCATCTCAAGACACAAGAAGTGCTTTGGACACAGTCCGCATCGACTTGCGCAACCACCTACATCGATGTCGAGCAGATTCGCGGCAATGCTCTTGTATCTTTGGTTGACTGCGTCGAGTTGCTGGATGCGGCGTTCGAGTTGGCCCAGCCGCTGCGTCTGCTTCAGGTTGCGCGAGCCATCCACCGAGCAGTGCGGGCAGACTGCCCGAGCTTCCGCTGACCCGAAACGAATTCGACTGTGACCAGCAGAAGGAGGGCTTATCTTTGGCAAGTGAACGCCGGCATTGGCCACGGCCCTCTGTAGATCGGCTGGCATGGGGAGCGCAACTCCCGCTTGCCTCGAACCCGAGGCAGACACGGTGATAGGCGTTGATGCCAGCGCTTGGTCTGCGGTGGGGTCAGCGGCAAGAGAAGATGCCGAGCCACCATTCATTGGCGTTGCAGCGTTGGGCATGCTGTTGTCATCAGGTGGCCCTCGTTTCGCGCTGAAACGAATCTTGGCTGTGGGATCACTCGACCCTTGCGACTCGCTCAAAGAATGTGCGGCTGTTCGTCGATTGGACTCGAGAGCGGCCTTCTGGAACACCTCGTCACTTATATCGAAGCCATGCGGCAGAGCATTGGATCGCATCAGATCCTTGACCATCTGAATGTGCTGTTCCTTGGTGTCTGCATCAGCAATGCCCCACCACTTTGCTCTCTTCTTGGAGGCCGAGCCTGGAATTACGGGCGAGTCAGACCGGGGGAGCGGCTCCGCTGATGCAGCTTCCGAGCCGACACTGGCGTTAGGAGGCATCGGTGGTGGGGATTGCGTGGGAACGGGCGTGGTATGGATCTCGAGAGCATCCGGCGCGTGTTTGCCGATGAAGGGATCTCCAGCGACGCAGACTTTCGAGTCCCCGACGGGCACGACCGCAGGCGAAGCCGCCCCAAGTGCATCGCTTGATTCGCACGTATATCCTGATTCTCGAGTGATTCGGGCAAGTGCGATAGGATGTCGGAGATCGACTGCAGTACTGTTGTGCTTCCAGAGACCGATCCCAACAGTACCCACGGCAGATACGCCGGGGTCTTCTGCCGGCCCAGAGCGACTCGGGTAGAGTGGCGGCAGCGTGCCGTTGGGAAGCGAATTGGGGGAGTAGCTTCGGCACGGCGACGGTGGGCGGCGAGCTACCTGTGATGGTGATCCTGCTGGCAAACTCGGCTGGGGCATGGGCGAAAGTCGGATGGGTCGATGAGGAGGCGAGAGGGCCGCAATAGATTCCATTTGTGGATGCATGGGACATGGAAGGACGTCGGACAGATGCGCTAGCGAGACGACGGGACTGGTGCGATGGCGAGACAGCGCAGAGACTCGCATGAGCCAGAACGGTCTCGCTTGGGACGATCATGGGGGGGGGAGAGGAGAGCCAAGTGGCGGGACAAAAGCACCACCCTGGGTCGCCCTTCGGTCGTTCGGGTGTGTCTGCGTCGAGACACTGATCAGCCCGCAGTTCGAGATATAGGTATCTTCCAGCCCCTCTCCGCCTCCATCTCTGCCATCCCGGAACTCATGCTGCTCGATCTGCACTTGCTCGTTCCCATCAGCTCACACTGATGATCGCTTGTCATCCAGGCATCCACCATGAGCTTCAGCACCAGCTCCACCGACAACCTGGTGCAGCAGCAGATCAAGTCCAAATTTGTCTCCAAAGCGATCCTGGATGAGCAACAAACCGAAAAGCCCATCGGTGCATCCGGCGGATTCAACTACGATGAGGACCAAGGTTGGGATCGTTGCCTCTCGGATCGGCCGGTTGCTGGATATATGTGTGGAGAGTCCGGTCGCTTCACTGCTGTCGGCATGCGCTCGAGAGACATGCTATTGCCGACACTGGCCTGTTCCTTGGCCGCATTAGCTAACCAGGGAGCTGATCACAGTGCCTGCACAAGAGGACTCGGCGCCATATGACTCTCGACCGCTCTATGAGCGTCTGCAAGGTATGGTGTTTCGATCGCTCTCAGGCGTGCGGTATGCCAGCTCCGGCTTCGATCGGCCACCCAGCCTCGCGCTGTGATGGTCCTTCGACCTCAATGGCCGGCCGACTCTTGGACCAGGCCACGGCTGCAGCTATTTCAAGGATTGCGGTATACGTTGCCGGTACTGATTGCTCTTTCTATCGGTGTGGCAACTGAAAGAGCGCAAGCAACGTGAGGAGGAAGGTAGGCTGAACAGCGCCGCTCTGCGCTGCCCCGCAAAGAGACGCACTCGCCGTTTTGATACCACACTGAAATATGGAATCCATCGAACGGTGCCCGTGCAGCTTTTGCAGAGAAGATGAAGTTTGGTAAGCAGAGCGCACAGATCCTTCGTCGACCATGGACGAATGGCGCTGGATCGAAATCGCTCCAGAATCGAAGGCGCTTCAGCATACAGCCGTCATTCGTTCAAGCTTGCGGCAGATTAGGAAACGCACTGACATTGGGGGTTCTCTTTGCTCAGGCAATTTGATCAAGAAAATCGATGAAGGTGAATGGATGCAGACCGCAGGTCATGGAGGAGGGGAGGTTCCACCGCATCCAACCTCGGATCCACTTGGCATGGTACTGACTGTTCGGCATCGCTTCTGCGAACGCTCTCCCAGACGAGTTTGAGTTTCTGATGAACCAGCACGAGGAAGAGGCCATGAAGCGGAGCGAAATCCTGTCCATCGAAAGGAAAGAGCTGGAGGAGTTTCGCAAGGCTGTTCTGGATCAACCTACGCCTGCTGCGGCTCCTGTTCTGGCCCTCGGCAAGAGCTCAACTCCAGTGACTCCGGCTGTGAGAGCAAAGGACTTTCAAAAAGGACTGCTTTCGGGCATCCAGGTCAAGAAGCGCAAGTCCCTTCAGTCAGAGGAGCCCGACGGCAGCTCGGCTACGGCACCCAAGAGAGAACGACTGCAAGAGTCTCCGATCCCACCGACCTCGGCGACAGGAGCTCGGCCGATAGCATCCCCCATATCCAAGCCCGGTCGCGCCGAAACGATATCCTCGGCACAGCCAGCATCGGCTGGTCCAAAGCCGGGACTGAGTGCTCTTCTGGGTGCATACGGAGACAGCGACGACGAGTAGATGTCGATGCTATACAGCATCGCGTACGGCACAGAGTGTCCTGGATCAAGTCGTGGATTATGACACCGTCCTTTACGGAATGTATCTCCTCTCGGCATGTCTCCAGCCCACCCAGCACATTCGCTAGTCTGCCACATAGCTTTAGACCAGGCGAGGTCGGGGCTCGGCAGCATACTGCCCAAGTAACGCGAGGGGCGGGCAGGCGGTTATCGTTGATGGTAGCAAGTGAATGGCCGGGAATCGCCAAGCAGGAGCAAGAAGATGGCAGGGATTAGGGTTCTTGGCTAATCACAGCAATCGAGCTCTGTTCTATGCCATCGCCATGGCGTTGTGTGTTGTGTGGGCTCGACGGACACCAGCAGTCAGCGATCGCTTCTGGTTGAGCCTCTGTCCATACCTGGTAATGCAACTCTGTGCAGTCTGTTTGGCTGATGAACTCCCATCCCGTTTCCTTGACATGGTAGACTGCGGCAGAGTGAGGGATCGGGATTGGGGTCAGTTAATAAATCAGTCGCAAGTCGGCGATCGCGACACCAACAACGGGTGCAAACACTTGTGGGAGCTTCGATGAACGTGCCAACTTACCATTGATGCGGCCGCCGGAGTAAGCATCACGGAAGGTGGCGTGGTAGATGGCCCGTCTTCCCAGATCAATGGCCTCCTCGGCTGTCAGATCGGGTCGATATCCGGCATCCAGGACACCATAGGCATAGGTCGAGCCCGATCCAACAGAGAAGAGATTTCCGGCCAGTCGTTGGCCATCGGAGTCGACATAGTAGAGACCAGGGCCCTGACGGAGCGCAGAGTAAAATCGGCAGGGAAATATGTGTGCTCAGCGAGAGTGCTCAACGAGAGTGCTCAGTAAGAGTATCCAGCGGTGATGGCTATCAGTGAATGCAGAGCCATATCTTGGTTGATGCCAATTGTTCTCTCGGGTACCTTCTTATCCCAGCCGGCAATCATCGTTCCCATCGACAGGCCCATTCCTTTGTAACTATAGACCATGTTGGCGAGCAGCTTCGAGGCAGCCGCTACGGAGATTCGCTCCTTGTTTCGGAGCTCGTAAAGTCTGTCGCGAATGTGCATTGGGATGAGTACCCTGGCGACACAGCGAGCGGAGGGCTCTGAGCTGGATTCAATTATCAAAAAAAAAAAACTACCATGCCTACCTTGCACGGCGGCCCAGCTCTCTCTCCCAGTACGAGCAGTCGGCAGCACCGCCAGCCATCGTTCCCAGAAGGTAGGGATTGATTTCAATGACCTTCTTGACCGTTCCAGAGGCTGTGGGGGTGGAGAGAGCGTGATCATAGAGCAGTCCATCTTAGAAATATAGCGCCGAGCTGCTCAAGCATGCAATCATGGGCCGTCCGCCTGCGACAGCTGCTGTTTGCCCGCCGTCACCCCTCAGGCCCGACTGTCGTTTCGGCGAGGATTGGATTTACGTGTACCGACCGATGTACTGGCCGCCAGTTGCTCTCGAGTCAACAGCAACGATGATTCCGCCGTTGAATTTGAAGGCCAGGGTGGTGGTTCCTTTTGCGAGCTTGATAGCGTTCTCCGCGGCGTTGCTTGTCTGGAACTTCAACCACTCGATCGGCTGGTTTGAGAACAGGCGGATGGACACGTCGGTCAGCGGTTCTTCGGCTCATCGGCATTGCTTGCGCAGTGATATTTGCGCCGATCGCAGTGCTCAAGCTCGACACACAGCCCGTTGCCGCACGTCACTCTTGCTGATCCTCATGCTGTCCATACGTTGGAGACGTTGGGGATGTCGAACGACAGGGAGTCGTGCTGGACGATGCCGTCATCCTCGCACGTCTCGAGGTCGTTCTGGAGCGGCTGGCTCCGGTCGTTGGACAGGAAATCGAGCTTGAACATCGGGAAAGTGCTTCGAGGTAGAATAGTCTTTGCGAGGGCGGCCCGGCTGGACGGATCGGAGGCAGCAGAGTCGATGGAGCGGGGGGGTGGTGGTGGTGGTTGGCGAGATGGTCGCTGGCGAGGGCCCATTGCCATCGGGCGCTGGCGGCAGGCCAGAGCCGACCCTGGCGCCAGGCTGCTGCGCACTGCCACACATGAGCCCATGTGACGCCAGGGTGGGCGGCCTGGTTGTCTTGGGCGGCGCTCATCTCCGTCCCGCTGCACAACACCTGTCTCGATCTCGGTAAGCCGATAGTCTGCGGGCGGTGTGGGGCTGCGGCAGCCCGGACGAGGCGTAGGATCGGGCCACTGGGGGCGACAGGCGGTGTTTTGCCGCGCGATATTACGGCCTCTGCTCTAACAGCCGGTGTGCCGATCCGTCCGTCCCGGTGTCCAGGCAAACCAGAACCATGCAAGCGATGGAATACGCAACAAACTGCCCCGTCAAGGCACCAGTGGAGCACCGATTCTCCCCATACACGGATAACGGAGGGTAAATGGCGGCAACGCAAGTCTCCGGCAGATCGACGACCGCGGATTGCAGCGCTTCGGCAGCGGTGCTCCGCTCACCGAGCCAGAGCTTTACGCACCGGCAGTCGGTGGTGCATCAAGCCGCTTGGCGGCCATGTCGGCTTGGTGTCTGTTAGGACCAGGGAGTCGGCTGAGGCTTAGTGATATTCTGACATTGGCTCTTCTTGCAGCACAACTCTCGGCATTGCTGGCGAGGATTTTGTTGTTTTGGCCGGCGACACGAGAAACAGCGAGGGATACTCGATCAACACCCGCTTCTCGCCCAAGGTGCATGCTCTGTACGTATGGAGGGATATCTGGGTGTATTGCACATTCATCTTGTCCGCGCATTTATCGTGTGAGTGCGTGCTGACGGTCCGTTCTTCATCTTCTACCCTGCAGGTCGAATCAAAGTGTCCTGGCCATTGGCGGTATGCAGGCTGATTCGATTGCCCTGCTGAAACGCCTCGGCCAGCAGTTGGAGGTAGGGCCTGGATCAAGTCTCGGTTCTTGAATCAAGTGTCGAGCTGTTGTCCTGTTGTGAGACGGCTGCCTGCCACTTGCCAGCAGTGCTTGCCGCAGGCACTTTGGCATTGCAAGACAGCAGCCAAATGGTTTCGGCGTGTTCGCCGTCGAATACGCAGCGATCGCGACTGGGCAACTTGCTGATGCAGAGCGAGCGCTGCTCGCCTATGCAACTCTACTGAACTGGGATTGTTACATCTGCGTGTCCAGTGGTACCGTCACCAGCACGACAAGTCCATGAGCGTCTCGGCCTTGGCGCAGCTTCTGCAAGTCATCCTCTACGGCAAGCGCTTCTTCCCTTATTACACCTGGAACATTCTGGGCGGTATCGACGCAGAAGGTATGCTTGCGGCACGGACCCGCCTCCGTGTTTCACAGCAGCTCTTGAGCCTGGGTTCAGACGGAAGGGCTGCCCTGATCCGCCATGGTCTGCGTCGCCTGCAGCACGCTAACACGCTGGCTTCGTCGCCCTCTCTGTCGTTTTCAGGCAAAGGCGCCCTGTATGACTACGATCCCGTCGGCAATTATGAGCGAGTAAACTGTGCCTGTGTCGGGTCGGCCTCGGAGCTTATCCAGCCGTTCCTTGACAGTCAGGTTGACTTCAAAAACCAGGTCAATGCCACCAAGCGATTCCTGGCCATTGAGGAAGTTATTCGGCTGGTCAAGGATGCCTTCACATCAGCGACGGAGCGCGATATCCACACGGGTGACTTCCTGCAAATCGTGATTGTGCGAAAGGACGGAATCGAGACCCAGATCCACGATTTGAAGAGGGACTGAGCAAGCGCTCCGATACGAGCGTGCTTGAATACAGCGTTCCAAAATGAAATGGGACACCCCGTTTTGAGCCATGGCAGTGGTTTTTTTCTGGAACCTGAATACACCCACCCGCTCATTGCAATCATGGCCAAGCACAGCACCCTCGATTTCCGCATCGCTGCACTGCGACCGGTGGTCTTCACTCGGAGGCTGCCAAAGTGATCTGTTCTATTTCTTATGGCATAGTTAGACGCATGCCATCGCATACCACGCTGATAAATGGGTTGTGGGCAGGTGTCCCATTTCCCACTGAACAGAGTGTATGAATCCGCGACGCCGAGCCCGCGAAATCTACGGCTCAGAGGGACAGAGTTCGCGGTTGTGCTGTGATCAGGAAGTGCTGCGCCCGGTCGCCTGCGAGCATTGTTCAGGGCATTGCTCCCAGGGCATCGCTCCCAGGGCATCGACCTGCTGTTCGCGTGCCTGGCACATCCCTGGGCATCGCCGTGTCGCTCGATCGCCTGCCACGACTCGCCCTCCCGTCATGTGGGATCACCTCACGGGCGGCATCACCCCATTGGCGGGCGCCCGATGACTCGCCCGATGCTGTGGCGTTGCTGCGTGTGGCTTAGCTGATAGCGGTCGCGTTTTCGCTTTTCGGCCCCATAAATCCGGCTGCCGATCGCCAGCCCGCCGCCCTGCTCCCCGTCCCGATCTGCTCTGCTCCCCTCTGCTGCCGGCGCAACTGCTCTCGCTCTCTCTCCACGACTCCCTCCTGCTGCTTCGTCGACAAGTGCCTCTGGAACCTGTCGATTGCGCACTTTACATGTACCATCACATCAGCGAAAAGGTACGCACCGATCGCCCCGCCGGGCTCGCTCCCAGAACCCGCTGTCCATGCCGCGCTTTCGGGTCGGTCGGGCTTCTGGCCGGATCTGCCCTTGCCGTCCTCCTGGCCACTTCCCCTCGGGGCACCGCCCTCTGCGCACGCCTTGGATCCTCCCGTCTGCCTCATGTATCCTTGCCATCTGCTGTCGATCGATTGCTTTGTCGATACCCTGCGTCTTTCTCTGACCTGGTGCTCATTCGGCCTGCGCTTTCCCGCTCTCCCAGGTTTCCAACGATTACATTTCCGACCAGGTCTACAAGAGCCTTTCTGCCTAAGTCACTCTCTCTGCGAATCGCCTATAACATCGACATTCCCATCAGCCCCCCCCTTGTTCCTGTATCCCGTAATTCCGCGGCCTTCTCCCAGACTTCTTCCTCTCCAACCCCTTTGATCCTCCTGCTCCCCCAATGCTTTACCGCGCCTCGGCTCTCAAGAGCATCGGCTCCCTTTTCCGCCCTGCTCCTCGAACTCTGGTTCTTTCTCGCGGCTATCACGCCTCCCAAACTGCCACGGCTGCCTTCCCTGCAGCCGCTGCTGGCTCGCAGATCCTCCCTGCCAGCCACTTTGAGGGCCCCGAAGCCTTCCGCAAGTATGTCCTCGGAATCTTTACCGGCTCCATAAACGCCCAGGCGCAGCCTTTCCGTCGCAACCATGCGGCTGCAGACACTGTGCTCATGCACTCGTCTCTCAAGTCCGAGCCGGCTGCCAAGCGAGTCTTGATTGTCGGTTCCGGCGGCCTGTCGATTGGCCAAGCCGGAGAGTTTGATTACTCTGGATCCCAAGCGATCAAGGCTCTGAAGGAGGAGGGTGTCCAAACCATCCTCATCAATCCCAACATTGCCACGGTCCAGACCGGCAAGGACTTGGCCGATACCGTCTACTTCCTTCCCGTCAACCCCGAGTACATTGAGTACGTCTTGGAGAAGGAGAAGCCAGACGGCATCCTCCTCACCTTTGGCGGTCAAACGGCCCTCAACTGCGGTGTTGCTCTGGAGCACAACGGCGCCCTCAAGCGACATAACGTCAAGGTTCTCGGCACCCCCATCCGCACCCTTGAGCTCAGCGAGGATCGCGATCTGTTTGCGAAAGCCTTGATGGGTATGTCCGTGTCGCGGGTCTCATATCGCTTCTTGACCGCAGTAGCCCTTCTGTATCGTCGGAGTTGCACACCGCGCTGATGCTGTTTATCTCTCGGTTCTCTTTCGACACCCCGCCCAGAAATCGGCATCCCGGTGGCGCGCTCAACCGCAGTCGAGACCGTCGATGCTGCCCTGGATGCTGCCCAGGAGATTGGGTATCCTGTGATTGTCCGCTCGGCCTTCTCTCTCGGTGGTCTCGGCTCTGGCTTTGCCAACGACGAGCACGAGCTGCGCCAGCTGGCGACCAAGTCTCTGTCGCTGGCACCCCAGATCCTCGTCGAGCGATCGATGAAGGGCTGGAAGGAGGTCGAGTACGAGGTTGTGCGCGATGCCGAAAACAACTGCATCACGGTCTGCAACATGGAGAACTTTGACCCCCTCGGCATCCACACGGGCGATTCCATCGTCGTCGCCCCCAGTCAGACGCTCACCGATGAGGAGTACCACATGCTCCGCACAGCCGCCATCAAGATCATCCGCCACCTCGGCGTGGTGGGCGAGTGCAATGTTCAGTATGCCCTGAACCCCAACAGCCTCGAGTATGCCGTCATCGAGGTGAACGCCCGTTTGTCTCGCAGCAGTGCCCTGGCTTCCAAGGCCACCGGCTATCCGCTGGCCTTTGTTGCGGCAAAGATCGCACTTGGTGCCTCGCTCCCTGATTTGCGCAACAGCGTCACGCGCACCACCACCGCCAACTTTGAGCCGTCCCTCGACTACATTGTCACCAAGATTCCGCGCTGGGATCTCAGCAAGTTCCAGCACGTGGCTCGCGACATTGGCTCGTCGATGAAGTCGGTCGGCGAGGTCATGGCCATTGGCCGCACCTTTGAGGAGAGTCTGCAGAAAGCGATCCGCCAGGTGGATCCCTCTTTCGAAGGCTTCCAGGGCCTGCCCTTTGAGAACTTGGACGAGATGCTGCGCAACCCCACGGACCGGCGTCTCTTTGCCATTGGACACGCCATGATCAACTGCGGCTACACCGTCGACCAGGTGCATGAGCTAACCAAGGTCGATAAGTGGTTCTTGTACAAGCTCGAGAACCTGGTCAATATCCGCAACGAGCTCGGCAAATACCAAGGCCCCGTCCCTGGTCCCGAGACCTTTGCTGTCGGCGCCGAGGGCCCCGAGATTACCGCGCCTGTCCCTACCACAGACTACAAGCATCACACCTCCACCGTCCCAGTGCCTCTGCTCGAGCTCGCCAAGAAGAGTGGCTTCTCGGATAAGCAAATCGCCAAGTACACAGGCTCGACCGAGTTGGCCGTGCGCTCCCTCCGCAAGTCGCACGGCATCATCCCGTACGTCAAGCGCATTGACACGCTTGCTGCTGAGTTCCCGGCTTCCACCAACTACCTTTACACGACCTACAACGCCACCTCGGATGATGTCGAGTTCAATGACAAGGGTATCATGGTCCTGGGTTCGGGCGTCTATCGCATCGGCTCGTCAGTTGAATTTGATTGGTGTGGCGTCAGCTGCATCCGCTCCCTGCGCCAGCTTGGCCATCGCACCGTCATGGTCAACTACAATCCCGAGACGGTCTCGACCGACTTTGATGAGTGCGACCGCCTCTACTTTGAGGAGCTTAGTTTCGAGCGCGTCATGGATATCTATGAGCGCGAGCACTCCTCCGGTGTGGTTGTGAGTGTCGGCGGTCAGCTTCCGCAAAACATTGCCCTCAAGCTCTGGAATAACGGCGTCAAGGTCCTCGGCACCTCTCCCGTCAACGTTGACCGAGCAGAGGATCGCCAAAAGTTTTCGCAGATGCTCGACGCCATTGGTGTTGACCAGCCCGAATGGAAGGAGCTCTCCTCGCTCGACGATGCCGTCGGCTTTGCCGATAAGGTTGGATTCCCGGTGCTCATCCGGCCGTCGTACGTCCTCTCGGGTGCCGCCATGAATGTGGCTCACGACCGCCAAGCCCTGCTGCACTACCTTTCGCTGGCCTCGGACGTGAGCCCAGAGCATCCTGTTGTGATTACAAAGTTCATCCAAGGCGCCCAGGAGCTCGACGTCGATGCCGTGGCCCATGGTGGCAGTCTGCAAGTCTACGCCGTCTCGCAGCATGTCGAGAACGCCGGTGTGCACTCTGGCGATGCCACCCTGGTGCTTCCTCCTACGTACGAGCACGAAAACAAGGACTACAACGGCATCGGCCTCCGAGGAATCACCCCTGAGATCGTGGCGGACTGCAAGGCCATTGCCGAGAAGGTCGCCGCGGCCTTCAAGATCTCAGGCCCGTTCAACATGCAAATTATTCTCCAACGCGACGACGCCACAGGCAAGCACGCCCTCAAGGTCATTGAGTGCAACCTGCGCGCCTCTCGCTCGTTCCCGTTCGTCTCCAAGGTCTTTGACACCAACTTTATCGACATTGCCACCCGCGCCATCGTCAACGACGCCTCGCTCTCGAGTGTCGTCCCTAAACAAGATCTGATGACGGTCGAGCGCAACTACAAGGCCGTCAAGGTCCCTGTGTTTTCATGGACCCGGTTGGCGGGAGCCGACCCCATGCTTGGTGTCGAAATGGCTTCTACCGGCGAGGTGGCTTGCTTTGGCCGCGACGTCAAGGAGGCGCTCTTCACCGGCCTCTTCAGCAACCATAACAACTTCAAGCTCCTGCCGATGAAGGCCGAGAGCGGCGTGCTCATTGGAATCGATGCGCTGACCAACCTCACTGAGCTGTACTATGTCGCCCAAAAGCTCTCTGGAATGGGCTACCGGATCTACACCGACAAAGAATCCACCACGGATCTGCTCAAGACCCAGGACATTGCTAGCGAGCCGTTTGTGGCCGGCCCTGAGAGCGCCTTGGTCAAGGTCTTTGGCGACCGACGAGCGTCAAAGGCCCTGTTTGTGGAGCGCGACATTCAGTTGGTGATCTCGCTGGCCGCCAAGCGACCCGAGCACGTCGATGACATTGATTACCTGGTACGCCGGAGCGCTGTTGACTTTGGCGTCGCCCTCGTCAACGAAACCAAGGGCGCTGTCGTCTTGGTACAGGCTCTGGATGATTATGTCAAGAGCGGCACCAAGACCAAGCCCCAAGGCGTTAAGAGCTGGGACGAATGGATGTCTGCTTGAGCAAGAAAGCACAGCGCTGATTCGTGGGGACTCGCTGGATATCACTATCAATTTTTTCCGGCCCCTCGCGGCTGCTCAGAATTCCCCTGCTCGGCTACCGCGGCTCGCACTGCATTGTGGCTTGTATTGCATTGTGACTTGCCCCCGACTCCCTATGTGCAAATACAAACTCATCCAAACTAAACGAGTCCACCTATGTTTGCGACGAGTTTTGTGCCGGCCGGCCGGCGCATGTATTGATCGGTCCAAGCGACAGCGGGCTTGGGGCGTCAGGCCACATTTTTGCACCGTCGCACTGTCGCACTGCCCAGGAGGCTGGACGCCTGTGGCGCAGGGTCGCTCGCTCTCACATGACGGGATGTCCGAACCCCGCCACGGCATGCCTGCCATTGGCCGAGGCCCTTGTGCCTCTGCCTCCTCTGCCTCCTCTGCCTCCGCTCGCCCGTCCATCAAGTTCGCTGCGTCCTCTATTGTTTGTCCATCATGGAAGAGCAGCTGGTTCGCCACAAGAAGCCCAAGAAAAAATCACGACCTCTGCCTCGCCATTCTCGACCCGACGATGCGTCGACCTCCAGCCCCATCCAAGTTCTGCCCAGTCCAACGCTCGATGACTTTGCCTCGTCCTCGGATGGCAAGCAGCACCCCCAGACAACCACCCAGAGCATTCTTTTGCAGTCTCCCGAGATGCATGTCGACTTTTCGTCGCTGCGTGAGCTGGCTGGGCCCTCTCATATCCCCCGCATGGAGCCCGGCCGTCCTGAGCCACAGCTGTATCCTGCTCTCGGTGAAGCAGTGGCCGGCGGGCTTCCCGAACAGTTCCATGAGTCCACAGCTCCATCCGCACCGTCAGCCCCGCAACTGGAGTCCAGTCCGTATGTTCTTCAAAGCTACCCCCTTTCGACTTTGCCCGAAATCGAGCAACTGAACCTGCGTGCCGGTAAGATCAATCCTTGCCCATCTCTCAACCCCCCCCCAATGACGCTCTATTTGAATGAGAATGTAGAGCGATAGGTGGCCTCCTTGCTGTGCAAGACAAAATTTGATGTTGCTCATCACCACGAGCCGTGTGCCATCGTCTATCCCGCTTGATTTCATAGTCTGTGACGGAGATACCGAGAACGACCATTCCGCCTGGGCCATCGTGGATGACGCTCCCTTTGCACACGACAATGTCTTTGTCTCGGCCCATCAGTATCCTTCGGCCCCGCAGCTCTTTGAAGACGACTATGAGGTCGACTTTGCACAGTACAGCCAGACGCATCGCGAGCGAGTCAGCCTCGAAAATGCAGATATCTTCAAAGACTACCTCGAGCCTGTTGCTGAAGATGTACTCAACAAACTCTATATTAACGAGCCACTCCGACAGCACCAAGCGCTGGTGGACCACTTCCGCGCTCAACGGGCAAACCTCCCCGCGGATGAGTTTTACGAACATTTGTGTCAGTACGAGCGAGCTTCTGTAGAGTCACAGAAGAGCATGATCCAGATCAAGGCACTGAATGACACAGCAAACAGCACTAGCTCACGCATCTGGAGCCTCAAGAAGCATTCGGAGGGCATCGAGCGAGTTTGCGTCGACGGCGTCAAGCTCATGCACAACTTCACCTCCGAGGTTGCTATCTTCAGCGACACTGCCGCCACCCAGCTCCAGGACACACTTGACAGCCTCCGGCAGGAAATCCACAGCAACTGTATACGCGTGTGCTTTGATGCCAAATTGTCTCGCCTCTGGATCCAGAATTTCATTGACGAATTTCTGACCGAAAGCCCGCTGTTTTCGCTTGTTGGCGATGGCTCGTCAGCGACAGCGTCGATGGACTCGAATCTGGACAAGGGATCTCGAGGAGGTCTGGGTGACGTGTCAACAGAAGCATTCGACGAGCAAGTAGGCACTTTGAAGCACTACCTCGACGTCCTCTTTGATTTTGAAGTGCGGATGCACGCTGCGCATCTTGGCAGTCATGCTGCCGACAAGCATGTCCCCACTGCCCTCGCCAGTCCACAGCCCGACGACGAATCTCGTGCCAATTACTCCACGTTTCTGAAAGACGTGCGCGGATGGATCACCCACATTGTCGGTGCGTTGCTACGGGTCGCCCGCCCGATCGATCACCGATTCCTGCTGCTTCACGCCCTCCGCTGCAAGGGCGTTGGGCAGTGGGGCGCCGGCTTCATCCAATGGCACATTCCCACCCCCTGGATCGACGATTATTGGGATAACTACCTTGCAACGCTCTATGGGTTCCTGGGCCCCGTGGAGGAGCTCGAGGAGCAGCGGCAGACACACGAATTGGAGGAGTTCCAGTTTATCCAGAAACTCAAGAAACTCGAAGAATCCGACTGGGTAGTAGTCATCCAGAGTGAATACGACCCGGATGCTCCGCGGTTTCTTGTCACCAATCTCTCCGAAGACGACTATCTCTCGCTCCTCCATCAGTTCAAGATTTGCGAGTTCTATTCGGTTTTTGTGCAGACCTGTCTCGGCCGCTATCTCTCCGATGTCGATGCGAACTTGCCCTCGGCGAGCTCTCACCTGATGCGTCTCTTTGCTGTCTCGAATCGCTACATGATCATCCTCACCCGCGGGTTTCAGATCTTTCCATACCGGCGGTTTCCGAAGATGGTCCAGACGCTCGGTCAAATCATCGCACAGTCAACCCACATTCTCGGCAAGGCCATTTCCGACACATTTTGTTCCTCGGAGAAAGCCCTCAACGCGGCCCCATTCCTTCACACGCTCAGCCTGGTCGGCCCCGAATATGTGTCCAGCGTCCAGTCGGAAGTCGATGGGTTCTTTTCCCGCGCTGCTTGCCATTTGCTCAGCGCTGCCGGAACAGGAGTCTGGCAAAATTTGTCGAGCCTGTCATTTGACTACGTTTCTGCTCAAGCCAAGTGGGTTCTGATCTCTGGAATTGTCGATGGGACGTTGTTCTCGGGGGGCAAGCTCACTCACAAATCCAAAGAGGATCTCTTCGCGATCCTTAGAGATACCGACATCGATAGCCTTGCCATCAGCTCCAAAATCCTCGACAACATCAACGAAGCTTGCTCCCTCCTGGCTGTCATAACCAACATTGTCTTGACACCCTTGAGCTCGACAGAGGAGCGGTCCTTGGCAGCTGTGCCTGGACTCGAGGTGTCCTTCCGAGAGCTGTCCAGCGTTGCCGTCTTTTTGATATATCGCCTGCTCTGCCAGAGTCACTTTCCTGATGACCTAGTGGAATATTCGCTGGATTTATTGGCACGAATATGCACTGTATTCCCGGTCCATATATCCGCCATCCTGCAGTGGACTCGGAGCGATCCCATGGAACTCGGCTGCGACAGTTTGGTTCTATTCCGGCGGCTACCAGTGCATCTCTGGAAGCCCTCACTCCTTGAAGTCGAAATTCTCTGCGAGATGCTCAAGGACCCAGTCGGAGGTATCAAGTTCGATATAGCTCGGCACTGCCTCGACCACCTAGACTGGGAAGAGTCTCGAGGATCCCCTGCCGATGTGCAGCTTGCTATCCCTCGATCCTGCCACCGGCATGTTGCTTTGGCGATAGGAAACCTATGCCTCGACCATGAGAGTATGAAAGCTTCGAAGAGTGGGCTGATTTCGGCCACGACTGTGGTGGCGACAACGGTCGCATCCACCGTCAGCACCTTTGCGCCTATTCCGTCCGCACTGGCACAACTGATTCCTGGACGTGCGATCGACTTTGTGGCATGGTGCTGGTGAGTCGTTAGGGTTGTGAGGAGCTTCGGGCCACAGCTTATCAAACGCAATCCCTTGGTATTCAAGCCCATGGAAGCTGCATTGCTCTTTCCTTTGGACGTTGTCCTCGGTGATACCGCATCGTAGCCCCTATTTTATGAACCATACGGTCCATTACGAGCAGAATTGTGGCACGAAAACGCAAGCCCACTCGCAGCTCCATCCATACCATTCCTATTTTCATTTACCAAGCTGCTTTTGATACCACTGTTCGTAACTCACGTTTCCATTTCCTGTGATTTCCGCCTGGATGCAGGGAAACGATTCAAAGGCTCAAGATCTACCAGAAGCCCATATCGCACAGCACATATGCTCTGGAGTCTGTGGCACCAGGCGAGCGGCCATTTGAGCCTCTCAACTCGCCCTCGTTAGCAACTCTTCGCGGCGCCATGAAAACCAACTCGCTTGCCGCTTACATCGTCCTCATGATCTCCGAGCTTGGGCATCACTACGACGAGTTTCGGCGAGAAGGATGGCCCTTACTCGACCTCGTTGTCGAACACGGCCGCCCCGAAGCTGTTGTTGATGTGGTGAATTGTCTGTTCGATACGTTTTATTCCACCCACGGGCCCAGTATCACGACAGACGAATCCTTTATTCGGTTCTTTGGTGGCACCAGCCGTACCCAGGGCTTCTTCCGTCAGCGCTTAGAACTCAAAGCCCCACGAGAAACGACGCGGTATCCGCTGATACCTGCTGAGGCACTGACCGACTTTGATGCCGACGTCTACAAGCTGCTTACCCAACATTTCGGGATCTTGATTCCTCCAGGGGTCGATAGCTTTTTTGGAGATGCCGAAACAACTCTTCGGTGTGTCTACGTCTGGGTCATGGCGGTCTTTGCTGATCCAGAGTGGTATACCAGTCGCAGCTCGTGCCGCTTCCTGGACATGATCTGCGAAGTAGCCTTCGCATATCGGTACGACAGCATTGTACGGCCTATGCTAGCTGAGGAGTACGGCCGGGTGGTCAAGCAACATCTCCAGCTCAAAAGCAGCAGCACGGCGGCCTCGTTTGCCAATCCCGTCGGGTCGGCATACAATTTTGCCTCGGCTGCAGTCGAGTCGCTCTACGCTTCGTATCCAAGTTTGCTTTCTGACAAGAGCGGATGGAGCTTGACTGGTAGCCCCAGCGGTATCGACCGTGACTGCATGTGGCTCTCGTTCCAGGCTCTCATGGTCGAAACGCTGCATGAAGCTCCCGCGCGTGAGCAGCTTGGACAACTCTTGTCCCGCGATATCCAGATCCCTATTTCGAGCGCCATCAGCAATCTTGCCCTCAAGAGGCCACTCTCAGGCTTCTTGATCTTCAAGTGGATCGATTCGGCCCTGGAGGCCCCTATGGAGCATCCGCTCACTCCGCTCTATTGGCAGGTAAGCATGCCATGCAGCGTGGCGTGTGCTATCGGCATACCGAGTCGCTGGCCGCAGCAGCAGACGTATTAGTGATTCACATGGCACTTTCTTCCAGGTTTTCTTTTCACTGTACTTCCAAAAGAGCACGGCGCCCACAAATCAGATGAATGCACGGTAAGATAGGCTCCGTTGAATATCTGCGCTGCGGTCCAGATCCAAGCCCGCCCTTTGTTCGGGTCGCTTGAGTCAGCTTGGACAGATGTGGGACCTGGTCTTGATTGTCGATGCTCTGGTTTATGGCACAAGATTCGGATTTAGGTTTCTTGTTGACCGCAAAGATCTGCTCGATCGAGCGGAGACGAGGCTGGCAAGGTGCTCCCAGTATCACTCCGACAAGATCATCAAGCGTGAGCCCGCCGGAGCCCTTGACGACCGAGACGGTCTGGACTACTACTCAACGCTATTATCGAAGCTCTACAACGCCATGTGTCTGTGGATACGCGACAGTCGGCTGGTGACTGTTAGCATTGCGCTGGAGCATCTCTCTGATCGGTACTTTCCCGAAAGACTCAACGACGTTCTGGAAGGCAACGCCTTGCAGTCCGACCAATATCTATGGTCCGACTTGGTTCCCACAGGGCACTTGCAATCCCACCTCAAGGCCTTGGTTCAGTCCAGACTCTTCTCTCCCAGGGTCACCCACCGTGTCACCTCATTCGAATCCATCAGGGAGCGGTCCCAATCTGCGCCGGACGACGAGGCCCGGGCTGTTCAGAGCCAGCCCCAGCCGTCGCCAGTATATGTCTCACGACCCCCGCTCGTCCCCACCCTCAGCAAGCTCGACATTCCAGCTATCGAGACGATCTTCCGGGTCGACACCAAGACCCTGACTGCCAAGGCAAGGGCCTTCCACGTGTTCGTCGAAAGCCATGCCCAGGTTGACAGGTCCGTGGATGCTCGAGGTTGAGCAAATCGATACTGGTGCGGTCGTGCGTTGTCTACGACACGTACGGCCCCGGTCTCGAATGGCTGGCAAACACTGCAATATTCGCGAGCCTCCACGTTGTTGCACCATTTCAAAGAATCTTATCGCTGGGCCTGGGGCAATCAACAGTACTGATTTGTGTCGTGGTTCATTTCCATAGGGATTATATGTCGCAGCTTCCCAGGCTGTACATCAACGAAACAAAATCCGGCCGCGTCGAGAAGAAGTGCAGTCCCAAGTGCAGCCGCGCGATTACATTCGAGTACAGGTACCAAGAAGTCCGTTTGATCGCCGACGTACGCCGTTTCCTCAAAGAAAACCGAGCACACTCGGAAAGCTTCGTCAATGTCGAACCGTTCATCGACCCAGCGCTTTGTGTCATGTGTCTCAAAGTCCTCCGCGCAGTCGATTGGCTCAATCGTGCCGGTGACAAGTCAGCAGAAACACGAGTCCATTCTGCTGCGATTGCGATCTTCTACGCGGTCCTGGAGCTCTTGGATCAAGAGATGGCACAGATCTATCCTCCGGCTCGTCGCATTCTTGAAATAGCTGTTGCGTCGCTCGGCCAGAGGTACATCAGGAACTCCGCCGAGGAGACCGAACATCTATTTGCCATCATTCTCGGAGGAACAAACGTCGAGTTGCTTGCCTCGATCTTTAACCCAGCCATTTCGGCTGCCAAGTTTGTCGAAATGTATGCCGCTTTGATGGCACACGAGGAAGCCCCAGGCCAAAGTTCTCCAAACCGCGCAGTACTCGCTCGCTTTGTGATCAAGGACTGGCTGGCGCTTGAGCCTCCACCGTCCGCCGAGGATATCGGGCGCTTCCTTCAGTCGCTGGTTGAGTCACTCCGGCTGGAGTATCCCGCAAATCCTCCTCAGCGAACAACGATTCAAGGGACAGCGACGCATCAGGTCCCCCCGCCAGCCGAGTCTGCCATGCCTGCTCAAATCGTGCCAACTTTTGCTGTCAACCTTCTCCAACGATACATCGGCTCTATGTCAACCGCTCCTGGACTCACACATCCATCTGTCCAGATACCGCCGAATCAAATCAGTACTGCCGGACACATCAAAAACTCGGAGCTGCATCGACAACACACGCAGCTGCTCAAAGATCTGCTGGTCAGCGAATTCGACGTCAGTGCAAGCGACGCAATCGTCCTGGCCCTCCACCACATTATCAAATCCAACTTGAGCACCGAGGTCCTCGATGTTCTCAAGGACATTGTACAAGAGGCCAAAGGTCAAAAAAAATCTGCACCGAAAACACCTCCGGGCATGCGAGTGCAGCTCTCCGGTGCTTGGCTCCTCAACTTCCTCAGATGTCTCGAGGAAGAGTTTGTGAGCCAACGAGAATGCCTCGCAAATCTCACCCTGGACACGGTCGAGCCGATATTGGAGTTTATCGGCGCCCTGCTGTCGTCGGATCTATTGTTTGCTCAGGCTTCCAATACCGACCTTGAACAGCTCCTGGATGCCGTTGAGGCAATGCTCCTTCCGTGGATAGGCTTGTGCTCGACCCGGGAGAAGGGGCTTATCTATCAACCAGAGCCGCCGCCACACCAAGAAGCTGCGGTTGTCCAGAGGGTCATTTCCTTCTGGATCGCGACGACAGAGAGCATTTGTCGCCGGGGGAAGCTCCATTTTCCGGCTGACGTCTATTTGTGGAGATTTTTCGGGGCCCTGATCGAGTCCAGTGTGCCCGCGATTCTCACACACGAGTTTGTTGAACAACTATTGCGGCGAGCTTGGACGCGATTCCACTTCGACGATAGTGTCGTGATGCAAGCCAGCCGCTGGAGCGCCTCTGGCAAGCTCACCGTTGAAATCCAGCGTCTAGTCTCGAAGATGATGCAGGAAAGCATCTGGATCATGGGCGAGCAAATGAGCCAAGTTGGACCCGAACCAAACCATCTGCCGCACTTCGTCCCGCTTGCTCTCAGTCTAATCAAGGATAGCGAGGATGTCTATGTCTGCACCAGCGACCGCGAGCAGTTTTACAGCACCATGAAAGCACGATTCCTCGAAGATTTCGACTGGCGGACCGGCTTCGACGCCCTCAAAATGGGCCAAGTCATCGCGCTGCTGTCACCAAGCTGGGGCTGTGCCCTCGAAAGCTCCACCTCCACGACTGCTTCCGCGCTGTCGATGACCCTCTTGGTGCTGCGATACATGGCCGGATGGAGAGCTCGCACGAACGATACCGACACTTTTACCGACAGTCACGAGCGACTCTGCCTCTATGTCGAATATGTCATGGGGCTTCTGACTCGGCAGATACAGAGTGAGGCGCAAGAAGTCCGGATTGCAAACTTTTCGGACACGCAAATCGCCGCGATCATTGTGGAACTCGCTGTCCTCATCGAGGATGGTCACATTCTCTGTGGCTCTGAAGCGCAAGGCTTTGCCGTTAGTCACTTCACGGCAGCGGTTTGTCGCTTGCTCAACGACACCCACCGTGGCAGCAGTGCGTTCATGCAGGTCTGGAAGGGATTTATCATGGCCGGCAAGCAAACCTACCATGCAAACATCATGATTTCTGTTTCATGCCACCATCTTGCCTCGGCCGAGCACCTGTCGCTCTTCGTGGAATCAAGTATCGAACGCCACTTATCGCTCTACGGTAGCTCCCACGAGTGGGACACGATTATGGCCGCACTGGTCGTCCCAGAGATTGACGAGGATCTGTTTGTGCGGTACTGCCTGAGCCATGCGCTTGTGCTCACGCTCTATGCATACGCCCTTCAGAAGCTCAAGCAGTGTGGTGACAACATCGACCTCAAGATCATCATTGGCGAGCAAATCGGCAACTGGATTGCGGCGATCAAAATGGAGGCGGTCGACGATCCGGCAGCTGACGGAAAGATGCTGCTTGTCGTTCAGCTATTTGTCGACATCCTGACGCTGGAGCTTTCGTCCATGACTGTACCGGAGAACCACTCCCGGCTGCGGTCGCAGCTCGTCAGTGTTGCCGATGTGATGCTTGGCTGGAGTGAAGATCGCGCCAGCCAAGGCTTGTGGGCAACGCTCGGCTTCGGTCCCAAATCCAGATTGTCGATCGAGTTCCGTTTCTTCTCAAAGGCTCTCTCCACATTCATTGCCACGCGACTCTTCCGCCACGATGACGGCGACTCTGTAGAGACCTTTAGTGAACCGCAACTTCGGATGATCGAGACGTTCGATGCGCTCTCCAAGAACCGAGAATACGAGCGTGTGCATGGATGGATCAAGCCCACGACCGATTTCCTGCTGGATCCGCAAAATCGCCTGGGCACCCTTTCGGCGTTTGTGACAAGGATGAGCGGTCTTTTCCCGAGCTATGGTTTGGTCGTGTACTCTCGCATCTAAGCTCGCAAGAATTACTGAATAACAAAAGACCAGGGTCCTAGGTAGCCAAAGCGGCGCCTCGCCATTGCCTCATCATTGCTGCCATCATGGATGGTGACCCACAGACGCCCACGCCTCTGCTCTGAGATGAAGGGAATTGTTGCTTCGGGTGGTGATGAATCTGCTGAAGCGCCCCATGTGCAGAGGTCAGTGGACAAAGGCGATTGTAGCCTGTGACGGATGAACTGGCTGAACACCTGTGTATTCAAGATCCAGATTGTAGCGACCTGTGACGATGGTCGGTACGCCGCGATCTGATCCGTAAATGCCGTGGACTCAGTAATCGCTGTCGTAGTCGCTGCCTGGGTTGGTGGTGGCAGTAGTGGTGCCGCCGGCTCTGGACAGCCCTCCGGCCAGGAGCGAGCCGAGTTTGGTTCCAAGCACTTGGTTGACCTTGCAAGTGTCGCCCACAAACCTAACAGGTGGCCACTCGGATCTGAGCAGGTTGTGGGCATCCGCTGGCGTCCACAACAGGAATGAATCGAGCATGAACTTTGGGGTGGTTTTCCTAAAAGCAACAACGCCGTCAGCATCGAGAACTCCTCCGCTGCTCTGCTTTGACTGCGCCCTTTGAGAGCCATGCCGGGATTGCAGTGATCGTCACAGCGACGGTCCGCAAACCTACCATTTCCTAATCAAAGTCGCTTTGGATACAACCTTGGAGCCTGCGAGCGTCTCAAGGAGCTGTCGAACCTTGCCACTCGATTTGGACCATGACTTGGTGATCGTTGCTGGCCTTGACGTCAGGAACGGCTAAGATAGTGGGCGCGAGTCAGCTTATGTTGCAGCTATCGAGAGTTGCCATACCGACTTGATGGCGTTCCTCGGGCGTGTATTCGTCCGGGATCCCATTTTGCCGTCTGCTCTCCGCCGCATATACCCAAGTCTCTGGAAAGCGCGAACGAGCGTCGCGGCCAGTGTGGCAGGATGCAACCCCGTGCGCGATTCATACCTCCAGAATTTTGAAGCAATCTCTGGAGTTGCGCTCAAAGTCAAGGACCCCTTCGAGTAAAGCTTTGGCAAAATAGGCATATTTCAGCATCCCTTCCGGCAAATCGATCTCCCGGGTCGGCAGCATCCACAGTTTCGGGCCAAGCGTAGGAATGGCGAATCCGGCAATGCTATCCTTCTTGGGGTTGTATCTAGGCTCTGGATCATCAAGGATTCGCCCTGTGCTGCACAACGACGCGGGCATCATCCCTGCAATCCAGTTCTCTGCAACCGACGTGACGGATTTGATCCAGATTTTCTTCCGCGAGCCAGAAGGCACCGCTCCAAACTGCGCGACGAGACTGCCGTCGTTTCCGACCTTGGTTCCATCCATGCTGAGCGCGCCTCGTACGCCAACCAAGCCACTGGTATCGGCGCTGACTCGCTCTTCTTTGCCGACGATCTCGCCGTAGACGATCCACTTTGGAGCAGGCCGTTCGTTGTGCAGGCAGCTGCTTGGATGGATGACAAAAATTTCATCCTTTTCCGCCCACATTGTCTGGTAAACAGGAGAGGCATCTTTGGGGCCGCGGTAGCTCTCGTCTAGGCGCGCAACATGGTCTGGGAATGCCACCAACAGGATTTGTCGGACAAGCACTCCTTGTTTTGCAGTCGGTGGCGTCAATTTGCCAAGGCGCTCCATGGCTATGGCTGCAGGATAGAGTTCGGCTTCCGTAAGCGTGTCCTTGACAATGTTGCGGAGCTGCGACTGCAGTTTCAGCATTTCCTCCATGGCTTTGGGGCGAAGGAAGTAGTCTTGACAAAACTGGTGCGCTGCATGCTGGGACTTGCGTGCCTCACACGAGTACGCGCCAAAGGCGGCGAGGAGTCGAAGTATATCTGACGTCGGAGCGGCCCCCTCAAACATGTGTCTGGCCCGGAACCACTCGGCTCGCTTTGATGACTTGCGCGACTTTTCGTCTCCTTCGTCGGTATCGGCGGCGTCTTCGATTTCTTTCAGGATCTCGTCATCCATTACGAATGGATCGCCAACAGAAAGGCCCGACACGATAGCGATAACAAATCCAAGAATCGCCGGGTCTTTCTGTTGTGCAGCCACAACAATCCTGCAAGTTCCCGAAAATAGCATGGTGAGAAAACGCCGTCTTGAGGCGGAGATTGGCATTCGTATGCAATATCAACAGCAACTCGATCGGCGCTCGCGCTTGTCGCACGAGTATACCAGTCGCAGGCCATCACAGCGAGCCATCTTACATTTTTGCATATCTTGGCGAAACAGGGAACCGAGACGCGACCTTACCAAGTTCGGTGATCCTAGAGACGGCCCCCGATACTTCCAGTATGCCCAGATGCGTCAAAAGCTTCAGAGTAACGATGGAGTTATTTATCGCGCGCGAGCCATATATGCGGCACCCCCTTTGCTCTCCTTATCTAGACGCGAGACAAATGCACTGCAAATTCCAGTCCAACAGTGGGGCAGGGTCGAGTCATCACACCGACGACAATGCCCGAGAGTCTTTGCTTGTTTGGGAAAACAGAATGCGGCTGCCCTACATTTTCGCTGCGTTTGAGCTGGTCGCGCGACGGTATTGTCGGGAAAGGAAAGTTGACGACGTTTTGGATGCCCATGGCCTTCATCTGCAAGATCACATCTTCAATTGGTATCCTCAAGATTTCCGGCTTGGTAAACTTCTCAAAGTAGTTGGCAAACACGGCGGAGCTGAAGAGTCTGTAGCAGTGACCAGGACCTACACGGCCAGCACGACCAGCACGCTGGTCAGCCGAGGCCTGTGAGGTCCAGTGAATCTGGAACGTTTGAACACCAGTATGTATATCGTATCGTCTCTGCATCGCAAATCATGAGGAATGACCAAGTGAAATGTCAGAGTCGATGGCTGCATGGCTGTGTGCGGCGCTAACAGAGCAACGCTACAAGGTGCTGGGTCACCAGCGCTATCATCACAGGCGAGAGATAGTGACGCCTACTTCTTTGACCTTGCCGCAGTCAACGACATATCGCATGTTCGGAATAGTAAGCGATGTTTCCGCAACGTTTGTGGCAACCACAACCAGCCGTGCACCTTCTGGAGGCGGCTCAAACACCATCATCTGTGCCTTGGTGGAGAGCAGCGAATATAGCGGCAGCACATGGAGGGGCGCCTCGACTGCAGCGACGTGGAGAGCAACATGTGAGCGCGGGAAGTGATCAGATTCTCCAGGCCCGCGATACGTCGCAGCCGATATATAGCGTGGCTATAGGATCATCAAGCTCCTCCACTGCAGAGCTCGCTCGTGCATTAGTACGGCGTATTTCTGACAAAGTCTGCATAAGACAGACCTTTTTCGTCTCTAGCATCATTAGCTGCGTCGTCTGCGTCGTCTTCGCCGTCTTCGCCGGGGAGAACCTCGAGATCGCTTTCTTCATTGTCGCTTCCATCGTCGCTGTCGTAGACAAAGTCATCGTTGGCGAGATCGGTTGCATCGAGATCGGCTTCCTCGACTTCGTCCATCATTCCGTTTCCGCTGCCCTCCCCCTTTTCAGACATCTTGGTCCCTTCAAGGGCCGAGTCCGTCCGCAAATCTTTCTGAGGGAAGCGGTCGCGCAATTTCGTCACCAGCGACATGACTTCTCGCTGGCCGGTTAGAAAGACGAGCACACCGCCCTTTGGGAGCTTCGTGTGGATCTTGCATACCTTCTTGTACGCTTCGCTGACATAGTCCAGCTCTGGAGTCTTCTTGTTGTAGTGCACAGTTACCTTGTACTGCCGTCCGTCGACCTTGATGACCGGGGGTTTGGAAGGGCCAGGGAATAGACCCTTATTTTCGGTAAAATCTTCGACACGCAGCGTGGCACTCATAATCACGAGCTTGAGCGGGTCCACTCCCTTGATCTTGCCCGAATTCCGGATGGACACAATTCGGGTAAGCCATCCAATCAAGACGTCTGTTCCAACGGTTCGCTCGTGAGCTTCGTCGATAATGATGCATGAGTACTTCTTCAGCAGCAAGTCACCGGAGGGTCCGCGCTCCGAGGCACTTGAGCCTTCACTGTGGATGCCCAGGGCCCCGCTCAGCTCGCGCAGCAAAACGCCGTCCGTCATGAACTTGATTCTCGTTGAAGGCTTGACAGTGGTTGAGTCGTAACGGATCTGATATGCAACCTGGCCGCCGGTGAGCGACATTTCTTCGCCAACACGGCTGGCCATCGATACGGCAGCAACACGTCGCGGCTGGGTTATGCCGATCATACCCTTGAACTTGGGATGCTTGGGATCTCCGAAGCCGGCCTCATATAGGAACTGTGGAACTTGTGTTGTTTTTCCTGAACCTGTCTCGCCGCAGAGGATAGTTACGTCGTTCTCGTAGATGGACTCCATGATAGCTTGTTCTTCTCCGACGACCGGGAGACTGACACGGGCAATCTGCACAGCCTCGGGACGATCGATGGACACAAAGAAGCTCGGCCGAGAGGATTTTACAGATTTCGAGGGGGCTGGGTAGGATTTTTCAAGAGTCGATGCTGCACGGATCGCTTTGGCGACCTGTTCAGGCACGACAGGTAGAGATGATAGATTGGATGCAGTGACGCCTTGGCCTTTGTGAGACGTTGCTGTTTTGTTCCCATTCTCCACAGTGGAGGAATTGGGCTCGACATGACCGTCGCTGTCGCTGTCGCTGCCACTGTCGGCTCCGTTCAGGGCCGTGCGTTTGACCCCAGGCTTTTGCGAGACAGCTTTCGAGCGCTGTGTCGTCGGCAGTGGCTTGAAGACCAAGGGTCGCTTCAAGGCGCCACCAAATGCAGGCTTTAATGCCGCATCGGTCTTGACAAGCAAGTCTTTCGGCGCGCTTCCGGCATAGCCTTGTGCCTCGACCACCTGGACGCCTCGCTCCGAGTTGTCTGGCCGAGGCGTAAAATCCAGCGCCATTTCTGCATCCGAATCTTGATCGCCATCTGATTCTGAGTCCGTGGTTTGATCTGTTTTGGCTCGCTTTGGTCCAGTTGTCATGTTGGATGACTGCTCGTCCGATTCGGCAATCTCGTGCTCGACATAGAGCCGTGAGCCGTACTCTGTTGGGTCGAGCGTTATTCCGGCTCGCTCCGCGTCCAGGGCCATCCGCAACTGTTGGCGTGCGGTGAGTTTCTAGAGCAGACGATGGGGATGAGCATACATCAGCTTTGGGCGGGCTAGTCTGGAGGCCGCTTTGCCGCCTCTGCGCTTTCGGCCTGGGGCGCTGTGGTCGCCACGGTGGTCAGCAAGATCAACACCGCCTCAAAGACGCACCATGTTTCCAATGTTGGCACTCGACTTGAGCAAGCTGGAGCTGAAGGTTTGATTGCGGAGCTTCTCCAAAAGCTTGGCTCGCTCTTCTTTCTTGAGATGCTTCTCCTGCGGGATTCAAGTCGGCGAGTGGGGCAGAGCAAGTCAGCATCCGCATCCACCGAAAGCAGTAGGGAACGACCAACGCACGGACAGGCCAGTCTTGTTAATGCCTGTGTGTATTGGCGCCCTTTCGTCTGTCGCAGACGAAGCTGAATATCGCATGGCAGATACCGGGCCACGGACAAACGACAGCCGCAGCTGTGTGCAAGAGACGCTGAATCTTACAATGTATTTCTCCAGTCGCTTCCGCTTCTTTGATGTCATTTTTCCAGTCGGTGCCTAGGGTCAGCCGAGCAGTTGAGCATTGTCAAACGACGGTTGGGGCTGCGAACCAAGGGCAACAGCACCCCAGAATCTCAGGGAGAATCCACAAACCTCGGGCAGGGCAGCGAGAGTGCCGTGTGCGGTGCCGCTTTCTGTTGACTTGGAGGCCGGCAGAATCAATGGGTTTGCCGAGTCCGTGCTACATCAGGAGGAGGCGCTGATCAATTGCCTTGCCTTCAGGTCAAGATCGCTTGCTTGGAAATCCAAGCGCTTGCGCACACCACGCAGCTTCCAAGCAAGATGCAGTCGATTGGGCAATGCTGCGACAAACCATACGCGACGTAGCCATCGGAAGACTGGAGCGCCGAGTCGATCTGAATGGCTTCGCTTGCGGGCTGAGGATGAGCTGCATCGGCTGAAGCCAGATGAGCAGCAGCTTTTGTCCTTTCTGGTGCCTCGGCGGACTTGTCTCGGGCACTCGGGTGTGGGAGAGCATATTTCGTTGTGTGCGAAGATGAACGGGCTCGCTCGTTGAACCGTGCCCGTCGTCGTCCCATGGCGAATCGAGACTCGAGTGTCTGTGCCTGTGCCTGTGTCGGTCAGAGTGCGATCGGGATGGCACGGCGCTGCAGCACTGGTCGTCTTGGGTGTTGTCTGTCGACGGCTCGGCAGCGCAACCGGCCCAACCAAAACCGGCGCCCGCAAAGAAAAAAGTATCTACATATCCATATGCGGTTATATGAAGCGCTGCGCACAGTGCGTCGCACCAACCTTCGAGCCCAAGCACCCACCGCGGATCGAGGAGGCAAGCACGACACCAGCAACCATCAACACCCATGTCTGGACCCGCAGATACATCGGCATCCCAACCGAATATCCATGACGGCCGCGACAATGCAAGTCGATGCCAAAATTGATCCTGCTTGCGGACTGCCTTGACGCTCGCCTTTCCGGCTCGTTGCCCTCGGAGCCCGTGCAGGCCCTTGCGCGTGGCCGTCAAGATGGGTCAAACTCCTGAGCAGCTTTGTCGTCTGGGGAGCGTGCCAATGCGACACACTGACGTTGGCTTTTGTCGATGTGTCTTGTTTGCATGCAGATAGTCGCGGCCACGCAGCGAGCTGCCACACCCGAGCGAGGTATGTGGCTGGACTGATCAGGAATCGCTTGGCGTTGTCGCAGCCGAGTTCGCTGGCATATCGTTGCGTCTCTGGTGCGCTTGTGCGATTCGGCTATCCAGGTCGTCCGGTGGGGATAAAGGGCCCTCCGTGCTAATTTCATGCTTCTCTCGATCATATTCGTTATCGATACGTTGCTAGTTATTCGCAAATCCACCCGTGCAAGATCGGATGTGAACTACTCGTATTCCGATCTGCCCTCGGTTCCAAATGACCAGCTCAAGTTCACCAAAGTGCTTGAATCTCGCGTGTTTGTCGAATCGAAATTCCAAAAGATCAAGGGTCGTGATCTGACGGCCGACTGGTGCTGTACCAACGGGCTGCGCTATCCAGTGATCATACCCACGCCAGAGGGGCTTGGGATGACGATGCCATCCGCTAGTATAACGGTCGGTGAGCGAAACGCAAAGACCCACGCCCATTTTCATCGCCAGTGATGTGATCCGCATCGCCCTTGAAGCAGAAGCGATTATGCAACTCAATCGGCCTTGACAAACCAGGTCCGCGAAATTGCAAACGTGTGCGGGCTCACACGGATTGTCGAAGTCATCGAGGTAGCGACACAGTCAACACGCACGATGACCCTTGACAAATGGGCAGCCTACTTTGAGCAACCCCCCAGGCAGCGTCGTCAGATTCTGAACGTATGTTGTGACTCTCGGCTTGAATTCCCTCCTCCGGGGCGTCTGTCTATTGGAGATTCATTTGCTGGATGTGGTTGATCTGTCTGTGCCTTGGGTCCCACAATGACATGATGCTGGTTGCCGGCTGTTTTCCCCCAAACTTCAGCCGGCCGTCGAGCTAACAACCGTGTTGTTGCGCATGTTGGAAACAGGTCATCAGCCTCGAGTTCAGCGATACACCACTGGCCAAGTTGGTCAAGCGACCTCGAATAGTTGGTGATCTGGACTGGCTTGATCGATTTTGGCCGGCTTCGAGGCGTGCAGCGGGCGAGTACCCCAAGGTCCAGTTGTACTGCCTGATGGGCGTCAAGGATAGCTATACCGATTTCCACATCGACTTTGGAGGCACCAGCGTGTTCTATCACCTGCTTTCTGGCGAAAAGGTGTTCTATTTTATCGAGCCCACGCCCGAAAATCTCGAAAAATACTCTGCATGGTCGACATCGTCGGACCAGTCGGACGTTTTTCTTGGGGACCAGGTCGACGAGTGCGTCAGGGTTCATTTGCGTGCTGGAAACACGATGATGATTCCGGCCGGCTGGGTAGGTCTCGCACTTTAACCCCACAAATAAGCCAAGTGGATGCATCGGCGGCAGGGGGACGGCTGGCATATGTAGCCGGAATGTCGAGGTAGTAGTCTTTCAAGCACCACGCAGTTGTGCATTGAAATCTCCTGATGCAATCGCTTTCCAGATACACGCTGTGTATACTCCCAAAGATGCCATTGTGATCGGAGGCAATTTTCTCCATGGCCTGGACATAGCTCGTCAGCTCTCGATCTCTCGAATAGAAATCGAGACAAATGTACCGCACAAATTTAGGTATGGGCATAATCTGGCTGCCATTTGGATCTGCGGGATCGCATCATCACAGGGAGGCAGTCGGCTTCATCTGGAAATCCGATAGGCCACCCCTTTATCGAGCCTTGACACGCTGAGGATGGATCTGAAGTATAGTTATTCTGTGACAGGTATCCATTTTATGAAGCCATGCAGTGGTATGCGGCAAGAGGCTATCTGAAGGCCCTCAAGAGTATGTACATGAACGCGGTCCCTACAACCTTGAGGCGGTACCATGAGACCACTCATCCAGCCAGGCAACTCCGCTGTTCACAGAGATACTGACGTCACGCTTTGATTCCAGACAATCTGGCCCTCAGCGACCGGGAGCTCAACGGTGTTGAGCAACTCCTGTGTCACTTATGGTCTCTGGCGGAGAGATTAGTCGACATTAACAACGTCACACGCGAAGACCGGCAAATGATCAAACGAGGCATACCCGTCGAGATCAAAAACGTGCGCTTTCTTCTCCAAACGCTGTCAAAGTATCTGGCGCATCAGAGAGCCGGGGCTCGGCTTCCGCACCAAGGGGATCCCCTCGATCAACGTGAGCATACGGAAGCGCTCCATGCCCACGTTACCACCGCATCCATGGGCCTGCCGCCGCCACCCAGTATGGACGATGAGTGGTCGTCGGATGCCAGCGACATGGAGTTCCTGGACAGCTCCGAAGGAGAGTCCCAGTACACCGATAGCGATATCGACACGCCTACGGACGATAGTGACCTCGACACCATGTACATTCCCAGCCAAGAAAAAAAGAGGAAGGCAAGTCGGAAAGAAAAGCAGCCGCAAACCGACCAATTCAAGACCTCTGCACCTCGAAAGAAATCCAAGCGTAATACAAGCCGTTCGAATTCCGCCTCCGGAAATGCTACCGCGTCGACTGAACAGAGTACATCCAAATCAACAAGCGACGCACTGCCATCGGCAGCATCCGCAGATATGAGTCACATTTGGTCCGCCGCCGCCACCACCACCACCACCACTGTACAGCACGAATGGCCAGTTGGCGAATCGAGCAGCAAGACCCCGATAGAGGACAGCCCAGCTCCTTTAACCGCATCTACAAGTCAAAAAACGGAGGGGGAGACCCCGACCCCTGCTCATATCAAACCAGAACGTCCTGAGTGTTTGTAAATGGTTCGCGCAAATCGAGGGACAGGTCTAGTCTCGGTTGGTTGCTGGGTTTGTACAGCTCATAGGCTGCGAACGAAATGTATTGGTCATTTGCAAGGGGAGAGTCACAGCGACCCTCCCCCTGCAATCTGGCGATGTTCGAATCGTGAATTCATTCATGGATGAAAGGCTACATTTTCAATGTCCACCTATATCCTTGCTGGTGTCGCTGCAGGACGGGCAATACAGCCGAGTGGCAAAGAGCGTGCGAGTCCTTTGTTTTTGGCACTCTCTGTGTAAAATGATTTGTCCCGTCGTGTCGACAGGCCACCGGAAGGATCGAGTTCAACTGCGGCGGTAATGAGCTGGATGGTTTGGTTTTTGCCCATGATGCTCTTGGTGTGCGAGCTGGACCCGTAGCGTCTCGATCTCGGACTTGAGTGCAGCCCGCTCATTGTTCCACTTCTCGATCTCGAAATTTCGTGCCGTTCGAAACTCAGCGTGAAGGGCTTCATTGTCCCGTTCACGGACAGCGAGCAGGTGATGGAGCTGATGACGGGTGGACTCCATTTCTTTTTGAAGGGCATCGAGCTCGACCTGTTGCTTGTTGATTGCGCGATTTGCCTTTTCATTCGCTTCCTTAAGGCTTCGAATCTTTATGTTCAGCGATGCGATGATGTGACTCTGATTATCATCGAGGCTTTGCACGGGCTCCTTCTTGATCGCAACGCGCGATTCAGAGTCCTGGTCTTCGGCTTTGGTGCAAACGTCTCCAGGAAGGGGTGAGTTCTCCCTATAGATGCTCATGTCGATAGGCACATCGCCTTTCTGACGGCCTTCGGAGCGCGCAGTCAACTCCTGTTGGGTCTCGGCCAGGGCCTTTTCGAGATCTTCGTTCCTTACTTTGAGCTGGCTGACTTCAGCCCGATGTTGCATAGAAAGTCCCTCGATGTTTTTCTCCAGCTTCTCCAGCTGCTTCTCGAGCCGACCTTTCTCCTCAGTCGCTTGGTCCAGGGCTTCCTGGGCCTCATTATACTTTGATTCCAGGATCTGCAGCTCCATGGGGTCCACCGGGGCCAAATCTGTCTCCGGATTGGGGCCAGACGACGAGCTCGGTGCCAAGGCAGCACTGGGTTCCTCGGCTTTCGAGCTGGCCAAGGGCTTGATGGCAAACTCGTCCGAATCGTCGTCGAGCGCGCGCTTGGTCTTTTCGTAGAGCGTTCGATATGTTGTGACACTGTTTTCGAGGTTGCGAATGCGGCTCTGTAGGTCTATCGTTTCGCACTTTTGCTTTTCGCAGTCCTTCTTGAGGCGCTTGTTTTCGTTGATGATGGTCTTGAGAGTTCGGTTGAGTTGGTCAATATGAGCAAGTTGGTGCTCCTGGTCCACGTTACCGGGGCTCTGGTCGGAGTCATTGCGAAACGCACTCGACTGTGTCTGCGAGGTTGCTTCAGTCACGAAGAATATGGCCGTTGGTCTGTCAGTGTTTCGGACTGTGCATGATCTCCAGCAGTGCGCAATATTTGATTCAAGAGCAGGCGGCAGCGACAAACACGATCAGCCAGCTGTTCCGGCCAACCAGCGGTGCCCCTGCGTACCATTGTGGGGGGAAAATCTTTTCTCTTCGCCGCTTGGCCCGGACCCATCATACTTTCGCTTGCTGCTGCGAAGTAAAATATTGGACTGTCGATAACCCAGATGGCGAAGGGCATCCGATACCCCATCCACGTCGCCGCGATGGCCAATATTGTCGAAATACACATCCAACATCGCTGCAAAGCGCAGCGTCTCGCTCATCAAGTCGATGGCTTGTGCCGGAGAAAGATCGGGTGCCCACTGTGGCAGGGATGCGGGGGTGTCTCGCGCCGACGAAGAGCCTCCGTGGCGGTTGTAGCCACGTCGAAGCTGCGAAACAACGTCGTCAAAGTGAGGCTGACAATCGGGCGGGATGTGACTGAGCAGATCTGAAAATATGGCGGAGCGCTGAGGGCCCCGGCTCCGTCCGGACATATCGGCGAAAGCGGCAGCGCGGCTATGGAGCGACCTCGATAGCGACCTCGACAGCGAACTCGATAGCGACCCCGATTGCGGCTGCAGCGGGGCTTGTGCACGGCTCTGTCCAGACCAAGGCAGACAGCACCAAGGCAGACAACACCAAGAAGGCTGCCGGGCTGGCTTCATACACATCCGCGTCACGTGAAGACCGCTGGCCAATCGGGGCCGAGCGGGACTGGTTTGTCTGGTCGGCTCGAATGGGATCAAGTGGGCCATCGGACAAGGCCTGGCGCAATCACCCCGGCGCCTCCACCAAAACCATCGCCAGCAACCCCCACAGCGCCAGCAACCCTCGCATCGCCAACGCATCCTGCATCGTTCAGACAGCACCAGCAGCACCCCGCGGAAAAAATGATGGATAGCATTGGATGGATCTGGGGCCGAAAGACCCCGGCCGAGATTCTTCGCCAGCAACAAAGAGCACTCAACAAAGCCCAGCGCGACCTGGACCGAGAGCGCCAAAAGCTGGAGCAGCAGGAAAAGAAGCTGATTGTGGACATACGGAAGACAGCTAAGGCCAACCAAATTGTATGCTAGTGCACTTTTATTGCTCGAGAAGCATGTGTGTGAGTGAAGGGGATGGAGCTTGCATATCAACCTCGAACAGTGGTCTCATGCGCGATCCTGAGCGTCCGCATCTTTGTACACACAAGAACGCATGTAAGGTGATGGCCAAGGACCTGGTGCGCACCCGAAAGCACATCCAAAAGTTCTACAAGATGAAAACTCAGCTACAGGCCGTGTCCCTGAGAATCCAGGTTGAGTGCAGCATCTGCGTCGCAGAGCGACGTCCTGCAAAAACGGTGTTGCTGATGTTGTCTCGGGCAGAGGCAACCGCCATTGGCATATTGGCCACAAATAGCATGGGTCTGCGCGGCTAAGATTCCCTGCCGTCGTGCTTGTTCTCGCAGACCATGCAATCCAACCAGGCCATGGCCACAGCCATGAAGGGCGTGACGTTGGCCATGCGCCGGATGAACACACAGGTCAACATGCCATCGATTCAGAAGATCATGATGGATTTCGAGAAAGAGTCCGAAATGATGGACATGAAGGAGGAAATGATGAACGACGCCATGGACGACGTCATGGATGAGGAGGACGACGAGGAAGAGTCTGAAGAGATCCTCAACAAGGTCTTGGACGAAATCGGCATTGATCTCGAACATTCGGTACGACAGGTTGCCCAGAGCCCTCCTGTGTGCGGTGTTGGGGGCCTGCGATGCTCCGGGCTGGCGACATTCCAGGGAAGTACTTTTATACCAACTGTCTGTGGATCTGACCCGCCGCTCCTCTGTCGTATCGTCCAGCTGGTCGATGCACCAACAAGCAAACTCGGAGGCAAAACTGTCCCGGCCGAGCGCGAGGCACAGGCGGTCGCCATTGGCGACGACGATCTGCAGGCGCGTCTTGAGAGACTCAGAAAGGACTAACGAGCAAGCTTTCCAACTCGGCTTGGTTTCCCTCGATATGCGTCTGGGATGACCTGATCGCTCCTGCGGCTCGTCGGTGTGGAGATGATACCAACGGACAGCGTTGAGCATAGTAATGGAATCGCACAACCACAATGCATCGCAGCCCGAAACTCGGGGTGTATTGCCTCGTCTGAGGGGTTGTTGCTGACCAGCTTCTCCGAGCTCCAAATGCACGTCCTCAGCAGATGAATCCAAGAGCGCCCCCTGCCTACAAATCCCCTCATTTGGTTGCTGCTTTGTGTTGCTGTGGTGCGACGGTTCGAGATGGCGTGAGTTGAGCCGGGGAAGCGATCTCCATTCAACGCAAGAGTGTCATTCATCGTTCAAATGACATCTCTGGCAGAGCGGGCACAACACAGTTCAGTACCGCAACAGCGACCTGCCCAGGACACTGTTGCGGTGTGTAAAATCCGCCACTAAAACTGCGGAGTAGCGAGTAGTATCGCAGTGCAGCGATGCGGAAATCGAGGGTGCTGTGTTTGGCCATGGGAGCGATGGGTGGGTGGGTATATTCAGGTCTCAGAATATATGTCCTGGCTCAACAGATGCCCCGTTTCATTTGGGATCCCGAACCAATACCACACCTTCAGCCCCGTCAGGCTTCCAATCAGGCCAGGATAGCAGAGCTAGTTGGGCTGGCTCAAAAATCGCGAGGCAAAGTTCAAGGTGGTTTTGGAAAACGAAAATACCATGCCGGTGCTCACAAAGAGACCTGGATGTGTCAGCGGTGAAGAATATCAGTGTTTTTTGTCGCGGTCGGTGCAATACAGCAGAGGCTCCTGCACCGATGTGATGAAAAGGCCCTGCTTGCGCTGCTCTTACCGCCCACGATCCCCGAGAGGCGCGTAAGTAGATGTAGGAAAGACTGGCGACTGGCCGTAACCCGAACGGAGATGGGCTCGATTTCGTATTTGATGAAGATGCCAGGGAGACCCTCATGGCCGGCCTCTTGACTCACGACTTTCTGGTAGTCGGTCACAGCATACTGGCTCGTCAAAATGATCTTTTCTCCGAAGGTCCGGATTTTGTCGATATATATCGTCGGCACCACCGAAATGAAGTACTGGAACATGTCGGTGTCTGTCCAGTCCATCGAGGTCCGAGTAAGAAGGGGATTATTGTGAATCAATGTGGCCTCAGAGCAAACTGCGCCCGCAGCGGCCACGCCAGCGAGCACATGCAGAACGGCCTCGTGGCCAGGAACCGCACACTTACGTGACTCTGCCAGCTCCAAGCTCCGATCGAGCGGGTTGACCAGCCCTGTAGCTTGGTTTGTTAGCGCGACTTGCAAAGTGGGATTGCCTGCTGGAACGATCCATGGACCATGGCCTCCAAGCGGACGGCTGCCCACACCCCGAGACCCAAGGGGAGTTTGCGTGAATGCAAAACTGATTGTCAAAGAGCCCAAACAACCCAACTAACCTGGATAGCTTATGCCGAATGAAAACCTATCGATCCTGTGGGTAAAGTTGATGGCTGTGGTGGCTCGACTGATAAGCATACGTCCGATAGGATCAATAGCCAACATTGGCTTGGGCCAACAGGATTTTAATCGAGAGAAGGAGTAGAAAACACCCAACCTCATCAGGGTCTATGTTTACTTGCCTTCGTGTGCGACATGTGCGCCATTGTATCCGTGCCCCAAGGCGGTAAAGTGCAGCATGCCGGCCAGCTTCTGGACGTTGATGGATCCTTGAACCCGACAGGCTCGAGCAGGATTATCGCCCGCTAGGAGAAGGGACGCCGTTGCCTCAGTATCTTCCAAGAGATGCTACCTGCCGGCGACTGTGCCCTTACGTGATACTTGAAGATCAGGATCGGCATAGAACTTGTTTGCCTGCGCTACTGCTTTGACTATATTCAGATTGGATGCGGCCTTCTTGCTGCAACCGCATCAAAAGCATGGGTGTTAGCAACCGGACTGTCCTCGCTGCGGAGAACTGCCATGACACCTTGACAGCAATCCGATTCATCCTCTGTTGCTAAGATACACACCCGTAATACGAGACGCCGTGGGTGTGAAAAATGACCTATAACACAACAAGGTGCTCAGAGTGATGAGTGAATGCCTGTTTCCTTCGCACTCGGAACAGCGAAACGGGCGATCGATCCAAGTTCAGACAGAGTCTGAAACAGTTGGATCTACCGCCACGGGTGTGTTCATCCCAACTTGACGGAGAGCAGAGCCGGTATGCTTGAAGTCGAGCTACGAGTCTTCGGATCTCCGAGAAGAATCGCTGAGGGTACAGTTACATACCGGTGTCATCCGGAATCCGTTTCCCAGGTGCAGGAAGCCTCCAGAGGCATCCAGCACATCGCCACGAAGATCTGCGTCGATGGCGTTTTCCGGAATAAAGGTTGCGATCAGAGTCAAAGGAACCGCTAGTGGTCTGACCAGAATCCTTGGGTGTGGGCTGCCGGCCCTCTACAAGTCCTCAATGGCTACGTACATTCGCACGGCATAGCGATGGTGAGGTCCATGTTGATCTGCAGAGTTTGGTGCCGCTGCTGGTCCACAAGAAACTCGTAGTCCTGGTGGATTTTGAGGAAGGTGGCGAGTTCGCTGGTGACCAGGACGATGGACAGCAGGGCGACGATCAGCGTGAGCACGCCTCCCAGTGCCGAGTTGGACTTGTAGGGCCCATCGATCTTGGCAAAGGCGTCGAAGCGGAGGAATCTCCTGGACATCGAGGGCGGTCTGCGGACGACTTGCCGGTCGGTGCAGGGGGGGTGTGGTGCTGGATGGTGTGATGTTGAGCCGTTTGCAAGTCAATGGCGTGTTTGCTGGCGTTGGCGGGGGCGAGGCTCGATCCGGATCGACTCGGCTGTGCCGCGTCCGCCAATCGCCGCCCGCCACTGCTCCGCCGCTGTGGCGGGTGACTGCTCCCCCCTGTGGCGGGCGACTGCTCCCCTGCGGCCCCCAACATAAAAGCGCGCTTCCTGCACACCCCAATCGATCAGCACCAGCCTTCCTCTCCCACTTCCTCTTCCGAACCGTCACCGTCACCGTCATCGTCACCGTATCGATCGCCATGAGCTTCGCCAACCAGTCTGCGCTGAGTGCCGTCGCCGTCTTCAAGATGGACTCGATCCGCGAGCGGTACCAGCAGCACCGAGCCAACCATCTGGAGTTCGAGGCGATCGTGAAATCTCTCAAGTCGGATGCCGAAAAACTCCAAGCGCTGGCCAAGCATCCGCTGTACGAAAAGGATGACTCGATCGATGGTATCATCAAATTCATGAAGGTGTATCCCCATCTGACCAAGAGCAAAGGACTCGCCTCCAAGATCAGCCACCTCCGCAAGAAGATGCAATTCAAGATGCAAAGGCTCGAATACGCCAATCGGTTTGCCTTTGCCGTGTCGGAAAAGATCAGCAGCGACAGTGCGCACAAGAACGGCGACGCAAATGCCCCGGCCCCAGACGCATCTTGGGTTTCGGTCGACGACATGGCTGTCGACGACCAAGCCCGGGAGAATGCCCAAAGACAAGCTGATATCAAGACATACGAAGAGCTGGTCTTCTCCGACGCTGACGTGGACTGGGCCCAGTTCGAGTCCATCATCACGGCCCTGTTCACCTTCGAGACCGACTCTTCCAAGGACGCATTCAAGAACATCAAGAAGTGCACTGAAACGTTTGGCAAAAGTCTGCTGACGATGAAGATCACTGCCGCCGAGGTCAAGGGTCTCCTCATCACTGCCCGCGGCTGCGCTGACTACGCCAATCGACAGGATGAAATCAATACGCTGATCAACAACCCAACCGCCATCAGCGAAATCGCCGGTGTCCTCTCCTTGATGCTGGCCGACATCAAGAGCTGGAAGTGGTCCGAAGCCGGCGTTCCTGTGCAGTTCTATCGGCATATCAAGCAAAAATACCGGCCATATTACTCCTCCAACCTCCTCGTGTGGCTTTTCCATGAATATCTCGGCTGTCGGTGGAATTGCTACTTTTACAGCAAGTTCCTCTCGCTATACCAACCGCCGTTTTGGAAGGGAACAGGTGGCGCCCGTGGCTCCATCAATACCGCTCGTAGCAATATCCACCGAGAGGGCTTTTGTATGCAAAGCTTGCTCAAATTCATCGAATCCTACGACACTTCCGACTCGGAATTGGACTCGGTTGCGCCATCGTCCACATCGCCCCTCGGCGGACGCATCGAAAACGTCCAGCAGCGCTTCCAGAGACTGATCGTTACTGAGTGCCAGCTTCATCAGGCGATGTATCCGGATGATTCGTTTACAGTCGTTCAAACCGATTTGGCCAACTTCGGACCCTCCATCCCCCATCGGGCTATTCTCAAGATCATGGAGATCTTTGGTGTCGACAGCACCTGGCGCGCGATTTTTGCCAACATCATGGATGTGCCAGTGCTACTGGAAGGGGCGACAACCCCTCGCGCCCTCAAGCGTGGATTCTCGTCGTCATCCTCGCTCCAGACCCTCTTCGGCGAGCTTGTTTTGGTCTGCCTGGACCTCCAAGTCAACCGTCACTCAGGCGTTTCGCTCTATCGGCTCTTCGATGATATTTGGTTCTTCTCGAAGAATCCTAAGCACGCCCAGCGAGCCTGGAACATTACCGAGCGCTTCCTGACCACTTGCGGTCTACGACTCAACAAGGAGAAATCGGGCTCGGTGCTCGTCCGCTCACCAAGCTACTTGGCAAAGCTCAGCGACCCACAGACACAGTTTTTCGGAGAGGCCCCTCTGCCTCAAAGCCCCATCTACTTCAACTTTATGCAGCTCTGTAGCGACGGCAGCCTCCGCGTTGTGCCAGACAAGTTCATGCCCTACGTTGTCGAGCTCAAGTGGCGTCTTGAGAAAGCAACCACCCTCTTTGACTGGGCTTCGATCTACAACAGATATATGCGCTTCTTCATGAATAACTTTGGCGCCATCTCGGTCGCTCTCGGGCGCGATCACGTCGACAAAATCGTCGCTGGCTTTGATCAGATCCACAGCCAAATCTTGCCGGACCACAACGGCAGCGCCCTCGAGTATGTCTCCTCGATGATCCGCAGCCGCCCCCTGCTCTTTGGCGAGAACCCTTCGGAGATTCCCGAGTGGTGGATCTACTGGCCCAACTTTGAAGGAGGACTTGGTCTCTACAATCCATACTTGAGCCTCTCCATTCTGAAGGACGCCATTTCGCCTGTGAAGTTTGATTTTAACTATCTCGCCCAGCACGACGAAAGAATCTGGAACGATATGCTCAAGTATATCAAATACCAAAACAAGGACGATCGCCTGCGTGGTGAAGGCGGACTGGCCCCTGACCAGCCGCGCTTGTATATTCCGTGCGATCCAGACTCGATCACCTTTCGCCCGCCCATCACATTCCTCGTCGACGACTACCTTGAAAAGAAGACCAAGGCCAAGCCCAAGAGCAAGCTCCGACCGTCTGAAAGCGACCTAGATGATGCGAGCGTGTCGGACTCGGGCGACGATGAGCTGATCTCGCGCCGCCCCAAGAAGCTCGTTTCTCTTGAGCGGTTTCTTCAAATGCGAGCTACGTTCTTGCCTCACTGGTCCCGAGTTTACAGCGAACTCCAGGAAGTTGTTCAGCCAACCTTCTCGGACGCCGAGAAGAAGGGTTATTGGGCAGAATCAACCGCAAACGCAATCTCGATGGACGAACGTCACTACTATGCTCGCCTGGAAGAAATATACAAGGACGACATTCTCGAGCTGTTCTCCGAACGTCGCTTCATCGAGGCTGAGCAAGCTCCGCTGGGACTACTCGCTTCCTGGAAGCGCATCAGCTTTTGAGAATCATGGGCGCTGTAACCAAATATAGGATGTGCTCGATTCGATTGATTGTTGGCTTGAGATAGGTCCTGCGATATGATATGATAGGTGTATTACAGTAATATTGAAGAAGGCGGCCGCTCTACATGTCGCTCTCTTTATACAGCGTGCCCATTTCGAAATAGGCCACCCTATTTTGAGTTGTCGCTATTTCCAGGCTTAAATACACATATTCCACCTATCGCTGCCATGTCCAAACGGTGTGTTCAGAGTGCCTGGAGGCCAACCGACTCGAGAAGGCCGGGTGTCTTGATATCGAGAGCTACACTTTGTACGGTGCTGTCCAGCTGGTCGAAAGCACGCCGTAACCCATGATCCAACCGGCTCGTGCACGGGCATCCATTGATTCGTCACCGTCGTCGCTGATACCGGCCGCCGTTGCCAAGGTCGTCTCGAGTCGAAAATTGATGGGCCGTGCTTGTTAGGATTTTGTGAGCAGCAACTGGCCACATGGATGTCGGAGCAACACACTGCACTGCACTGCATCGAGTGCGCGCCATGATGGGATCAATGGTGAACGCTGCAAAGTAGAGCGGTGCAGCTCTGAGAAACCAGAGTCCCCGTGGGCTGGATGCATATCCCTTCCCTTGCTTCCAGGAGGCATCCCAAAGGCAATCACCACCTCAGTCTCCTTGGACATACCGCTTGACTATGATTGCAATGAGTGGGTGTATTCAGGTTCTAGAACAACACCTGTTCTGGCTCAAAACGGGGTGTCCCATATTCACTTGGGGGTTTGGGAGACGCTCAGAGATCGTCCGCATGGCCATCCGCAGCTCGAAAGGGGAGACCCAATCACATCAACGACTCAGTATCTCGCTTCACTTTGGGAGAGCAGTCGAGACCACTCAAGAACGGGAGCGCAACAGCATGGCATTCGTCAATCCGCCGCTTCACAATATCCACGATGACTCTGTGGCCTTGTGTCTGGCATTGCCGTCGTTGCTCGTCGGGCCAGGCATTGCAGAAACCTTTCAGTAGTTGCCACAGGATCCACAGGAGCTGTGCGAGCTGCTTGGCTTCAATAAGTGGAAAGAGAAGACCAATCTGACCGAATACACCGGAGACAACCTCCATCTGAGAGAACGCGGGTGGCGGCATAGAAGTAGAGGTTAGACGGGACACGACCACTAATCACGGCGACGATGCGCGGTGCTGCGAGCTTACCTTCGTCAATGCCAGGACAACCACCAAAGCCGCATTCATTTCATAGGGATATCGGGGTGGGGCCAGCCGACTGTCTTGCTCCCAGAAGCCGATGAGATACGCCAACAGTGGTCGCACAATCTCGGTAAGCCAGGGAACAGACCGCTTATCTGTGAACGGGGTAGATTAGCCAGACATTGAGCACGATCGCTCACTGGTTCTCACAGGAGTTCAAGCTGACGGCACTGTCTGCCGGACCGCTGGAAGGAACAACATGCACTGCGGCCCTCATGCGGCGGTATTACCTGTCGCGCATAGCTCTGTGAGGTCCCACAGCCACTCATTCCGTCGGAAAGTACCCCATATATGAATATCACTGTCGGCAAGAAGGCGAATCCACGGAGCAGATGTGTTGGGTAGCAAAGATGGAGACAAGTCAGAAATGTCCATCAAGAAGCATTCAGCCATTGCTGCTCATTCAAGTGACCACGCCCAATATGGACGTGCTCGGAGCGGAAATCGTAAAGTTCCCAGCTGGAGTGACTGTAGAGGGTGCGAATCAAAGCAAGCGATGGTTCCTTCGTGACTGATCCCGAGATCAAAGGGCGGAGCTCTCAAGATCCACGAAGCAAACTGCCTGAAGCGGGACATTACCGAGGGAATGTTACGAGCCGGGGCAGAACTTCGTCATATCTGCCGAAAGGGGTTGGTGGATAATGAGCAAACTTGCCGAACAATATCTTGGCGACCACAAAAGCCCCGCTTTCTAATAGTTGTCGATAGACGGCGCAATCATTAGATCAGCGGTCTCTTTTGCTTCAGCACGTCAGGTATAGCACAACCATTGGGTCGTACAGCGGCCCTCCAGCCAAATTACCATTTCCGGATATGCATCCACAGAGCACTTCGAAGACCTGTCTGCTTTGAAAGTCGCTCAGCTTCAGCCCAGAAGGTTCAACCCATCCATTCTGGATAAGCACATCCACAAGGATGGCGGTCGTCAGTGGCAGTGACGACAATCGAGCGATCGTTTTCTTTGCCAAGGGGAGAAGGCCAAGCTCCTCTGGCTGCCCGTCGTCGGCACGCAGCACGTCAAAGAGTTCCTCGACAGCGCGCTTGCAGTATTCAAACTTGGCAATAGGAGTCAGGAGCCGGGCTTGCTGGCACCAAAGAACTTGGTCATTGTTTGTGGGAAGACAGGCCAGAGAGAGCTCAAAGGCACTTTTGCGGAGCAACGGCGAGTACGATGAGTCTGTAAAATCACGGATGAGATTCCAGTCCCTCATCAAGACTCCAAGGGCAATATATGCTGGGTGATGCTCCTTAGTGGCAGCTAACGCGCCGATCACAGGTTCGAGCTGATCGAGGGACACAAGTTCGGCGAGATTTTGGAATGCGGTCGATATTTTGGACTCGTCAAGCGATGGAAGTTGATGTAAAACCGAGGTGAGGAAATCACTAGGCAACCAGTCCGTCAGAAAATAAAGGTAGATCAAACGAAGATATGTCATGAAACTATGCCACACCGGCAAGCGGACACACGGAGCCGGCGATCCAGCACAACTCAATGGGACTGCTTTCGGGTTGCAGGCATGCATTTTCTCAATTATCGGCGTTGTACCAACAGCCCTATCAGCGCCACCGGAGCTTTCGTATAACATAACAGTGGTGAGGACGATACCTATAAAACTTGAAGCCAAATCGGACTACATATTCGGATCTGAGACTCTTGAGCAGCGGTGCGGCTCTCGAACCGGAAAGCGTCGTCACCAGCTGCACGACTACATCATGCGATGCCTGAGATCCAAGGAGCACTGAAACAGCACCCAATAGCAGTCGGGTATGCAGCTCGCTCCCGGCGCCCATGCACCGACGAGCCAGGAGTTCGAGCAATGTGCTGCAGCGGGAGACCCAAATCTCGGAGGCCTGTTCACGCTGCTCAACAGAGTGAACATGATTTTGAAACTTTGGGGAGCGCAAAGTTTATGCATGAGTATCCAGATCAAAGAGGAAAGCAAGTAAGTAGGCAAGTAGGCACGCTCCAGGGATCAGTGACAGTGTGGTCGCGCCAGATGCGATGGGTGGGGTGACATACGTACTGCCACAATCAATTCCCGCAAACAGAAAACGGCAGCATTGCTTGCGATCAGCGATGAACTTCCGCTCTTTTGATCGGCCTTTGGGGCCTGCGCAAGATCTTCGAGGAACAGAAAGAGCTCAAAGCCAAAGAGAGAGACCATGGAGGCATCTCGGTGGATCGTGGCACATATCCATCGGACCACCGAATTGCTCAGCACCTCGATCGTTCTATCCACAGGCCGGTGTTAACATCGAAGTCGATTCTCCTGAGAGGCGCCAGGGATACCACATTGTCGGCACGACTTACCCTGGACGGATCGTATTGAGAGAAAAGCCAAACTGACACTCAACAATGCAGCTTCTCGCGAGATCTTTCACTTGCGAGGTCAAAAGGCCGTCATATACATCTGGGGAAGAGCAAAATATAACGTCCACATCATTAGCTGCTCAACCACTTGCATATTTGGATGCTATCCTCCAAGCATGAGCAGTGATGACTCCGACTCCGACACCGCCGTGCGCACACAAGAGCTTCGAGGCGATGCAATAGCACAGCCGCATTCAAGTACATTGTAATTCGCAAGGCCGCTCTTCCTCCCACAAGGACCAGCAAAGCTCTTGCTCTCCTCTCCTCTCCTCTCCTCAAATCGTACCCTTCAGAAGCCTCGGCATGGGTAGGAACAGTATGAAGAGGAACGATGCAATATATCTTGATGGAAACTCTGGTGGAAATAGAGCGGATAAGCCATGGCAGCGCGCAACAGCTGCTCCGATACCGGATCTTTCACAATGTGCCGTGTGCTGCCGAAGCGCATGTGCATCAGCAAGAGTCGCTAACAGCCAAGCAGCTTACCAATGCTGAGATTGAGCTCGCTGGTAAGGACAGCGCCAAGATACCGATTCACTAGGACAGTGACGGACTTGACCAGTACCACAGGGTGAAGCGCATAGAGGTGCTCCATAAGTCGAAGTACTTCGTGAGTGATGGGATCGGACTTGAGTGCATGGCTTCAGCAGAAGTGGCGAGAGCACATTTGAGCGCATAATTAGGAGCTGAGGCCAGCGGTAGTGCATACATGACTTCAACCAGAGGGTTCTCTTTACCAGGGCTCCTCTCGATCGAAAAACATTAGCGGGTGGCCGTGGGTGGCATAGTGGCTGATTGCCGTGTTCAGGAAAGTCGGCAACAGGATCTCCGGAATGGTCGACACACAGTAGAACATTGCGACTCTCATCGAGATGGTGCCGGTCAATGTCGTCTTGAGGGCAAGTATGAATCACCGACGAATATGAGTGGGCGCATGCTATCATTGGATGGCTCTGTTGGCGCCAGAATGACCGACGCTCGTCCTTCGGAGACATACCTCGATAAAATACCGGATTACATCCTGGCCGCCCTCATCACTGGATATTCAGCCGCAGCCAGGCGAAGGGGCGGTTAAGACAAAGATGTGGTCGAAGGGCATGAATCCACGGTAACTCAATCGATTCCATTTCAACGAGGGATCAGGCAATGAATAATCGTCGTCAGCTGCACGATCATCCTTACCCGCTGTCTTGTTCGACGGCCAGCGTCCTAGCGAGCAGTTCACACAGGGCTCGCGGAATCGCTTCCTTTGTCAGCAGATTGATCGACTCGCCAACCGAGAGGTTTTGGAAGAGATTGACACTGGACAGGGACGAAGTAGCCTCAAACACCTTGATGATGTACTGGTTGCAGACCATGCGTCGATGATCCAAAAGACAAGGCTCAGTCCGGCGCATCGAAGCCGGTTCCTTTGCGCCGGGCGACAGACTCGTCCGGGCCATTGCGGGCAGCGCTCGGCAGGGAGCCCAAGACTCACCAGGATGATCTTTTCGTACCAAAAGGTTGGATACAGGTCCAGTTGCTGCTCAATCAGCTCCCGGAGTATGTACACAAGGTTGGCGGCCAGATCCTCTTGCATCGGATCCTGCGGCCCAAAGAAGGCCGCACTCGTGCCCTCCGTGAGGGCGCCAAAGATCATGTCGGGATCAAGATCGTGTGTATCATCGGCGCTTTCGAGGAGCATGCGCACATAATCGATGCTGGGTTGGTCGGCCGGAAGTGCTGCCGGGTTCTGGGCGACAAAGGTATGGGTTGCGATATCGAAGGGGATCGACGAACCCGTCGACGCTGGCCCAGGACGATCATGCGAGGCGGTCGAAAATCGGCCTCGGCCGCGAGTGGCTTCTGTGGCCACTGGGCCTGTGCCGGACTCTTTGGAATAGTGCAAATGAGGCTGGGCCGAGTGGTGCTGGCGAAGCTCATGCCGCCCTCGGCCATGAGCTGCGGCTGCCCTGTTTGGCTTGCCTCGGTGATGATGACCTCGAAAGGGGCCCCCTGCTCCACGGTTGATACCTCTTCCTCGCCCGCGACCTGGCGCTCCATTTGCGGCTCCGCGAGATGCGCCGCCTGGGTTGCCTCGGAACAGGCTGCCGCCACGATCACTCATGGCTTCTCGGACAGGGCCGGCTTGAGCAAGGCTGATGGTGCAAACGATTGAACAGGAGACTTGGATTTGGGCAAGTCGCGGCTGGACACTGTCATGTGAGAGCGGCCTTGCGCCACAGCCAGTCCAGCGTCGAAGCCAAGGCCGCAGCAAGCAGGCCAGGCACCCATATGAACTGGTATGGCTCAAATATTTCTTCAGCGGGCCGGCTCCATCTTGGCGGACACGCTGCAAGATGCACAGGCAATCTCCCGCCATGCGAGGCCGACACATGCGTGTTGGGGAAGGTAACCCAAGCCCCGACATACCAATGAAATGGGTCGCCCTGCTTATTTTGTTGGGGGGGGGGGAGATACTTGATTTATCTGGATTTTGGATGCACGCACGCATATTCTACAATGACAATCCACCACGCGAAGGCGAACCAAGGACTGTCTCATTTACGCCAGGCAATTGCGTAGCCTTTGCTCGGTGCAAGGCACACGCTCGATGGGCCAAGCCTGGGTGAAATGGTAGCTTCGACTCGATATATGTCGCGCCATTGAGCGCCATTCAAACTATTTACGTTTTGACTGGTTGCAGAGCGCCCTGAACTTATCAATCGAACTGCTGGACAACAATGGGTGCAAGGTACAAATGGGGACCAAAGTGGTCGCTGGTAGGTAACAATGAACGGTGATTCGTGGCTTTGGTGGTTCCAGTCGCACATGGCAAGGCTGCACAACCAGTCGATAGTGAAGTGCTGTGGAATTTGCCAAGATTGAACATTCAAGCTTCCGGGATGCAGCAGGTGTGGCCTCGTTTGATCACGAAAGCGCCGAATCACTGCGCAGACGCTCGATAACCATGAGGAGAAAGCCCTCAAGAGCTCCTGGGGATTCCTGGGGAGCAAACACAGCGATTATGCAGAAGAGGAGAGTACATCAGTCAACTGAGAGCTAAATCGGCATCGTACCGGATAGAGCAACTCGACACGTGTGGGGATATCATAAATGCTCGAGCAACCGGCCCCGCAGGCATGCTTGCTGCTATCTACCTGCTCCAGCTTCTGCAGTGAGCTGTAAACCTCAAAGATCCGCGCGGTACTGCCGTACTTTTGTGAAAGCTGATATCAAGCGGCGGATGTGGCATCGTGTCGAGCATTATGTCGAGCATTCGTGTCAGAAGAGATAAGCAAAACACTGAGATGATAGGACAACAAGAGGCCAACAGTCTTCACAGAAGCTGCAACAGCCTATGTAGGCATGGCAGAATCTTACCTCGACAAGTGAGGGCACAATTATATCTTCGAGAATGGCCTCTCCTCCACCTTCATCCAGCTCGGGATCGTCTTGGTCGTCTGAAGGGCAGTTCTGATATACATGGTCCGATTTGTATCGGCCCGATCCGTCCTTGTTGGGCACCCATGTTCTCTTTCCGGGCTCATCGTCGTCGTAGTGGGAATAGTGGCAGTCGGTGCTCTGGCCGGATGAATGCGAAGTTGAAGAGACAGCTGTGGCTCGCATCACCGATGGAGGCTGTCAAGATGACAAGCAAGCGTGGGGATAGGAGGATATACAGTGAGCGACTTTCTCGCACAGATCCAAAGCTTGGGTACCTATGGTACTATGGATTCAGGCGACGCACATGCACGGCGGTGACCCTACCCGTGGAGTATATGTACTCGCAGACTCATCCGAACATGAGGACTTGACTGAACTCACCGGCTTCACCCCCTTGCCTTGGTATCCCTGAGCGTTAGGGCGAGCAGGGCTCGCTGAACGTCGGGGCGTTTGAGCAGGGGTTTGAATGGCGTCTCGTTCCTTTGCCGGGGCTACCTTGACTGTGTTCCAAAAGGGCTCATCTGGATCGTTGTATGTATCCTCTCTCCTGGCGTTTTGATGGAGAATAGGCGTCAGCACGACTTCCCATCTCGGCGTAAAGTAGTGGGTTGCATAATCGCACTCGATCCAAACCACAAGGCCATGGCCCTGTCCTCCCATGCAACATAATTAAACCGACGCAGATTCGATCGGCTATCGTCAAGGCAGAAGAGGCGCGTATGGTGCGTAAAATGCAGGAGCATAACTGCTGGAGCTCGGACCCGGCGGATGGCCAGACCAGGATACCGCAACATCCGACGCGTATCCAAAAGCCGCCGATCCGCAGACACACATACCTTCTGTGAGACCTCGAGTCATCATCTTCTGAGTCTGAATCGGCATAAGAACCTGTCTCGCGCCACTCGGCATGTCGAGCGATGAGTTCTGTCAGGCAGCTGGTTGACTTTTTCGCATATTTGGCGATGAATGGGTCGCGTAGTAAATCAGTGGCACTCGGGCGCTGTTAATAGAGACATATTCGATGTCGTTAGTAGGCGAGCAAACCTGACAACGGATGCGACAGCGACAATCAAAATGACAGCCGTAACGTCAACGACAAGGCGAGATCGATGATCAAGATTGTTGGACGGATGACCAAGCACCACCCAGGAACCTGGTTGTGCGCAAGCAGCTTACCAATCGTGGGTTCTTATTCAGACACCTTCGGACAAAGTGACAAAGCTCTGGAGCGCGCTCAAGTTGATCGAGCGGGAGCTTGTCTTCCACAATTGCCTTCAGTGCTTGCATGACTGGCAGTCCGGAATGTGGCGGCTCCCCTGTGAAGAGCTCGATGACGGTAATGCCCAGGCTCCAGATATCAGCCTGGACAACAACACACACCACAAGTCAGTGCTGCAGGATGATTCATTCCAGGGCTTGACGCAGAGGGTGAGGGCCCACGAATATGCTTCATTCACTCAAAGCCCCCGTGAATCATGCATGCGATGGTAACTGATATCCTGACGCCGGCAGTCAACCACCGACGCATCGTGACCCACCTTTTCGGTGTATCCACCATTGTTTCGGATGACCTAGAGTGTGGTAATGGAAGTGGGGTCAGGCACCTAAGCACTCGCGAACCATACATACCAAAGGGCAATTGTGCAGCTCAAGAAATCGATAGCTTGCTTACCTCTGAATGGGCCAGGGCAGGATGGCGAGCAACGGAGAGTTAGTCGAGGCATTGATACTGTCCTGCAAGAATCCCAGCTGTTGGATTCGCGGAGCACCTGTCACTGCTCCAGACAGCGAAAGGGCCGCGGCACGAGTGATATATCCACCTCATCATACCTGGAGCCATCCAGAAAGGCGTTCCCACAAAAGTTGCTCTGTTGCCAAGGGTCTGGCTGATTTGGCCCGAGACACCAAAGTCGGCCAGCTTGACATTTCCCTGAGCGTCCAGAAGAACGTTGGCAGCTTTGACATCGCGATGGATGGTTCGCTCGCGATGCAGATACACAAGGCCATTCAGAAGTTCGCGAACGATGATGGAGATGTAGTCTGGTCGGATTGGGCCGGGGCGCAGCTGATCGATGGGAGAGGTTAGAGCAGTGAGTGCGATGCACAACTGGGATACACTGGGATGGCAGGAGCAACGCCGAATCCTCGAGGGACCCATTCTATGCCGAGGACAACAAAGGCGAGCCCCTACCAGATCAAGACAGGACCCGCCCATGCAGTATTCCATGACAATCCACAGCTGGTCATCTTTCATGAACGAGGTATAGTATTCGGTAATGTACGGTGAGTGCAGCTGCTGTATGATTCGAATTTCCTGGTGGATGTCCTCGAGCTCGTCCTCGGCGGCTGGTGCGTATGCGAAGTATATCGTGGAGGACCAGGAGGGGACCAGGCGAAAGCCGGGGGGGGGAAAGGCCAGAAAATAGAAAGGCAGAGAAATGCAAGGGCTGCGGTAAGTCCTTGTTGAAGAGAGCGAGTATATATGTGTGCACAGGCGAGATGCAGGACCATGATGTTCAGGCTGTCCAAAGCATCGACGAGGAAAGCCGCACCTTCAACGTCAATGATTTTGATAGCTATGGGCTTGCTCGTTCGAAGGTCGATTCCCTTGTATACCGAGCCAAAAGAGCCCGTGCCAATTTTATCTGCGGGGTGAGCAAAACGACGGCCATCAGCGAGACCGTCGGTCGCATGGATCTATTGTTGGATCGGCTTTGGCCGTGTCGCAGGCGGACGACGATGCTGCTGCCCATGCTGCTCATGCTCATGAGCAGCATGAGTGGCATGAGTGTCAGCAGCCAAAGGCTCCAATGCTCGCTCGTTCGCTGAGACCTTGCGGCCAGCACCAGGACATGCATCGGCTGCCTGGACTGTACGGCATCCATGCCCACCACAACCCCCACGACATCGGCAGGATACGGTAGCGCTTGCATCGATGGCTTACTCTGCTTGTGGTAGAATTGATGAGGGGACTCCATGGCGAGCGTGGAACAGGCAGCGGCCCGAGAGAGACAACCTGCGTGGTGGAAGGGGAGATGAGGGAAGCCAGGAGGGGAGCCTGTCCTCGCCCGCAAGGGCAGCGCACATCACTTATAGCGAAAGCCGGACGGATCTCGCTGGGGTCAGCGGGGGTCGGAGCCGGCGGAGAATGGACAGCGGTCCAATGGAGGTCATCGTGAGGACACGAGAAGGGATGGTTGAGAGCCGGCCGTGAGGGAGTCCGAGATAATGTCCGGCCGAGCCGCGGCAACCCGAAGGGAGCCGAGACAAACCGAAGATCTGGCGAGGTTGCTGCATGCATCGGATCTCCGGGCAGCAACGCACCGACCAAAGGAGAACCAAGTCGGGCGGGTGTCGAGCCGGCGGGCTGTATCGATCTAACCTCCAGTCCACGGACTGCGTCATAGCGATTCTGATCGCCATGGTTGTGTTGCATGCCACCAGCTTCAGCGACTTCAGCGTCAAGTCCCGCCGAACAGCCAGTCCACAATCGGGCGATATGCGAGCGGCCCGTGATATCTCTGCATTTGCCTTGGTCTTTGCTCGCCCCCAGCCCATCTGTAGCTTCGTTACGGAGGATCGTCTCCAGCACCCGTCGATATGGAGCTGTCCAATGCACACCCAACGATCATCCTCGTGGTGGGCGAGTCGCCGGACCCCATTTGCAGCCGCTCCCGACCCGTTGCAGCAAGCCCCAGACGGACATGGCGGCCTCGATGCGTGTCCGATCGGCGAACCGATCGACGAAACCTCCGGACTGTGACATGGCAGACCCGCAGTGTGGTCCGGTTATATCCCGCTCGTCTCCCCGCCCAGAGCAATTGATGAGCACCATCCGTTTCCAGAGAGGCTGGATTCTCATGGTCGAATCACTCGGCAAACCCCCATCCTTTGTCTCGAGCGTCCTTGGTCAGACAGATCCGTCGCTCAGGTCGAAATCATGGGGCTTGAATCCAGTTCCTCACGCACGGTTAGCTGGTCGGCGCTTTTGACCAACCTGGATGCCTGTTGTCCAGCGGGCAGCCACCCCGGACATCCTTTGGGGATTCTCTTGTTCCCTGGCCGCCTCCGGAGCCGTTCTGCCTGCATCATCCGCATACAGCGTTTCCAAAATGAAATGGGACACCCCGTTTTTAATCAGGACAGGGTTTTTTCTGGAACCTGAATACACCCACCCACTCATCGCACTCATGGCCAAGCAAGTATGTCCAAGGAGACCGAAGTGATGATTGCCTTTGGAATGCCTCGTGGAAGCAGGGGAAGGGATATGCTTCCAGTCCCAGGAGACTCAGGTTCGCCAAGTACTTCGAGCAGCTCACCCACCACCAGAGACGGCCAGATGTGCTCGGTGAACGAGTTCAACGCATCACAGGTATGCTCGCATTGTCGGGAATTCAAGCGACTCGAGAAGGTCGAGCATCTTGATATCGAGAAACCATGGGGTTGTCCAGAGAGTGGAGCGGATGCACTACACAGAGAGATTGCCAACTAGGACGGGAAACAATCGCATGGCTTGCCCACCGGGGCCTACAGTCAGTCAGCGGGGCTCAGATATCTGAAGCCAGGAAGGAACTGTCCCGTTTCTTTCTGGATAGACTGTACACTTGGAAGCATACAGCGTGCCCCGGTTGAAATCGGGACACACTGTTTTGAGCCAGGGCGATCGCCTGTTTCTTGGTCCCGAATACACACCGCATCATGGTATACCAGTCCGGTTGATTGTCGCCACAAGTGGTCGACAGGATGTATTCAAGACTGTGCCCCTGAAGTCAACAACGTGCGGCGGTAGATTGTAGTACATTCAGGAACACCGCTGCCCCGCTTGCTCCGAACATGCTGTTGCGTGGCCGTGGACATGCTATCGGCGGCGACGTCTTTCATTCGGATTTCGTCGACCGGAACCGATTGTCAGGGTGCCGAGCTGTTGACTATTCTTCATCAAGTTCTTCTGCCCAGCCCCAAACATGGCCGCGTCCGGGTCATTGATGTCCTCGGAGCCTTGCTTTTGGCGCTTTTGGTATTGAAGAGCCCGTTGGTACTCCCGCTGATCTTCGCGCAACACGACGTCAGTGTTCCGTCTGCCGCCTTTGGGCTCCGGAATCGACCACTGATGAACAGCAAGGGACAAATCCGAGTTAGATGGCAGGCTTATTGGCTCATGCAGAGCGATCATGATGCAGACATGACTCACAATGGTTCCTCGGGTGCGATACTGAAAGTTTTTCTTGAGGTGGTAGATCGTGTTGCCGTTAGCATCGACCGACACGGAGGTGCGGATCAGGGTGTTGTTGCCACAGGTGGGGCAGAATCGGCGCTCCATATCTTTTGTCGATCTGGATTTGGGTGCGAGAGAACGGGAATACTCAAGCGTTAGAGATTGGGGAATGAGTCCCGCACTACACGGGCAGATTCGCTTGTGGCACAAAGATGTGGATTTTTACGGACAAGGTCCGCTTCGAGCTCTGCTGGGATTATGCCCAAAGCGGAGCTCGGTCGATCCTGAGCAACGGGCTCAACATACTTGAAGCACGCGTGGCACCGCAGGACCCAATTCTTGATATGGGTAATGGCGAAGCCGTCGACGGAAATCAGACGGAGCCCCATCTGCAAAAGAACGTTCTGCATCGCAAAGTCGGAAGTAATACAGGCCACCGGAATATTCTCGGGCTCTCGTTCGTGATCGGCATGAAGTCCAGAGTTTTGGGCCTTGAATTTGCTGATGTTAGCCGGGGTGATCCACTCCCCGCCGTCATCTTCATCTAAAGAGGGAACTTCATCCATAGGCTGCGAGCGCTTATTCTTGGAGATGGTTCGATCGGGCAGGTTCAGATGGATGGGCTTATCTTCTTGAGGCTGCTTCTTCCCTCGGTGACGGCGACGCTTGGTTTTTGGAGCATCAGATCCAGGAGTGCTCACAGCGTCGTCGTTGGAGCCCAATCGTTCATGAGGAGCTTCAGAGCGTAGCTCGCTCTCGGCTTGCGAGTGTATGGCGTCTCTCTTGGAAGGTACGACCGAAGAGACATCCTTGCTCGGTTGGGGCCACCCACCGATGACCGGTCCATAGTACGCTCGCTCTTCTGCCATCACGTAGTCGGCTGGAGTCGGATGATGTGGCTTCGCGATTGATTTATCTGTGGCGTTGGAATCAGCAATAGCTTTAGTCAGAGAATTACAGGCAGAAGAATGATAGACGGCATATCCAGGAAACGGCGCCTGGTTGCCGATCATCAAACTCGAGCACATCTTCGATGGCACGTGGATAGCAGGCACGTTGGGTAGAGCCCGGCTATTGTATGGACTGGGTATCCTCGAGCCGGCCCTCATAATATTTGCTTGCGAGAGGGTTGTTCATCTTACCGTCGACATGGGTACGGGTAGCAGCCTCGAGTGAAAATGAAGCTTGGTGTACTTGCGGCTTGTGGATGGCTGGCTCGAGAGCCAAGGACTGCTTTGAAGGAATGAACTCGGCGGCATTGGGCTTCAGGGAGGACTTTACATAGCCATGCCAACCTCCAATAACCGGGCCATAGTAGTTTCGCTCCTCGGCCAGAATCCAGTCGGCTGGGGTGGGCCTGGAGATCGAGGATTGCGATGGAGGCATAGCAGTCAAGATTGAACGAGCAGGGGCTTGGAGATCCCGGTCTGCAGAGGAATCGACTCCTGTGTTGAACTGGGAGTCAGCGGCTTGTGTAGAAGCCAGGGCAGCGGGGTTCTCGGCCACTCCGCCTGATCTTGGAGTAGTCTCTGCTGTGAGCTTGGCCAAAAACGGGACGGTGATGCAGACTGGCCCATAGTACGAGCGATACCCGTCTCGAATGAGTGCTGCGGAGATACCCTGAGAAATCGGGCCGTGATAGGCACGCTCCTCTGAGGCAACCCAGTCGGCGCAGGTCGGGATCTGGGCCGGATCCATAGCAGACTCTGCATAGACCTTGGGATGTTCGACTGTGGTCGATCTGCTCGACTCAGATCGTTCAGAAAGTGTCGCCTGAGTGTTTGCGACGGCGGCTGTGTCGGACGAGGAGATCTCCAGCTGTCCGGGTGAGGTCGTTGTATCGTCAAATGTCGACTGCAAGTCAAGAGACCAGGTCCAAGGTTCGTTCAGTAAAGCATCTCATCTAAGCAACGGCAGCTATCAAAGCAACGGCCAGAGGGGCTATCGTCCATATCAAAGAATTCGGCGGATACCCACAGCAACCGGCTCTGTTCGAAGGTGGCTTACGCCCTTGGCTTCCCTTTCGAGCATGTACGTCAGCGCAAGGATCTTGAGATCGGTGATCGAAAGGGTGGCAAAGTCGCCTGTTTTCTTTGAAAAAGCAATCACTGTTCCAACGGCCCCCACAAGACAGGAGTTTCAGAGGATTGGTGGGAGCATTGGAGCAAGACGGATGTGGGTGTTCGACCCCAGATTGGCAAGCCGACCCCGCATGCGAGAAAGTTGGGAGGTACCGGGCGCGAATGAGGCCATGGTGCAAAGCGGCATCATCTCCTTCCCGGAGGACGTACCATGCTTCATCGCCTCCTCCGAAGGCGCGCGCACCTTGAGCTCAAAAGGCAGGGTGGCCATTGCGCTACGAGCTTGACGATCTCGGATTTCACCAAGAACCTCCGGAATGGTCACAAAGTTGGATGCCAAGTGCTCCAGGCGATTGCCCTTGATAAGCGGGGCGGCATCGACGACAAGCGTATCAACGCGATCATGGCCGCGCGATATTTCATGCTGAACGTCTCGCGACGGAAACGGGTCGGGTGAGATCGAGGTGCTCATGCTGGCGATCTGGAGGGCCGCGGAGGGAGGGGTGCTGGCCTTTGACGATAGCAACACCGCGGGTTCAAAAGGCCAAAGCCAAAAAAAAGTGCGGCACTCAATATTTCCTCTTTTGGAAGGTGCCCTGTCCAATGAGCGGCGGCACATCGAGATGGCATCGGAGGGTCGGGCCGGTTCAGTTTCCACTTGCCCGGGCGGACAGGCCATGGGATTGCATTCAGTCTTGGTTGGTGATTGAGTGGCATGGCTGGTTTCGGGCGCTTGGGCTTGAATACACCAGGCTGATGTCCTGCGGCGACGATGTACTGGCATGGATGTCGCAATGCGGGAGTGTGGTGCATGCATTGGGCTCTATGGACAGCCCCCACGGCTTCTCGATGTCAGAGCGGACGGCTTGGGCGGGCCGCTTGGCTTTCAGGCATTGTGCACAATGTTTGGACATGGAAGAGGTCGGTGGGTGTGTACTCAAGACCAGAAATCAACGACAACCCTGGCCCACAACACGGCGTCCGGTTTCGTTTTGGGAGCGAGCGTATCTGCCATGAAGCAAATCGAGTCGAACGACAGAGCGGCGCCGCCAGGCTGGATGTGGCCGCGGGCACGATCTCCGGCCTGGCGAGCAGGGAGAGAACGGGAGAGAACGGAGTAGCAGATGGTGAGGTGAGGTTGGCGTCCGTCGGCGCGAGATCACCGGCTGGTCGCGGACGTTTGGTCATCGATGCCCTCTTGGCTGATCTCGTCCGAAGCATCCCCGCCCCTTGCTCCCTCGAGAACGAGTTGCGAACATGGACCCGATTTCGCACGAATTCGACGTCATCATCCTCGGCACTGGGCTGGTTCAGTCGATGCTGGCGGGGTATGTTACGGTATCCGGACTGCGATGGGGGTTGCATGGCCGTCTTGGCTTCCTGCTTCTCATTGCGGTTCGCCGACAGACCCACTGATGAGCGTTCGCACCCTGTTTGTGCTCTAGTGCGATTGGCCGCGCTGGAAGAAGCGTTCTTCATATCGACAGCAACCCATTTTACGGCGAGGGCCATGCCTCCCTCAATCTCAAAGAATTCATTGAGCACTTATCTGCCCAGACATCCAAAGGTAGACAATTGGTGGCTGTACGGCATGACGCTGCTGTCATGGCTGTGCATGACAGCGCTCCTGTCTTGTTAAGTTCAGATTCCGGCATAGATATTTACAGCAGGGATTTTGCTCTGGTTTTGGAATCTCCAACTACCCAGAAGGCACACCTTATTGCAACCTCGAGGCCTATGTGCACATAGAGCCCCAGCCTCAGGCGGAAGAGTTTGAATCCAGGCTATTGGTCGGGGCGCTTGACTCACAGCAATCGATCAACGGTTCGGCGCCTATTTCCTTTCAGTCTCTCTTTGACCCTGGCCATGAGGCCCTTCGAGTAGCCCTCGACAACGTGAAGTCCGCTGGACCATTGGTCGAGGACAGAACCGACAGCGAGAACTGCATCGCCGCCCTACTCGATGTCCTCAGCAACCACCGGAGATTCAACATCGAACTGTCGCCAAAAGCCATTCTCAGCAGTGGACCCGTTGTCGAGTTACTGATTTCATCAGGTGTCGGCCGGTACTTGGAATTCAAGGCTCTCGAAGAAGTCTACATCTTCGATGGTGTATTGGAACAGGCAGGTTGGGCAGCAGGAGTCTGGGATCGTGCTGGGAGCCGAGACCGTGCTATGGACTGGAGCCGTGCTATGGACTGGATATGCTGCCTCGACTGGAATGATACTGATCCGAGCATCGTATGCATTGATTGTGCCCATGCGTGCTTTGGTCACCGGCGATCTATCAATGCGCCACTGGCGGACTTGATTTTTTTCTTCCAGATGCCTGGAGCAAAAGAGGATATTTTTTCGAACGACAAGGTTAGTCTTCTCGACAAGCGACGCCTCATGAAGTTCTTGACCATGGCGCTGAACTACGAGAGTGGCCTTGACGGCTTGACAGGTATGACCGACGGTCAAAAGGCTGCCATCCGTGCTTTTCAAGAATGCAAGTACGATGCTATCTGTCCTCAACCTGCACTCTGGAGACAAATTTGCCTTGGCTAGGACAAACTTGATACTTCATCGTGTGTAACCCGAACCGCTTCACATTTCCATACCACAGAGATCGAAGATACGCTGCTGGCCGATTACCTCGAAAGCCAAAAGTTCAATGAGAAGCTCAAGTCTATCCTGTATGTCCTTGCTGGGGTTCATAATACCGACCAGATCGACACGGGTAAGCAAGTGTATAAACTACCTTTACGACAGATTGATGTCTTTGACAATCCAATTCCTTACACTTTGACGTATTCTAAGTCATTCTGCCGCTATAGTCTCCACCGGGGCCGCTCTTCGTCAGATTCAGCTGTATCTACGTTCAGTCGGTCGATTCGGAAAGACACCTTTCCTCAGTTGTCTCTATGGTGCAGGATCCGAACTCTGCCAGGCATTTTGCAGGTTAGCAGCAAGTGCTGCGACTCGAATAGAGACGATGTTTCTCATAACCTACTGACGCTGCCTGAAAATTATCTCAAGGCTCTCGGCTGTCTACGGAGGAATATACATGCTACAGCAACAGGTGGAACGAGTCGAGTTCGCGAAGACGACTGAGAGGGTGTCAGTGGCCATCAACGGCTCAACATATAACTCGTCCAGCTTGATTGCTTCTCCAGAGTATCTGCAAGCATCCGACACTCGACAGTACGAACTTTACAATTTGCCAATTATGCGCTTGGTCTGCAATGCAAAAGGCTGACAGTGTTTGAACCAGGCTGGCCAAAATATTTTGACTCGTGAGCTAACTGGTCCACTTTCTTGACCCAGACCCGAGCTCTACTCAAGAGCAGTGGTTATTGTGAAGCATTCCATTCGGCCACCGCAGTCCCTTCTCTCGATTGCATTTCCGCGCAACAGCATTGGAAACGCCAACAGTATATCAGTAATCCAGCAAAGCTTCGATACCGGTGCCGCCCCACAGCCATACTGTAAGTGAGAGGAGTAATGCCGAACTCAGTCATAGGATGACCTAAGACCGTCAGGATTTCTATCGCTGATAGGCAATGTCCACAGACGTTGTATACCTTATCACAAAAGCGACCGGAACTGCCACTCAAGACCTCGAAAACTGCGTGACGACCCTATTGCAAGCGTCTCCAGCTTTGGCAGGTTGGTTGATTGGCTTAATGTCGTGGGAATTTTGTCAATTGCTGTTGAAACTGGGATTCGAGTGCACATCGCTCGTCGAGCGAGGACACACAGCTGTACAAGGGTTAAGTTTGATAATGATAATCGCGAATGGCATAATCGATTGACTGGGATCGTAACTGCTTCAAGATTCCGAGGGCCATTTGCCTCCATCAGCGACCCCACTGCTGTCACTGTATTTCCAGGAGTACGTGTATCCCGGCTTCGAAAGCTGGGTAGATGATCGAGTCGTCGTGGTTGGCAACCATTTTGATCATTTCAGCTTAGAAAGTGCTCCAGAGAACGCTGCTTCAATCTTCCAGAAGCTCTATCCCGACGAGTCGTTCCTGCCACCCCTCCCAAATCCGGAGGATGAATCGGACTGACGAAATGAATATCAAAAAGTTTCGAGACGCAGCGTTTTATCGGCATCTGCACAAAACATGAGGTTGGTTCAATATATGTTCCCGAGTCTCCGGAAGCCACATCACTTTTTGGATGTGCTGAGATAGATTGAGTCCAAGTATACGGTGGACCTGAAATCAAACCGGACGCCGTGTTGTGGGCCAGGGTTGTCGTTGATTTCTGGTCTTGAGTACACACCCACCGACCTCTTCCATGTCCAAACATTGTGCACAATGCCTGAAAGCCAAGCGGCCCGCCCAAGCCGTCCGCTCTGACATCGAGAAGCCGTGGGGGCTGTCCATAGAGCCCAATGCATGCACCACACTCCCGCATTGCGACATCCATGCCAGTACATCGTCGCCGCAGGACATCAGCCTGGTGTATTCAAGCCCAAGCGCCCGAAACCAGCCATGCCACTCGATCACCAACCAAGACTGAATGCAATCCCATGGCCTGTCCGCCCGGGCGAGTGGAACAATGAGGGGGACATGTCGGGATCACTGTTCAATCGTTCTCAAGGAGTTACTGGTTCTATAGTAGCAGGATTGCGCCTGGGATGTGCACCTGGCCTAGAATTCATTGATATGAATCCTCCAATTACCATAGTCATGCTGATACTATGGCTTCAGACAGGTCGTTCACGAAAATACATATATGACTCCGATATAAAAAGGGCTCGGAGAGAATGAAACGAAAAGATTGTGGGATCGTCAAACCTTTCATAGAAGTTAGGAAGGTTGACAAGTATATTTTGCGAGCGATCTATGGCTGACACCTTTCAATCCCCAAGAGCCGGGAGGATATTGGTGAGGGTTTTCCTCTGACATTGTATAAATGGTGGCATCGGCACGGAGAATTATGAATTACTAGGAGTAACAGCTGGGCCTCAAAGCAAGCTTAGTTATTGAACGGAATGTGGTAATAACATCAACGCTCATGGTATGGTAACGTACGGGAGGAGCGGAACATGATCGATTAGTGATCGTAGGCGTTCCGAAGGGAACGTAATGAATTGGAGAGAGGGAGGAAATTATGGGGTGAAACTGACGGATCACGAGCTGGGACGGATCTGCGTCTTGGGGGAGAAGTATATTCAGGCGGATGGAAACATACGACACCTCTTGCTGGGCCTATCCCGGGGAGGGCGTGCTGCCCTTTTATACGGCCAGCCCAGCAAGAGGACGGGGTGTCGGCAGGTTGCGTACTGATGGCGGCGTGCCGGCCGTCACATCACTCTCCCCTCACCCCAGAATACGTTGCAGCTGGGAGGGTTTCGGCTTGGTTGGGTACCGTGCGTGGAAATCGCGTATAGTCTCTGGTGCGTTGACCAAATTTGACAATGGTTCCCACGTCGCGTCGGACATTGAATACCCTTTCCACGAGACGAGGTACTTCATATCGGCACGGCCAAATGTCTTCGAATCGAGGAATTCCTTCACCCCGTACTCGACATTGACTTCTACCTCAACCGGAGGTGGTGGCGGAGCGACTCGGTTCGGTAATGTGGACCTATTATGCGGCTCGAGGAGCGAGACGTGAAACACCGGATGTAAGCGGAAGTGCGATGGAAGGTCCAATTCATAGGCCACCTCGTTTACCTTTCGCTTAATGGTATACGGGCCAATACGCCGGTAATCCAGCTTCTCGGAGGGACGAGTAGTTTTGATATTGGCATGCATGAGCCAAACCAAGTCCCCTGGGGCGTTGATCGGGCTTTCCTCTCGATTGGCATCCACGCATCGTGTTTGTCTCTCGCGAGCAGCTTCGAGGTTGGCCACAAGCAACGACCGGGTGTCTTCGAGGAGTTGGACATGCTCCTCAGCCGCAGGGTTGACAGGCGTTGATGGCTGGAGAACAGAGAACCTTGGGTGGAAACCGTAGTTAGCCACGAATGGCGACATGCCTGAGGACTCGTGGGACGCATTGTTGTATGCGAACTCGGCCAGGGGGAGGAGGTCGAGCCAGTTGTCCTGCTGGTACGATACGTAACAGCGGAGGTATTGCTCCATGATCTGATTTACCCTCTCCGTCTGGCCGTTCGACTGTGTGTGGAAAGCAGTTGACAAGTTTGTCGATGTCCCAAGGAGCTCGAACAGACGCTTTCAGAAGCGCGAGGCAAACTGTGGGCCACGATCCGACAAAATGTTGTCTGAGAGTCCATGGAGACGAACGAGCTCCTTGACCACGATGTTTGCCGCTTGTTGCGCCGTCGTAGTTTTAGTACAAGGCACGAAGTGCGCCATCTTGGTGAGACGGCACACCATTACCATGATAGAATCCAGGCCCTTGATGGTTGGCAGATCAGTCACAGAGTCCATTGAGACCGACCCCCATGGTCGCGCAGGCACCGGTAGCGGGTTCAGCAGTCCGTGAGGGGCATGGCGCGGGGTCTTGGAGCGAGCGCAAACATCGCAAGACTTAACGTAGTCTGCAACCATTCGCTTCATGTCTGGCCAACGGTGATCACTTAAGAGGAGCTTGTACGTCTTCGAGATTCCGAAAGGACCGGCGAGTGGGTTGGCATGATACTCATTGAGGAGTCTCTACATTCTTCTTGGGTGAGGGTTGCCCGGATTGCCTATTGCCTTCATGGCCTGTATCCTCGTCTAGGTCCGCATCGTCGTCATCGGGAGCGTTAGGGAAGTGGGCATCGCTCTCTTCGTCGTCCGCCGTGAGTGCGGCGTTGGCGGGGAGCTGCTCCGGTCGCAGAAGTCGCCGTTCAAGTCGGCCGACGTCCCCTCCCACCTCAAGACCGTGCTCGGCGCGTCGGGAAAGGGCATCTGCCTTGGCATGCATTTGTCCAGATCGAAAAGCAATGGCAAAGTCGAAATTTGAAAAAAACATAGATCACCGCGTCTATCGACGATTGATCGTGGAGAAGTAAAAATGGTAGAGAATTTTTGTTTGGGCAGAATTGGGGAATACTACAGATCCGTTTGTTTTTGGGCTGCACCGTCGCACTTGTGTCACTGTTTGCGTCTCACACTTTCTTCTTCCTTTGTCTTGCGACGCCTTTCCTTTTTCCTTGCTCTCATGTTTCACACGCCGCTCTGTGTTCCCTGCATTTGTCATCGACCATGCATTAGTCAGACGCTGTGTCACCCGCATTTGTCAGCCACCGAGCATTTGTCAGACTTTTACATGTTTCTCCGGTTAGCCGTTGGTGCCTGGCTGCTGTCCCACCGCCTCCGCTGCTTCGCCCCCGCTGCGGCAGGCTTCGCCTCCGGGACCGCCAGACAGATAAATAGCCCGCCTTCGCCCGCTCATGTTTCTGGTCATCACCTTCGACCCCAGACACACTTGACTCTAGATCCTAGCCTCGCTAAGATCAATAAAGCCCTTCTCTATCTTTTTCTTTTGATCTCCTCTTGATCCCGTGATCTGACATGGTAGCATCGGACGATCCCGCCGTCAATGCCTGTCTCCAGGCCCTTGAACAACTATCGCTCGAGGACCGCGCCCTGGTCCTCTCCGCCCTGACTGCCCAGCCGAATCTCCCCACGGTCCCTCCCGGTTTCAAGCGTCCCAAGATCCCGCTCCCCCGACGCCTTCACTGGCGAGCGTAAGGCTGCTGTCGTTGACGAGTTTGTCTTCTCAATGACCGAGTACATTGCCTTCCACAGTCTCGATGACGCCACCGCTGTCGCCACCGTCGCCATGAACCTCAAGGGCAAGGCCAAGACCTGGTGGCGCCTCTGGTCCCAGGGCAAGCAACTCGACAACCTGACCCCGGCCGCCGTCCTGTCCCTCGTCCGCGACACCTTCCTTCCGTCCACCTCGCTGCGCACCACCGAGGATGAGTTCGAAGCACTGCGCCACACCGGCTCCGTCGAGCAGTTCAACTCTCGCTTCCGCGATCTCCTCCTCGAGCTGCCCCACTTCAGCAACAACCGCCAGAACCTGCAGCGCTACCTCACCAAGCTCAAGCACAGGGTGCGCATCGAAGTCGAATGGAAGCTTGACTCCAACACAGCCACCCTCGAAGATGCCATGGCCCTCGCCGAGCGATACGAGTCCATTATGGGTCAATCGCAACCCCTGATGCAGCAGCCCGCTCGCACTCAGTTCCGCGATCAACCCTTCCGCGAGCTCCAGTTCCAGCGACCTCCTCTCTTCCGCGCTCCACCTGGTCAGCCGCAGTTCCGCCCAATGGTCCGTCCTCCTCGTCCCGCCTTCCAGCCGACCCAGCCTCCCGCACGTGACCCCAACGCCATGGACCTCGACAACGTCGACATGCGCCCGATCAAGAAGCTCACCGACCGCGAGAAGGAGTACCTCCGCCGTAACGGAGGCTGCTTCCGCTGCCGCAAGTTCGGCCACATCGCCTCGCAGTGTCCCTTGAACCAGCCCCGCATCAACGCCATCGTCGAGACCGCCGACCAGGCCACCTTCTACGAAGATCAGGGAAACGACGAGGCGGCAACCCCTGGATACTACGACCTCTGAAGGACCCGGCGAGTTGCCGCCATCCGACTCCGACCCCCGACGCTGAACTATTGACTCTCGCCACCGGACCTCACCTGATCAACTCTCTCATCGACGAACCCCACCGCATTGCCGCCAACCACGGCAAGGGACTGCTTGTGATCGACGCCACCCTCAACGGCTCCCCGATCACCGTCCTCATCGACCCTGGTGCGACCAACTCGCACATCTCCGAGACCCTCGCCTCGACCCTCGACCTTCGAACCAAGACCACCGCCAACGCCGTCACGATGCCCAACGGCAAGTCCTTCCCGTCCTCCGTCACCGATCCCGTCGACCTCACCATCCACGACTACCACGCCCGCATCAACCTCTTCACCGCGCCACTCACCTGGGACGTTATCCTCGGCAAGAACTGGCTCGACCAGACCAACCCCGAGATCGACTGGCCCTCCAACCGAATCAAGTTCTCGATCGACGGGAAGCACCACACTTGGACGGCATCGCGACCCGACACCGGAATGCCACTCACGACCCTCGAACTCCGATCCCAGTACCACATGTCGACCCAGCAGATCAACGCACTGGCTTCGACTCCCGGCGCCGTGTATGTTTGTACTCTGAGCAGTGACTTGAATACAGTTGCTGTTGAACCCTACGACCCCGT